TTTGTTTTGTCTTTTTTTTCGTTCGCTTTACTCCTGGAGTTGTTTTTCTCCGCAGGGCAAAGGATGACAAAAAAAAAGGGAAGAGCAAAAGTGTAGCATACATTTGAGGGGCGGTCAGGAATAAAGCCAGGATAAAGGAGTTGAAGAGGAGACAGTTTAGCCCTATTAATTAAATAATATACATACATATGTGTAAGCCAAAGGGAATATTTATTAATGTTTTATGAATATTTCTTGATTGAAATTTTTGATATTTTATCTCAAACATTTCGAAATAGTTCCCAAACACCAATCAAGAACCGAAAGGCAACGAAAACAGCAATTTTGAGTCCCTGAAAAACAAACTTGTGACACATACACACACTAGAGGAAAGCGTAAAAAGGGCGCTAAGGAAAACGCAGCAGGATGTGGGGGGGTGGAAGACAAGGAAAGGAATGGCGAAAGGGGTGGCCATAAGGCAGATGTTACCCTCTTAGCAAATGCAAGGACACCGATGTCCTCGAGCTAAGTGTGTGTGTGTATGTGTGTGTGTCTTAAGCACGGAAAGAAAAATACAAAACTAAATCCGAACTAGGAATGTATTTCGAGAGGAAAATTGTGATACTATATATAGATAAAAATATTGCTCCAATTAGTAACTACCAAATTGAACGTATCGGTATGCTTAATATATTTAAAATTTAAATATAGAAAAGTATTTTATATATCGGTAAAAATATCGCTCTAATTATCATATCGTATCGATATGTTCGATTTTGTGTTATTTAGAAAAGTATTCAAATGAAATGGTTAAATCAGAAATGTATTATTTAATACATTTGTTTTTCCGATTACATGGGTTCGATATGTTAAAATGAAACTGCGATATATTTCACAAGGTTTTAATATCCATTTATATATCGAAGCAGCATCGATATGCCGATATTAAGTATCATCCCCGAACTACATTTTTCTCTAATTTCTAATACATATTTGAGACATGCTAAACTTTATTAAAAAGTTTCTTGAAGAGTTTTTAATTTATTAAAAGAGGTGCACAAATGGGACTCTAAAGACCATTTCCTAATGATTTTTTGAGAAGCACTCCATTTTCTTTTCCCTCATTTTTCCCCAGTAAGTCGAATAGTGTAAGTGGGGGGGCAAGAGGCCAAATCGTAGGCAAAGGCAAAGACGTGAGTTGTCTGAGCTTCTGTCTGGCACAATCAAAACAAGGAGCCTTCAGCCGGGGCAACGCAAGTCTAATTAACTGCCAGATACACAAGGACACTCACTCTCCAAGCCGTTGCAAAAAAATCACAAAAGCAAGAGAGAGGTGAGAGATGATGTGTGAGGCTGTGAGGTGGTTAGGTGGTTAGGTGGTGAGACCTTTGTCATTGGACCAAAAACCTCCTTCAGTCTGCTTTTTAATCCGCAAATTAAATCGAAACCTCCAAAATTTAAACAGAAAATAAATAAATCCAAAAAAAAAAAATTGTATCTTTTAGTGCCTCTAACTGAGTTCCACTCAGCTGTAACGGTGTGTGTGTCCGTGTGGCTTTATCTGCTGTCTATGTCTGTGTTGGTGTCAGTGTCCTGTCTGTGTGCCTTCGTCCTTGTGCGTACTCAACATTAATTGTAATCGCAATAGAGAGCAATTGTAATGGCAAATGACATAAGTAAGGGGCCACAGCGATGATACTGACAGCGAGAACGATAATTTGGTAACGATAACGATAACAATATAATGATAACGGTAACATAACGGAAACTTAAACCGAAACAACAAAAGCAACAACAGCAATGGCCAGAGCCAACAAGTTAATCAAATTGAATTTGTAATCAAATTGTTTAAGTATAATATTTATGTTCTCACCTGCTATATCTTGAGTTCTTTTTTGCGAATCATGTTGCGGATCCTTTGCAGGACCAAGGATTGTCAGGGATCTTCAACATTCTACGGGTGCCAGTAGCACCCTAGTTTCCAGGTCATTGTCTTCACTTTTGGTTCGGTATGGAATTTAGGTGGGATCCTTTCAGATTATTTCAAGGATTTTGGGTCTCTTTAAATTTGGGTTTTTAGTTTATAGTTTTATGTTTCAAGTCTCTAATTCAAAGTTTGTAATTTCAGTTGCTTAATTCTTGGTTTTGATCTTCACTTTTTGCTTTTAGTTTTTAGATTCAGATCCTATTTTCGATTTGTGTTTGTTTTTGATTCTTTTTCAAATATTTTTTCAATTTGTTTGAATTTTTTGTTTGTTAAATTATTTACGTATTATTTATACACATTTAAAGAGAATCTTTTTTGGTTGATGGTGGGAATTTTTAACTTTCTCTTTGAAAGTTCACCCTGTATATATATTTGTAATGATCTAGGGTTTTTTAAATACATGTAGAATATATTGATATTTCCTTTAGTTATTTTGTAAAAAAATAACCATCATATAATTCCATAATTAGAAATAATCGATAATGCAGGATATGTGGGGATTTTCTTTGTGTATTCCTTGATTTAAAAGGATTCTTTGTGGTTTTAAAAAATCGGGATATATTCACCAAATAATTCTATAAAGCACAATATATGTTTATAGTAAGTATTTAATCGTTTTGATATATCTTTTTCCTTGTTAAGTTCAATCTGGTATAGTTGTCATTTCCGTTTTGTTTCTTTTTCGATAAGTTTAGTGTCTTTAAAGATCGATTAGTTCGATGACGATGACGTGTCAGTTTATGTTTCAAATTCAGAGTCCAAAGCCTTGCTTTGCTTTTTCGACTTGATTAGCTCGATCAAATACCTAACAATCAGCTTGATCTGATATAGATTTGTATAGTACTGATCAAGAAAACTGTTCATTCCGATTAATTAAATATTTAAAAGTTTTTTTTATGATTCAAATATTTCTCAATCTACTACTTTTTTCCAGATTCTTTGTGTCGTTGTTACTTGTATTTCATGTGAATAGCCTCGTTTTAGAGTGGTTTTTGTGTAGATTTTAATTTGTTTTAAGGGATTTAAAGATTTATAATCGATGATTTTCGATTATTTATAATTTATATTTGGTTTTGATTAAATATGACATTTAGATAATTATTTGAAACATTTATAATGATTGCTGATTCCACTTCTTTTGTACTAAAGAAGTTATCTCTTGTCTTCAATTTAATTTACTTTCTTTTGAATCGATCCCTTCTTATGATATTGATTTTGAAAATGGTTTCCAACTATCGCCTTCGTTTATTTATCTTGTTATCGCCTTTCACTTTGTCTCTGTTAACGTAAATTTGTTTCACTTGATATGTTTACTGTTGAGGGAAACAGAAAAAAAAATGCCACAAAAAAGAAAGGGAAATTTAAATTTTAATATTTTTTTTTTTTTAATAAAAAAAACACTTGGAAAAACAAACACTCGGCCTAAGCTGGGAAAACGCTTCACTTGGCACTTTGAAAACACGCACAGCAAAAAACAAAGAAGGAGCAACAGCAACAATTTTCGCGCCTTTTTCTGCAGCTTTGGAGCCAAACAGCCGATTTTAAATATATGTATATAATATTTTTTAATTGAATTTTAATTTTAGTTTTTAATTTAAATTCTTAATTTTATTTTAGAGTTTTTTTTTTATGCTTTTTGATTTGATTTTGAAATTGTTTGGCTTCTTCTGCGGCAGCCAAATTTTTGGCGCTCAAAGACTGACTAAAAGCTGTCTCAGTCCAAAATGTGCCTCCCACTACTGCTGTTCCTGCTTCTACTACTGCTGCTATGTGGCTGCCACTGCTCCTGCTGCTCCTCGTGCTGCTGCTGCCGGGGTTTTATCGAGTGCCAACGAACCGTTTCCAACTACCTTCGGCCGCTAACTAGGAGCTCGACGAGCTCGGCGCCTCAATTTAAACCCTTCGTCTTCGGCTGCATTGCGGAAAAGCGAGACCAGAGCCGAAGGCGGGACTCGGAAAAGCCCAGTGCGCCCCCACGAAAGCTGGGCCAGCGACCTGGTTTGCGGCCAGGAAAGCGGAAGCTCCTGCGGAGGTGTGTGTGGGTGGACCACTTGTTGCCATGTGCCGGGCGAGCTTTGCAACTACCAAAGCTGATATCTAAGTCCACGAACCAAGAACCAAGAACCTCCTCCACATATGGAACAAAAGCGACAATTAACAATTAAGTTTAGCTTACAGCTTAGAAAAACCTGTCAATTAGAGGTAACTTTTACGAGTTCTACGCGAGTTTTTAAAGCTTTTTGAGATATTTTTATTCTTCAAATTGATATTTATTTAGTTTTATATGTTAATTTTGTTGGACAAATCAAAGTTAAAAAAAACCATAAATATTTTTATTTTAATTATAAACATTTAAATGGCTAATCGATAATCGGCTCAAGTATTAATATTCCAACGCGTTTTGAAATATTTTTGTAGCTTTAATTTAATTTCCTTTATTTCTTCTCTTTCTACTTAATTTCAGTTAGAACCTCAAGATATAAGGTCAGTGAACCCAGAATAAGCCCATTCCACTTTCGCTCTGTATGGTTTTCCAAGTCTTAGCACCTTAAAGCCTTTACCTTTTCCAATTAAACTAGGCAGAGACACCTGTTTGCGTTGCGAATTAAGTTCCTCATTAAATCGATAGAATGTGTGTGTGTGTGTGTGTCTGAGTGTGCTTATTTATGCAAATATTATTGTACACTGAGAGTGTGTGAGAGATCCCACACTCGAGTTCCTAATCCCTTGTACTTCCGTGTCCACGTGGAGCGTAATGGAAGCCTTTCTTTCCGATCCCCGCGAGAGTTGAAAGAATCTTTTTTGATATTGAAATGAATGCATCCATAAAAAATGTGTCCTATTTTTACTGAAATTTAAAATTTAAATAATGGGATTTCATGATTTTTTTGGAGCAGTAATATTTATCGTAGCTTTTTTAGATATATCAGACCAACACAATCGGAAAAATAGAAAAAATCTATGTCCCTAGCCATAGTTTGTACATCCTTGGCTATAATTTGTTTCTTTGTTTTTAGTAAAGTAAATTTTCCATTTCCATTGAAAGCTTACAGTGCATTCAATAAGTTTATATCCATTGCTTTATTTTTTCTATACATACATTTGGTTTGCCGCTGCTTGTTGTGTGTGAGAGTGTGGTGTGTTAAGTAATTTGTGCAAAAATTTATTTAAAGCTAAGTTATACCTATGGTTGTATACATTAGGCGTAAAATATATGCATATCTATATATATATATATATATATATATATCGATATATGTATGTATGTGTGTATTGTGCATACAGTGCGTTTCAGAACCATAAGAACATTGTGCTTAAAGTTAAGTTAAAGCCAGGATTGGTAAATACAAAAAAAGCCTAATCTCTTACTAAAAGAGCCCAAGAGTTTAACTGAGAAAACTCAAAAAAAATATATATTCACTTAATCAAATGAACTTTTACAAAAATAATAAATTATAGTATTGTTTAGCTTAAAAATTATGCTTTAGCAAATGGCGAATATTTTTAATTAAGGTTTTATAGCAACAACATTGCTTCTTACAGCTATGATACGCACTATATATGGTTAAACTAGAGTGGGTCGATTTTTGTTATGGCTACCAAAAGGTATTTCCTGCCAGCTTTAGTATTCGATTATAGCAGAAGTATAAAAATAAGCATCCTAATAACCAAATTGAATTTCGAAAACTAATACTTTTTGGGAACTTAAACTGAGATATTAAGCGTGAAGGTTAGAACTTTTCTTTAGATCAAAACCGACCCATTCCGGCAAGTGCACGTTTTTGTATGTTCTATGTGTATGTTTTTTTTTTTTCTTTTTTTTTATTATTCAGGCAGGAGCTGCTATCCATCGAATACTTTGGGGTCTTCTCTCTCCTCGAAGCGGCAATTGGATTGCAGATCGCTCAGGATAAGGATTAGGATCGAGCTGGTTACTCTCCCATCAAAACATGCCGTCCGACCTCGCCACCGGGATAAGCACAATGAGGAAGATGACAAAGTTGCGCATGACCAGCCGCCAGTCGCTGGGCACTGCATACGGCAGCAGGATCTGCGTCAGCCGGTGCACCTCATGCGAGGCGCATACAAATATAAACGATGTGATGATCATGTTCAGCGTGGGAAACCCGGGCAGCAGCACAAGCACACCATGACGATCGGCGGCCAGCCAAATGTGATACTGGCAGACAAACAGTTCCAACGAGATCCTTCCGAACCAAGCAAAGAACGCCGAGTAGCGTGTCCTTAATATGCCCGATATGTTCCTCAACACCACATAGCCCACTATCGGTATAAACAGGATGTACGAGTGTATCTCCTCGCAGTTCTGAACGTTGCGGCACAGGAAGGAGAAGGCGGTGTACACGCCCACCCCCAGCAGGGCCAGCAGGGTGACCGAGATGGAGGTGCGTCGCGCAAAGAGATTCCCATGATTGTTGTCATCAAAGACACTATACTTCTGGGCGATGTGAAAGCAGGCGGCATAGATCATGCCAAAGACCACCGTATACCTGTCCAGCTTCCACTGGTGCCACCATTCATGCAGATCATCGTCCGTCGTCACAAACAGCGCCTTCCAGGGACGCGTTACAAAGATTCGCTCAAAGAATACCTCCGACATGAACAGCACCGTGATTCCACCGAGACATCCTATAAACTTGCACACCAAATAGAGGTAATGCAACGGATTGGCGTCCACTGAGGCGGCAGAGATCCGAGGAGGCAATGCCAGCACCAAGTAGACCACACACAGCCAGAAGGAGAGGAGCGGAACAAAGTAATAGAACTGATACGGCCGGTTCATGCAGAAGCACAGCAGCACGCTGAGGAAGTTCGCCCGGAACATGGCCTGGAAGAAACGCACAAACAACGAGCCACCATTGCTACCCGTCTGCCACAAGTGGCTGAAGTGCGTGTAGCCGGTGAGGAAGAAGTAACCGGAGATTAGCAGCTTAATGTGCATATGGATGGGCAGGATGCGCTGTGCCCCCGTCATATAGTATATAAGCACAACCAGCAGTATCCACCCTCGCAGCTCATCCGTTTGATCACGATTCAGGACCTTGGTAAACCGCGAATCCTCGGTGAAAAACAGGCCCAAGGCGAAGACATAGCCCACGGGTATCCAGAAGCTGAACTCCGAGTAGTATTTGTTTTCCTTCATGAAGAAGTTGGTGCGGTCGCAGAGGTAGAAGTAGGCCAGGATGAGTCCCAGCAGGGACAGGGATACCATAGGCGTGCTGGCTCCCCCTCCTCCTCGCACGCCATCCTGCGACTGATATTGCTGCTGCTCCTGTTGCTGTAGCGGCACATACAGTGTCTGTCCCTGCAAATGAAGCATCCATCGTCTTAAACACAAACCGCAGACCAGGCACATGCACACCCCGAACAAGGCGTATGCCACAATCTGGAGCGTGGTGTGCGGCTCGGAGCTGCTGCAGCAGGTGCCATCGTTGTAGTTCATGTAATCGTTGCAGTACATATTCCACAACAGCTGCACCTCCAGCCGCTGCCCATGGGCGCACAGCTGATGCCCCTCGGCGGCATTGTCCAGCAGTCCGTTGGCTATGTGCCAGGCGGATTCCCACACACTGACCTCCGTGTAGCGGAAGACGCCACGCGCCACGTTGTTCAGCCGTTCGATGTGTTCGTTCTGCAGAAGCTTCCAATTGGCGGGCAACTTCTCCTCATCCACGCGATCCGCCAGTTTCCAGAGCACACGCGACGTTTGGGCCACCAAACGATGAAAGGGTGCCACGAGGAGCGTGAGATTTGCGGCATATTGACGCAGCACATCGTCGGTGGTGTTGCCGGCCAAGAGACCGGCATAGGTGAAGCCCACCACATACACCGAGGATAGCTGCTTCTCGGCCTCCAAATGATACAGACGCTCCACTAGCGAGGGACTCACCTCCTCCGCTTGGATGTACTGGGCCAACATGTGTAGCTTTTGGTCCTCGAAGCGGGCCGAGCGGCTGGCATTATTGTCGTCGGTATCCTGCGCTTGCTCCTGATCCTGATCCTTGGGCAGACGTAGCTGCTCCACAAAACGGTCGTACAGCAGGCGGACACTGGCGTCGCCGATGAACACAAAGTTGTTCTTGTTGTCGAAGAAGGCAAGGTAGCGCAGGCAACGCCGCGTATCGCTGGAGAGGGGGGAGTGATTCCAGTAGTGAGTCATGGGCCCAGGTGGAGGGGTTATCTATGCGATGACTACTCACGTGAGGGAGTACTTGTGCACCATGCAGCCGTACGGCTGCCACTCGTTGTCGCCCTTGAAGCGGCCCTTGGACAGCAGCCACTGGCAGGAGTCGCTACCTAAGAGGCGGAGATAATAACCAGGATAAATCAATAAGGAGGAGAGGCTTCTACCCACCATAGTTCCAATTAAGCAGGCCGTGGTAGAGTATAAAGCCCAGCACTAGGAGTAGGGCCACCTTCTTGGCATTTGTGGCGTTCAGCTGCTCCATGAACACATCAGCCTTTGTGGGCAAACGCTGACCGCCGCCGCCGGAGCCGCCAATGCAGATGCCGCCCAGCTCTGGACTGACTGGGGATGGAGTTGACCCACCTCCTGATGCAGCTCTGCCAGTCGTGGCTCCTCCTGCTCCGGTTCCCCCGCCGCCGCCACCTCCTCCTCCTCCTCCTCCATTGCCGCGTAATTCCCGAAGCTCCATAATTGACGACGTCCGTCTCCTCCGCTCCACTCCCCGCTCACTGGCTCGCTCTCCCTCTTTCTTGCTCTCTCTCTTTCTTATGGAGTGACTTTAGAGAGTATTGCATGGCCGGGGCACCAGCATCTATCCTTGGACTCCTTGGCTGCTGTGTCTCTGTTGCAGTTTCGGGGCTTTATTTATTGATTTCACAGCCAAGAATGAACTTGCTTCGCCGGCCGATAGGCGCCCCGCTATCTCTGCAGCTGCCAAACACCCGCCCACCCCCGCATTTCCCCTGCACGCCCGCGCCTATCGTTATCGAACAGCTGATGATGGCGGGTGGCCCGGGCGAATGGCAACCGCACGGCAAACAATTATCTGTTATCGTTATCGGGGCAGGCAGAAATATTTAAAACGTCAAAAGTTTTCACTAAATGTTTTAAATTCTTCGATTCAAACGCACAGTCTTAGATGGTGGAGGTAAAGGAGCACCCAATGGACAACTGCCAGCTGTTTGTGCAGCTGCGCAACCTATTTCAGGCCTACGATAGCCAGACCAAGCGCCTGAACACATTCCTCTACTGGAGCGGTAAGCTCTTCTGTGATTTTTCTTCCTTTTCCGCAGTTAAGAAATGTTTTTTCTTAAGGCAACGAGGAGCGCATCGATGAATTATGTACACAAGTCGTCCAACTGCTGGTGGAGCATGAACTGGTGATCCAGAAGCCACATGCCAAACGCCCAAATGAGCTGCAGACACTGCCGACCGGCCCTGAGGCCATATCGCACCTGCGCGGCGTCCTCATCCTATTGCTGGTCAACACGGCGGCCATTACCAACGGCAGTCAGTCCCCGTGGAGCCTGCAATGTCAGCATTTGTGCCAGCAGTTGCCCCAAATGCCACAGTTCCTCACCGTGGCCATTGCCATGCGCTGTGGTCTCCAGCAGCCGCTGCTGGAGTTCCTCGAGTGCGGCCCCCGCTGGGCCACAGCTCAGTATTATGGTTCCCTCAACGAAGCCTTGGGCCATGTCTCTCCAGATCGGATGGACGCCTTGACATGGATTTCGGGCACTTTAAAGGCCGCCGGTCGTGCGGATATTGCAGATATGAATGAGATCCTGGTCCGCGAGATGGGCAGGATGCTGCAGCGTCACTTGCTCGACTCGGCCGAACGCCTCCAGGAGCTGCGGCCAACGCCACGCAAGGTGTACCTGGCCAAGGCCATGGTGATGCTACTAGAAGTCCTCCTAGAGGCTTTAGAACCACCTGGGAAGCCGGCATACTTCCACACCTACAATAGCCTGAGTCTGGAAACTGATCATCCGCCGGGTCAGACTTACACCCAGAGCGATGCCAAGCCCTATGCCAAAATCTTAATGGATGCCTTGCAGCGCATCGTGGAGAAGGTGTCGGTGGATATATTCATGTATTGGATGGAGATACCATCGCCTTGGACCCTCTACAACTACCAGACCCACATCTGCCACCAGTCAGCGGAGGTGCTCAAGGCGGTGAAACCGTACCAAGAGCTCTGCAAGCACGAGGTCTGCGCCCAGCTCCTCAACTTTGCCCAGTCGGCTTTAACGTTTGAGGACATACTGGCGGGCAAGAGCATCGGTGAGCTGTTGGCCTTCCTCGATGGCGATTCGGGACCCGTCACCAAAGAGCAGCTGCTGCTGGGTCTGGAGTGCCTCCTTCAGCGACCGATTGCCTTGGGCAACGATGAGTGCGTGGAGACAATGGCCAAGCATGTGGGCCTGCTCGGCCTGAAGCATGCCAAGCTTATACTCAAGCATTTGGGTCAAGTCGAGGGCGCCCGAAAGGCGATGCAAGATATAAAGTTGGAGAAAATGGAAGAGGAGGCCCGAATGGATATAAAGCTGGAGAAAATGGAAGAGGAGGAGGAGGAGGCGGAGGAGAGCGACGGGGAAGAGCAGGAGGAATATTATCAACTGCTGCACCTGGTTCTCCTGCCCATATACTCGCAGTGCCGCCTGCAAGACAAGATCCTTTTGCTACAGTTTCGCGATGAGTTGGGCATCACCAACGCCTTCTTCTTTGCGGCACCCAATCTTCAGGAGCGTCGCATCAGCTTCTTCAACAATCTCAATAGCCGCAACCGGACCATAGAGCATCAGTTACTGATATTTTTCTTTGAGGAACCCAACGAATCCTGGCTGGCCCTGGCCAAGTTGGGTATGGCACATGCCCGATTCTCCGACTACTTTTGGCACATGGCCATGCACTGTGCCCAGCACGCGGTCCACCAGATGGCTTACTTGGCCAACCAGCTGCTAACTGATGATAACGCCCTGCTCAAGGGCAACGCCTCGAGCTTCCTGCTCTCCCTCTACGTCCATCCATTGATCCTGAACGGACTGATCAAGCTGCGGGCCAATATCTATCGTGTGAGCCTGCGCCATAACATTCTGCCCTATAGCCTGGAGCAGCTCAGAGCTGCCCAATCTGACTTTCTCGTGGCCTGTGGCGCTGGCCTGTATGAATTTGCTGCGAACCTAAAGTATACCATACTGCGACGCATTCTGCAGCTGCTCAGGCAGCTGAAAGTCGTTGAGCAGGAGATTCAGGTCTGCGGTCGTCGGCAGCTGCTGCAGATGCACCGAGAGTGCTGGCGCAACTCCAAAGCCGAGGAGGCTGTGCTCCAGGCCCTGAACTATGTGGATATGCACCGGCACCTGCCCAAGTGGCGCCAGGCTCACATACCGCTAGCCACACAGCTTCTGGCCTCCATCGATGCCCTACGCTACACTATGACCTCCTTTGATTGGGAGCGCGTGGATCTGCTCGGCGAGGCGGTGAGCTATTGGCGGGAGAATACCAATAGTCTAATGTTCCTCAATACAGGTGAGTTGCAGCAATCTAAAGAGTACTCTTTAGACTTGTTATAAAATTCTTTTTTTTTATAGAATTTCGCGAGAAGCTTGATGCTTGTGCCGCATACTTGCAACACCAGGAGTTCCTCACTGCCGAGCTGCCGCCGCCGGATGATCCCAACTACCGGCGCGAGTTTATACGCTGGGTGACGCAGGCCAGCGCCCATGAAGCCACCACTCTCTTTCGCCAAAGCATCGCGTCGCGCAGCGATTATGTTATCTTCTTTGATCTCGCCAAGGCCGTGGAACACGACAATTGCAAGAACTCAAATGAGGCCTACATATTCCTCTTTGGCTGCTACGTGAATGCCTGCATTGGGTGCACACGTGGCCGCAAGGGCAGTTCCAAGAAGCGGGAGCTGGGTCAGCGCCTGGCATTGATTGCAGGCGGTTCGCCGAAGGGAACACTGTCGGAAGTGAGGCAGAAGATGGCCCTATACACCGCCAGCGGCAAGAATAAATCCGGATAAAGCATTTTGCCACATTATCTGATAATACTCCATATCCTTTGAAAGGATACGATTAAGTTTTTGAAGAATTGAAATATTAAATTTCGAATTTACATATATTTATATTTATTTTTATGGTTACTCTGAGTTCCAAAACAAAAAACGGATTGTATTAGGGTTTACTCTAATTTTTCTGTTTCAAATTTGAAATTTGAATTTCTGTCATGCGAATTTATCGATTAATGCAATTTGAGATGGGAGGTGTGTGGCTGGTAATGGAAAATATATATATTTTCTTTTTTGAAAAAGGTTTACCGTACAATCGCGGAGAATAAAAAATATATATTTCTAATTCTATATTCTAAAGTCACGAAGTTCAAATTAATTATATATATTAAACTTTGTAACCGATGTTTACTATCGTATTATCGATGATGATATTATCGATAACATCCGTTAGTCTCATCTCTAAATTGACAGGCGTTTTTCTGACAGAATTTGTGGCTTTGCATTGCGTACGAAAATTAACGAAAGGAAAACCCGAAAACGTGAAAAACATTCGACTAGACTGGAGTGAAAACTAGCCGAAGGTAGTGAAAAAACGCACGTTGATCGTAGTTTTTTCCAAAATAACTGCACGCGACTGTAGAAACCGCTGTGCGTGTGTTAGTGTGAGTCTCTCGGCCATTCCTTTATTTTTTTTTTGTCCGTTTTCGCAAGCGTGTGTGTGTGGTCGCATCAAATTTACCGATATTCCGGACAGTGAGCGAAACGGGCGAGGAAAACGCGCAGTGTGAAAAGGAAATAACACGGGGGGAAAAACGAAGAAAAAAAGCTAACGAAACAAGCAAAATTTGCTTCAGAAATAAAAACAACAGCAGGCATTTAGTTCTGTTCGGAGAGTATTGGCGAAAAAAACGCAAACGTAAGCGAAAAATCAAGCATCCGTGTCTCACCTCTCTCCCTGTCTCTGTCACACAGCCCCTGCCACCCCCTGTCCCTGGCCCTTTCCCTGTTTCACTCTTTATTTGTCTCTCCCTGTTTATATATGTGTTAAAAATATATATATGGACGTGAGTGTGTGTAATTCAATTCCGTGTGCATTTCCTTAACAGCCAACAACATCATCAAAAAGGACGAACCGCACAAACACAAACGGAAATTTAACAACGTTAAAAAAAGAGGAGCGCAGAGCAGCGCCGCGACACGAACAACAACAACAATCAGCCAGCAGTCGCAGCAGAAGAAGCTTCAAGAGCCGCCAAAATGAGCAAGCCACTCTATGAGACCCCGCTGACCATTGACCCGGAGCATGAATTGCGCTTTGTTGGTAAGTGAACGAAAGATTATTGCATTCTGTGTGTTTTGGTGGGAAGGTCGCCGCATATCGACCAAAGAACTAACGCCGAATTCACCTCCAATTTGTTGCAAATTCGCTTCGAAGGGCCGACCGACCGAGGAGCAAACTGCAAAGTTCGCTCGCACGCACACACGCGCAGCAGGCAAGCGCGTTCTCGCCTGCTTGCGCTCTCACCTCTCTCTCTCTCGGCTCAGTGCGATATGTGTGCTCTCTCTCGTTTACTTTCTTTTTCAGCTTATCAATAATATCCGTTGTTTTTGTTGTTCTCGCGTACGATTTTTATTCTGAATTTTTTGAGGTCTACGTGTGTCGTCTGGTCTTCTTACTTATCACACTCTTCGTCCCTCGGCCAAGTTTTTTGATGCCGGCAGCTGGCGTCGCTCTGTTTCTCTCTTCACTCGATTACCCGTCCCTCTCGCTCACGCGCTCTCACTTAGGCTCCCGCTCCCGCCCGCTCTCTGGCCCTGTGTTTTTGGCTAGCATTTTATTTTTATACGCAAAAACTTGTCATGGGCCATTTTAATTTTTTCTTGTATTTTACTTTTTGAATTTTGGCCAAGAAGCAACAGCAGCAGGAGCGGCAGCAACAACAATGCAATATGACAGCTAAGAGCACTCGCCGCACAGTGACAGAAAATGCATTAAAGACGCGTAGAAGAAAGTTTTTTTTTTTTAATAAGTAATATTTGATGTAACTGGATCAATTTTTATCAGCATATTTAATATGTTATTAACTAAACTATAAACTATTGAGGCACAAAAATTAAATACGACATTTTTAGAGAGTGAAGTTTTTGCTTTTTAGTTCCACTGTGCGCAAATATTTTCATATTTGTATTAGAACGCATTTGTGTCTGTGTGTGCCTGGGCCTTAGCCCCATTCTTTTCCCAACACCCCCCACCCCCCTTCGTTTGATCGTTGACTATTGTGGGTGGGTGCCCTGGTGTGCCGGTGTTCTAGGGCGAACAATGGAAGGGGGAGGTAGTAGCAAAAACACATGCATGACGCGACGACTTTGTCTAATGAAATTTCCTTGAAGCACACACACACACATTCAAGCACGCATAACACGCACGCACACTACGGCGGCCATTTAAAAAGCAGGAATTCGTGTTACTTTATTTTGCGGTGTTTGGCTTCCTCTTGCCTCTCCTATTCTCACTCTCACTCTCTTTGTCACTCTCCCGTAAGGAAAACGGAAGAGAATTTAGGGGTTTTGTCAAGAGGCCACGATCGATTTCTAATTGGGGCACAAAAAACAAAATTTTTGAAGTAATTCGTTGAAGTTGTTGATACCCTGCAAATAATTAATTAGTAAATGAATAAATACATAAATATTTCTTAGATATCAAGGGAACATTTAAGCTGAATGTTGAGGAAATACTTTAAAACTAATTTTTGCAAGAAAAAAATGATTTCAGTGTTAATAATACATTTTACTATTCTCGTTATTATATTATATGGTAAAACACTTTATTGCTTAACAAATTGCTTAGTTGCACTTTTTATTGCTTAACAAATTGATTAGTTGCTGTTTCTTAGCCCCACCTAATACATATTTTACTTTTAAAAAAGGGAAAGTGTGGGCTAACCACACAGTTCTTAATTAAAATTGAACTATTATTTTCTAATTAATTTTTTTTATTTATTATAATTTCTTGAATGATTTTTTAAGGACTTTATATACTCTATTAAAACTTCATTTCAAGGATATTCGTCCCTTTCCCCGTCAATCTCCATTATTTTTGTCTAGTTTTTCTATTGTCTTGTTTTTATGCCAATTCCCGATTTTGTTTTTCTTTTAATTCAATTAATTTGAACTTGCTTTTGGGCCCAATGACGCAATGGGTGTGACGTGACACAAGAACTGTGGAACGAAGTGGATGGTGGATGAAATTCGGGGGGTAAAAATGCCCCCAATAGACTAATCGAATGTGTGTTGTTTATCCTTTTCTTTATCTTATTATCGCATTTATTTATTCTTTGCAGGACCCTTCAATCGGTCCGTCGTCACAATCATGAGTCTGCGCAACAATTCGGCTTTGCCCTTGGTCTTCAAGATCAAGACAACCGCCCCGAAGCGCTACTGCGTACGTCCAAACATTGGCAAGATCCTGCCCTATCGCTCGACCCAGGTGGAAAGTAAGTATATATTTTATATCTATATGTAATACCGATCCTTATATGAATACCATTTACAGTCTGTCTGCAGCCATTCATCTACGATCAACAGGAGAAGAACAAGCACAAGTTCATGGTGCAGAGCGTCCTGGCACCCACGGATGCCGATTTAACCGATTTGAATAAATTGGTATGTAAGACAGGATTTATGCATAATGCTTTGTACAAATATTTATTTCCCTTTCCCCTGCAGTGGAAGGAACTGGAGCCGGAGCAACTGATGGACGCCAAGTTAAAGTGCGTGTTCGAGATGCCCAATAACGATGCGAATTCTGAAAACACTAGCGGCGGCGCCGGTGATATCGGCGTCGGCGGCGGCACCGGCAGTGCCGGAGGTGGCAGCGCGGGCGCAAACACTAGCTCAGCCAGTGCCGAGGCGCTCGAGAACAAGCCCAAGCTATCCAGCGAAGATAAGGTGAGTTTCATCTCGTCTACTCACCTCCCTTGTTGCTGTCTGACTTCTTGTCTCTCTTTTTCCATAAATTTAGCCCTCGAATTTGCCAGATGCAGGAGAATCCGTGGAGTCGATGGCCGGAACGATTAAGGCTCTGCGTGAGGTCAACAGCGAACTGCGAAAAGAAATTCTCCACTTGAAGGTAAGTCGATATATGTTTTCAAGGAAATTGTTTGTTTTTCGGTTGAAGTAAACCAGATATAATTTTTATCAATGGGTTCAATTCAATTTCCGAGCTAAATATCAATGAATCAGTATCAAAATCAGTTTCTGGTAATTGGGGCCTTGTCCTTAACTTTCTGGATACTTGTTGATGTTTGGATATTAATTTACTTTCTCTCTGTTGCAGGATCAAATCACACGCTACCGCAGCTCGGCGGCCATGAAGCAGGTTAATGAGCCCTATGCCCCAGTTTTGGCTGAGAAACAGATTCCAGTCTTTTACATTGCAATTGCCATTGCTGCGGCCATCTTGAGCCTTTTGCTGGGCAAGTACTTTCTCTGAATGCCATAAACACCACAACACCAACGACAGTAACACGTAACATGCAACATGCAGCAGCAGCAACAACAACATCAACAACAACATCAACAACAACAACATGCAACAGCAACAACGAAAGGCAAGCAGCAGGGGCATTCAAAACATCATGTAAAAGCTGCACCATAACAACAGCAAGAAAACAAAACTAAACAAGGAGAAAAAAAAAAAAAAAACAACAAAAAAGACAAAGACAAACAAAAAAGTTAAGAAATTCATAAATATATATATTCGCAAATGGTAAAATCCCTATTTCAAATCAAGGCTCAGATTTTTTTTATTGCATTTCTTTTTTCGTTTCCCAGTTTTTTTTTTTTATATTTTACATTAACGTTAACGTTAAAAATGTTACTTGAAAAGTGATTTACAACCTATATATATATATTTGTCTTAGTCGTTTTAAATATGCATTTCGAAAAAGTTGGAAAACATGGACAAAATTGCGTTGAAGTATTTTTAAGGAAAAACAAGCTTAATTTAAAAACCCAAAATTAAATAAACACACACACTATTCTATATATATATATACATTTATTTCTCAACACCGAATAAACTTGAGTTTTATAAATATTTTTTGTTTTCCGTTTGGCTTTTTTTTAGTCTTTATCTTTTTTTTTGTTTGAGAATGTACGAGTTAAAACCAATAAAAAAAGTAAATAAAAAATCTTCAGCAAGTTGCAGAATTAAAGAACAAAAAAACCTAAAACCAATCAAAGGAAAAGCTTCAAAAATATGAAAAAACCCAAAAAAAAAAAAAAAAAAAAAACAAAACATTAGGAAAATGCTCTGCCAGGCCGACGCTCTCTAAGAAAAAACTAAAAAACAGCTGCTTCACCCTCCTTACTACTACCTTTCTCAAGCCCAGATCGATTATATATATGATATATTATATATAATATATAATATATGTATATAATAAAAGTCATTTAATGTTTTCGTTTGGCATTTTGCATTTACTTTCATCCCCACACACGCTATATATATATATATATATATTTATATATTGTACGATTATAATGAATTTATATAAGCAATTTGTGTTGGATCATCGGCGAGTTATATGCCTGGATATATGTCAAGGAATAAAGTATATATCTACCTTGAATAAGGTCAGCAGCAAAAATCAATCAATCAATCAAGTTTTTTATGAAAAATGTGACGACAAGACACCTATCCTACCCCTCATAGACTTGTAAAAGCTCCCTCGTGGGAGGAAATCCTCGGTAGATGGAATATAGTAACTACTTGTTCTCCTCAGTTTGTGGTTTCTTTATCTATTTTTCCTATATAGTTTGCAAAGCATCGGAAGGGTATATAGATTTAAACTACATGAACACAGACACGCATGAACGCTGTATTTTCATAGGCATGTGGAAAGAAGAACTCGTATTTAAATGTTTAACTAGAAATACAGAAGAAAAACCTAAAAATAAATGAAAAAAGAAAAGAAAACCAAGCAACTCATAAGCAAAATGTACTTGATGTCAGCTGTAGCAAATAAAACGGAAAAACCATATATAATAATAAAAATAATAATAATTATAATAATAATAAATTGTGAATTGTTTCGGTACATTTAACAATAAACCACATTTCAGAGCATTATTTAATTGAAATCCAACACACAAGACACACTCCGCAAAGGCTCCTTCGAAAAGAGAGAGTGGGAGATAGAGAAATGGAGAGAAAAAGAGTCTCTGGACAAGGCGAAGGAGCAAGGAGGAAGTCACACACAACACGCCCAAGACGAAAACAATTATTATAATAATATTTACAGCATGGAATCTTACAAACTAAGTGTTTTTTTCTTAAAGGAAAAATAAAAATGAAACATTGTTAATTAAACATCAAAAATATCATTTGAAATAAATTGAAAAAAAAAAAACATTAAAAAAATATATGTTAAGACTTGCTCCAAATATTTATTATAGTTGAAACGAATAGCTTTTGCCTATCATTTCTATAATTTGTAAATTCCTATTCAATAAATAGGTGATATGTCTGTATAGATTTATGGCCTTACAGGGTATTATACTTATAGTTTGCAACGCAGAGATGGAGTCATTTTAGACCCTATATTTTTTAATTAAAAAAATAAATAAATTAGATTCAGTGTTCAGTTTCCGAATTTAAAATATATATTTTTTTATATATGTATATAAATATCATATATATCATATATTTTATATATTTAGTTTAATATATTTCGGATATTTCATATATTTCAACTATTTTATATATATAAATTAAAATATTTCGTATTTTTTTTTGTATATAGTTTATATATCTATTTTTGTTTAGTTATTATATTTTTAAGTCTTAAATTCTTTAAAAATTATCGTATAAAATTTTGGATAAATATTTAATTTGAATGCCCCTTATTATCATAATTTCAGTAAGAAACGCAGTGAAAGGCATTTTCGACCCTATAAATCATATATAATTTTGATCAGCATCGTCAGCCGAGTCAATCTAGCCATGTCTGGTGGAAACTATTTTTTTGCCATTTTTTTTTAAATTCTATAGTAACCCCTTATAGAATTTAAAAAAAAACAAGAAAGGAAGCTAACTTCGGCACGCCGAAGTTTGTATACCCTTGCAGATTGGTTTCGATGTTTATATTGTAGATTTAAATGCTGAAAACACTCACAAAACAGAGTTTCATTACATTTTACCTATACTTATTATGTTTACAGTTTGACAGTTACAGTTTTACATTCCCAGTTTTACATTTTCTCTACATCTACCGATCGGTATATATGGCAGCTATATGATATAGTTGTCCGATTTTTATGAAATTTATACCACAATTCTAGAATAATAAAAAAAGCTTATATCTCAGAGTTGATAAAAATACGTTGAAAAACAACGAAATTATAATTTTTTTCGATTAATTTCCCGATCGTTCCTATGGCAGCTATAAGATATAGTGGTCCGATTTTCATAAAATTTTTACTAAATTCTGGAATAATATAAAAAGGCTATATCTCAAAAATGATGCAAAAATGTTGAAAAACAGCAAAGTTATAATTTTTTTTCTACAAATATATCGAACATTTGTATGGCAGCCATATGACATAGTCGTCCGATCCGGCCCGTTCCGACATATATAGCAGTGAGAGCATATAGAATACTATATTCATTCAGATAGCTTTAAAACTGAGGGACTAGTTTGCGTAGAAACAGACAGACGGACATACAGACAGACGGACAGACAGACAGACGGACAGACGGACATGGCTAGATCGACTCGGCTGTTGATGCTGATCAAGAATATATATACTTTATAGGGTCGGAAACGTCTCCTTCACTGCGTTGCAAACTTCTGACTGAAATTATAATACCCTGCAAGGGTATAAAAATGGCTAAAAATTTAAAAAATTAACAAAAAAATTAATAAACAAAATTAAATTCAGAATACAGATTTGTTATTGTTATGAAAAGTAACTCAGAATTTTAAATTAATTCATTTTCGGCTTAGTTATTATATTTTTAAAATGAGATTTCTTTCCAATAGTCTAAAATAGCTAGATGAGCTCCTCTAACTTAAGGAAGAAGCCGTTTGTTCCGATAGCTAAGAATAGCTAGATGAGCACCTCGGTACCGGCAAAGACATAGTATATACCGACAAAATACCAAGCATACTTTTCCCATGGTCCGAGAGCTCCCCATCTGGTCACACTGGCTGGTACACGTCGAAAACAAACACAGACTACGTTTTATACTTAAAACCATAATCAACCGCAATGCAATAAGTCGCCGTGCGCCGGACAGCCTAGCAGACCCGCAGACCAGGCCACTAGCTAGCTAGCTACGAGGCCCCGCACTTGCCACCGCTTCGATTTGCGGCCGAATCCGCAACGGGGGACTTGAGTGCGCCGCCACGAGAGCAAGGCAAGGGCCGTGATTCCGTGTTTCCCACGGACAAAACCCAGAATTATGCTAGGCAGCAAGCGAACGGGATCGCGGCACGTAGCCGTCGTGCTGCTGATGTGCCTGTTCTGGTATGTGATCTCCTCCAGCAACAATGTGATCGGCAAGATGGTACTGAACGAGTTCCCCTTCCCGATGACCGTGACGCTGGTGCAGCTGTGCAGCATAACGCTCTACAGTGGCCCCTTCTTCAATCTGTGGCGCATCCGGAAGTACCAGGATATACCGCGTTCCTACTACTACCGGCTGATTGTGCCCCTGGCGGTGGGCAAGCTGCTGGCCTCGGTCACCTCGCACATTTCGCTGTGGAAGGTTCCCGTTTCCTATGCGCACACAGGTGAGTTCAACTAGCAGGTGGAGTTGCCCGCCAAAGATTGCTTTCCCAACACGTCAGCAGTAAGGGTTATGCTATCTATGTGGATACTTGAAATTAGATACCCTTTCTGCTGATCCGGGTGGCATTGGTTGGCATTGCTTGTAAATGTTGTTAAAGGGGAGGTTTCTTCAATCTGGAAAATGATATAAAAAATATATACATGTATGTATGTATATTTTTAGAAGTGTAGAGTGGATAAATAAATAATTCAACCTTATTTTAGTAAATAATACGTAATATTTGCATTGTAAATAAAGCTGTTGGGGTGAAATAAAAACAGTTATTTAGTCAGATTTGTCTTGAATAAATTTTTAAATATTTAAATATAATATTAAAGTATTTTATAACGTTTATATTTCACTTTAAGAGGCTTTTTCTATGATATTTTGCTTTCTTCTTTAAAAGATTTACGTTTTAATACAAATATTTATTTTTTTTAAGATTAACCATAAAACATTTTTTAGATTCTTGAAAAATTATTCATTTTTAAAGTAATTTTAAGTAATAATTAAATTATTTAGAACCTTAAAAAGGCTAGATTAAAGCCGGGACGAGTAACACGATGCCTTCTATGGTGTACAGCTTGTCTTTCATTTTATAGAGCATTAAAAACCTAGACAAAAAATTAGAAAATGTTATTTTTACAATGTTCTTTAATGCTCAATAAAATGAACACCTTTACTCTTACAATTATTTATTATATTTATTTTATATTATTTGTTATTAAACCGTCAATTTCTTTCTGCTTCCAGTTAAAGCCACAATGCCGCTATTCACCGTCGTCCTTACACGCCTCTTCTTTGGCGAAAAACAGCCAACGCTCGTGTACCTGAGCCTGCTGCCCATCATAACGGGCGTGGGCATTGCCACTGTCACGGAGATCTCCTTCGATATGATGGGCCTGATCAGTGCCCTCATCTCCACGATGGGCTTCTCCATGCAAAACATTTTCTCCAAGAAGGTGCTAATATTTATATATATATATATATATATATATATATATTTTTTTTTTTACATTTTTTATCTTTCTATCCTTGTATCTTAAGGTTCTTAAGGACACCAATATCCATCACTTGCGGCTACTGCATCTTCTCGGCAAGCTATCGCTGTTCATCTTCCTGCCCCTGTGGCTGTACACAGACAGCTTTGCGGTCTTCCGCCACAATGCCATTGTGAGTAGAGAGAAAGGGAGTTAGAGATCTTTGCCTAGCAATCGTATCTTACTTCCGTTTTGATTTTGATAGCCAACTTTAAATAGAAGCGAGTTATTTAGGCAACGTTATGAAACTCTTAATAGTTTACTGTAATTGATTATTTTTTACACAGCTCTTCTTACGTTTTTATACTAGTAATTCAAGTGTATACAGCTTACAAACACCTGTATTTACTCTGGTGTTTACCTTGTTAGTCGTTTATAAGGGGAAATACTCAGGAAAAACCCTGGTAAAAGGGAAACCAACATATGCTTCTATGTTTTGTCCCTTGAAGCCTGTTAATACCTTTCTATTTTTGCTTAACGAGTGGAAATTTGAGAAAAATAAATAATAAATTATTAAATTAAATTTTAAAATATCTATAAAACCGTAAAAATATCTGGTAATTTATTAGTTTATTTAATTAATTAATTAACTTAAAATATCCATAAAATGAATTAATGAATATTTTTAAATTAAATTAAAATAATATCTATGTTTAATTTAATTTAAATTAAAATAATATCTATGTTTAATTTAATTTAATTTAATTTATTAAATAATTTATTTCATGCTCCTATTTTTTTTATTAGAAAAACCTGGACTATCGAGTGATTGCTCTGCTCTTTGCCGACGGCGTTCTCAATTGGCTGCAGAACATCATCGCCTTCAGTGTCCTCTCGCTGGTCACACCGCTCACGTACGCGGTGGCCAGCGCCTCGAAGCGCATCTTCGTCATAGCCGTATCTCTGCTTATTCTGGGCAATCCCGTGACGTGGGTCAACTGCCTGGGCATGACGCTGGCTATTGTCGGTGTCCTGTGCTACAATCGGGCCAAGCAAATAACCAAGGGACGTGAGGCACCCACGTTGCCGCTGTCGCAGAGCTCGCACATCAAGTACCAGCCGCTGGAGCAGCAAACGGATCCCTATTACCGGGGCTCTGTCAATGGCAAGCTATCCAATGGCCTGCACCGGGCGACAGCGACGACAATGATGCCGGGGAATAGCCTGCTGGCAAATGGCAGTGGAATGCCAAGCGGTACGGCTGCCACGCGGCTGCTGTTTGTGTAGTTTATAGTTTAGTGAATGACGTATATCCCGACTCTCTGTCCCCCCCTCTCTCTCTCTCTCTCTCTCTCTCTCTCTCTCTCTCTCTCTCTCTCTCTCTCTCTCTCTCTCTCTCTCTCTCTCTCTCTCTAATCTATCTCCCTGTCTCTCTCTTCGAAGTGTATGTAAATTGTACATATGTATTTGTTTGGCTTGCAAATAACGGTTGTCCCTTATCAGCCAGCTCTCAAAGAGTGGTCTGAATAGCTCTCTAGAAGTAAACGAATTGAAAGGGCATCAGAAGAGGCTGAAGATCAACTGGTTCTCTGCAAGCTCCTATGTATTATATACAGCTGACTCAAGAGGCACAACTCTACAAGGCAATAATGATTGATAATATTAAGTAAAAATCCAACTTGACGAAGAAAGGGAATTTTCTGAGGGTTTCCCCCCATGTTTACCTTTAAGTTGGACATAATATTAGCTTGGTTTGCATTTCATGTTCCCCCCTCCCCAACTTTGTAATTGAAATTGAAATTAGTAAAATACGAAAAAAGGTGCTATCTATGAAACAAAACGATTTACAAGAAAATAAGACAACTGGCAAGTCGAATTTATGTGCGCTTGTTGTGCCTCTTCAGTTGGCCCTAAATGCAAATTGTATTTTTGATAATAGAGATTGAGGCGCGAGTGTGTAAATAAGTAGTTCGTGTGTCCGCCCAATTTCCATATCCCCAATACCCCCCACCCCCCGACCCTGCTAGTTTCGAATTTGTTTTTGAATTTCGATTAAGCCGAAAAGTGTATTCAAAATAAAATTGTTGACCATGTACATAGGCACAGATAGCAAATGCAAATAGTTGTTTTGTGTCGACACGAGGGGATGATATAATATATCAATATATCGAAAAAAAATCATGAATTTTGATATACTGAAAATTACTTATCGAAAAAATTGCATTAACATATCGAAAACACCTGGTTAATCTTAAATATATTGAAATTTTACCTGTCCGAATTATATCAATATATCGAAAAAAAAGTCGTACAGTTTGATATATTGAAATTTTAGCTATTGAAAAGATAGCATAAACATATCGAAAACATCATAAACTTTGAAATATTGAAATATTTAAACATTGATGTTTTATATGTTGAAAAAGATCGCACTTAATGTAAAGACATCGATATAATCCATAAAATGTGATATTATTTAATTTTCTATTTTGTCCGATATATCTACAGTGACAATTTATATTTACTTAATTTATGAACTTTTGGGTTAATTTTTCTCTGTTCTCCGTTTATTTAGATTGGTCCCATATTTATTTATCAGAATATAAATTTATCGCAATTTATTTTTATATCGACTTTTGGGTTAAATATTGATACATTTTCAATATATCTATATTTTCTGACATGCCTAGTCTTTGACCTGGCCAAACCGAATTAAACCGAAACCAAAATCCCCCCCCAAAACTAACCAATCATCCCATTCCAAGACTCTACAACAGCTTGATCCACTCGTTAACCAGCTCCTTCTGGTAGCCAATCCTCTTGAGCAACGCCTCCGACCGCCAGTTGGTGGCCACAATCCAGGCGGTCAGTGTGAGATCCGGCTCGCCCCTGGCTATCCTACGGGTCATGGCAGCGGCCAAAAGACCACCGAGGCCACGACTCTCCGCCTTGGGCAGGACTTGCAGCATGCTGAAGGATATTCCGAGTAATTAAAAGATTTTAAAGGATATTTTCCTGGAGCCCAACCCAACTCACCCCAGTCCAGAGAAGTCGTTCTGAAAGATCCAGGCTATTAGCTCGCCCGTGTCGCTCCGGCAAATGCCCAGCGTCCTGTTGAAGCGGATCAGTGCCCGGAGATAGGCCAGCGAGCCCTCGCCCTTGTTGGGCCAGGTGGCATGCACCATGGCTGCATCCTCGTCCGTCAGCCGTCGCATATCGAACTCGGAGAGCAGCTCTGGCACCTCGGCCTCCAGAGCAGCCTGATGCGGCAGAACCATGCCGAAGCATTGACGCGGCTGCATGCCGGTAACACCTCGCTGCCCAGCCAGCTCCTTGATCCGCTCACAAAAGCCCAGATCCACATTGGTCAAGAGGGCGCCCTGCGTCCACTCGATGCGTTTGGTTTGCTCCAGGCACTGCCACATCTCGGCAGCGCCATCCGGCTGCCAGCTGAAGAACGAGACACTCTGGACAATGTCCCGATGCAGGCTCACGTAGGTGCCCCACTGCCGGAAGTCTCCTGCTCGATGGGTGAAGAACTGTTTGCGCAGGGATATGTAAGCGGGATCGGAGCGTGGGATCTGTGCCTCGTCCAGCTGGCGGTCCCATTTCCGCTGGTTGTACATCAACAAATAGTGGAAGTTCCTCACGCCGAACCTGGCCTTGTAGAGATCGAGCAGCTGGTCCACCTCGCTATCGCTGAGTGGCCGCAAGATATCGCCGACAAAGTCATCCTTATCGCCATCGATTCCCATCGCGATCGAAATTGAGATACTACTGGCTTTGAGTGTGTGTGTATGCTCCGTCTGGCCGCTGTCCGGTGACTGACTCTAAACACGTCGCAATTAATTCGCCAGCCTAGTTCCAACTACTTAATTCTAATTCAACTGATTAGATTTCTCTCGCTCTGGCTCTCGCTCTCACTCTCTCTTGGACGGTCAGGGGCGAAATGCCGCCCATGGAGGTGGGAGCAGGCGAAACACCCGGAAGGCACAGCCATTCTGTTATCTCGCCAGCAACTTAAGTGGCTTCTATTATCGTCCAAATTAGTTGAGTGTGGTCTGGAATAGATTGTCTATAGTATATCGTGTATATCATTATGAATCGTTACCTACATACGTTTTATTATTATTTTTAAGGTAAGTATTGTTTGTTTTTAAGTCCTATTTGAGGTTTAAATCAGGTATTAAGCTGCGCTGAACAAGGCATTGCAGTGTACCTACAATCCTATATAAATTACTTTACATACACATATCTTTTTTATATATGTTTAGCAAGACGAGTCGAAGGCCTTAGATACTATGGCTCTTCACCCATAGTTAGCTCTTAGTTTAAAACTATTTGTTAGCTTTAGATAAATAAATAAATGTTTAGCAAGAAGCCTTTTGAAAAAATGCATTTAAATATTTAATTTTGTGTGTTATACGTTCAAAAATTTATTGCAAGTCTGTGAAAATATAACATTAAAAAAATGTATAATATAAAAAAATAATAATAATTTAATATAAAATAAACTAATAAATAATATTTTTAAAATTATTTGCAAGTCTGTGAAGATGAGTTAAAACCGAAAGATCAATATTATACAACATTTCAATAAATATATATCATATAAACTTTAATATAAAATAAATAATAAATGGTAAAACACAAAATAAATAGTATAAATAATAATATATAATAAAATCTAAAACTAAAAATATATTACTAAAAATAAATACAATCCATTTAAATCACCTTTGTTGATACCAAAATCTACTACTTAATAAAAATAATACAAATTTGTTTGAAACAAATAACATTTTTTAAATCCTCATACATATATATACAAATATTATTTAATATTTATTTAATTATATTATAGTACCAATCACTAATTGAAACCGCTCCTGTAAGCGTACGTATACAAGTCGATGACGTCCACAATCGATATGCCCTGCTCATAAGGCGTCGATAATTTCAATCGAATTTAAATGGATTACAATTTCTTCATTTGTTTTAAATTTAAAAAAATTATTAAAAGTATATTACGATTTTTTATACTTTACTTATACCTTATTTTCATAATAGAAATATTTAATTAAAAATTCAAATTTCCAATTAATTATTATTAATTAATTTAGAATTTTTTTCTATTATATTCATAATTAAACAAATTTTGCTAATAATTTTAATTTCCAATTGATTATTTACAAATCTGAGTAAATAAAAAAAAGAAAACTAAGTATAATAACAAAATGAGAGGAAAGGGAAATTACCTAGCAACGGAGGAGGCTTTTACCTTTACTTTTCTTGTTTTCCATTGTTTCCTTTGTTTTTCATTCGATTTTTGAAAAACACACTGGACGTGTCATCATGGTGCGCAGTAAGTAATAATTTATAAATTATTTTTAATTTTAATTTTACTAAAACATAAATATAATATAAATAAATATAAATAGTTACCGAGGAGCTGGTGCGCAAGAAATCGGAGCACAATGAGCGCCTGATCAGCACCCTGGAGGAGATATCGTTGCACCAGGAGGACATCGAGGTCATCGAGCATATCCAGAACTGGTGTCGCGACCTCAAGATCCTGCTGCTCCAGTCCAACCTGATAGCTCGCCTCGAGAACCTGCACAAGCTGAAGCGCCTGGAGTACCTCAATGCGGCCATCAACAACATCGAACGGGTGGAGAATCTCGGGGGCTGCGAGTCCCTCAACAAGCTGGATCTCACCCTAAACTTCATCGGCGAACTGACCAGCGTAGAGTCGCTGCGCGGCAATCACAATCTCCGGGAGCTGCTGCTAATAGGTAATCCCTGTGTGGACTATCCCCATTACCGGGCCTATGTGGTGGCCACTCTGCCGCAGCTAAACAGCTTGGATTGTGTGGAGATAACGCCGTCGGAACGTCTGCAGGCCATACGGGAGTTGGCCAAGAATCGGGCCATTATTGTCCAAAAACAGGCGGATCAGTGCATCGAGCGGGATGAGCAGCGCATCCGGGTGGCCGAGCAGCAGGCCGCCTTGGCCGAACAGTGTGCCGGCATCGAGGACGAGGAGGAGCGCATTAAGGCCTTTTGGCAGGCCAAAAGTGAGCATTGCCCGGAGATACGCACCGAGATAGCCCGCCAGCATAGGCTGGGCAGGGAGCGGCATGAGACCAAGTCGGTGCTGGATTCACCGCCCCGAATGCCTCACTTCTTTGCACCCGATGGCAGGCCCTACAACATGAACCAGGCCAAGCTGCCCTTTAAGCTGCAGGACGAAGCCGATCACTACCAGCTCCAGCTGGAGGTTTACAGGTGGGTGGGAGTTGCTTTTTGTTACCTTAAATTCAAGAAATCACTTCTATCCTCCCTTTCGCAGACACCTTGACACCTCCCTTATCGACGTGGACGTTCAAACCAACTACACCAGGGTGACCGTCAAGGGCAAGATCTTCCAGATAGCCTACAACGAGGAGGTCAAGCCGGACGAGTCCACGGTGCAGCGTTCCCAGACCACCGGTCATTTGGTGGTGATTCTGCGCAAGCTGAAAGTCAACGAGCTGCTAACCATCAAGCGTAGTCCGGCCAAGATCCAGCCTGCTGCTCCTTCTCCTGGAATAGATACTGAAAAGGAAGGCAAGGAGGAGAGGCTACGCGGTGTGGTGGATATTAGTAACATTTGTCCGCCCGCCGATTTGCCGGATTTGATTTAATAAGATTTTTGTTTTTATTTAAAAATGGTTTATTTAAATATTTTTGTCGTCTGTTTTGGTTTGTTCTTTCTCCACGTCTTCATCTCCTCTCGCATCATCGTCGATTTGTTTCGTTTCGTTTTAGTGGTTTGTTTGTTTTGTTGGGTTTTTTTTTTTGTGGTAAACTCCTCCAGGATCAGCGTTACCTTACATGGTAATCCCAGTTATCGCCGCCTGGATGTCTTTATAATATTTATGCGCTGCGGTTTGTGTGTTGTGTGTGTGTGTGTTTACAAGGGGGCCAACATAAATCCAGAGATAATGCAAAAAGTGAACACAAACTGAGAGGAGAAACATGATCGATCGGTAGAGCCTCTATATCGAATTATTATCTATTATTTGTTTTTTTTTTTACTCCTAATTTCCGATAAGAAACCATTATTATTGCAAAAAATCAATGAAAATCGATGTACAAATATCAAAAATGACTTTAATCGTTTGCAATTCGTTATCGTTTTCGATTAGGGATGTATTCTATCGAGAGGGAAAGCCCGATATGATATAAGGGAATTTTTTAAATGTTAAAATATCGATTTTATCGAAACAAAAACTTGCGAAAAATGTGTGTTTCATTTATCTCACTTTTTTCGATTTGTTGCTTTGATATATCAAACAGAAAATCAATTGTTTTGCACTGCTAAAATATGTATTTATCGACCGCTTTATATATCAATACAGTAACGATATACAGTTTTTTTTCTGCCATCCCTAATCTCGATTCGATTCGATTTATATATTTTTTTTCTTTTTGCTTGGTAGTATTTTGAGTTGAAATGGGTTTCGGTTTCGGTTTCGTTCTCTTAAATATGGCTTTACAAAAATCAGGGGGCTAAGTCTTGTTCAAAAGTTCTTTACGGCTCTGCTCTGAGTAGAGCTGCAAGAGCACGTATTTTTTTTTATTGGCCGATACATTGATGTCTACATGTTAAAATATCGAAAAAATATCGATGCTTTTGCAGCTCTACTTCTGATTGTTTTTTTATACATCTATTTTTTGTTTTGTTTTACAAAGTTTTCATGTTGTTATTTACAATACATGATCATTTTGGGGATTATCGGGTGTATTGCTATCGCGTTTCTGTATATATATATATATATTTATATATATATGAGGTGAAATTGCTATAAAGTACATAAGATACATAAAAAAAATGAGTTATTTGTTGGTTGTTGTTGGAGATTATTTAATGGGGGGGGGAGAGTCCTATTCTCGAAATGATCATAGTTACGGTTTTGCCTTGTATTTTTTGTTTTGTTTTTATTTCGTTCGTTAAATGGATATAGCAACAATCTTGTATTCTCTCTCGCTCATATATTTCGGTATTTTGCTTTTGTTTGTAGTTTTTGTTATTTTTTAAATAGTATTGTTGTTAGCTGTGTGTTTTTTTTTTTTTTGTTGTCTTGTGTGTGCTTTTTAATTGGTTTTATATTTTTTTGCAAGTATTTTTTGTTTTTTTATTCTTATTTATTTAATTCATTTGTTTTCTTATTTTTTGCATTCGCTTAAGTCCATGGTTTTGCTTCTGTTTCTTCTGCCTGCTCATCTTCTGTTTGTTTGTTGGTTGGTTTTCAGTTTTCTGTTCGTTTTCTTTTTGGTTCTCAATAGAAAAAAAGTGAAAAATATTTCGAAAAAGCCTTGCCATGCCCCTCTCTTTCTCTCTCTCTCTCTGTGCCAGACACAAAAAATGGTTACAAAAAACGAGGTAGGATCATTGTTTCTGAAATCTTTTTCTTTAAAATAAATTAAGGGAGCGCCTTAAATCGATTTCGCGGGGTTTGTTCTTATTTTTGCCTTTGTCAGTATGTGAAATAAACTACATGCATAATTATACAAATACATAGTTTGGTTATACCTTTAGACTTATATATATATATATACTTGTGTGTGTGTGTGTACTAAGCTAAGATGTCTCTAAAATACAAGCTCCTTCGCCTACGCCTGTCTCGTGCTCCCTCTACTCCTCACAAGACACAAAAAAAAAAATTAAACTCAAGCTCAACTTCTGCTACAAAAAAAAAACAGAGGATAACCAACAGCAAAGTATGTGTGTGTGTGTGTGTGTGTGGTGTGGATTCTGTGTGCGTTGCTCAGCCGACACAGACGGGGAGGAGGGGTTAAAATTAAAATATATATAAATAAATATAAATTGACTCTTAAACCCTGAGGATCTCGCACGCTTTGTTGTAGCAAATGGCTATCCAGTCGGGCTGTGTGGCGCCCCATTGGATCTGATTGACTTCGCCCTCGGCAGCTGTATAGGCTAAAATTGGATCCTCGATTGCGCGTGGCATTTGTTGTATATCCCAGATCAGTGCTTGGTGATCATCACCGGCAGTGCATATGTGACAGGAACTATAAGAAAGAGCATTGTAGAAAGGAATCTAAGGACATCACTATACACACTTACCTATGCGGCGCCCACGCAATACCGTTGACGCACGCTCTGTGATTGCTCAGTCTTGCAACGGGTGTACAAGGAACACGAACATCTAAAATAATAACTTCGCACGAGTCCATGGCAACAGTGGCTAAATAGTTTGGATCCTGTTTGTTCCAGGCCAGCCGCAGTAGAGCCGTGTGTGCAGGATCCTAAAGTAAATATTTAGTATAAGAGTATATCCAAATCCGAATTCAAATCCACATCCAAAATCTTTCTTACCTCATATATAATGGTCGAGTGCTCCAAATGGCGCAAATCAAACATACGCACGGATCCATCGGCCCCCACCGAGGCGAACATATCTCGGCCGCCGCCTGCCCGCGAGAAGGCTATGTCGTACACCTCCTTGTCATGGGCTATCAGCTGTGTCTTCACATGTCCCGCCACATAGACCCGCGCATGCGGCTGTCCTGTCTCCAGACCCCATATGGTGCAGGTGGTATCGATCGAGGAGGTGCCCACCAGGTTCGGGTCTACCTCGTTCCAATCGAACGAGGTGAGCGGTGCGCAAAAGTCGCTGTTCTTGTTGTTATTCAGCACACACTCTAGCCGTGTGTCCGGTTCGCCGGCACGCCACACACGCAAATAATCACCGCTGGTTGCCAGCAAATCTGGATAGACGCCCTTGGAGTCGGGTATCCACATGATCTTGGTCGTTGGATATGGATGGTCAAAGGTGCTAAAAATAGGTAAAGTTAAAGTAAAGATGCAAATTATAGGATATTAAAGCCAATAACTCCTTACCTCTTGGCACTAAATTCGCTGGTGTCCTCGTCCAGGCTGATGATCTGCACCTTGTTGTTGTACTCCTCGATGAAGCTGCCCAGGGCGAGCCGGAAGCGCTTGTCTGGCCTGACGCTCCAGTTCATGGAGTAAAGCGGCCATGGTGCGAGATATTTGTAGATCTCCTTGCGTTTGCCGGCGGTCGATGACATGACTGTGATGGAGGAGAGGAATATTAAGGGTAAGCTGGAGGAGAACCTATGTAAAACCCACCTGAACTGTGTGTGTTTGCGTGTGTGTGATGGAATTCCAAGAGATCGAGATCGAGAGGAAGCTAATGCGGCAGAGTCACCTCAAGGCTGGTGGCTAATGACGGTGACCAATGATGATAATAATGACGGTGATAATGATTGATAATGACGACCACTCAGAACAGCGGAAAACTCAACCTCAAGCCTATCTGCTGCGCCTCATGGAACGGGTGGTAACAGAGATCTTCGCTAGCGCCTTGCATTTGCACTTTTCCCCCCGTCACACTATTCTTCTGCAGCTTTTCTTGGGTTTTTCTCTAGCTTTTTTTCGCTCCCTGTCACTTCATTTTGTTCCCTTCGCAGTGTTGCCAGCTCGGCCGTTTTCCGGCTAAATAATATACGCGAGACGGTATGTGTATCTTCCAGTTGGGGCTCAATATATAACAAATCACAGGGCCATCGGCTCCAGCGTTATGGACATTACCCACCGGCCGCAACGCGTCCGGTCCGGCTTGGCTACCAAAATGTTCCCGGCGGCGGCCTCAACCCGGAAAAGTTGGTGGCAACACTGGAAACGTAATGCGACGCGACAATTGCAGTTGCGGCGGCCGAAAACGAAATTTCCCTACTGCTGCTTCTGCTGGTCGACGCGACAATTGATAACACTTGCTTTTGTAATACGCGCGATTCGCGCGGCTGTGCGACAAGACGGTTTGGTCGGCGATATGAAACAAAATTGTAGTTTTACAATTTTCAATAGAATTTCTTCCTCAAGAATTTTCACTGAATATGTATACAGTGTGACCGTAACACCACCGTCAAAATATACCACCATATATGTATTTAAATGGCTCGCATGGTATACCAAACAGCTACCGATTAATATCGATAGACATCAGCATAATGCACTCTGTATTTTGTTTTTGTCGTCCTGACACTTGCGCCGCGCGGTCACACCGGCCAAAATAAAAAAAAAATCAGATTACAAAGTGAGTTCTGTGCTGTGCTGAAAATTGCTTAAAATCAGCCGAAAATAATAGTTTTTTCGATGTAAAACGAGTGGGGCGGTAGGCTCGCGTTGCAATATTTCGTTAGACCAAAGAGACACAATATTTTTTTTCGGCCGCGCGACCTCTTTTCGTGATGTTCGTTTTGCGGTCAAATTTTCCCCAATGAACCGCTCTCCTCTCCCTGTGCACCCATACTCGCGCTCTCACTCGCTCCTATTTTGGTATAAACTTTTTTTCAAATCACTTTTCCACTTTCCATTTTGAGAAAGATATTTCACTTTGCGTAATTCGTACGTTGCCTGCCGTCTGGCTAAGTGTGTGTGTGGGAGAGAGCTCGTGGCCGTGTGCCCGTAGTGTGTGTGTGTGACTGTGTCGCCAATATTGCTATCTCGCCTGCACGCATAGGCTCATCGCAGGTTTTACTACTGCCGTCCCTTACTCCCCCGCCTCCACACCGCTCCCCTCTCATTCTCATTTCACTGTCAAACCAACACACAATATTTTCGCGCGAGTGTATGTGTGTGTGTGCGCCTTTATAAATAGAATTTATTTCGTTTCGTTTTATATTTTTTTGTTGCTTTTATCATAATTATTTCGATTTTTGACGTTCCGCTGTGGCAGTGAGAAGATATGTACATATAAATATACATATTTTATCCAAAGAAAGCGATAAAAACGTGGTAACCGTGGAAAAGTTCAGGTGCACTGGTGTCTGTGTGAACTTGAAGAATTTCATTTATTGTTGTTTGAAAAAGCAATTGCAAGTGCGTGTGGTGTGCTGCCCATGGTTACGTTGGTGTGTGCTGGTGCGTGCCTTTGTGTGGGAGTATGCGTGCGTGTGAATGGGTTGTAGTTGTAGTATTTTATGAACGAAAGATCGATTGATAGTGTGCCCGTTTTATAATAGTTAAGCCCCGTTCGACAGCCCCCTCCTTCCATGGCCAACCAACCAACACCCATACGTGTGCTGAAAAAAGCAACGGTTTCCTCGTACGGGAACGTAGACTGCCTGGCGGCACACACACACACGCGCAAGCTCAGCCGTAACTTCATTTTTAGTGTTACCGCATAAGGCCAGCCTGCCACCCATCACCTCCCACCCTGCTCCGCTCGCCCTACGTAATTGTTGTTATGACGAGCTTGCAGTTCTTTTTTATTGTTATTTTGCAATTGTAAACAAGTGACGCAGCTGATCGGTTTCCTATTCGCCTAACTGTTCATTATTCCAATTGGGAAAACCGTTGGACAGCTTGAAGGCCGAAACGGCCAGAGCAAAAAAAAGCAAATAACGTACTTTGCTGAAATTCTTCTTGTTTCATCGCTTAATTAATTGATTACTGTGTATGAGTGAGTGTGTGTTGGTGAAAAATCAATCGAGCATAGCCGGAGGAGGGGGTTTCGGAAGTGGAAAACCGCTATCCTTGGCATCCCTCCGAATCCTACGGAGAGAAAAGGAACCTTCAACTCGATAGCCTTGAATACTCTCCAAAAACTAAAAAAAACATAATAGTAAATACGCTGAATAACGGTTGCGCGAGGCCAATGGCCTTCAAGCTCCGAGAAAATGTTGAAATTTTTCACTGGAAAAAAAATTTGATAAGGAGCAAAGAATATAAATAAAAAAAATTAAAAATAATTTAATACAGTTTCCTCAGTTTCAATCAGATAATGATTTTCCACAAACAAAATCCCATTTTACAACTGTATTTCTTATATCCTGCATTTTCTCTTATTTTTCAGATATCTGCCTACTAATTCAGCAGGAACAACAACGGGTCTTAGATGTAGAATATAAGGAGCAATTAAGTTTACAGTTAAACTAAGACTAGAAGATAATGCAAGGATAAATGTAAATAAGGAGACACAGGAGGAGGTTAGGTAAGCAGATATCAAATTCTAATCAAGCATTGCAATGTAATAAAATATATATGACCAGAAAGCATCACACGGAAAACAGAGGTAGCAACGGAGGAGGATTAAGAAAGGCCAAACGGGACGACGTGCAATACACATAAGCTTTTCATCAAGAAAATAACACTCGACTGGACATTCATCCTGATTAGATCCGGGATTAGGTCACTGCTGCTGCTGCTGCCACTAATATGCGTGTAATCGCGCCGCGTAGATCGTCAACGTCAGCGGCGGGCAGCGGCAGTCTTTACGGCACATCGTCGTCGTCCGGCGGCAGCGGCTCAGCCACCAGCGGCACTAGCGGTAGCGCGGTGGATCGGTCCAGCGTCGGGGCCACCACGAACGGATATTCGCGGTACTCGGGCAGCTACGATCGCGGCAGCAGCCTCTCCAAGTGGCTGCCCACGTCCGGTGGCTCCTCCTCCTCCTCCACGTCCACGTCCGGCTACGGTAGCAGCTATTATCCCAGCTCGTATTCAGCATACTCCTCCTCCGCAAGCCATTCAACCTCAGGGTCATCGTATGTGCCGCGCAGCAGCCTGCAAAGGAGCAGCGTAGGATCCACATCGTCGTCATCGTATCTAAGCGGTGGTTCCGGCTCGACAGCGTCCGCCTACCGTACAACCAGCTCTTCGTCGTATCTGACCGGCTCCAGCTATGATTCACCTACATACAGCCGATACGGAGTGAGTTTTTCATACTCTTTTAATACCCTGTCTCCTAATGATAGCGAACCCCATTAAGCTTTACTTTGATTCGATTTGATTTTGAAAGTCCTTGGAGCTCCTCTGGGGAATCCAAGGCGAACCGAAACCGAAACATCCTGAATTATTTGAGATTTTACTCTTTAAGTTATGTATGTTCGTATGTTCGATTGGTGGCTGATCTCTCACGGTTCTGAGTCATGTCTCTCTCTCTCTCTGTCTCTCCCTCCATAATGATTAAGTATTATATCCTGTATGCTGGGTCCTTGGTATAACTCTACTCACCCTCCCACAGATCCCTCCCTCCCACCAGTAAAATCTGCTCATTGTCATGCGTTCTGTGAAAGTCATCAAGTCATCCAAAAGGGAATCCATGCGGAGATTGATGTATCTAAAAAATAATGTTGTAGGAATATATTTAGGAAACCTTTTTTAACGTTAGAAATATCATTTAAAAATAGTGGCTACATATGAAGCATATTTTTATATTTTTAATAGAAAGAGAGCTGTGGACTTTAATATTTTATTTAAAAGTAGGGTTTTCTTTTACTAAGATTTAAGTAAATTTGTGGTTAGAAAAAATGTTTAGGATCTCTTCAACTTGAAAATATCGAATTATTAGTTTAATAATTAACTTCAATAATATTCAATTTTTTTAAGAGTAAAACCCAAAGAAAATCAAATTGTTAAATATGTTATGTATATTAAATTAGATTCAGCGAGGACTTCCTTGTCATACCCCTCCATACTGCATCCTAGTGTCTATATCTAATTTGATCTGTAACCGGTCAGCTTTATATATGCTAAAAAAATAAGGAAGCGTTGGCTAACCGCGCCTTCCGTTTCCAAATTAAACCCAAGAACAGATTACAGATACAGCCACGCCCCCCGATTTGTGGTGATCCTTTCCAGCCTCCCTCTAGTTTTTCCCCGCCTCGTTTAGTGATTAGTTTAGTTTTTTCCCGTTTTTTATACCCTTGCAGGGTATTATAATTTCAGTCAGAAGTTTGCAACGCAGTGAAGGAGACGTTTCCGACCCTATAAAGTATATTTATTCTTGATCAGCATCAACAGCCGAGTCGATCTATCCATGTCCGTCTGTCCGTTTCTACGCAAACTTGTCCCTCAGTTTTAAAGCTATCTCAATGAAACTTTGCATATAGTCTTCTATATAGTCTCACTGCTATATATGTCGGAACGGGCCGGATCGGACGACTATATCATATAGCTGCCATACAAATGTTCGATATATTTTTAGAAAAAAAATTATAACTTTATTGTTTTTCAACATTTTGGCACCATTTTATAGATATGACCATTTTATATTATTTCTGAATTTTGGTAAAAATTTTATGAAAATCGGACGACTATATCATATAGCTGCCATAGGAACGATCGGGAAATTAATAGAAAAAAATTATATATTCGTTGTTTTTCAACGTATTTTCATCTACTCCGGGATATAAGCTTATTTTATTATTCTAGAATTTTGGTATAAATTTCAAAAAAATCGGACAACTATATCATATAGCTGCCATATAAACCGATCGGTAGATGTATACAAAATGTAAAGCTGCGAATGCAAAACTGTAACTGTCAAACTGTAAACATAATAAGTATAGGTAAAATGTAATGAAATAATATCTGCAAGGGTATACAAACTTCGGCGTGCCGAAGTTAGCTTCCTTTCTTGTTTTTTTTTAATATTATTTCTTCCTTTTTTTTTGCTGATTATTTCGTTTTGTGCATTGTTTGTGTTGTATTTTGTCATTGCAACAACAAACCAACAAAAACAACACCCACCCACTCATGCACACCCAACACACACTCGACACACATACACTCAGTCGGACTCAAACAAATGCAAATATTCACGCATTAGGCAAATAGCAAATAGCGTGTCCACAAAGGCAAATACACGACAAACGGACGGACAATATGGCATTTTGTGTCTCCGATAACAGATACCGATACACAGTCATCTCTCGATAATTAAAACGTATGTTAAGAAAGATTATTTATTAAAACGTTTTCCTCGGAGAAATTTGTTACAATATTTTACGCGCTGAATGTAAAATTTTACCTGCTGAATAGTATATTTTTTTACGTGCTGAATATAATATTTTACGCGATAAATATATTATTTTATGTTTCCTTATTTATTTATATTAAGTATAATACTTTACGCGCTGAATAGAATATTTTATGCGCTGAATGTTACAGTTTACCTGTTGAATAGTATATTTTACGCGCTAAAAATATTATTTTCTATTTCCTTATTGATTTGCGATTAAAACAATGCGTTTTTTTTACAGAGTTTAGCAGGAAAAGAACAGATTACCAAACAAGTAATAAAGGGTTTCCCCTCTTGATAGCGATTCCTGTGACAAATCATTTAGTTTGTACACAAACATAGCCGGGTGCGTCATTGCCCAGGCACAGTCACAGTCACAGGCACAGTTAGAGGCCCAGGAATGGAATGCGTGTGTGTGTGGATTGTGTGTGTGTGTGAATATTGAGCTGAACTGAACCAAACCGCGAACCACTTGTTGGCACAGATCCAACAACAAAGCAGCAACTACAACTAGAAGCGACTGAAGCAACGGGAATTCACGATTTAAGCAACAAAAGGCCAACACACCTCCAACAACACCAACAATTGTGTCATTCTCTTACCCTTTTCCGCCGCCGCCGCCTTCCCCGCGAGGAATTCGCAATAAGGTTAATGCCATAGCTGTGTCCCTGTCTGACTTTGGCGGGTGTGTTGTGTGTTGTATGTGTGTGCCCAAGAGAACACCACATGTGAAGTTTATTTATTTATTTTCGAGGACGGAAAAAAAGCAATCGAAACAATCAGTGGGTGCGTCCCCTTGACATTTCACACTCTCTTTTTTTTTTTTTTTATTTATCTATTTCGTCATAACTTTCGGTTAACATCTGGCATTAACATCCACCTTATGTAGGTGGGTCCGATTTTTCCTTATATTTTTCTCACTTTTTTGGTTGACACAGACAGACAATCGTATTTGCGGAAAGCTCTGTAGGCGACACATTTCGCGCTAATTACTATTTTCAGACGCACCATTTACCACAGACTAGGCGCATTGAAATCGAGGTCGTTTTTGAAATTCATTTTTATATTGCAATTGCGGTTAGCGTGTAAATTAACAAAAGAGCAGCATATTTTGGTTTGTAGTGTTGTAATCGAGTTAGGAAAGTGTCTTTTTGGTGTAGAATTAATTTATTTACAAAAAGCTAAGGTTGTGATCAAAACTTAACTTAGTTAAACCTCGGGTTAAATATTTTCGTTTGCTGAATTGGCCATTTTAATTGGCAACGACTTTGAAAAAGGGGCACGAATCGATAGTTTATGCTGTTTATATAAATATTTAAAGTAAAATGAAGTAATAGCTATTACAATTAGCTTTTAACCGGTAGTTTAACCTTCGGTTAAAATTTATTATTTGCTGAATTGATCAAATAGTATTTTATGAATTAATAATTTTAACTTCTATATTATATATGTATATTAAAATTAAATATTAATCTCCGAGAGTGTGATTTTAATGGGCAGTTTAAATGCCTGAATAACTCAGGCTTACATATTTATTTGAAGAGAAACTTTAGAATTAATATTTAAATTTTAAAAGGATAATTTATATTTGAAAGTGTTTTTTTAACTTGCAAATAAGTAAATTTTTTATTTTAGTTTTTTTTTTCAATAAAATTTCAAAAGTTGAAGTGCCATGAACCAGGACCTAGGCTAGGCTCCTTATCGATTATTTTGCGATTAATGTGGACCTTCCCTTTTGGCATTATTCGACTTATTTATATATACATATATCATTTACTTTTCATTATTTGTGTACAAATATCCAGTCATTAAGCTCTCTCATCATTGATGTTTCTTTTCTTTACATATTTTGTTTTTGTTATTTATCAATATTTTTTGAAACATTTGAAACGTGAACACGAAACATGTTGAAACCCGTTGCCGTTTATCGTTACCGTTTACCTCTTCTTCACCACAAATGTTTCCGCTCATTTGTCACCTGTAAATGTTTCGCAAAAAAAAAAACTCCAAATATATATATAAAACAAACACCGAAAAAAACAAAATCAAAACCCTAAAAAAAAAACAAAATGAATACAAAAAGTTGCCGCGCAAAACATCGTCGAAGATCACCTCGAATGGCGATAGCTTGAGCGGATCGGCGGCCAAGAGGGATGACTATGTCAGCCGGCGAAGTGTAGCGGACTCCGCCTCCTCCATTGCCAAGAAGCCACCGATAAGCGGTGGCACTGGAGGTAGTAACTCCTCCAGTAACCACACGGAGACCAATGGCCATGGCGGCGGCAAGCTATCATCATCATCATCTGGCAGCCGGTTGTCCAGTTCATCCTCATCCCCATCGCTGGCCCGACTAGTGGCCACCTCCGGACTGGATATCTACGAAAAGTACAGTCCGGCCAACTATAAACCCAACTGTGAACTGTCACGTTCCAGGTCGGGGCATGCTGAGCCGGAGCTGGAGAATGGAAGTGGGGGCGGCGGCACTGCTACACCCACTGAGACGGTGACGCTGGAGCGGCCGCGCAGCAGCCGGTATAGTCGCCTCTACAGCAACAGCAGTGATGCGGGCGGTGAGGTGACGACCACCAGCTCTGGAAGACTTGGAACGGGAACGGGCACAGGGACGACCTCTCGAAGCAGTAGCGGCAGCAGGTATTCGATAAACAATAGCAACAGCAGTGGGGATGTGCCCACGGCCACCTTTACATTGCGCAGCAGTCGGACGCGTCGCAGTCAGGCGGAGGATGTCACACCCAAGGCAACAGCAGCTACAACTACAACTACACCTACACCACCGCCTCCACCTCCGCCGCCGCCGGCGTCACCCTCAACCAATGGTCACAAATCGCTGGGGGTGAGAGGAGAGACCAATGGCGGTGGGCTGGAGGCTAAGTTAAATGGCCTGTCCCTGCTCTCCACTTCGCCCAAGCGGAATGCCATCTATGAGAGCCGCAGTGGCAGCAATCTGAGAAACCAGGACACAACCGATGATGCGGGAGTCCCAGCTCCCAGCAGCGGCAATGACAGCGAAGCCCAGGCGGAAGTGGACGATGGAGATGTGAGCACCACGGCCACTTTTAAGCTATCATCATCCTCATCCTCCGACAGCAAGGTAACAGCAAAAGGAACGAGCCAAGCGAAGCGAAACCAAAACCAAAATTAATTGCATGCCAAGACAAGGACCACTGACCTCCTGAGTTTCAGTTATATTCTATGTGTGTGTATGTGTGTGTGCCAAGCCAGACCCAGAGAACCCCCCAAAAAGAAACCCAACCCCCTAACCCTTATTATGTTCTATCCACAAGCATTGTCATCCTAAAAAAAGACCCCGAAAAGCCGATCATTTAATCAACTTTCAACATTTTTATGTATTTTTAGCTAAATTCTTGCAGAGATTGCGCCCTGTTCTAACTTTAACCAAACGAAAACGTTAACAAAAATCGCTAAGCGCAAAAACAAACCAAAAAACGAGTCAAGCCTAAACCAAAGCCAAGTCCAAAGTCCAACTAAACGCCACTCGAACTAACTAAATAATAAGACCAGACTAACTCTATTCCTCCTAGAAACATTCCCCGAAAAAGAAAAATCAGATATAAATCATCCAGAAAAAGACCATAATTGCTTTAGTGTGTGGTAAATAGGAAGGCTTTTGTTAGTCAGAAGCAGGAGCAGCAAAAGCAGAAACAGCAGTTTCAGGAGCAGAAGCGAGATCAAGAGCTAAAGCAGATACAGCAAAAAGCAGAAACGGCAAGTAGCTTGTGGCATCATCGTCGTCGTCGTCGTCTGACGACTGACGTTTGAACGTGGCAGGCGTCGAGCGGCATCTATTAAACAACAAACACAACACAACATCTCGTCCCCCTCCCAAAAAAGCAACAGAAAATATAGAGTAAAAACGGCAGGTGCAAGGAGCAAGGCGAGTAACGAGAAACGAGCGAACGCCCGTCGAATAATGTTAGACATTAAGAAGAACAGAGGATTCCAAAAGATTCCACAGCCATCCAAATTGCAGCCATCAACGGGAGCCGGATCAGTATCATCCTCAGCAGCAGCAGCAGCAGAGGCCACAGCAGCAGCGGCGGCATCGACAGGTACCAGAGGAGCAGTAGGAGCAGCCACATCGGGCAGGGGAACCGCCAGCCAGAGTCAACGTTTAAAGAACCAGGTCAGACAAGCAGCAGGTGGAGGAGGAGCAGCAGCGGGGGCCAGTAAACCCTCGGTGGTTGTGGGCAAGACGCACGCCGCCCTGGCGGCTGTTAAATACGGCAACGGAGGAGTAACTCCAGCCACACAGGTTCGCTCGACACTGGCGGGAGTGCAAGGCGGGGCCACCACCACCACAGCCACCAGTAATCCAGTGCGGGCGGCCAATCAGCGTTACTTCCTGGTATCCAGCTACAAGGATCCAACGTTTCTCAAGGCCGAATGCGAGTTGGCCCATGCCCAGGTGACCACGACGACGGCCAGCAAAGTAAAGGGCAATCGCATACGCGCGGGTGAAGATACCAGAAACAATAATAACAATTCGAATAGCAACAATAGTAGCAGCAACAGCAGCAGCGGCAACGGCAGAAGGGCGGCTAACAACCCGCTGAGTGATATGCGACGTGGTCACATGTTCAATGGCAATCAACAGACCAGCACCAGCACCACGACGAGCCACAGCACCACCATCAGTAGCAACAGCAACAGGATCACTGCTGGCCACCAAACCAACACAAACGGGTTGCTCCACAAGTATAGTAGTGCCCGCTCTGGCACCTCACCGAAGGTCTATGGCAAGCTAAAGCCGATCAACACCAACAACAACACGGCCGCCGCAGCTGCAGCTGCAGCAGCGATGATGAATGGACATCATCATACCAATAATAATAACAACGGAAGCAGCGGCAGCAGCACCGCCACAAGCGGCAACAACAACATGATGCAACGTCAGCAGCAACACGATGACATTACCTACATAGACAGCGATGAGCCAACAGCCAACGGAGGAGGAGGAGGAGGGGCTGGAGGAGCAGGGACAGCAGCCGCCAAGGCCATTTGCTACTTCAAGCCTATAACTCCACCGCTGCAGCTGCGACATCGCAACCAACAGCAGCAGCAGCAGGATCAAAAGCAATCTGACAGCAGCCATCGCTATGCCCGACCCAAGTCCACCATTATAGCCTCCGCTCACTCGAATTTTGCGGCCAGCTATGAGAAGTTTAGCAGTGGCTATCATCGTCAGACCAATGGAGGAGGAGGAGGAGGAGGCGAGATTACTGCCACCACAGAGAGCCGGTCAGCTGCCGGTGGCAATGTCCGGCGTTATGGCATCGATTCGCTGAGCATTAAGGCCTCCATTGAGAAGTTTAACAATCTGAGTACCCAGAAGAGACCCACAACCAATACGGCAACAGTGTCGGCCACGGGGAGTGGCACAGGAGTGGCAGGAGCGGTAGGAACGGCTGCTGTCACTGGAGGAAGAAGCAATCACACATCGCATCAGCAGCAACAGCATACCGCCGGCGGGAGCAGCGGGAATCTGCAACAGCGCTACAGCAGCGACCTGGACAACATACGAGTGGCGGCAGCGGCGGGCTATAGTAGTTCCCTGACCAGAGCCGCCTACCGAACCACAGCCACCATGAATAGTGTTGGTACGCCAATGGGGATGCTGGAGACAGGAGCAGGAGCAACAGGAGTGCATGCCAGCCGACAGGTGGCCAGCGCCGAGAGTGCCAGCCAGGTAAACAGCGATGTAGCTGGGCTGGGAACAACACAAACAGCAGCAGCAGTAGCAGCAGCGACACCCAATAATGCCACCACCACCACACCAGCCACGTCTTCCGTCTCCACAGCCACAAGCATAGTCACAGCCACAGCCTCAGCTACAGCCTCTAGCTCCGCCAGCGATAGTGTAAGTCGGTCCTAGGCCAGGTCACCGATAATATCAGTTCAGTTTAGTTTACTTTATACTCTCTCTCTCCATTCCGTTTTCTTCTTCTACTTATATACGTTCTCTATATATATTATATATATATTCGACTTGTGGCAAGAGCAAGCAATTTCTGATCTGACAATATTTTTGTAGCTAGAAAAAGTATATATTTGCATTTTCCATTCCTTGTTCTCTATCTCTATCTCTCGCTTTGCGTTTTCATTTTGAAATTCATCGATACACACCAGACACACACACCATCGTTGCCTATCGTTCGATTTAATTTAGCTATCGATATGTTAAGTCTTGTTTTATCCTTTTGCATGCTAAGCACTCTTCATAACACACACCACACACACTAAACTTGGACTTATGGGTTTCTTCCTTAATCTCTAACTGCTCGATTGCTAGCTGCTTCGGTTTTTATTAAATTAACCTTGATTAACTATTGATTAATTATCGCCGCAAAGTCGATAGGCCTTCTTAAAGAGGTTTGTTAGTGATGATAAAATAGCGATTTAAATAAACTGTACTTGAAATATTGTTTATATTAGTACTATTTTTAGATTAAAAGCAAAATCAAAGTAGCTTTTCAAGACTTAAACTTGTTATACAATAATTAAAAAATATAAACTTAAAACCTATTTACCAGAGAAAGCTTAATTTTAAACTATTTTAAAAAGAATTTCCATCACTAAAACCTTATTACTTGAAAGCCTATCGAGTACCGTGGTTTTGCCATAATAAAAACAATCAATTTCAAAACTAACTTATAATATTTTATATACTCTACCCCTTCCACACAGACGCAGGCGAGAAGCGGCACTACTGGCAGCAGTGCCCGGAGCGTCCTGCCGCCCATGACACCGACATCGAGTCGTTACTGGGATCGGGATCGGGAGAGCGGCACTAGCCGTAACAGCGGCAGCACTTCCTCCACCCTTACCTCGTCATCGCTGAAGCACAACTCAGATGAGGGCTACAAGAATGCCTCCTCGTCCAGGGATGAGAAGTCGGAAGGTGCGTAAAAAATAAATCGAAAATAAAGTAGAAAAGTTTCATTTTGGAAGCAAAGGTGGGGGGCAGCACACAACCTTTCCCCCAGTTATCAATTCAAAATCCCCATGAAAGCCTCACAAAAACCACACGAAACACACACAACAACACCAACGACATTATTCAAGATTTATAGTAGAAGCAGAAGTAGAAGGAGTAGCAAACCCAGGCTCAGACCGAAGCTTACCTACCGAATGCCTGTGGTTAATCGGGAACGCGACCGCATACAGGCGCATGCCTCTAGATTGGGGAGTGACCCACGTTAGACACCGCCCCCCGCCAGTTGTATTAATATCAATGCTTTCTCTTCGTTTTGTCAATCCACAGGTTTGTGCGGACTGAGAAACATTGGGAACACATGCTTCATGAACTCGGTCATTCAGTGCCTGAGCCACACCCAAGAGCTGACGCGCTTCCTGCGCTCACAGCACGGCACCCGCTCGTCCTCCACCAAGGATCAGCAGATACTCCACGGTAAGATTACCCTTCAAAACCAATTTTATACCCTTGCAGTTAAAAGCTAGCTTCCTTTCTTGTTTTAAATGTGTGAATTCATGATTCCCTGCCCGTAGAATTTGCCAAACTCATCCAGGAAATGTGGACCCCGAATGTGCACACAATGACGCCCATGGAGCTGAAGCGTGCCTTCTCAACCAAGCACCGTATGTACAGCGACTACAATCAGCAGGATGCCCAGGAGTTCCTGCGCTTCTTCCTCGACTCGCTGCACTCGGCCCTCAATACGGGCGTCAAGGGTGAGACGCTCAACATTGACGATAATCTCAGGTGGGTCTCAAGATCTCTTCTGCCAGGATACTCCCTATTCTCCTATCTAATTCGAAATTTCCTTTCTCGTTGACAGTGACAATAAGAAGGCGGACCTGACCTGGGAGTGGTATACGCGGCACGAGAACTCTCTGGTGCGCGACCTCTTTGTGGGGCAGCTGAAGAGCACCCTGAAGTGCACCACCTGCGGCAATACGAGCGTTACCTTTGATCCCTTTTGGGATCTGAGCGTACCGCTGCCGTCCTCGTCGCGGTGCAAGCTAGAGGCCTGCCTGGACCTCTTTATACGTGAGGAGGTCTTGGACGGGGACGAGATGCCGACGTGCGCCAAGTGCAAGACGCGACGGAAATGCACCAAGAGCTTCACCATCCAGCGTTTCCCCAAATATCTGGTTATACGTGAGTTTGTTTCAGTTTGAGAAGTGTAATCATAAATTATATAAAATGGTTTTTAGATCTTAAACGCTTCTCGGAGACGCGCTGGAGCAAGCTGTCGAACATCGTTGAGTTCCCCACATCGGATCGCGAGCTCAACATGGGCTCCTATGGCGCCAACTCCAACTCGAATGTGCATTATTCGCTCTATGCGATATCCAATCATATGGGTATGTTTTTTGGTTTATATTTATGCGCATTTATTTGCTATGTATTATTTATTTATACATTTTTTTAAATTTATATTTGAATCATCAACTCTAACATGCGTTTATTGCAGGCTCTACGGCTGGCGGTCATTATGTGGCCCTGTGCAAGCATCCCATTTCCCGCAAGTGGCACGAGTTCAATGATAATATGTGAGTACTTTTTATACAATTTTTGATTTGATTTTAAATAATCTCAAACTTTTCTTTACAGTGTCAGCGATGCCTTGTGCGAAAACCATCTCGTTTCATCCAGTGCCTATATACTTTTCTACGAGCGTGCGTAAGGCCCACAAGCAGGAGGAAGTCTTCGCTGATGTCGGGCGGGAAAGAGCACCAGGATTACCCGGATTACCCTAGCAGGAGAACTACGAACATGGTTATTAATTGAGAATGCAAATGCTAGCTTAGGACCAACACGAGCGAAGCAGGAGCAGGACTAGGAGGGTTGGCAGGCGGTCTCTTCATAGAAACGCTTCGTAGAATTGCAAACAAAAGCAAATAACATAATTTAACTCCAAAAATGTGAGAAGATAAGAGGGAGGAGAGCCAGAAACAAATTCCCAAAAAAAAAAAAACCTAAAGAGAAAAACGGGAAGAGCACGATGAACGGATGAACGAGATTGGATGGATGTACATAGAAAACGAACCCAAAACAAACATACACTACACATGCAGACAAACAAAAACAAGAAAACAAAACAAATAATCTGTGCAATAACAACTTTCGGCAAACCAAATAGCAAAAGCAAAAAATCGAGCGGGGATAAAGCCAAAGGCGAAGCAAGGATTTAATGTGTATTTCCTCTCCCTCCATCTCGGTCTAACCCGTCTAACCATCTCTCTCCTTCCTGCTCTCTCTCACTCTCTCTCTATCTGTATCTCTTTCAATATTCTCACTCTATCGTGTCCTGTGTCTGTCCCTCGGTTTGCCGAAAGCCTTTCGTCCCTGTGGTTGTGCGCAATAAACAAACAAACAAAACGTAAAAAATAAAGATTAAAAACAAATGGAAAGCAACAAAAAGTAACGTAAGCTAAACGAGAATAGAAAGGCAAAGCGACAAAGAAAAAGAAAGCTAAACTCAACGTAAGCGGCGGAAGAGAAACCTAATTATCTATAAACGCAAAACATATATATTTGAAATTCGTCTTTCTTGTGCAATATATTTCATAAATGAAAAACCCAACAGCAAGAAAACGGAAATGCAATAAAAATACTTTAAAAACTAAAGACGATTCAAAGGCAAAAAGTAAAACAAAAAAGCAACAAAACAAAAACCAATGCAATCGCACCACAAAAATCACACTAAATATAAAAAAAAAAGAAACTAAAAACTAACTGGCTAAGTAAAACGGCTTTTTAGCAACTAAACAAAAAAAAAACAACATCAACTAACAAGTAAAAACTAAAAACCCGAAAATATAGTGATTAGTTAATTGATAATGAGAGAAATGAGAAATAGGGAAGGAAGAAGGAAAATGTTTACGAAAAACGACGCGACGTGCGAAAGCTGACAAAAACAAAATAAAATCTGCATTGTGAGAACGTACTTATGATAAATGTTAAATTAAATTACAAAAAACTAATTACAAATTAACGGAAACAATGGTAGAGAAGGGAAGAAAGCAAAGCAAAAATAACAGTTATCGTTATCGTTTTAGCCTAAACACCAACGTATAATTTGTGTGTTTTTGTTGCAATGATTGTTTTTTTTTTTTTTGTTTGTCGAAGAAAAGTTATAATAAAGAATCAGAACTAGTCTCAAAAGGGAGTAAAGGAAAGCGAAGAAGAGTTGATGTTATGTTTTATGAGCTACTTAACCGAAAAAAAACAGTTTTTTAAATAATTTTATTTCTATATATCTCATTTGTTTTTTTTTTTTTAACTTTGTGCGTATATATAGTTTTTAAGCTTAAGTCGAGAGCGTTCTATATCCTTCCCCCCCCCTTCCTCCTTATACATGCTATGTATACATATATATATTTTCGTTGCCTATTTTTTGTTTTTATACCTACATATATAATAACACTATATTATGTAATTTATTTATTTATTGTATTTATGTAAATGATATATAAACAAAAAACACACACACAGAGAGACTCCTCCTACACTCAGCGAAACGGGAGTATATTTATTGTGTACATAATGCAACTTGTTTTTGGCAGAAACAAAAATTAAAATATAGAAAAGAAGCGGAACAACAACGAGAGAAAAACAAACCTACAAAACGCCTACACTGCAGCATATATATACGATTGATGGAAGATTTGAAATAAAACATGAAAACAAGACACAATATTTATTTATTTGTAAATGAATGAAAAAGAAAGAGAAAGTAAATCAACAAACAGCAACTACTATATTTTTTTTCTGGCTTAACTATTAGTTACAATTATAATTGTTGGATATTTTACTAACGTTAAAAAGAAAACCAAACGAAAACAAACAAAAAAATGCAGAAAAAAAGATGAAAACAAAACACAAAGAGGAGAAAATGAAAAATAAACTCAAAAAATAAAAATTAAAAAGAAAAAACATGATTTTTAATTTATTTTAGTTTAGTTTCGATTTCGATATATATTTATCGATCAGTAATGCAAAGGGTATCAAAATTAACTGACTTGAAGGAAAAGGTTTGTGGATAAAAAATATAAATATATTATAAAATGATTCTAAACAATGTATTCTTTAAACAATAACCATTTATTTATTTTCTGCTTAATTTGCGTCTTAAAATATTTCGTTGCCTACTTTTGGAAGTGATTTAAAAATCGGCAAATTTCTCGATAAACTTTGTTTTAAAAATCTCTTTTTATTAACGTATTTATTTATAAAGTACTGATAACTTTATTTAAAATTTACAGAATTTGTGGGATTGCTAAACAATGTTTTAGCAGTAAAAATCTATTATTATTAAAATCTTATAAAAATCGATTACATAAAAAGCGGGTCCACTGAAATCGAATTTGGAATCTTAATTTGGAAAACTGCTTAAAATTCGTTGTTTTGCAGACGATTTTAAAATTTTAATTAAAAATAAATATATATATATTAAAAAAGGTTTTAACAGTAAAAATCTTTTATTATAATCCTATAAAAATCTATAACATTAAAAGCTGATCCCCTGAAATCGGATATGCAATTGCGAATATTTTAATTTCAAGTTAAATTTTTATTTAAAAATAAATGAGCAATTTTAAAAGATTTCCCCACCTAAATGTAACTCATTAAATAAAAACAACAATATCAATTCACGTCAACAATTTGTGGGCCTCCTTTGGGGCCTTTCTTTTTGTAGTTTAAGTTTAATAAAAGTTAAGTTATTATTGTTTTGCGACAACTCTCTCACATTTTACAAAATATATCTATATAAATAACGACTAACTGAACTCCAGGTCCTGCGGCTCTGTCTGTGTGTGTTGTGTGTGAGTGCCTCTCTTTGTGATTTTGGTTTCTTTTGGGGGACGGGGGGCTCCCACGACGAACCAGGGAATGGGTGGGCGTGGGCGTGGGCTTGGTAATGGTATGTACTATGTGATTGATTGTGGCCTCATTGTGGCGAAGACGGCGGCGACTTCTGTGAACGACGACTGTGGTTCCGGACAAGAGTTAGGTTCGTTAAGCACCAGTGCCAGCAGCTGCGGCGGCAGTTTAACAAAAAAGACAACAGGTCAACTGCTGCACGTTGCTGGCTGCTGGCGGCCGTCCGTCGCTGATGCTGATCCCCAATCCGTAGCGACGGCGGCGGTTGTGACAGTGGCAACGGCAACGACAACGACAACAGCGGGCCGGCGTTGCCGCCGCGGCCCGCGTCCAAAGATCATTTACTCTCATCCTTCTCGGCCTTGTCCGCCTTGGCGCTGGCCCGGATCGCCTTCTTGTCCTCGTACATCTTGATTAGCTGGTCCTTGGTGGGCATGGGCTTGATGTAGCCATGCAGCACCAGGTGTTTGATAGAAATGGTGGTACAACCTGTGGCAAAAAAATAAAGCATTAAGATGGATAACCAGAATGCAGAGATTTCTCCTAGATAATCCTTACCCAACGTTAGGGCGTAGCGCAAGGGCGTGGCCACCTTGTAGCAGAGATAGGCGATGGCATAGTGTCCCATGTGAGAGCTCTGAACCTTCTGGATGATGTTCTCGCTGAGATGCAAATACTGCAGCAAAGCCGGGACATCCACGCCGCTATGGAAGGTAAATATATGTTAAATGGAGCTCCCATGGTATCCAAGATGAAACCCACCTCTTGGAGAGATAGTAGAAGCCGCCGAACCAGCCCAGCGATGTGACCACATGAACCGGGATGAGCACGTACCAGTACTTCTTGTACATGTGCTTGAACTTGGACATCAGTGACATGTTTGCCGCCTCCCCAAATAAATCGCTGGTCGAGGTGGCGGCCTCAGGCTTGGCATGCTTGTTGTTGTCGTCTTCCGCCGAGTGAGTGGTGGTACTGGTGGTCACCGATGACTTGTGGTTGTGGCGCTGCAGCTGCAACGGCAGCAGCAAGCTGCTTCGCTGATCCGTCAGACCCGCCGAGGAGAAGCCGCTGCCAACCATCGAAGATGATGGGCTGGCAGTGCTAATCCTTGGCAACGCCGCCAGGAAGTGCATGTGACGGCCACCATACAGGCGCAGTGAGCAGGCGAGCATACGCTGCCGTGTGAGCAGGGCTACCGTGGCCATGATTACGCAGATTCCGTGCAGATCTCCACCAGAAATCGTATCTTTAGCGATTTCAATCGGCGTGCCTGTGGACTCGGCGTGCGTGATGTGTTGCTGGTTTCGGGGGCCTTGGAGATGTCAGGTCGCTTTTCGGTTCGTATGGATTCGAATTCTCACACACACATTCCCAATCAGAGCCGGCACAATATAATAAATATCTCCTGATTCTGATTTCACCTGGCCTGCTGTTTAGGGAGGAGACAGTGTTTCAATATATCGATAGTTTTGTGGCTCTCTGGGATATATTTACGAAATGAATTAAATTGAATTATACATTGGATATCTGCCAAGTGATGTGCTCCATGACGTAATCTCCATGGCGTTTGGAGGCAATGCAACTGAATATTTGTGACGTAAGAAAGAGCCTGTCCAGACATCGATAGCTCTGTGTTGCACATCTCCACTAAAGAGCTATCGATAATGATAAACCGCGAAATTAGCATTTAAATTTGACAAAACCTGCGTCTTTGCTTTGAAGTTTGATTAAAATAAGCCAATTGAAACCCGGAGCGTTTCCCCAAAACTTATCATGGATTTAAAGATCCAAAATAAAAGTATATGCGCTAAAGGAATCCCCAGTTCATTTTAAAACCAGTCAAAAAATCGTTATAAATATTTATATATAATTTACTAAACAAACGGAAGGCAGAAAATGTTATTGCACTAATATTACACAACTCAACTTGCAGAAATATGCTTATTAAGCGCACTTCTCGGCCGCAAAGAGGCAACAACTGCGTTTAATCGGAATGTACATTCGGTATTTGTGGTATTTACCCGGATTTATTTGCCACTCATATCACAAAAACATTAATTTTGCTGCCTTAGTTGGCGGCCGCCACTCGCACGAGCAGTTTTCTCCGATCCTCATCTATGGTGGCCAGAAATTTCTGCACTCGCTCGCTATAAAAGTGGCTCGTCTTGGCCAATTCCAGGCTATGCATGCGCTCCCTCCGCCGGAAGTCGTCCAGCTGCCAACGGTCGCGCTGGTAGGCCAGAATGCTGGCCAAAAAGTGCCAGAACGTGATCTGTGGCCACAGGACATTGCTGAAGTACAGCACCGATGTGCTCAGCTGCAAAAGAAAGAGTGTAAGCAAGCTGCTGAGCTCAACAGGAGCGGCACACTCACCTGCCACATCATAAAGTCGCTCAGCCTGGTCTCGCCGGAGGTGCGAAAGACCAGATCCGGCGGCGGCGAGTGCCGTGTGTAGAGGCATTCCTCCAGCAACCGTTCACTTATGTCTGCCGCTTCTATATCCTCGTTGCCATGCCTCAGGACCGTCTCCACCGCCTGTGTGATCTCGTCGTGTGACGTGTACGCAAAGGCCACGTTCAGGAAGAGCTTGTCATTGCGCTCCGTGCTCAGCATGGCAGTGGCCACCAGCTTCTGCAAATCCAGCGGCAACAGCTCTATGTTTCCTATCACCCGTATCCGTATGCCGTGCTCCTCCAGCCGTGCCACCTCCTGCAGCAGGCGGGCGAACTTCTCGCGGGCCAGGTTGAAGAGGCCATCGACCTCCTCGCTGGAACGTTTGAAGTTCTCAATGCTGAAGGCGAACGTGGTTACCTCGCGTACGCCCACGTCCAGGCACCAGCGCAGGCAGTCCGCCAGCTTCTCGAAGCCCCGCGAATGACCCTCGATCTTGTCAATATGCTGGGAGCGGGCGAACCTCCGGTTGCCGTCCATGACGAAGGCTACGTGGTGCGGTATCTGGCCACAGATGCGCAGAGTACGCATCGCTATTCTCTCCGCCAACGAGTACTGGTAGTCGGACACCCACGACATGATGGCTCCGCAGTGTGTATGTGTTGCAAGGCGTAGAGGCGGTTTAATTACAAAACAATAATATAATTCTAGGGCCGGTGATGGTCCCGTGGCTAAGGAAAATCTGTGTGACCTTGTTAGCCTAGAATACCATAATGCCAAATGCAAAGCTGCCGTTTCAGCAAAGTCCCAAACCTTGAGCTACAAATATCGATAGGTCGGCTTTTTTAATAAGATTTCATAAAACAATATATTACCACGGTTTTTTAGTCAGTTATAAAAGAGAAACATCGATTCAGCTATTTTTAAATATGTTTTTGACCAGCTTAACGTTTCTCAGCCATGTGAACTTTTGAATGATTCCAATTGGACAAAGTCTGGCATCGCTGTTTCGCGTTTTTAAACATCGATAGTATCGATATGTTCTTTAAGATTTTTTAGGAGGAGAGCCAAATTTATATGTGGCAACACTGAGCCACGACAGCCTTCTTTTTTAATATCCGGTTCACGCAAGTGGTTCGTCCAAATTATTTGCCCTTTATTTTTTGCTAAAAAACAGTATTCAGAGCCCTTTTGAGGCCTTAAATAAGTGACCCACTCAAGAGTGCTCAATGGTTCGCTGGAAAACTGACAAAGCCGCCCGGCAACCACGTTTTTTTTTATATTTTTTTGTTTTGTTTGTGCGCACGCACTTGTATTTGTGTTTGTGAAGCCACAGTGTATTATAAATATGCATTCCCTTGTTATCCCGCAGTTGCTGATCGACAAATTACCTCGTAATGGCACCCAGGAAAGCTAAAGTTCAGAAGGAGGAGGTCCAGGTCCAGCTGGGACCCCAGGTGCGCGATGGCGAGATCGTCTTCGGCGTGGCCCATATCTACGCCAGCTTCAACGACACCTTCGTCCATGTCACGGATCTGTCTGGCCGCGAGACCATTGCCCGCGTTACCGGCGGTATGAAGGTCAAGGCCGATCGCGACGAGGCTTCGCCCTACGCCGCTATGTTGGCTGCCCAGGTGAGTTTCCTGCTGCTACTTGCTGGAGGAGTTTGGCCCTAAAGGTGTGTGTACCCTTGCTCCCCCCTGTAGGATGTGGCTGAGAAGTGCAAGACCCTGGGAATCACCGCGCTGCACATCAAGCTGCGCGCGACTGGAGGCAACAAGACCAAGACCCCCGGACCCGGCGCCCAGTCCGCTTTGCGTGCTCTGGCCCGTTCGTCCATGAAGATTGGCCGCATCGAGGATGTTACTCCCATTCCATCGGACTCCACCCGCAGGAAGGGCGGTCGTCGTGGTCGTCGTCTGTAAAGAGACAGGTCCGGAGGCCGGATGTTCCTTTTGCTGTTCCCTGCTTTTGTGTATATGACAAGAACATCGCTATTATGTTTATGTGCATGAAGGCACTGTAATAAAACGGGAAAAGTTTGTCTAAAAAAAGATTAACAAGTTCGCAAGTGAATTGGGTTTAGTGAAGGTTCTGTGAAACTAATTTGAATGCAAAAATCAAGCGATTTTTTTGGAATGTTTACAAAAATCGCAGGTCCAAGCGACAGTGCTGCCACACTTCGCGTGCAACTTATCGATTTCTGGCCGTCCAAACAACCCTGCTGCGATAACTATCGGCTCCGCAGCTGTGTTTTTGCTTCCTTTTTTCGTATCCGGTTCAAGCAATTGGTTCGTTCTCGGTCTTTTCCCCCATTACTTTTTTTTTTTGTGTGAAAATATTGCGATTTACGAATCGGGCGCCACAAACTGAACTATGCAACAGCTAGTGCAATTGACAGGCAATACAATTATGCCACCTAAAATGGGAATATTCGACGGCACTGTGTGGATGCGGCTGAATTATTTTTCTATTTTATTTTTGTTTGTGGTGCCCGGGAACTGTTGTTGTTCTTTGCGAGCCGGTGACTGACCAGTGATTGCTCTCCATTTTAGTTGCTTATCGTCGAGCAGATCCATCAACATGGCACCCAGGAAAGCTAAAGTTCAGAAGGAGGAGGTCCAGGTCCAACTGGGACCCCAGGTCCGCGATGGCGAGATCGTCTTCGGCGTGGCCCACATCTATGCCAGCTTCAACGACACCTTCGTCCATGTCACGGATCTGTCTGGCCGCGAGACCATTGCTCGCGTTACCGGCGGCATGAAGGTGAAGGCCGATCGCGACGAGGCTTCGCCCTACGCCGCTATGTTGGCTGCCCAGGTAAGCAGAGCGAATCCCTGTACGGAAACAATATTAATCCGTTTATTATCCTTTTAGGATGTGGCTGAGAAGTGCAAGCTGCTGGGAATCACCGCGCTGCACATCAAGCTGCGCGCCACCGGCGGTAACAAGACCAAGACCCCCGGACCCGGCGCCCAGTCCGCTCTGCGCGCTCTGGCCCGTTCCTCGATGAAGATCGGACGCATCGAGGATGTGACTCCCATCCCTTCGGACTCTACCCGCAGGAAGGGCGGTCGCCGTGGTCGTCGTCTGTAGAGGCCCCATTGTTCTGCTGCGTTAGTTTTTTATCTAAAATACATCAATTCAGCATAAATGTAGAAATAAAAAATGGAAATGAGAGTAGCTTCTTTGGGGTTTTTGTGGAGACCGCCTTGTGGCCCACATTTTTGCTATTGTCCATGGCTTAATTTTTTTCCCAATACAGCTTAAAAATCAATTGCGCTTGCGAATTAAATTAAATCCTTTTTGGATTTCTGGAACACAAATGAACAAATAAATTTGTCAATATTTTCAATTGTGTACAAGTCTTAAATATTCTAAGCACTATAGGAACTATTTTAAAAAAGCAATTTAAGTAATTAATAGCTTTATTTTATTTTTGTTTATTTTTTAGTGTACAGTGCAAAGTGGTGAAAAAGGTTTGCTGTCGAATTTTATTTTATGCAATTCCCTTTAAGGAAATTGAAGTAAAAATCTAATTATTTGTATACTAAAAACAAAAATTTAAATTTTTATTCATTACTAAATTGCTTTATTTTAAATATATTTTTTTAATGTAGTGTCGATTATTTGTGGTGAAAACATCGAACGGTGGCGCCACCATCGATAGCTTTGTGCTTATGCGATACTGCCCATTCGATAGTATCGATATCCATGCGCTCTGGTGTATCGATTTTAGTCATTAAATTCGTGGTAGAGCTGGGAAACTATCGATAGTGACACCATTCGATATTTTCGATGTTTTGAAAACGAAAATTCGATACTATCGATAGTATCGTTTTTTTACGATTCTTTTTGCAAATTAAAGTTATAGCAATTTCAAATAGAATTATAATACTATTCAATATGTTTTGACTAAGTAATTAACATAAATATTCTATCCAAGCAACTTTGCACAAATAAAATTGTATTACCATTGCTAAACATACGCTTAGACTCTGAAGACGTGGCGTAGACGCACCCTTTCTTTTGAGATTCAGTTAATATTTTTCACCACCAACTCCAATTTAAGTTAATTTAGAATACATTTTTATTATAAAAAAAAAAATATATATATACATATATATATATATTTGTTTGCATTTTTCTTACTAAATTTCAGCAACAAAGCAGAGATATAAAAATAGTCCCGTACTATCGATAGTGATAAAAAACTATCGATGGTGGCTCAAAAAAAGGAAAAAGTCGATACCTCGATAGTACCATCGATAGTTTCCCAGCTCTAATTCGTGGATTCGTGGAGCAAGCAAATCGAAATTGCCAGGATTAAACGCGTTCCAAATTAAAGCGGCGGTCAAACGGGCTGCCAGAGGACCACGGACAATAGATAGCCACCGAGCAGGACCACAGATTGCGGGACATAGTGCAAATATAGGTGTAATTGGGGAGTTCAATGCACGAATAATATATTTGGCCACACTTGCCAGTGTGCGTGTGTGTTCGGTGTGTGTGCCCCGCGCGCGAGTGTGTGTCCCACGACGCGAGTATGTGTGCGTATCTCTTATTCGCAAGACTCGCGGATGAAACTGCGTGAAAAGCAAAGCAAACCGAAATCCAAGGCGCAGCCATCGAGAAATTACCAAAGGAAACAATTGGCGGCCGGCAAGGAGCAACAACACTCTGGTCCTGGACGATGGGGATATAACTGGCCGGGCGGGCGACGTCACGTCAATTGAACCGAGCAACCGATAGCCTGCCGAGCCAGAGCCCCAGATCCAAAGCAGCAGCAGCTGTAGTAGAACGTAGCGGAGATGTCAGAGCAGAGTCTCCACTGAGCCCGAAGTCAAGATACGAATGTTTTGGTGTTGTGAAATTATTTGTTTTCTCGTCGTTTCGTCAATATAATCGTCAATATCTCTGCAAATCGCCAAACACACAGTTAATCCCCCTAGTGATCACAGTTATAGTTTTTTTCGTTCCAAAATTTGCAATACGAAACCAAGACAGTGCAGTGCTCGCTCCTCAATAAACAAAGTCAGTTTGGTCCGCAGACAACAACAAGAAATCACACACAGTCAGTGCTTGGGCAAGGAGAAGCCACCACCGACAGTAGCACGGCAGCAGCAGCAGCAGCCGTCGCAGTCGCGGCGGCAGCCGAAAAAGAAAACTTGTTTAAACCCCCAGAAAGAAGCGTAGAAAAAACTGAGAAGTGGAATTCCAGAACCAAGTCATCCCAGCAGCCGCGAGGCGACGTCACCAAACAACAACCAAATACCAAACGCCAGTCACAGGCGGCGCAAGAGCCACAGAGCCTCACCTCGCTCTCTCTCGCACACATCCTGAACCATGGACGAGGATGACAACTTGTCCAATGCCGATATCAGCATCGAGGACGAGGAGGCGGTTGAGCTGGAACGCGAGGCCATGGAGGAGGAGGACGCCGAGGCCTCCGATGTTGATCTGTCCTCCGTCTATGTGCTGCCACACAGTAATGCGCCCATTGCAGTGATGGGCACCAGCATGAACGCCACAACGCGAACTACTGGCGGAGGCAATGGCAACGGCACCACTTCTGGCGGCGCTGCATCTGCCGTGGCCGCTGCGGCAGCTGTGGCCGGAGCCAGCATGACCACCAATGCCAGCACAGCCAGCAATTCGCATTCCCCCTTTCATGACTGGGACTCAAGTGTAGCGGCAGCCACGCCGCCACCGCCGCCGCCACGAGCAGCATCTGCAGCATCTGCAGCAGCTGGAGGAGCAGCGGCAGCTGGCTCTGGAACGGGATCCGGATCAGGAGCCCCGGGCGGGGATGCGGGCGCCAAGGCCAGCTTCTTCTTTGGCGCCTCCTCATTTAGTCTTCGCAGCCGCAAGGAGGTGGCCGCATTGATCAACACAGAGTGCTGCCGCGGCGGACCCACGCCCGATCTCGACTCAATAATGGACACCCTGTTCAATCCGGGCACGCCCATCGATAATCCGGACAACATCGAGTGGATACGATGGCTCATTGCCGGCGGGCGAACGCCACAGGAGTTTGTAAAAATTGGTAAGCATAAAATTCGCCGAAAACGAATTTAGATCGAGTTCGAGTTCCAGTTTTTTGCCTTGCGATTTATCGATATATGTTGCATTTCTATCGCGACCAGCAGCTGATCGCAGGCAAGTCCGTTGCCCCTGAAACGCTGCAAGTGTGAGTGCGAGATACCTGTGCGCTGAATATGTGTTTGTGTGTGTATGAAATTGTTGTAGGGCACGCAAAGCAAGGGTGTGGGAGCGGCAGAGGGAGAGAGAGAGAGAGCATAATAACAGCAAGGTGCAAGCCAGCATGAAGAGCACGGTGCGACTGCACCACCATGGCAACAGCAATCAACCGCTCTCACTCACTCACACACTCGCACTGATTAGGGGAGTCAACTTTAGCCCAATTTAATCTCAACTGCTCATCTATCTGCCATGCTGTGTGCCGTATTTGTGCATACTTTTTATGATTACTACTTATTTCTTGTGCCAGGCTGCGTATGTCGCCAAAGTGGCTTTTATCGTTTATGGTTGCCGTTCGTTCTCGTTATGTCCCACTTGTCAGCTCACACAGACACAGGCTGCGCTGGCTGACACACGTACACACGCTCACGCACAGTGGAATGCAACATGCACTTTGTGCCTGTGTGTCAGCTGTTCGCCTTGCGTAATAAATGTTTCCGCAGCATCCGTAAAAAAAGGGAAACAAAAACATAAATGTACACTGCCATTTGGTTGGTTAGCATGACACCTTTTATCACCGCTATATGCTAGATGGCCTTTAACATGGAGGAACAATTGCAAAATTGCACATGAAATTAATGCGCTGCTGCAAAAGTTTATCGACCGTCGTCATTGTTGTTGATTTGTCAGAACACGCCACCAATTCACGCACAGTGGGTGCGGTGTACAATGTACATAAGTGTATGTGTGCGGCCCACTGTAAGCTGTCATCGGCAATTGACCGACCGTTATGTTTTGCGAGAGTGTGTTTGTACAGCACCTCTTCTTTCTGTTCCCATGCACCGTGTAACTGCCACCCACCCCACCCTCTGCCTCGGCCTCGCTCCCACTCACTTCTTTGATTTGATTCGTTCGATTTCAGTGAACCTTGTCCAAAAGTTCTCAGTTAGAGGGGGATGGCTAGATGGCGGCCAACACAAGCGGGAGCGAGCGCGGGCGACGCAGAGAGTTGCTAACTTGGCTGACGATCGATCGCCATTTACAAAAATTGTCAATCAACTTTTCGATGCACCACCGCCGCCGCCACTGCCACTGTTGTTGTTGTTGTTGTTGTTGTTGTTGTTGTTGTCAATTGATTTCCTTCCTCTTGCGGCCGACGTTGACCTTTTCAGCTAACAAGGTCCAAGCCAGAACGCAACGGCAGCGGCAGCCCAAAGACAAAAGCTAAGAGTCACGCAACAAGCGAAATTAACTAAGCAATGAGTGCATCATTTTATTTTTGGAACTCAATCAAATCAATAGCAATATCAATGGCAAGCGCAAAAGCAAGGTGGCCAAAAACAGCTGGCCTCGACGGTTTTTTTTTTTTTTTTCGATTAACCTCGCGGTAAGTTATCGCTCGCCAATTCACAGGTGTTCATTTAAAAATCAAAATCGATTATTTCGATGATTGGGATGAGAAGAAATTTGTAGTAATATTAATTTTTTAACCAACATTTTTATAGGTGAAATAAGCCATAATAATTAATTATGAAAATAATAGTTTTTCGTTTTAAAAATTAGCATGTAATAACTTTGCACTTTGTAACCTAATTAAAAGCGTTACACATATCGTAAACTTGATGGTTACAGCGCTCTAAAATTAAATCTGAATTAATAATAAAACTTGGAGGTGATCTTTACACGAGCAACAAAAATGTACACACAAAAATATTTTTCCTAAACTAAGAACATTTTTCTACAATTGCATAGTTACCCTAATAAATATGAGGGCAATTTTTCTGCAAAAAAAAAAAATATTTGTTACTAATTTGTATAATCCTTGTAACCTAGCTTTAACTTTTTAAATTCCTTATTAAAATCTTATTCTCCCTCCCTCCCAGTGCGCAGCTATGACAACCATGCCAAGTGTGGCCTGGTTTGGGTGCCCCATGTAGTGGCATACAGGTGCCGCACCTGCGGCATCTCTCCCTGCATGTCCATTTGCCGCGACTGCTTTAAGAAGGGCAATCATGCCAACCACGACTTCAACATGTTCCTGTCCCAGGCGGGCGGTGCCTGTGACTGCGGCGACACATCCGTGATGAAGGCCGAGGGCTTCTGCAGTGATCATGGCATCAATAATCGCGTGAATCGTGATCCGGTGCCAAATAATCTCCTGGCTGTGGCCGAGGCCATTATGCCAAAGCTACTGTTCCGGCTGTTGCAGCATTTTCGGGAGCATAGCGACACCACGATCCAGGTGCACGCAATGACCTCGTACCTGTGCGAGGAGTTTGCCAACATGCTGATCGATCTGAACAACATGGGCGAGATAATGCGCAAGGTGATGACGCGCACGCTGATCAATCCGGAGGTATATGCCTACTTCATGGAGGCACCGTGTCTGGACACGCGCAACGGACGCTTCCTAAAGGCCAATCGGGAGAAGTACGAGGATGCGGTCAACAGATTCCCCAATCCCGAGCCGCCCGATGAGTACAGGGATTTGCCGGCGCTTGGCGATACTCTGGTCCATACCACACTGCTCGAGGAGTTCATCTTTTGGACGTTCAAGTTCGAGTTTCCGCAGACCCTGGTCTGCTTTCTGCTCAACATGCTGCCCGATCAGGATTATAAGGTAAGTGTGGCGAACCCTGTTTTAAACAAATATTTAATAATTCTCTTTCTAGGAACACCTCACCCGCACCTTTGTGATGCACTATAGTCGCATACCGTCCGTGCTGGAAATGTCCCGCGATCCGGACACACTCAGCAACCGTGTGGTGCACATGAGCGTCCAGCTCTTCTCCAACGAGAGCCTAGCCCTCAAGATGGTCAACGAGCTGTCGCTGCTGCACGTGATGATCATCAGCCTGAAGCTAATGATGTCCAAGATCCTCATACAGAACACGCTGCATGGTGAGTTCCATACCATACCTTGGTTTTTTTGTCGATCTTAATCGAATGTTTGCTCCACAGATCCCTCCAAGAATTTCCACTTTGTCATCGATTGCACCCGCCAGGTGATGAAGGATCACTGCTATTGGCCGCTAGTCTCGGACTTCAACAACGTCCTATCGCACGAATCGGTGGCTCTGGTCTTTCTGCGGGACGACAACCTCATCGACATGTGGTTCCAGTTCCTTCAAATGCTCCAGGGCATGAACGTAAACGTGCGGGAGACGGCCTCGCATGTGGAATTCGAGCCGAATAGCTATTATGCGGCCTTCTCCTGTGAACTGGAGGCCAGTGCCTATCCCATGTGGTCGATTATCTCCCATCTGCAAGACGGCACTCATGCCCATTTGGCCAAGAAGATCATCAACTACTGTGTGACCACGCTGCACGAGTGGCTGGACTCGATATACTTTATGGAGGCGCACCTGTCGCTGGTGAGTGGAGTGTATATAAAATCCTCTGAAATCGTTAAAACTAGACTTTTGCAGGAGGAAATGATGCAGGCCTCGTTCCACTTCCCATTGCATCGCTATCTAGCCGCCTTTGTCTGCCAGGCGGTCACCAAGATGGGCATCAGTCTGAGTGAAGTGCTGCCCTCGCGTCCATATTTACTGCCCCTGTTGATGATCCATCCGCTCCGTGTCCAGGTAAGTCCATCTCCCCCTCTTTTATGTAATTTGAATAGGCTTGTTTTTTTGTTTTCTGAGGGATTTTTAGATTCAGATTCTCTTTATTTTTGTGGTTTTTGTTTATGGCTAAATTCCAATATAATTTGAGTTATATTCGCGACTCTCCTAACGCTTCGTTGGTTCTCCCTCTTCCTCCACTTGATCTACGCGACAAGGGTGTGTGTGTGTGTACAACTAAGAAAGCTATGACATATGTGCGGGCACCGCCTCATCTCCTACGTGACCTCTTTTAGAACTTTTTCTTGGGCACCTGGACGTGGGGCGTAAAGTCATACGTGATTATCTTGGGGCCGAGGAAGCCGCCATAGCCATTGCGTCCCTTGTAGTAGATACCAATGCCGGACAGCGGCACTGGCGGATTCGAGATCACGTCCTGGATGTCAATGAACGGCACTGTGCTCTGCGCGGCATCCTTGTCCAGACCCGTGTTGGTGAAGTCAATGTACTGGTTGTGGCGCGACTGAGGTATCGAGGGTGTGATCGTACGCGTAGAGACATCCGCGTTCTCCAGGCGCAGTTTCTCCCTGGAAAAGTATATCGATGTAAAGTCTTTTTCCCTTGACAAAGGACAAACCCACCTTCGTTCTTTGCTGTTATTGCTGACATCGGTGTTGTCATTGGACTTCCAATAGCTATTGCCCTCCACCTGGACTAGCTGGCCCGTCTTGAAGTCGAATTCGCTGTAGTAGGCCTCCAGATTGAGATGGGTTCCCACCACCCTGAATCGCACGCCGGTTATCACAAAGCTATTATCATCCGTATTGACATCGTCCAGGTCGATGGTGCGACTTTCGTAGCTCAAAGTGTGATAGTCGACGCCCTTTTTCACATCACGATCAAAGATGTTGTACTTGTCCACGGGCTTCCACTCCAACGTGCTCTGATTGATGGCGCCGCGGGGCAGGAGTTCGCCCTCCTGGATTTGCAAGTGAAAGATGCGATTGAGCTTCACAAAGCGCAGACCAGTCACAATCCTAAAAAAAATTTCAAATTAGTTTTTGGGAATCCCCTAAGTCCATTCTCTTACCTGTTGCGCTTGACATCGGCCACCGAATCCCGCAGGCTAAAGAAACGATCCGACTTGAGACCCTGCTCGTCGCAGAGGCAGAAACAATAGCTGCAGTGCCAGAGTAGATAGCGCCACCAGCTATCCACCTTGGTGGTGCCCCTGGTGCACCTGGCCCTCTGTCCCAAGACACGTCCATTCTCATACTCGATGAACTCGTATCGCCTGGTGCTATTCTGGGCTGATGGACATACCCACATGTCGCTGTCGACGAACTGGCAGTTGTACAGGCGACCCGAGCACCGGGGCTGGCGGGCACAGTAGAGATCCTTGAAGCAACCCTCACTGCGGGTGGACTGGTAGAATGAACAGGTCTCCCGGCAGGTCTCCTCATTGTTTAGATCCACCTCGTTCTCAATGTAGCCCTGCAGCAGGCGGGTTACCTCGTCATAGTTGACACCCTTCACATACTTGTCGGGATCGCAGCGATAAACGATGCGATCGGCTCGCAGCATCACGTCCTTGAGCAGCTTCAGCGTACGTTCCGTACGCTTTTCGTAGTCCATACGCATTAGTTCGGCCTCCTGGGTGAAGTTGCCCTTGCCGTACACGCGCAGCATCATCCAGGAGAACTCCATCATGGTGTAGGCCTTTAGTTCGGTGAGAGCGATGTCCGCGTACAGCGAGTACACAAACTGCTGGGCCGATTGTTGTGTGTTGCATATTTGATTTGTGGACACCTGTAAAATGGAATATTTACTAGGAATGTCAACAGATACATAGCTATATAGGGCTAATGTCCAGCAGCTGCACAGCTGCTGGCAAGCATTCCTTCCTTGGTAACACGAGTGTGCACAGTCTTCTGTTTGTTTTTAGCTTTAATTAAGCTCGTAACATCTGGGCATTAAGATCGCTATTTAACTGTTAAAACTATTCATCAGAATATGGCCAATTAGGCTGATCGCGTGGTTACACTTCATTTAAAAACTTGTAAAAATTGCATTAACCAAAATATAGATTTTAAAGGGAGATGGATTGTTGCTACGTAAATCAGTTGTTTCGGGGTACGAATCCTGCAAGTCATATCTCCTACTATTTACAAATAATATCCCCCTAATCTCTTAGTTAGTATCTTATACTAAAGTCGTCAACTAACGATCATGGCGCGATAGTAGAGTGTTTGTTGGACCATCACTCGTTCGATTTCCGCCAGGATGCGCGGCATCGAGATGGTGTTGTCATTCCGCAGCACTTCCCGGGTCAGATCCAGCACAGCCAGTTGATCCAGTTGGGCGCTAGAGTTTTGTCTCACAAAGGTCTCCTATTGAAGCGAATCAAACGGATTACTAAAAGAGTTTAATCCTCGTTTCTGGGACTACCTTGTAGGCCTCGTACAGCTTGCTGATGTAGATAAGATCTCGCTCCAGCAGCGACCATTCGTAATGATTGAGCAGCTCGTAGCGATGTTCCTCAAAGTTGTGTTCCATCAAGCGCTTGGCATTAAAGTCGCGATGCGAATCGAACACCTTGCGAAGCTGCGTCTCCTTGTTGTTTTGGCTGTTGGCCGTCTTGGCCAGATAATCCCACAGGGCACGCTCCAAGGCAATGTACTCGGTGCGCATGGCGTCCACCTCCAGTTGGGGGGTGCGCGGATGTATCCATCCATCGGAGGCGGCAGATTCCACACCACAAATCACCAAGACGAGAACGGCAACGGCGGTGGCGACAAGGGCATTAGCAGCGATACCAGGCGACGCCATTTTGAGCGTGTTTGTGGTGTGGCGTACGTATTAACGATAAGTAATATCCGCTCAGCGGATAAAACGACTAAAGGGGATTTCCTGGATATTTCTTCTTTTTCTTCCTTCTTCGTTGAAGAAGAAGACACGCGTCCACCTGCTTGCGCCTGCCTGTCTGCTTGCACTGCTTGTGCACTGGGAGACAGAGCCCTGCTTGCTGGGAACAAAAACACTGAGCCCCGTTTTAGGATTTTTGTTCACTTAAATTTTTCCCAAAACTGATTGTGCGTTATTTGCGATTTACTTTAATTCGCGCTCGCCTATTTAACTTTTTTACACGCCTTTTGCTGTGTGTGTTGTGATTCTGAGTGCTGGTCGTGGGCTACTGTGATTTTTTCAGTTTTTTCAGTTTTAAAGCGCTTCGCTCAGCTCCGCTCGTTTGCGAGTGTGTGTGTTTATGTACGATGAATCCGCTGACGACTGGAAGCTCTTTTTACGTGCCCCATTGTTGTTTTTGTTTATTCTTGGCAGGCATCGGTATTGGTGAGCAGCAGCAGCACGCCCGCAATCACGAATTGAGCAAATTTTTGTTTGGTTAAATTCCTTCGGCTGTGGCGACTTGAATAATACACTGCCACTGGCAAACTTAATTATACAATGAAATCGATTTAGCGATCATTTTGGCACATGCACAGCCAATCGATAACTAGAAAGTTGTACTCTCTTGCATTGTTTGTGTTACACTTGTTGTTGTTCGTGTTGCTGTTATTGTTGCCCCGTGTAATTGGTATGGCAAACAGCTGTGAGTGCTCTCACTCCTCGCCTTCCGCTCTTTCTCTTTTTCTCTGCCTGCAGTGCGTGGGCTATCCCGCTCCCACCTTGACGCAATGCACACAAACAAAGAGATGCGCTCTCCGCCGCCGCTGCTGGGGCTCCTCTTCGCATGGGGGCGGCACTGCTGCATTGCCCTCTGTCGTTTGTTTTTATTTCCACGGTGTTTTCCTTTTATTTTTGTTTTGTTTAACTTGTCCCGCAGTCTTTTGTTGACACCAGACCTTTGACCTCACGCAAATACAGAAACCCATACCGACACACGAAAGGGGGGACAGAGAACCTCTGTTTTTGGCGAGCATTTTGCATAAAGTGCGTGGAAGCTCTTGCTTTCAAGCTTTGTTTACCGTTATTTGGCGACACGACCACGACTTAATGATGACGATGACTAATACCCTGCAAAGACTTTCTTTTGCCGAATTAACAAGTGACGCAGCAGCAACCGGAAAGTCGAGTTTACAATGCTCATCATCCAAAGTTAAAGGCCCTGCTCCTCGTCTCAGGTCTAGACTCGCATCCAATTCCTCGGAGAGCAAACCATGAGCATTATCATGATCGTGATAGTGATTCATTCCGGGTTAGTGTAGCCCGTGCAGGAAGCGATTCGCAAATTGACACCCCATTCACGATCCCAGGCCCAGCCACCATTAAGTACAGGGGAACGTAATACCGAGTAGCTACAGTGGGGCCTAGGCTTGAATTTTCATCTAAAACTTCTTTAACTTTTTAAGATAATGATCCATCCCTTTTGACTTGAAAACCTTCACCTAATGCTGCTATCTTGGATTAAAAATTATTTTCGAGTCATTAAAGCTCGGCTGTATTACCTCATAGGCGGTGACCAGTTGCGCGAGCAGGTTATTAGATGTAGCATTGGCCCTATCCTCGCTTCCCAGTAGGGTTATATGCAATCGATCCATCAGATGGTGCACCGAATGGGCATTGGGTGACACTGTCCACTCGGCAAATGTTATAAGCGTGGTCATTTCCAGCTTGTCCTTGTGGGCCTCGTAGTTTTGCATCTGTTGGTATCGCGAGGAGATCCTGTTGATCGTGTCTGTGATATCGTTCATTTTGGCCATAATGGGGGCGTTGTTGTGCATATAGCTGGTCACCGATTCGATGGCCAAGGCAACATATTGAGCGTGCTGAAGTGGGTTATTCCAAAAAAAAGAAGGTTAGGAGTTTCAGTTGCAGTAAATGTTGGTTTAATAAGTCGAATTTCGTATACCCTTGTAGTTATGATAGGAACTTACTAATTGATGATTTAATTGTGTTTAAATTCAACTAGTAAATACAAAGAAAAACAGACTCTTATAGGGAACATAATGTCTACAAGAAATTAATGAAAATGCTTGTATACACCACTGTCATACACTAAATGGCTTAGTACCCACTGCAAGGGTATCGAAACCGGGGTGGAAATTAGAGTGGCGGCTTGCGACTCTCAACCACCGCTGACTCACCTGCTCTTCGGTGTGGTCTATCTGCTTGCTGACTTCTTTGAGGCGCTGCAAGACCTTCTTCTGCTTCTCCCGCATCAGCGGAAAGTCAATGTTGGCCGCCAGTGGCGAGGATTGGACAATGTCCCAGGCCTTGAGCACACCGGAGGTGACCTCCTTGACCACATGGATGATGTCCAGTACATCCTCGATCAGCGCCTCTGCCGGTGTCGGTTGATGCAGTGATATCAGAGTTACCAGCAGCAGGGGAAGTCCCCATTTCCTAAACTCCATCATGGCGGGCGGCGGTGTGTGTGTGTTATTTGTTTGCTTACAATCTGATCGGAGGGGCGCCTTAAATATTATGTTTAAATTTCGCCAATACAGGAATTGTTTACACACACGCACACTCTCCCTCACACACAGACACACACACAGCCTAGCACGCAACTGCGCCCGCTGAAAATCGAAACGCGAATGAATACGGCCGCTATAAACAACAGAGAGTTCAGTTTGGCTCGGTTTCTGGGGCTCGAATTTGAATCGCTACTGCGCTGCCTCCGAGATTGATTAAAAAATGAGATGAAATGCGATGTGTCTGTGTTTTTCTTTTTCTGCCCCTTGCAGACTCAGACACTCTGACGCACACACAAACACATGAAGACACGCTCTTTTTCGTTGTTGCCTTTTGCTTTATGCTTTGTCACCAATGGTTCTTTTGTTGGTGGGGGGAGAGAGAGAGAGAGAGAGCGGTGGCAGCCAGCAAACATAGGTCACAGCATTAGTGCGAGCAGGCTGGCATGCTTGGCGAGCACATCAGCTGGGGCTCTCAGAGAGTTGACTTCCCAAAACGAGTTTTGATAACTCGGTGGCTCTGTGCTATCGGCCATCGATGTGTCACATCAGTTTTGATAGCTGCGGTATATCGGTAATCGTGGCCGTTATTTCTTTATTTTTTTTTGTAATGATCAAGTTTCTTGTTATCACCTTGCAGAGTATTATATTTTTTGTCGCAAAGTTTGAAAACCAGTGAAGGAGTCTTTTCCGACCCTATAAATCATATATATTCTTGATCAGCATTAAAAGCTGAATCGTTTTAGCCATCTCTGGGGGAAAAAAAAAATTGCTCTTTTTTTTCTCAAAATTTGATAAGGGGTTACATCATTAAATTGATAAAAAATTGGCAAAAAATTAAATTTAAAGAAACCATAAATACAGTATGCAGATTCTTAATTTTTTTTTAATTTTTTATTTTATAGGCTCAATATCTTAAGAATATTGTGTCCAAGTTTTAAATCGATCATAGGAATATTGACGAAGTTATGCAGATTTGAACAAAGGTCGCTTAGTGTTCAATGCATGAGAATCACAAAGTTTAAAGCACTCTCCTGAAAAATGAAATTTGGAACATAACTTCTATAGGTAATTGTACAGGTACTCACGTCGAGCTTTTTTTAAATTTTTATTTTATTATATTTTTTATTTAACAAATTAACTAATTTTTTTTAGTCAAAAATCGGGGTTTTGACTTCAAATTTTGATAAAAAATCGGAAAAAAAATTTTAAAAATAAAAACGCTTTGTGAATACCTCGGGACACTTATCCTTCAACGAATGAGGCATAATTTTTGGGGATCGGATGATTCTGTGGACAGTAAGGATGTACACCGCAAACAAACTTTTTTTGGAGGCGACTCGCGAGATTCCCTATAACTCCTCTACCTCTAAATATTTTTCAATACAAAATTTATCAAAAACTGTTCAAATGTTGTTTTATTATATGGTATTCGTTAAGCTAACTTTAGCAGTTTCGCCACAACATTTTATTGAAAAGTGGGCATTTTTGCACCGAATTAACCTTACTCCCCCTTAAGCTAATAAAAACTAGCACAAAAACGCTTTCTGAATTGAATTTAATGCATTCTTGGCTAGTTGTACATTTTTGAAATTTTTTGTAATCCAAAAATTATAAAAAAAATGTACAAATTTTTTTAAATTGTATTAAAAATTAAAAAAAAAAATGGTAAAATTGTAAATAAAGTATGCAGATTTATTAAATTTTGAATTGAAATTAATGCTTTTTGATCGAGTTATATTTTTAAATGTGCTCCTTAAAAAAATCTTTAGCTGATTATAGGAAGTTATTTTAATATAAACAGATTTTATACTACAAGAAAATATTTTTGGGTGAAGGAGCTATTACCGACCCTATAAATCATATACATATATTCTTGATCAGCATCATCAGCAGAATCGTTTTAGTATGTCCGAAGGAAATTCAGTTTTTAGCCATTGTTTTTACATCGTTAAAATAATCAAAAAATCACCCAAATTTTTAATTTGAAAAAATTATAAATGGAATATGCAGGTTTTTTATACTAATAAAAACTAACATAAAACCAGTTCCCGAATTTAAATTATTGAATTTAGCTTAGTTATGAACAATTTCAAATTCGATACCCTTATGAATATGGCATGAAACAGGTTGTATTTTCATATATATTCATCAGGTTATCGAATTTGACATTTATTAGCGGCTTTCCTTGATCCTTTCCTTCCTGCCCCCTTCTTGTTTTTATTTAAATTATAACTTTTAACTGAATTTCCTCTCCAATTGCCTCTTTGCAGAGCTTCTTTTACGAGATTTTGGCCGGAAAATGGGTGCGCAATGGACTGCAGATCAAGGGCCAGGCGATGACCTACATCCAGGCGAATTTCTGCAACTCGATGGCCGACATGGATCTGTTCTTTCTGCAGATCTGCGCCACCAACCTGCCGCAGTACTTCTTCCTGCAGAAGACCATCGAGCTGTTCGACGTGGCCCAGTGGCTGGAGACGGCGCCGCTGAAGCAGACGCAGAAGACGGAGCAGTCGTCGATGCTGGAGGGCTTCCTCACCTTCCTGGCCACGCTGGTCACGAGTCGCACCAATCTGGGCAACGACGAGGCCACACAGTGCATCATCGAGATCAGTGCGCTGCTCTCCACGGAGAACAAGACGCACTCGCAGCTCCTAGAACTGATGCCAGAGCGGTCGGGCAATGTGCACACCAAGAACTTTGAGACCTTCCTCAAGAAGCTGTCTGTGTACAAGGCGCCGTCGAGCGGCAGCGAGAACCTGGAACAGGGCCTGTTCACGCCCATCGATGAGGTGTGGGAGAAACATTACGATCCCCTCCATGTCCTCCTGCGGGCCGTGCATCGTCGCGACTTCCAGTCGTCGCTGGATCGCTTCACCAACTATGTGAAAAGCAAGGACAAGATGCCGGCGAGCGGTAATCTCTGGCCGCCGTTCCGCCTGCCGCAGGCATTGCCCGCCACCAGCTCCTTCAGCGATCCCTGTCGCATCCTCAATTCGCGCGTCTTCCACTCCACCATCCTGTCGATCCTCTTTCGTGCCGTCCACACGCGCGATGTCTCGGAGCATGTGCTGGCTTTGGCCATCTTTCTGCTCGAAATTGCCGTGGAGACCAGCGAGGATGTGGGTGGCAGTGGCGTTAGTGGCAGCGGTGCTCCGCCTGCTGCTGCCATGGTGGAATCATCGGGCGGCTCAGGCTATCATCATGGCTACGGCTCTGGCTGCCAGGAGCCACCGAAGCTGTTTCAGTGCTATCCCACGGACAACCTCAGCTGCAATCTCCGTCAGATGGTCAAGAAGGTGTCGCTAAAGTCGCGCGACCCGCAGGTGGTCACCTCCAGCTACCGCTCCAATCCGTTCTACTCGGATCTTGACTTTGATGTGGACGCGGACCCGGAGCAGGCGTTGCGCATGATTGGTCAGTCGGAATCTGAGGGCGAAGATGCTACAAGAGGAGGCGCTGGAGGAGGAGCTGGCGCCATCGGTGGTGGACTGGCCGCAGCGGGCGGTGTTAGAGGACGGAGTGTATCAGAGGCCCTGGCCCTGATGCGAGTGCCTGGCATGGAGGTGGCCCTGCCGCCTGATCTTTCGGTGGTCGCCGAAACGGGCGTTGTGATCCGCCAGGACAGCAACGAAGATGAGCTGCTAAGAGATGGCGATGATCATGCCATGGACATGAGTCCAGCCGCCGCCCTCGACTTTCACTTTCCGCTGCAGCAGATTACGTTACCGGAGAGCGGCATGGAGGTGGCCATACGCCGGGATCTCCTGCTAGCCGAGACGAACAATGGGGGAGGAGGCGGCGGCGGAGCTGGAACTGGTACCGGACCCGGAGCTGGTGGAGCTGTTGGTGGTATCACACATACACCGGCGGCCAGCAATGAGATGTTCTCCCCGACCACGCCCACGGGCAGTGGCATGCTGCTGCCCTTCCAGCGGGTCCAGCCCGTGGCCGTGCCAAGCAGCAGCGTCAACATGGACATTGTGCCATCGAATGTCGGCGGTGGCGGTGGCGGCGGTGGCAGTAGCTTCACCTCGGGCGTCAGCGGCGCCGTCGGCACTGGCAGTGGCAGTGGCGGTGGCCGGCGGATGAACTATGAGGCTGGCGGAGCCCGCAAACGATCTGTGGACATTGCCATCGGCGGTGGCAGCAACAAAGATGAGCTGAATCTGGACGAGAGCATACTGTCGCTGCTGCTGAAGTTGCACTCGCAGCTCTCGGGCACCCTGGATAGCTTCTCGTTGAGTGATGGCGAGGAGCGAGCCGAGGATTCCATGGATGTGGACTGCAATGAGGCCAGCACCTCGAGCACCGCCTTGGCTGAACGCGGACGTGGCAGTGCCAGCGGCGGCAGGCGCAACTACAAGAACATCCACGTGTCCACCTCGCGGATCGGCGACGGACCCTTCTTCATTGGCAATCTGCTGCGCAAGATAGCCAAGCAGGACGAGCTCTGCGCCCAGAGCATCGACGAGATCCGTGCCCGCTTGTGGCCCAACCAGCGGGAGAAGCAGGCGGAGGCCAAGGCTCGCGAGACCAAGGAAAAGGAGGAGCGTCGCAAGAAGGCGCGCGAGCGCCAGCAAAAAATGATGCAGGATTTTGCCAACAAGCAGAAGCAATTCATGCAATCTGCGGCCGCGGCGGCCAGCAGCATGGACTACGGCCTGGAGGATGACGACGAGGAGGAGCTGTACGAGGAGCAGCCGCGCGAAAAGGAGTACGACTGCATCATCTGCAATTGCACCACGCCCAGCACCGAATCGAATCCCATCGGCCTGGTGGTGCTGGTCGAGTCCAGCGGGATCGTTGGCCACCGTCGGCGCATACCCGAGAGGCTGCCTCTGCCGCTAAACGTTGAGGATGAGTACCAACTGGCGCATGCCACCCGCCTGGCCGCCGAATTTGGACGCCGCACAGAGCTGCTCAGCATGAAGTTCGGCGACGAATCCTGGTATCTCTCCAACAACATGGCCTACGACAACGGGGTCCATGTGCAGTCGTGTGGCCATCATGTCCATCTTGGCTGCCTGGAGGCATACCTCAAAACGCTGTACACCACCCAGCGTCAGCCTGTGCAGGATCGCGGTGAGTTCTACTGCCCGGTGTGCCGGCAGCTCTCCAACTCGGTGCTGCCACTCAGCCCGCAGCTGGACAGGCCCACGCATCTGGTGCGCTCGGGTAATCAGCCCTTTGAGCGCCTCGTGGCCGACCTAACCGATCTTATCAAGGAGAACGAGACGATTCCGGTGAGTATATAGAGCACAGGGATACCTTAAAGATGCATTCTAATAATTTCCTTTTCCAATTCTCACCTTTAGCAGCCCACAAAGCTAACAGAGGCCATGGGCCATGCCATGGAGGTGATGACCAATATAGCCCAGCGCAAGGTCAAGTGCGCCTCCATCACCTTCCGCAAACTGTTCATCTTTGTGACCTCGATTGCCCGCACCAACCTGGAGGCGGAGATCATACAGCGTGGGGGATCGCTATGCTCGGCGAATGCCACGCGTTACAAGCCGAAAAGGGACTGCATTGTGCCGCTGCTGCATGTGCTGTCAGTGCATGTCCGGGTGCTGGTGGAGTGGCCTCTGTGGAGCAGCTGGGCCTCCTTGGCTGGTTTGCCTGTAAGCGAAACGGAGCCTTTGCCGGCGCACTGCCTGGAGCTGATACCCAGCCTGCTGGCAGATCCCATAGCTTTGCTGCTGAAGTTTATACTGCTGGCGCCGCTGCATCTCGATCAGGGTGAGTCTTTATGGTGTCCATTAATTGATTCCTATAATCCTCTCCTGCTCTCTCCTCCCCAGACTACTTTACCTGCATGGTGAAGGTGATGTACAACCTGTTGTACTATCAAATAGTGGTCCAGCTGTGCGTCACTCTCACGGATCTCGAGTGCGATCACATACTGGCCACCTATGGGAGCAGTAGCACCAGCGACAGCGATGGCAGTGCCTCTGGGGAGGCCTCTGCCACGTACACACGACGCCGCCTTGGCCACCATCATCAGCAGCAACAGCAGGTCAACTCCTCACAGCTGGGCAAGGCCATGGCCTTGGTCTTGGGACACACCAACAAGCTGTCGCATCTGCGACGTGACAGTATACCCAGCACCAGCAGTTCGGCGGCAGCAGCAGCAGCGGCCGCCTCGACATCCTCCGTTGTTACCTCCTCCTCCTCCTCATCATCCGAGGTCAACCTCAAGTCCATGGAGCTGCAACTGCAGACGCTGTGCCTGCCCTTTCTGCGTGTGGCCGCTTTGCTGCGTCAGCATCTGTATCACCACGAGATGCCAGAGATATCGGCGCCACCGCTGGAGTTTGTGCGTCTCGTGTACTACCTGGAACTGGTCACCGACTCCATGGACTGGGATTGCTTCAATGCCAGCAAGGGTCTGTGCTTTATACCCGGCACCGAGCAGACGCTGCCGCAGTTCTGGTGCCAGCAGCTAATGGACGTGCGTCCGCCCACGGATACGGTGCGGGAGCTGGTGCTCATCAATCAGCATTCGTTGTGGCAGCAGCCGCGACTCCTCGAGCTGCCGCGCGAGTACGAGCGCTTGTTTACGGTGAGTTAACGAACCTTAAGGTTGGATTAGGATCTGGAATTAAAAGGCTTTGTGTCTTTCGACAGTACTACCATGAACGGCCCTGCCTCAACTGCTACAAGGTGCCCAAGGAGAGCTCCATCTGCCTGCTGTGCGGGACGATTGTGTGCCTCAAACAGAACTGTTGTGCGGAGAATGACTGCTGCGAGGCGGTGCGGGTAAGTGCCAGCTATTAAATTATTATTATATTATATATATTTTTTTTATATATATATTTTTTTTATATATTTTTTTATGTATATTTTTTTTATATATATTTTTTTTTAAATATTTTTTTAATATATATATTTTGCCTATATTATTAATATATTATTATTCTTATTTGTTTAGCACACCCTATCCTGCGGCGGCGGCATTGGCATCTTCCTGGTGGTCACCTCGACGTACATCATCGTCATACGAGGCCGTCGTGCCTGCCTGTGGGGCTCCCTCTACTTGGACGACTTTGATGAGGAGGATCGCGATCTCAAGTGAGTGTTTCCCTGCGACGATTCATCTATGATGTGTTCCATCTATCGATGCAGCATCGATATGGGGATACTTTTGGTTAATCCTTCCTAGTTACAAACCTTGGCTTAACTCCTTCCTCCCCTGCAGGCGCGGCAAACCGTTGTACTTGAGTCAGGATCGCTTCAACCTGCTGGAGTCGCAGTGGCTGTCGCACAAGTTTGCCCACACAAAACACACCTGGGTATTCCATCGGGATCTCTTGTGAAATATGGAAGACTTACTGCGCAGCATACAGGAGCTGGTTGGCCAGATCTAAGCGAAACACTGAAGCTGCAATGGGCCGCTCCCAACCTAGTCGAACCACTCAGCCCGAAGCTCCTCCGACACACACACGCACACAATCTCCAAATCTCCAATCATCCAAATCTCCAATCATCTCCAGCCTCTTTCACCTCCGTCCCCATCGTGTTTCCTTTTTATTTTCTATGTTGTTTGCGGAGGAGGAGAAGGAAGGTGGGGAGTAGGAGTAGGATATGCCAGGCAATCTCTTGTGTCCACGTCACCAAGCACCTTAGAAAGCAACCCTGGCAATTTACAGTTAATTGATATTACACACGCCCTTTATACATATATTACAAGCATACTTCTAATACGAATACGAAACGCAGCCACATAAAGGATTTATGTCAGCAAATCTCCGGTCAGAAAAGAAGGAAACGTTTAGCAAGAAATCTAGTACGACTTATAAATATATATATATATATAATAAATATATAAATATGCTATATGAAGAAGCAAGGAAGCGGCGAAGGAGTTCAGTTTCAGTCGGTCTCTCTAAAGATAAGTCTTAGGACCTTAACTCTATAGATTTTTTTTTCCCCTTAGGTAAAAGCAAAGGCAAAAGAGATCGAGTAACGAGTAAACCAACAACAAACACAAAAAAACACACTACCGACACATGAAATATTATCAAAATTGTCTACGTTTTTGGCCTCATGAGATTGTGCATGTAAAAAATGAATAAAAAGAAATTTTATATAGTTAATATATATATATAAAATATAACTAAAGTTAATGCAACGTTAAAAAAACAAAAAAAGAAATTACACAAATAAACGAAAAGCGAATTGTGAATTGCGTAGAAATTAGTTTGCATAACACACACTTTATATTATATTATTAAACATATTATAGACGTTATGTAATAAGTCGAGACAAGGAAGGAGGCGAAGAAGAGCTAGGTGAATTTTGTTGTCTTACGTTTTCCCCCCCTCAAACTTGGCACCCTCCTTGCTTACACCCGGAAGTGATTCCCAGATCTAAAGAGCTCTCTTTTTGGATTTCCAGGGGATTACACAAGAGAACGTCCTAGCAATTAAATACATCTGTAAATTTAAGGTTTTTGAAGTTGTGAAATTTATTTGTAATTAAAGCAAAAAATTCAGCGAAACTAAAAAAAATTAAAAGAAAAAGGTTGTCGTAAATTGGTGTTTCCATCGAATTCTAGAGCAATTATTTGGTTTAAACGAGTTTTTATAGTATGAGTTTCCTTTCAAAAAAGAGAAAAGACACGAGAAATAATATATTTAATGAATATTTTAATATTAGGGATTGTAAATACACCAAAATCGATATATATATATTTAGAGATATTTTCCCATTCGATTTCCTTTTTTTTTTTTGCTAGTTATACAAATCTATACGTTTTGGTTCGGCCTCCTAGACTAAATAACTAATAAATACTCCACACAAAACACTCAAAGCGAGACGATAAACAATTAACAATTTCCGATTAAAGCACAGTCTAGAACACACACACACTATAGTTAACTTCGCCCCCAAAACGCAAAGCTAAATCTATATGTATGTATACAAAGTCAGGAGTGAGCCAAGAAAAGCCCCAGAATAAAATCGAGAAACCATTTAAAAAGTAATATTTATTTTACATACGTATAACAAAAATCTATAATCATCGATATATTTGATTTCTTTTAATGGTGTTTGCCACAGTGCGAACAGGGCTTTCGAGCCACGCACTTGGTCATCTCGGCCGGGGCTGGTGAAGCCAGAATCAGCTTGTTGACCGACTCCATCTTGGCAGCGTGCTCATTTAGCTTACCCGTCATTTTGGCACGAATCTCGTTGCGGCACTCCAGGACCTGGCGGAACTGCTCCACGGCACGTTCCACATTTATCCCCGGCAAATCCGAGGGATGGACTATGACCTCGAAGCGGGCAGTGGCCAGGTCACCGGCAGCCTCGGCAATATCATCCAGATTGCTGTCGACGGTGAAGTAGCTGTAGATCTTGGTGCAACCGGGGCATCCAGTTCTCTTGGAATTACCATTCAGATTGGATTTTCTAGCCTTGGCCTGTGTGATGAGGGAGTGTACTTGCTGATGGGACTCGATCTGGGGCGAAGAGCCCTTAGTCTGCTCAGGGTCGTACTCCTCCGTCTCGCACTCATCAGGATTAGCCGCGTACGCATCGGTCTCACTGTCATCTTCCTCGTAATCCACATACTCGATCCCTTCTGCCTCGTAACCTCCCTCGGACGCGTCGTACTCTTCGGCTACGTACTCTTCGGTTTCGTAATCTTTGGAATTATCCTGGACTTCGACCTCGGCTTCCGATTCCTCAGCTACCGCTTCTTCAGTTTCCGTGTTCTCAGCTTCCGTTGCCTCAGCAAACGCTTCCTCAGCCACCACTTCCTCAGCTTCAGCTTCCTTAGATACCGCCTCCTCTGCTAAGGATTTCTCAAATTCCGCATCCTTAATTATAAATATCTCAACTTCCTCATCGTCTTCATCATCGAGTTCCTCAATTATGTAAACCTCAAACTCCGCATCGACTCCCTCAACTTGCGCTTCCTCAATTTCTGCTTCTTCAATTTCCGCTTCTTCAATTTCCGCTTCCTCAATTTCCACTTCCTCAACTTTCGTCTCTCCAGCCTGATTAGGTCTATCCATTTTCAGCGCAGCATCCCGATACTCCTGGGCTTCCTGGAACTCCTCCTGGACTTCCAGAAACTCCGGCTCTTCTTCATCTTCATCATCCTCAGACGAAGACGCAAATATACACTCAATCTTGGGTATTATCTTAAAGAAGCAACCCATGAGGAAGGCCCCAAAGAAATCCGTCCGGATGGCGCCCCTTGGCACATGGCTCGATTCGATGAGGACGAAACCCTTGGGCTTGCCAGCGGCCGCCGACATCTTAAAGTCATTGGAGCGCTTAGTGCTCTCGGGGAGGGGTACCCTGGTGTTTGGATTGTACTGCTTAGCGGCTGCCATATTCCTCAAAGCCAGCCTCTTCAGCTGCATGGCCACCAAGTCGATTTTGTCAACTTCCTGCTTGCGATGACCCACAAACAAAGGCGGCGTTATCGAGTAGTGATGCTGCTCCAGGTCAACGTGTGTACGTATGGCACCCTGGAACACAGAGTCAGGCAGCGAGCCCGGCGGAAAGACGCACCCAGCATCACAGAAATCGGGCAGGAAGCGCAGGGGCAGGAAACGTGGCCCAAAACGGTTGGTGTCCACAGGAAATATATCCGCGGGCAGCTCGAATCTGGGACAGAACTCGTTGCCCATGGTGGACAGCGCCACCTCGGGTACGTTTGGCTGATGGACGGTCGAGATGACGGCCACGGTGATTAGATTAATTTCCTGCATCTCAAAGATAACCTTACTAAGATCCGGGGCATACATGTTGTACTGCATCTGCACGGGAACGGCATTGGGATAGCAGGACGGTGGCTTGCGGTAGACCGGCATAACGACCATCTCGATCACAGAGACATTGTGGAGGACAAGGAGGCGATTCATCTGAGCCGTAACGGCGGCACTGGGCTTCAGTATGCTGCGCTTGTAGGCCGGCGAAGGCGGCGGTGCCGGTGTCAGCGGTTGGATACGTTTGGGTGGGGACTGGATCTGCCCCCTGGCCTTGCCATTGCCATTGCCCTTGGCCTGTGACCCTTGAATCCCCTTGTGTAGGATATATCTCGAGCTGCGTTGTCCTATAAACAGGGGCGGCGTTTGTCCCCTGTGCTCGGCATTCAACAAATCCGTGGGATAATATTTACGGGCCAGGACACCGGTTCCAAAGACCCCACCGGCATCGAACCCCATCGGGAGCAGCTCCTCCGGCAGGAATGTGATCTTCCAAATGGGTGCGCCACGAGGAAAAATATCGGGGGGCAGCTCGAAGCTGGGACAGCGTGCTCCGCGCAGCCTCAAGGCGGCCACCGGATCATGGCCATAGGTCAACAGGGGCGTGATCACCAGACGCATGTCCTGCTCGTAAACCATTTTGGGGAACATCAGGCTCTTTAGATTGGGTAAAAACTTGGGCTTCAGGGAGATCATGTGCTGGCCGGGTTCATCCAGTTGCTGGAGTGCCTCCTCTGTGAGCGGAGCAGGAGGCGGCGGCAATAGGGAGCCGGATAGTAGCCGGGTTTCCTCCGGCGAAAGATTGACAATGCCGGAAGGGGCCTGTTCGCCGCGAGCCATAGTTTTGCCTGATTAAGGGAGGGCGGGGAGAAAAAGTAGAGGTAGAAGGAAATGGAGATTACAATATATGTATATATACACTGCGCGTCACCAGATTAGCGCCCCCCTTGGTGCTCGCGTTTGAAGTAAAATATTATCAAAACTATTAAAGATTGAACTGTACAATTATTATCCAATATAATTCGATTAATTCTCTAAATAAAAACATATATTAGAACGCAGTTGGTATTTGCATAGAATTGTATTAAATTAAAAACTAAAGAAACACGTTTATTTGGAAGAAAAAACTGCGTCATCAGATTAGCGCCACCTACATTAACTTAACTTTTTTTGATAAAGTTCTTACAAAATACTATCTTTAACAATTTTATGATTAAGTTTAATCATTTTTAAGGAAATTTAATAATGGGTTGCCCCTCCCTTGTTTACAAGGACTTCACAAACTCGATTGGGGAGAGAGTCATACAAGTTTTTGAAATATTCCAACGTTATTGTTGACCAGGCCTGTTTTATACTGTGAATTAAATCCTCCTTGGTAGCATATTGCTTGCCACCCTCGTACACCTTCCTAGCTAACCATCCTCAGACGTTTTCTATTATGTTCAGGTCTGGGGAGTATGGGGGCCACTCCAGGACACTGACATTTTCCGTTTGATTCCATAGTTTTACGGACCGGGCTCTGTGGATTGGGGCTTAGTCGTGCTGAAAATGCTATTTCAGATTTCGAAATAAGTTTTTAAAAACGGGAAATGCTGTTTTTAGAACGCAATTGTAATTTTCCGCGTTCATCTTTGGGGTTAAAAACTGCAGTTCGCAGTTGCCATAATAGGATATGGCTCCCCATACCATTACTCCTCCAACCCGACTATGTAAGCGATCCAGATGATGCTCTTCCTTGCGTAAATAGTGGAAATAATAATTATATCCGTCAGGACCCCCTAGGTTACATTTTTTCGTCTGAAAATACGACGTTATGCCTCTCATTGGATCATGTCATATGCGTGTGAGCAAACTTTAGGCGGATTTCTGTTCGCACTTGGTTAAGGGGTGGTTTTTTTTTTAGTTTTAGCTTCTTTAAAGGGTCAGCTTTCTTGATCACCTTTAAAAAAGTCGATTTTATTGTCTTAACACAAGTTTTTTCTATTATTTTGGCGGTAGAGTCGTGGGAGTTACACGCCTCTCGAAGTATAGCACTGCGATCTGCAGAACTAATAACACTGTTATTACCTCCTTTGTAATTTTTTCCATAGCTTTTCTTATTTTGAAGAAAATTTGCAATGGTTTTGCGATGTCTTCTCGTTTTTTCGACGATTTTGTGAAGAGAAAGTCCACATTCATTAAACGCTTCGATTTTCGATTTTTCCTCCGAAGATAAGATTGTTCCTCTGCCCATATTGTATGTCAAATTGAAGAAAAATGTTTAATTTAACAGCAAAAAAAAAATAGTTGCTGTGCTCAGCAAGTTAAGAAAGATGTTTAAATTTATATTTTGGGGGCGCTAATCTGATGACGCAGTTTTTTCTTCCAAATAAACGTGTTTCTTTAGTTTTTAATTTAATACAATTCTATGCAAATACCAACTGCGTTCTAATATATGTTTTTATTTAGAGAATTAATCGAATTATATTGGATAATAATTGTACAGTTCAATCTTTAATAGTTTTGATAATATTTTACTTCAAACGCGAGCACCAAGGGGGGCGCTAATCTGGTGACGCGCAGTGTATATATATATGTGTGTATGTGTGAAGAACTGTCAAAAAAGGGGAATACAAATTGGCGATAAAGGGACTAGCTTGATGGTGTGCGTGTGTGTTGAGGTGTATATGTACATATATGTTAGGTGTCAAAATAAAAGAAAAAGGAGAAAAAAAGGTGACTTGGAATTTATGCGTAGATGTGTGTGTGTAATTAAAGGAATATAAATCAAAAGAAAAGAAAAATGAAAATGGTTTGCAAGTATGTAAGTCATTTTCACAAATTCATTAAAAAAAATTGTACAAAAAACACAATTATTTGCTGATGTTTTTGTAATCAAATAATAAATTAATAAATAAATATTTTCTGGTGTCCTGTCCCCCGGTCTTCCCTGCACTCACCACCTTTGGGATTCTTCTCCATTTTCAAGCGAAAAATAAAATATCACCAAAATAATAGCACTGAAAAAGCGAGGAACTACGAGTATCCTTTTGTTGGCAAACGAAAGATGAAAGCACGGCCGATGCCTCGTTGTAAAAAGTATTACAAAACCGAATTTGAATGCCAGGAAAGCCAATAATCAGAAAGTTTTTGGTTTTTTGTAGGTCTACGAAGGTGAGATTCTGATGAACGACTAAAAAATTCGAACACCAAATAGAAACTATAATGACAGGTGTGTTTAGAATAGCCTACTTTGATTTTAAAGTTCGAAGTAAAAAGTTACTCTTCCAAAAAACAGGGGGGCACACCTAGGGGACAGTATTGCCAAGGAGTGAGAGTTGTCATCAATGACAGGAGTTTATACAGCTTTTAAACTTTAATTTAAACTCTACGAGGAGCCGATGCACCATAAATATACCTTATATAGTATATCCCTGAGATGGAAAAACTAGCAGTTCCTCCAGAGTTTTTGGAGATTTCGAAACAACATGTTTCCTAACTCATTTTAATTTTTAGGAAAACGTAAACAAGAGTATTGTTTTATTTTTTACAATATTTAAACATTATTGATTAAGGTTTTAATGAGGAATCGTACATATGTATTATGGGTATCTTAAATCGATATTTATATGTTTCCTAACTCATTTTAATTTTTAGGAAAACGTAAACAAGAGTATTGTTTTATTTTTTACAATATTTAAACATTATTGATTAAGGTTTTAATGAGGAATCGTACATATGTATTATGGGTATCTTAAATCGATATTTATATATAATAATATTTTTCCATATAAATGTTTTTGCTAATATAAAATTTAAGCCAAAAATTAATTTATTTCATTTTATAAATATTAAATTATTATAAAAATTTCAAAATTTGTGTTTATCTTTAGCATATTTAATGACCTGATATTTCCAAATTATATTATATTATATATGTTTATATGGATGGGTTGCTGCAGAGAGGTCTTCGGGAATTAGGAGAGAAACAATGAGTGCACACCATTGTTTTTACTCAAATTCAACATTTCTCACTCATTGCACAGATTAGCTCGCTGATTCTTTGAGAGCAACGACTAAAATAACTCAAAGACCCAATGAAAAAGAACAACTGTTGTTGTGGTTAATGGCATTTATTGTAAATATATTGTTTTTATTGTTGTAGAAACAACAAGGCTTCAATTTGGACATTTTCAGTACAACTTCATACATTTCTGGGAGTCAAGTACCAGGCGAACAGAATCAGCAGGAGGTGGATTAACATTGGTGCAAATCAATATTTTCACTCAATGTTAATACTTCCACTCATTGTTTTCACTCTTCGCCACTCTGTGTTCGAAAGTTGTTCGAAACCGAGAGACGGACCATTTACGAAAGCGGGAGAGCAGCGGTTACCATAACTCTTTCACTTAATGGATTTTCAGAGCTGCAAGTGAGCTACGGACTCCGCTCTCCTGCTCTTTTCTCACCAGTTACGGCCTTCGGGGATTTAGAGAGCCGAAATGAGCGCACAGCATTGTTTTTACTCAAATTTAACATTTCCCACTCATTGCACAGATCAGCTCGCTGATTCTTTGAGAGCAACGACTAAAATAACTCAAAGACCCAATGAAAAAGAACAACTCTTGTTGTGGTTAATGGCATTTATTGTAAATATATTGTTTTTATTGTTGTAGAAACAACAAGGCTTCAATTTGGACATTTTCAGTACAACTTCATACATTTCTGGGAGTCAAGTACCAGGCGAACAGAATCAGCAGGAGGTGGATTAACATTGGTGCAAATCAATATTTTCACTCAATGTTAATACTTCCACTCATTGTTTTCACTCTTCGCCACTCTGTGTTCGAAAGTTGTTCGAAACCGAGAGACGGACCATTTACGAAAGCGGGAGAGCAGCGGTTACCATAACTCTTTGACTCAATGGATTTTCAGAGCTGCAAGTGACCTACGGTCTCCGCTCTCCTGCTCTTTTCTCGCCAGTTACGGCCTTCGGGGATTTAGAGAGCCGAAATGAGTGCACAGCATTGTTTTTACTCAAATTCAACATTCCTCACTCATTGCACAGATCAGCTCGCTGATTCTTTGAGACTAAAATAACTCAAAGACCCAATGAAAAAGAACAACTGTTGTTGTGGTTAATGGCATTTATTGTAAATATATTGTTTTTATTGTTGTAGAAACAACAAGGCTTCAATTTGGACATTTTCAGTACAACTTCATACATTTCTGGGAGTCAAGTACCAGGCGAACAGAATCAGCAGGAGGTGGATTTACATTGGTGCAAATCAATATTTTCACTCAATGTTAACACTTCCACTCATTGTTTTTAATCTTCGCCACTCTGTGTTCGAAAGTTGTTCGAAACCGAGAGACGGACCATTTACGAAAGCGGGAGAGCAGCGGTTACCATAACTCTTTCACTTAATGGATTTTCAGAGCTGCAAGTGAGCTACGGTCTCCGCTCTCCTGCTCTTTATTTGCCAGTTACGGTATTGGGGCATTTCGAGAGCCGAAATGAGTGCACAGCATTGTTTTTACTCAAATTTAACATTTCCCACTCATGCACAGATCAGCTCGCTGATTCTTTCAGAGCAACGACTAAAATAACTCAAAGACCCAATGAAAAAGAACAACTGTTGTTGTTGTTAATGGCATTTATTGTAAATATATTGTTTTTATTGTTGTAGAAACAACAAGGCTTCAATTTGGACATTTTCAGTACAAATTCATACATTTCTGGGAGTCAAGTACCAAGCGAACAGAATCAGCAGAAGGTGGACTTGCGTTAGTGCAAACGAATATTTTCACTCAAACTACGATATTTCTCTGGGCTGGACAGCTCAGATACGGTATTCGCAAGTAATGGGTTGCACTCATCTTTACTCTTTAATTTGCGTAAGACCGTAACTGGCGAACACAGAGCAGGAGAGCGAAGGTCAGAACTCGCAGCGCTGAGCGGAATCGTAATTAAGAGAATAAAAAACGTGCTCTTAACTTTGCATCTTAATTCCCCGAAGATGGTAACTAACAAACAAAGAGAAGGAGAGCGAAGATGAGCTGATATGTAGCTTTGAAAGATATCGTTAATTGAGTAAAAATAGTATCGTAATTTGAGTGAAAATATTCGTTTGCACTAATGCAAATCCACCTCCTGCTGATTCTGTTCGCCTGGTACTTGACTCCCAGAAATGTATGAAGTTGTACTGAAAATGTCCAAATTGAAGCCTTGTTGTTTCTACAACAATAAAAACAATATTCCTACAATAAATGCCATTAACAACAACAAGAGTTGTTCTTTTTCATTGGGTCTTTGAGTTATTTTAGTCGTTGCTCTCAAAGAATCAGCGAGCTTATCTGTGCAATGAGTGGGAAATGTTAAATTTGAGTAAAAACAACGCTGTGCGCTCATTTCGGCTCTCTAAATCCCCGAAGGCCGTAACTGGCGAGAAAAGAGCAGGAGAGCGGAGACCGTAGGTCACTTGCAGCTCTGAAAATCCATTGAGTCAAAGAGTTATGGTAACCGCTGCTCTCCCGCTTTCGTAAATGGTCCGTCTCTCCGTTTCGAACAACTTTCGAACACAGAGTGGCGAAGAGTGAAAACAATGAGTGGAAGTATTAACATTGAGTGAAAATATTGATTTGCACCAATGTTAATCCACCTCCTGCTGATTCTGTTCGCCTGGTACTTAACTCCCAGAAATGTATGAATTTGTACTGAAAATGTCAAAATTGAAGCCTTGTTGTGTCTACAACAATAAAAACAATATATTTACAATAAATGCCATTAACAACAACAACAGTTGTTCTTTTTCATTGGGTCTTTGAGTTATTTTAGTCGTTGCTCTCAAAGAATCAGCGAGCTGATCTGTGCATGAGTGGGAAATGTTGAATTTGAGTAAAAACAATGCTGTGCACTCATTTCGGCTCTCGAAATGCCCCAATACCGTAACTGGCAAATAAAGAGCAGGAGAGCGGAGACCGTAGCTCACTTGCAGCTCTGAAAATCCATTAAGTGAAAGAGTTATGGTAACCGCTGCTCTCCCGCTTTCGTAAATGGTCCGTCTCTCGGTTTCGAACAACTTTCGAACACAGAGTGGCGAAGAGTAAAAACAATGAGTGGAAGTATTAACATTGAGTGAAAATATTGATTTGCACCAATGTTAATCCACCTCCTGCTGATTCTGTTCGCCTGGTACTTGACTCCCAGAAATGTATGAAGTTGTACTGAAAATGTCCAAATTGAAGCCTTGTTGTTTCTACAACAATAAAAACTATATATTTACAATAAATGCCATTAACAACAACAAGAGTTGTTCTCTTTCATTGGGTCTTTGAGTTATTTTAGTCGTTGCTCTCAAAGAATCAGCGAGCTGATCTGTGCAATGAGTGGGAAATGTTAAATTTGAGTAAGAACAATGCTGTGCGCTCATTTCGGCTCTCTGAATCCCCGAAGGCCGTAACTGGCGAGAAAAGAGCGGGAGAGCGGAGTCCGTAGGTCACTTGCAGCTCTGAAAATCCATTGAGTCAAAGAGTTATGGTAACCGCTGCTCTCCCGCTTTCATAAATGGTCCGTCTCTCCGTTTCGAACAACTTTCGAACACAGAGTGGCGAGGAGTGAAAGTATTAACATTGAGTGAAAATATTGATTTGCACCAATGTTAATCCACCTCCTGCTGATTCTGTTCGCTGGTACTTGACTCCCAGAAATGTATGAATTTGTACTGAAAATGTCAAAATTGAAGCCTTCTTGTTCCTACAACAATAAAAACAATATATTTACAATAAATGCCATTAACAACAACAAGTTGTTTTTTTCTATTGGAATTTTGAGATATTTTAATCGTTGGTTTCAAAGAGTCGGCGATTTCTTTATTGGGAGAAAATGGATTGTACATTTCTTAATATTTGATAGGGAATAGGAATGTACATTTATGATTTTTGGAAATTAATGGCATCTTATGTTGTTAATCGGACCTGGAATATTCGCTTTTTTTAAATCGATGTTTATTAATATGTTCATATACTAGTTTTTTGGGCAAATCAAAGTTTTTAAAAATAAAATATAATATATTTAATATATAATATATTTTAACTATGCCAAAATATTAAGTTTAAAAAAATATATATTTTTTGTGTTAATTTTTTTGATGACTTTTTATAAAATAAAATGGTTATTGAATTAATTATTTCTATTAGAAAATATATGATTTATAGTGTTTTCTTCACTGACTAAAATTAAAATAGCCTCCAAGTGTAATAATATATTTCCCTATGGAAAACGTAAATATATTCAAAGCTTAGCATCAAATATAGGTTTAATTATTTAAGAAACTCATTAAGTATTTACTGCTTTCATGTTTTAAGGTACTTCTTTTGTGGAATTTTTTTATTTTATTTTATATATTTTATTATATTTTTTCCCAACATTAACTTAACTTATACCCGACTTCTTAGACAATATTATTATCAATATTATTTCTTCCCTCTTATTTCGTTAAACTCACCTCTTTGTAAGCTATCCGGCAACTATTCAAAGCTCTTTGCCTGTTCAACTAACTCATCTAAGCATTGGATATAGCCATTTATGCCCGATGGCTTTGTAAGATGAGTCCCAGGGCTCTGGCACCAGTCGGTATCAGAGCCATTCCACGACAATTTCCGGGGAACAGGCCACGACTCCGAATCCAATACATAAGTAAATAATGAATAAACCTAAATAAATAATTAACCACTGCTATTTAGATTTAAAGAAGTTTTTCTGTGTGTATTTTTTGTACTTTCAATTGATTTCAGTTTATTTGCTTGCATTTACAAAAAGAAAAAAAATTCATATATATTTGCTATATATATATCCGACCATTAAAACAAACAATTTGCATTCACTAAAAGTAATATATGTATAGAGAGGAGGGGGGAGAGGCTACACACACCATCAGGTGTAAGTGTGGATTAGGATCCCAGGATCTCCGTTTCCCTCCGTAAAAAATATACAACTATATGCATATATATTTATATATATAGGTTTATATATATATATATATATGTATATACAAAGTTTTGTGGACAATGTTGTGCCTGCATTGCAATATGTGTGTGTGTGTGTGTGTGTGTGGGAAAGAGTGTGCTGTGGGTTGGCAAGGCCATCTTCGTTATTCTTCGTATGCTAAGAGCTAAGCCTAAGTCTTGGTTGCTATATTATAAAACCTAGAGGAGAGAGAGGTCTCATCCGAATGAGGTTATCCGGATAATTGAGTAGTAGTTTCTGGGGGGTGGTGGTGAAGTGGCGGCGCCTCAATTGTAGTTTCACTTTGTTGTGTATTAGCTAGTTTTTGGTTTCATTATTCGCCCTGCTCCGATTCTCCTTGTCCTCGTCCTTGCTCAGGGGATGATGCTCTCCCTGCTCCAAGCCAGCAGCACACTCGCCAAGATCCGCTGTGCTGCTCGGCTGCTTCTGTCCCGTTTGCTCTGGTGTCGTCACCACCTCGTCCTCCTCCCGCCTGTGCCTATGATACCGATGATGATGATGATGATGTCGCATAGCCTCTTCCTTGCTCTGAATCGTGGTCTTGTCTAGCTTCAAATCGATCTCCACATCGGAGTCCATTTCAGTCTCGGAGAAGCACAACGAATTGCCGGCACGCGGCACCTGGATGCGTCGACGATCCTGCACGAATATATATACTTTAAGTTTTTGCTAATCCCTAAACCTTCACCCAACAACTCCCACCGTATTCAGCGTTGTCGGCTCCGAGATATAGCCATCACAGTCTTCGTCCTCGCTAAAGATCTCCGCCCCGGTGTTGACCGCATACACCTCCGGCAGTCGGCACACGATCTGCGCCAGATCGATGAAGGTGTACTCGTTGAGGGAGGCATGGTTTCCACGCTTCGGTGGCTCCTTGTTGAACCACTGATTGAACCGGCCCAGACGCCCCGCCTTGGCCATGTTCTCAAAGTAATTCTTGCCGAACACATAGCCCACGTCCCGGATCTCATCGAAGCTGCCAAAGGCCAGGGTCTTGTACTTATCAATCGGCGGTCGGATGTACTCGCAATAGTCCGAATTTTTCACTTCCTGTTTTTGTGGGAGAAGGAATTATTGGTAAGGATTTAGAAGAGAAGAAGCTATCCAAGCTTTGGTATTTCCACTCACCTCCAGCTGGCGGACACAGGAGACGTAGGCTAGCCGGGATTGTATGTCCGGCAGATCGGGCACCTTGACGGGCGATGTGAAGGGATTCCACTTCTTGTAGAGCAGCCACCAGCCGCTTAGGTCGTCGCCGTAGTTGGTCAGATCGGTGTCATCCTGGGAGCCCACATCGATGGCTATGATGTGAGCGGCGCCCAGGTTGTGCATCACATCGGCTATATGTACGTATTTGTATACGGAAATGAGGTGGGGGGAGGTGGGAGGTGGGAATACGGGATACGGTTTGGGGCGTATGGATGTTTGTGGATCAAATGCAAATATGATTTGTTAGTAATTTCTAAAAATCTCACACGGGGTTCATTTTTGCAAAATTAAGCAGAGAAAATAAGCTTGAAATTTTATGCCAATTATGCCGAATTAGTACTTGTAACTAGGAACCGTAATACCTTATTTTGGGGCCTAATTTTGCAAATAGAAAGCCTTTTATTAACGCGAAAATACCATAAGTTGTTATATTCTATTTTATTCGGAGAGTTTTAGTATTAAATAGTGTTATTTTCGCGTTTATAATATAATAAAATCCACTGGCTGTGTTTTTCCCTCCAGCATCTTGAGTCCAGGGGGCTTAAATTAAGCCTTTAAACGAGTTTATTTCGATTTTATTGTAACTTCAGATTAATTACTTATTTGATTTTGATATTTTAATTGGAAATTGAAGCAATTTTAAAGAAATTAGGGATGGAAAGGGGACTCAAGATGCTTGGACTTTCTCGCTTAATTCAATTTCCAAAACTGGAGCGGACGCAGAGCGTTGGAACGGGAATTGGAATTGGAATTGAAACTAGTATTGTAGATGGTAAGTTTATGGAACTGGTGGAGACAGTGGTACTCGGTACACGTTACTCGGGTAACTCGTGGATGCTGTTTACCTGGAACGTTGTTGGTGTAGCAGCCGTCGAGCAGCAGGTGACCGTCGCTATAATCACAAAATGGCGGAAATACGCCGGCAATCGACATGCTGGCGCGGCAGTAACGCCACAGGTGGCCTGTGTTTTTATTTTTATTTTTTTTGCAACACAGGTGAGAAAACAGGTGTACAACAAAAACATCACAGCACGACGAGACACAAACGCGACATGGATGGATTGTAGATGGTATTTTGGATTTCATCAATTTCAGATTTTTCATTTTCATTGTGGTTCGTGTGTGTGTGTGTGAAAGAGAGGTCAGGTGTGAGCGTGTGTGTGTGTGTTTCAAGGATAAAGAGAGAAAGAGAGATAAAGAGATAGACACAATTTTATCCACGATCACAACTGTTGCTTGTGTAGAAATAACGGTTTACTACAAGGCTCTAACTACAAATGAAAATATATAGGAAAAAGGCCAAAATTAAAACCAGGGAAAGGGGGGAAAATGGGAAAGCAAAGGATCAACTCAGAAATACCAACAACTATATACTACAGAGTAAAATAAAGGAAAAACCAAAGAAACTTTGTGCACTCTGTTTTTTTTTTTTTTTTTTACAAATGTTTTTTGTTTGTTTGTGTTTGTGTGTGTGTGGTCATGAGAATATGGGAATGGCGGAATGAGCTTTACTGTTTGCCAGGATCAGCGGCATTGCCAGCTCGACGAAAAAACGGCGAAAACGGAATAGACACACAACGCAGCATTTTTGTATGGGGCAAGGGAGAATTTTGGAATGAAACGAAGCCAAAATTAAGGGGAATTGTGGAAGAGAACATGGACCAAAGGGACACAGGCAAAAGCATGAACGATCGAAAGGACTTTCCAACACTCTGCGCGCTCTCCCTCAAAAAAAAAAAAAAAAATACCAGCTCTAGATAGGAATTGAAAGTGAGATTTTTGGATTAACACGCTCTCGGTGGGTTAAAGTATTATTTTCATATTCATTATCTTTTTTTTTGTGGGTTAAATCGTATTGTATGTGCTAATTGCTAATTACCTGGCAAATTATTCACATAGCCGCCATCCAGCAGGAGGTGCCCATCTTTGGGATCGCACAACGGCGGCATGTAGCCACTGAGCGACATGGAGGAGCGTACGTAACGCCACAGAGATCCTGAGACACAGAGACAAACATGCCAGCAGCAATGATAAGTCGTGGTGGGTTGTTGGTATTGGTGTTGTTGGTGTGTGTGTGTGTGTGTGTGAGTGTGTTACGGGGGAGAAGAGAGAAAAAAAGAGAGATTGAGAGAGAGAAAATAGCGTTCAACGATCTGTACTTTTCTTTTTAAGGATATGCGATGAGGATTAACAGAAAATGAAGGTTGGGTTAACCAAAGGACATGCGATATACGGGATTACAGGAATTGAAAGCACCTAATCTGGGTTATATTGGGGACCACAAAATTAGGGGGGAACCAAGGATGTAAAAAGACTTATGTGGGTTAGGATCATAAAATGGAGTACACAAAAAATGAAGGGGTAGCCGGTAGAGCATTATGAAAAATGGGAGCAGCAGCGATGGTTAGCTTTTTTCCATAACGAAGGGAGCAACAGCAGATGGTTTTAGTCTCTAGCAAAAAGCATTTCTCCTATGCTTAAACCTCAAAACTGTTGTTGAAAAACAACATCACGCGAAACCAACAACAACAATAACAACAGCAATAAAATTAATTCTTTACAAATTTTGACAAAAAAAAAAAGTAGAACTAATTAAAAGACGGCACACATTCGATAGGGAGCGCAGCGCCGTTAATTCCAAAATGTTCATTTCTAAATGTGTGAGAAATTGCTTCAAAATTAATTGCGGGCCATGTATGGTGTATGTGTGTGTGCAAGTGTGGAGACTGTGTTTGTTGTATTTTTTATTTATAGTGGGTGTACACTCAGTTCTAAGGCTTTTACTGGAGGAACAGGAAGTACAAGACCGTTACAAAAGCCAAAAACGGAAGAGATAGACGAAGTAAGTACATAAGCAGCTGTGTAAATTATACAATCGAACCGAAAAGTTATCAAAGTACCAAAGAGAAAGAGAGAGAGATAGAGAGGGAAATAAGCTTTAACTAAAAGTAGAGCTACTTAGATAGAACTTACTTAAGGGTGCAGGTAATACATCGACTAAGAGATCCTAACAAATTCATTTAATATGCAAAAATATTTTATAGGAATTTATTCTTTTAATAAAAAGAATTTAACAATACTAAATAAAAAAATCTTGATTTTTATTAGAGCTGGAAATAATCGATTTTCAGTACATGGATTTTTTTTTTATAAAAAAAAATTGATTAAAATCGAAAATTTAAATACCCAAATTTACATATTTATTTTCATCATAGATTTAAATTTTTGTTTTTGTTGTACACATTTTTTCTATAGATATTTCTATTTATTTAAAAACTAAATAATAACTTTTTCGATTAAATCGATTTTAAAAATATCGATAATAGAATCGATTTTATTTCCAGCTCCAAAATTGAAGTCTTCCCACTTAAGCGACATATTTAATGCATTTTTGAACTAAGAAGAGAAAGGCAGGCAATGAAAAATATAGAGATAGATACAGACAGGAGACAGGTATATATTATATATATATATATATATATATATATATATATATATATATATATATATATACAGTGGTGCTCATAGACTTAAGCCACAAGACTTCAACCAAGAATTTTAACGAAAATTAAGAAAAGTTTTTATTCCACAGTTCCAATTATTTGTGTCACATTAGTTCTATATATCAGTGTTCTAATAAAAGAATAACCAAGTTATAAAAATATATATTCAACGAAAAATTAAAAAAATCTGAGACCAACCCCAAAATGTCCTGCTCACATACTTAAGCCACCTGGAAGAAAATGATCCAAAAAGTTAAAATTTGCCCAATATTCCTTATAATTTTAATAAATTTAGTTTAATATTAAGTGGGATGACCTTTCTGATTAAGAACAGCGGAGCAACGCTTTGGCATTAAGCCCACAAGACGTGCGCACTGTTGAGGGGTGATTTTCTTCAACTTTTCCTGCAAAATATGCCAAAATCGTTTTTTTTTGCTGTTTGTTTTGGCAACGACTTGTTTAAGAATACCCCACAAGTTCTCTATAGGGTTCAAGTCGGGGATCTGCGGTAGCCATTGCAAAACATTGATTGTCTCTTGGCTAAGCCACGACTTGACTATCTTGCTGGTGTGTTTCGGGTCGTTGTCCTGTTGAAATATCCAGGCAAGTGGCAAATTATCGGCATATTCTCCAGATAAATTGTTAATAAGGATGTCCCTGTACATTTCGCCGTTCATAATGCCTTCTATCTTCTTTTGGAGACCTACGCCCGATGCGGTGAAACAGCCCCAGACCATAATCGAAGTGCCACCATGTTTAACGGTCTTTCTCGTGTATTTGGGGTCCAATTGTTTGTTGGGAGGACGTTGTACATATGGTTTACCATCACTCCCAAAGACATTAAACTTGGATTCGTCGCTCCAAACAATCAAACATACACGAAAAAGATCGTTAAACATGGTGGCGCTTCGATTATGGTCTGGGGCTGTTTCACCGCATCGGGCGTAGGTCTCCAAAAAGAAGATAGAAGGCATTATGAACGGCGAAATGTACAGGGACATCCTTATTAACAATTTATCTGGAGAATATGCCGATAATTTGCCACTTGCCTGGATATTTCAACAGGACAACGACCCGAAACACACCAGCAAGATAGTCAAGTCGTGGCTTAGCCAAGAGACAATCAATGTTTTGCAATGGCTACCGCAGATCCCCGACTTGAACCCTATAGAGAACTTGTGGGGTATTCTTAAACAAGTCGTTGGCCAAAAAACAGCAAAAAAAAAAACGATTTTGGCATATTTTGCAGGAAGAGTTGAAGAAAATCACCCCTCAACAGTGCGCACGTCTTGTGGGCTTAATGCCAAAGCGTTGCTCCGCTGTTCTTAATCAGAAAGGTCATCCCACTTAATATTAAACTAAATTTAATAAAATTATAAGGAATATTGGGCAAATTTTAACTTTTTGGATCATTTTCTTCCAGGTGGCTTAAGTATGTGAGCAGGACATTTTGGGGTTGGTCTCAGATTTTTTTAATTTTTCGTTGAATATATATTTTTATAACTTGGTTATTCTTTTATTAGAACACTGATATATAGAACTAATGTGACACAAATAATTGGAGCTGTGGAATAAAAAACTTTTCTTAATTTTCGTTAAAATTCTTGGATGAAGTCTTGTGGCTTAAGTCTATGAGCACCACTGTATATATATATATATATATAGTGGGAGGAAGACATCTAAAGAAAGAAACAGACAAAGAGAGAGAAAAGGCAAATGCAGATAGCGACTGTGTGGACTCACCGTTGGTGTGAACGCGATGACAACTGGCCGTGATGTCGGTGGTCAGCGTAAAGTAGGGTATCCACAGGTCTTCGATGCTCACATCCCCGAAGGTGTCGTGGATGGTCTTGTTGAATTCCCGACCGGAGAACATCGATGTGATCGGGTAAGTGAGGTCCAGCAGTTGTAGGAACCATTTTGTCATTTTCTAAAAATAATTTAATTCAAAAATATTAAAATTGTATTATTTAAATGGGATATTTAGGACTGAATTGAAAGCAAATAAGAATCTGTGTAATCTCTGGGACAAACCTTGGACCACTCCCGCGCCTTCTGCGTGACTATGGTGGTGTTGCGTTCGGAACACCAAAGGGCACCCATCAGAGCTCCAATGCTCACGCCGCCCACCATATCGATGGGTATTCCTGCCTCCTGGATGGCCTTCAGCATGCCAATATGGGCAGCACCGCGTGCTCCGCCACCGCCCAGGACCAAGCCAATCGAGTTGCCCGTTAGCCAGCGGGCCAAGCGCGAGAAGTCGGAATGCATGTTCGGCTCGGAGAGCAGAACGCGACTATAGAGATCATTCTGAAAGGAAAAAGACAGTAAAAAGGTATTAAAAAAAATTGCAATTAAAACATGTAAAGTAATTAAATATAAAAAACATAAAAATATGAACATATACAAATATAAAAATATAAAAAAAATTTTTAAAAATAAAAAAAAAATGGTTGAAATAAAAAAATATAAAAAAGTATCATTCAAGATCATTAAAAATTCAGCCAAAAACCTAGTTAATTGATAGCCTTATCACCTCCAGAAATATTGTTAGTCATGATTACCAGAAACGTGACCATCCAGACCTAATCTGTGCTAATCTACATGCTTCTAGAATAGATATTTACGATTCTATAATTCTGATTATGAGTTCGAGTGCTCCAGATAGCTATATCTTTACGATGCTTAGTGCCACGGAAGTTTAATTGAATGTCAGGTTAATCAATGCCACATAAAGTAAATTGGAAATGCATGTGTACATATAAACAAAAATCAATTTTTTGTGGCAATACTAAATTATTTGCGATAAAAGAGCTTAAATTAGGCACTGAAATTAGTGAAAGTTTATGACTTTCAGTGGAGCTATAATGTTGATAACTATTGTTTATCTAAAAGTGAGTAATAATAACAGATTTTAAGATTCATTTTCAATACTCACAATGCGATATTGACTTTTGCGCGTAAAGATGCGCTTCACGCACTGCACATGATGGTGCTTGGTCACCCAGGGTCTCGCGTTCAGCCAGCTCAGCGTATTCGCTGGCTTGGCATTGGTCGTCTCCGGATAGAGCAGGACCAGCTCCTTCTGCGTTCGCATCGCCAGTCGATCGATTTCGCGCTCAAATTTCCCCACCAAATGCGAACGATCACCGAGGCCGACAATCAGAATGACATCCGCCTGCCTCATGCAGCGTTGCGTCCAGGCGCTAAGCGAATTATCGCATTGATAAAGCGTTATAATGTTGCGATCCTCCTGCTGGGCCAGCCACGAGGTCATCCGGTACTCGTTAGCCGCCTCAAAGATGTTCGGGCCGAGCTGCTTGCGCACCACGTCCGAGGTGAGCCGGAGAACGGGACCTATCGGTGTACCATAGAGGAGGATATTAATAAAGGGTTAAGGTATAAACTATTAGCCAACACCAGAAATATAAATTAAATAATAAATAAATATTTGATCTACCCACCTATGGCACAGAGCGAATGATAGAGCTCGTAGGTAAAGGTTGTCATCGGCACCTCGTCGGTGATGGGCACCAGGGCCACCGTTGAGTACTTGTGCGTGACAGGATTCGCCTCAACGGGCGCGCCCGGCGCCCCGCTGCCCGAGCGCGTCTGCATCGAGCCGAGGAAGCGATGGCTAAGGAAGCTAATCAACCGGGTAACCACAATCGGATAGCGCAGCTTAATGGCATTGAACAGGCCCTCGGGCAGCTTGGCCAGTTCCGAGTCGCGCACAGCCATCACCGTCGTGGTGCGTGACGTTTCGGTGATCATTTCAACGATGCCCACAAGGTCACCCTTGCCGTATTCGCCCACGATTTCCTTTTTCCCGCTGGAATGCGTGATCACCGATCGCATGCGTCCGCTCAACACAATGTAGGTACTGTCGCTGCTCTCGTCTTGCCGATAAACGGCACGTCCCGACTCCAGGAAGATCCAGTCCAAAGCGTAATCACATTGCCGCACCAGTGGCGACAGGCGACGAACCACGCCATTGCCCAGATCCAAAACGATTCGTGGTCGCTGTCGCATGATTCTGTTCACAGAGGAGACGAGATGAGACGAGTTGAAATGGGTTAAGCCCACTGGTGATTGTTCATAATTCTCGAAATTCTTGAAATTCTCGAATCTCAAAATATTAAAAATTCTCGAATCTTTAAATTCTCGAAACTATCAAAATTCTTGAATCTCGAACTTCTCAAAATTCTCGAATCTTGAAATTCTCAAAATTCCCGAATCTTTAAATTCTCGAATCTCAAAATATTCGAAATTCTAAAAATTGTCGAACTGCGAAATTCTCAAATCTCAAAATATTCTAAATTCTCAAAGTCTCGAATCTCGAAATTCTCAAAATTCTTAAAATTCTCGTCACTCTAGAAATTCTCGAATACTCACTGATAGATGGCCGCTCGCCGGATAAAGGCTATCCTGCTGTTGTTCCTCGATCGAATCGTATAGGCACTCGCCTCGCCCGTGAGCATGGCCAAACCGCCCACAATCTCGCCGGGATGCACGAAATGTATCAGCATATCGCTCTTATCAGGCTTGGCCCTTGTGGCATCCTGGTTGCCCTGGTAAACCGCCAAGGTTCCAGTCATCACAAACCAAATGCACACATCGTCCGCATTGCCCTCGGTGATGAGGGTGACATTCGGTTCCAGTTCACGGACCTCCACAAATGGCTCTATGATGTGGGCATCCTCCTCTGGCAGGCCCAGTTCCCTTCGCAGGCTCTCCACGGCCGAGGATTGCACTAGTCGCAGGTCTATCGAAGGGGATTGTGGCGTTGGCGCCGGCTGCTGCTGCTGCTGGGACTGCGCTGAGTGGACCCCTTCAAGCGGCGAAGCTGGGCCCGCCTGGGTGATGGAACCACGACGCGTGGACAGATTTCCCACGGACTGCTGCTGATGCTGATGAAACACATCCGCACTGGAGGCCTCGCCATGCAGTTCACTGAATATCTGGCTGGCTCCGGTCTGTTGGTCAGCTTCCGGATTGGGATTTGGATCGGATAGTGTGTGCTCCTCGCGGGAATGCCGCGACGAGGAGTGGTGAGCTCGACCAACACCTGCTCCGGCTTCCCGAGTTGCTGGGGTCGCCGTCGTCGTTGGTGGCACTGACAATTGACTGGGCGGGATGGCTGAGGCAACATTGGCGGCTGTTTGACGCGATGATTGCGATGACTGCGAGTTGATGATAGTACCGGACATCATGGCATTGCTCTTGTAGCGCATATGATTTTGGACCAGCTCGGCGTTTAGGCCAAGGTAGTTACGCAGGGCGGTGAATAGGACGCGCTGCAGCCGGATCATGATGACCTGGATGACGCGAATCATGACGTCTGGATTGTCCTGGAACACCTCCTCGAAGGCCTGTCAAGGAAAAATAGGAAGTAGAATTAGTTATAGAAGTTATGTTTTAAATTTCAAAACGATTGTCTACTCAAACTTTGAGTTATCGATTTTTAAAATGGTATTTTTCAGGAGAGCTTCGTTCAACTTTGTATAACTTAGTCAATTTTTTTTGATTGATGTAAAACTTGGACACTATATTCATAAGATATTGAGCTTTTAAAATAAAAAAAATTAACGAACAAAAATTACCCCCCTTAAGCGTCGGGTCCCTACTTTTGTAAACTCATTAGGATTTCTTTAAACAAGTCAAAAAGTTATTATTTTTCATAAACTAATCTAATCCCCTAATTTATTTTTAAAAAATATTTTAATTAAAGCTCATGTCTTTAGGTATCTAACCCAAACCAGAGATAAGATACACCAATGATTAAAATAACCCTAAGTAAACCCAAAGAGCAGGTGCTCCTTAAAAGCAACATAGCTAAAAGAATACCCACCTGCATGGGCAATCGTATAACCACCGACTTTTCAATGGCCTTGGCGGTGACCGTCTTGTAGTAGCTGGGATTCCCCGACAGCACATCGATGAAACTGAGCAGCGACGTCACAGACTCGCCCTTGCGCACCGTCTTCAGGGACAGGGTGCTGCCATCGGCATTCGAGATATACACATTGATCATGCCAGATTGGACGATGTAGACACTGTCATCCGGATCGGTGATCTTGAACAGATAGTCGCCGGCCATCAACTGCAGGAGCTGGGTGTGCTTGCACAGGCGCAGGAAAACGGGCTTCTCGAAATGCCCAAAGATACGGATGCTCTGCAGCATGTAGAGGGCATCGGGCGGCACCCGGTCACTGCCCTCGATTGTCTCCTCCAGATACTCCGCCGGCGGTTCCACTGTTCGCATCTCCAGTGGCATATTGTCCCTGCGCAGCTGTAGGATGCGTCGGGCAAAGCGCATCACCGCCCGCCGCTTGTATCCCTTGCCACTGCTGTACATCTGGCCGCTGACGTTCTTCATTTTGCGCAGCATGCGACGGCCATAAAAGAGCATCTTGTCACGCTTCCGAAAGCGTAGACCGCGCAAGTCCCCGCCGGACGAGGTGACGGCGCTCAGCGAGTTGGCAATCTCATCGCGCAGGCGTACGCGGGCGATTCGCTTGAAGTATATGCACCAGGCGAACAGGAGGAAGGTCGGTATGAGCACGAACAAGAACAGGTACATCTGTGAGGATTCAAATGAGAAACACATTAGCATTACCATAATGTTTATGGTGAAACCCAATCTAATCTTATTCATCATTGTTGCGAGATATTTGAGAGCAATTCAATTCTCAGAAAGCTTTTTAAAACGAGGTAGTTGATAGAGCTGGAAATAAAATCGATTTTATTTTTAATTATGGGATACATCGATATACATTTTTAGGATCGATTAAATCGATGTATCCATATGTAAACTGTTTGAAAAGTGAAGTACAAACATAGTTAAAAAACCAATGCTATTTAAATTATTAAATGTCAAATTTCCGATGAAGAACACGAATTAGCTCATGTTTCAATTTATAATTATAAATTATTTAAATAAATTCTAATAATTTAAATAAATTCTTATAATTTTAATAAATTCTAATAATTTAAATAAATTCAAATAATTTAAATAATAATATCGTTAGATAAAATGCTAAGATTTATAAATCTGTAATGTAAATCCATATATAGTTTGAATTATTTCTGTTTTTGATTTTAATCGATTATAATAGATTTACTTGTCGAATTAAAAAAAAATAATAATAATTTCACAGAAAATCGATTTATTTCCAGCTCTAATTTGTAGTTAACAAGTGGCAGTGTCCAGAGATGAGTGTTTACCAAGGTTTAGGCAGGGTTGCAATGAAAATATCAAGCAAAATTATTTAAAAAATTGTTTAGATTGCGAAACAGACAAAACTAAGCCTCAAAAATACTTTAAAAAATTCCTAAAAAATGCTTAAAACTATACCAAGTTTAATAATATCAACACGTATTTATTGTCTCATCAAATATTATCATCTCAAATAAGCCCGAAAAAATATACCCAAGAAATTCCTTCTACTTGTTATTGAAACTGCTCAAAAAAAATTCTAATGAAAAACTGTCTGTCTGGCGTAAACTTTCCTTGAAAGTCACTTGGAGAACATGTTCAAAGAAATATTTAAGTGACACCACAACCACTTTCGCTGAATTATTCATTTAGCCAACACTTGTAAAGTTCCCAAAGAGGGAATACGCTGTGTTTAATTGCCACTATTATGTATTTACTTTTAAGTATTAAAATAATGTTCCTAATTAAACTTGGGCTACCAAAATCCAGACAATAAAAATAAACAAATAAAATAAAAATAAGCTAATGGATAAATACTTTTCAAAAGATTTGTAACCTTTCGTTGTGGTTTTTCCAACATATGTTTTTCAGCTATTTTTTTTTTTTCTTGTTCGGATAATGCAATATTTAAGCGACAGAAAACCCACTGAGCCAGACAATTTTAATTAATTATTTAGCGAATAACACTTGCTAATGTTCCTAAAATCGCTTTGAATTCCAGTAGGTGTCAGGCCCGTATAATCGAGCTCATCAGCTGTGCGGTTTTTGTGGTTTTCTTGTTCTGTTGCTTTTCATACCCTGGCAGGGTATTATAATTTTATAGTGCAATTTCAATGCTACATATAATCGGATTCTTTTTCATTTTTCAAATAAATAAAATGAGGTCATCGCCCCGAAAATTTACATATATACTAAAAGGACAACATCTATCTATATATCTATCTATCTATTATTAACGAAATTAAATTAAATTTAAATTTAACTGGGAAGAGAGCTATTTGTTTAAATTGAAATTGTTGTACATTTTCGATCATTTTAACTATGTAACCCATTATTAAATTTTGAAAAAATTGCTACAAATATTTATCCCTAATTTTATATATTTTTCGGAAAAGTAAAAATTAATTGAAAAACTATTAAAGGGTATTTACTAATTCGACTTTCCACTAAGCTATATTATTGTTAATGTTTAATATATGCAATTGTTATTGTTATTGCATTCATAGGCACTTTGACATTGAAATGAAGACGCGGCGTCGTTGCACTTGTTGTTCCTGCTTTTGTTGTTGTCGTCGTTTTTTTTTTTCATAGTGTTTGCGGTTTTCAATAGTGGTTGTTGTTGTTTTCTTTTACTTTACTCTCTTGTTGTTGTTGTTGCCTATTTTCTGTTATTGTCTGCAATTTCCGCATTGTGCTCGTATTTTGATATAAATATAGTACGTTATATGCATGTTACTTTTTACGATTTCCATTATTATCATCATTGTTGTTGTTTACGGTTTAGTTTTACAACAGGTTTTCTTGTTATCATAAATTCCAATTGGGTCTCACACACAATTGACATCCATTGCTCATTTACTCTAATTGGAATCAAAAGCCACACACGCATATAGGCAATCCAATTGGATTTACAAATGAGCGAACTGATCGGACATGGCAACAGAGAGATAGAGAGAGAGAGGGAGGGAGAGAAATTCGCCCACAAAACGAAATGAAGAAGAGCCAGCGGTCGCGGTCACAAGACGGCTGGCTAAATTGATGGAGCCCCAAGGGGTTAATTGAATTATTGAAAACTGATTTGGGCAGCCATGCCCCCTTTGTACCCACTCCCTTTGCCAATTGCACGTGCTTCTGATTAGCAATCGTTTATAGTTATGTGACGTGTAATCAGCTTTCCAGCGGGGTCACAACTATCATTATCAGTATATTGGGCCGTGTGCTTATCATGTGGCTACTGTGCCTTGTTTTTCTCCTTCTTTCTTTCGGGTTTTTGTTTTTTTTTTTGTGGTTTTATGCAAGGCCACAAAACAAACAAATTCCGATTTGAAGGCAAGAAAAAAGAAATCAAATCAAAACACGGAAGTGATGAAAAGAGATGGGGATGCGGGCAAGAGTGAGGGAGAGCAATAGCTGGCTCTTATCAGCTGGCGAAGACGCAAGCCGAAGAAGCAACTAATAAGAAGTCCTGCAGCTCTAGCAAGGATCTGAACCAGTTGCAGAGACTTGTGAAATTAATATTGGGTTTAACTAGAATGGTTTGTTGCGTTGAAATTTCTCTTTTAAACGAGGACAAATAGTAGATTATCATATTAGTCTGACCATTCAACAGGTGTTCCCTATCTAAGGGTGCATATTCCAAGAAATATTTGATTTCAAAATCTGTTTTAAGAGTTGAAATTCGAAGGAAATTTATATTTGCTTTATTGATTTTTAATTTGTTTTCATGCTGAGTCCCCTCTGTATTGTTTTTATTCAGAAGGCTTATCATTATCAGCAAAGTATCAATTTGTAATCAATCTTGGCATATATTTTTTGTAGTTATTATAGTTCTTTAACAATTTCAAGTGTTTTTCCAGAAAACTTGAAGCCCGGACAAGAACCCAGCACAGCTGTTATCCTCCACATGTGATCCATTACTCTCTCTTTCTCTGTCGCTCTCCCTGACTCCCTAAAACAGCTGTCCATGATCCACCCTTGTTCTCTTCGGCCTGTCTCTTCTCCTAAAGCTGCTGTCTTGCCTGTTGTCACGCTCTCGCACAACCACTCGCTTAGCTGACTCAATATAAGTATGAAAATAAACAAAGAAAGGGTGAAGTTCACTTACCGTTGCATGGATCTGCTGGGAAACGTATACGCACCACGCGTCCGAGAAGAGCGTGTTGTAGCTGCCAGTGGCGCTGGCGCGCAGCATCTCCAGGATATCCATATTCGTCTCGCTTACTCTGCAGCCACCCCACTAGTTCCTCTAGGCCTCTCCCTTGCGCCCCCTAGTCGATTGTTTTTCCTCGCTGCTCTCTCTCTCTGGCTTCCCGTTGCTATTGCTGTTTTTGTTGTTGCCACAGTTTGTGTCCCGTTTATTTGGTAAATACGGAAGTGCGAAGAGCAGGCAACGAAGGCACGTTAAGGGGGCGGGGGCGGGTGCGTGGGCGATTTGACAGAAATCACAGCCCTTTGTTGTTGCTGCTGCGCTTTTTGGCTGTCTCACTCGCCCTCTCTATCTGCCCTGCTCGCTCTCGCTGATTGGTGACACCCCCGCCCCTCGTAAGTCTTGGGATTTGTGCAATTATTGTAATGCACGCGCCTCCAGCTTTCTCACGCACTTCACACGCACACAAACACGGACCGCACACCCCCGCACACACACTTAAGTACAGCACCACCGACCGAAAATTTTGATTTAAACTGTTCTCTTGTTTTTGTAGTTACGAACCACGGGTAATTTTGATTTTTGTTCCTTTCAACACTCTCTCGCTCGCACTCTCATTACGGAGGAGTCTTTCGTTTCCAATAGGAATTTCAGTTGACTTTTTGTCTTTAATATTTGGTTTATCTAAAACATGCTGCAACAGTCTCTGGGGCGGAGGGGAGTGGTGGGTGTGGCAGCGGCAACAGTAGCCTCCTTAATTTAGTGACTCGAACTTTGAATTTTGCTACCACAAACTAATAAAGTCAAATGGTCTAGAATATGTTGTTTGTATTTATTTGCGAGTGTGATTGCCCGGTTTTCCACTCATAATGCCGAGATTTATCAGTAAAGGGAAGGATTTTCCCCTCCACGGCAACTGGGCATACTGGAAATAACTACGTGAAGCTACCAAAACGTAAGCGTATGACGTAAAAAATGCATTTCTATGTTAAAGCCTAGTACTCTGACGAGAAAAAACCGCTGTATAAATTTAGACAGCGGCCAAACTCCATATAAAAAAAACGGTGTCGAAAAAAAAGAAGAAGAACTTTTAGACACTTCGTTTTTTCGGTACTCTGACGACGAAAATGAAGCCTGCGAAAATTGAATGGCGTTGCCAGATCAAGATAGTAAACAGCTGATATCGCGCTGTCTAAATAATTCATTTGATTTATTTAGACATCCCTAATGGAGGGAAAGTTGAAGGAAAAAGGTGGCATTGATAGGGGCTGTCAAGGGAAGCCCATAATATGGAATTTAACCCACAAAGGACATTTTAATGCCATATTTATTAATATTTTTAATATTTTTTTTGAATATTTGTTTACAAACAGCTGTCCAGTGTGACCAAGGAAAATCCTTAAACGCCATAAAAAGTACATTTTCATGGAATTTCCTTAATTTTTTTGGTCACACTAGCTCGGTAGCGAAATAAACAGCGATTCCGCTGTCTAATTTAGACAGCGGGTTTTTCTCGTCAGAGTACTAGGCTTAAGCTCGCTACCGAGCTAGTGTGACCAAAAAAAATTAAGAAAAGTCCTGAAATGCCATGAAAATGTACTTTTTATGGCGTTTAAGGATTTTCTTTCGTCACACTGGACAGCTGTTTGTAAACAAATATTCAAAAAAATATTAAAAATATTAATAAATATTGCATTAAAATGTCCTTTGTGGGTTAAATTCCATATTATGGGCTTCCCCTTGACAGCCCCTATCAATGCCACCTTTTTCCTTCAACTTTCCCTCCATTAGGGGTGTCTAAATAAATCAAATGAATTATTTAGACAGCGCAATATCAGCTGTTTACTATCTTGATCTGGCAACGCCATTCAATTTTCGCAGGCTTCATTTTCGTCGTCAGAGTACCGAAAAAAACGACGTGTCTAAAAGTTCTTCTTCTTTTTTTTCGACACCGTTTTTTTTATATGGAGTTTGGCCGCTGTCTAAATTTATACAGCGGTTTTTTCTCGTCAGAGTACTAGGCTTTAACTAACATTTTACTTACATTTTACATTCTACATGAGAAATCGAAATTCAGTGGGACCAAGGGAAAAAATATCGATATATATTTTGATCTGGCACTGGGACCGAAAAGTCTGGCAACTCTGGCTGGTGGTAACGTAAAAATCGTCACGACGAAAAGTCTGGCAGCGCGGAAAATTTCCGGCAATTTCAGAGTGACCAACGAGAAAAATATCAAAAAATACCAAACAAATATCGCGATTTCGATATTTCAGCAAAAAATATAAAAATATCGATACATTTTGAAATTCAGAGTGACCAAGGGAAAAAAATATCGCGATTTCGATATTCGGGCAAACAAATTCAGTGACACTTTTTTTGCACACAATAACAATAACAACTCAATTTTATTCCATTTGTTGTTTTTGTTGTGGCCGCGTTAAGTTCGCAAACTGCGTGTGAGAGAGAGGCGAGCAAGCGGGTGTCCGTGTGTGGCTGTGTTTTGGTATCCAGTGAGTTCATCAAAAATAAGTAAAAACCAATGAAATGTGTGTTTTATGTTGGAAAATATCATATTTGGGTCAAATCTTCTCTCCCATTGCCTGTGTGTGCTTGTGTGTGTGTGTGGCTTTTCCTTAATTTCCTCTTTGTTTTTACTTTCGTTTTATCTTTTGTTGTTGTTTTTCTCTGTGCCTCGCCACGCCGCGCTGCTACTTTAGCCGCTGTTGTTTTTGTTCTTGCTGCACGCGCTTCTGCCGGCGCAACTAATTCGATTTATTTATAAATGCAAAAATTCCTACAAGCGTTTAAAATATTTCTCTTCCTAAACTAAAATGCAAGGAAATTAAACAAGTCGGTGTGTGTGTGTTTGTGTGCCGAGTGACCTTCGTGCAATCACTTTCAATTAGACCGAGCGGACAGCGTGCGAGGCAGAAAGCAGGTCCTGCGATAATGCAATCAGATCGCCCGAGTGTGTGTGTTCGTCCGTGTGCGTGTCCGCATTTAATTCAATTGTTGCACTTTACAGTTTGAAAGCAATTAACAAGCAGGCCAATTTGCAGGAAGGCAGCAGGAAAGCAGCGGCAGTGGAGGAAGAAGAAGCAGCGAAAGCAGTGGAAACCATTATCAGTCTCTAGTCAACAAAGCAGACCAAATGAGCACGCACTTTGCGACTAACAAGCAGCACAAACTAAGCCAAAAATAAAGATAAAGATAAGCGGCAAAGAGGAGCGCCGAAGGAGAGGAGGAGACAGCACTCACATACTTGTGCACTGAAAGAAAAGAAGGAAATAAACACCGGCAGCAAGATGCGGGTCGTGGCCATGGTCAGCGGCGGCAAGGATAGCTGCTACAACATGATGCAGTGCGTCGCCGAGGGCCACGAGATCGTCGCCCTGGCCAATCTGCATCCCAAGGACAGAGGTGAGTCCAAAAAGCTTTTATTGCTAAATGTATGAATATTATTATAATCAAATTTATTAATGGCAATGCAGAAATTATAATATTTCCCTAAATTTGATAATTATTTCACAGTCAAGTGTTTCTTATTAAATTCTGTAAATATTAAAAATATTCCAAATTGTTTTTTATTATGGAATTTATATAATAGTAAAAGCTGTAATATATGTATTAGAACCCTAAAATTACTTTTGTTAGTTATCGTTAGTTATCGATATTGCTTATCGACCTTCTTTTAGTCAGAAAAAGCTTCTCCCTGACTCCAGGTCTTTTCGGTTTGATTTAAATAAATAAATTCTGACCAAATACCTCCAATTATACCTTATTTAAATAACTAAATTCAAATCCAAACTGCTAATATTACTATTTTTCGATCTAATCTACCTTTTTTTCTCAAAGTAAGGCACAAGTCGACAGAGCTGTTATTATCATTATTATTATTGGCCACCGTTCCTGCTGTTTGCTTTAGCATTTAGCACCAAGTTGCCGCTGTTTTTGATCTCTAGCCGCTGTAGTTGCTCCACCTTGTGCTCTTTACCTGCTCACATTTTTGTGCTCTACTTGCAGACGAGCTGGATAGCTTCATGTACCAGACGGTCGGCCACATGGGCATCGAAATTCTGGCCAGTGCCATGGGACTGCCGCTGTATCGGCGAGAGACCAAGGGCAAGAGCACCCAGACCGGCAAGCAGTACGTGCCCACCGACGATGACGAGGTCGAGGATCTATACAGTCTGTTGGAGACATGCAAGGTGATTGATTGTTGATTGTTGTTGCAAAACCTCTATTTTCCATTTACCAATCTCCCAATCCCACCCCTGGCTACCTGCAATGTCAGATTAAAGCGACTGATTAGAATGACTGCTGGGAAAATTACCTGAACCTACTGTCGATAGTGTGATACCCTTTCATTTATAAATAATAAATTGATCAAGACCTCTGAGCACCAGTATTATTTCACTATTGTTTACCTTGAATATGAGTACGTTTCGTTCTCTCTTATATTTTTTTATATGGAAAAATTTCAAAGTAAAGCTGGTATAGGGTTTCCCGCCCCAGTCTGGGGAATATAATACTGTAATAATAATAAACAAATAAAGAAAGATCATTAAAGCAAAGTTTTTTCAAAATTTCTTTGATATTTTTGTTTGTGGATATTAGAATGTTTTGTGAAAACAAAAAAAAAAGCAAACAAATAAGTATTTGAAATTCTTAAAATAGCATCCAGTTTTTGTTTTGCTTTCCTTCTTCTTTTTTATTTATTAAAATATTTCCTATATATTTATCTGTTGAGGGGAAATTCAAGTTTTTCAATGCTCTACCCATAAATAATAAATATTAATCCTTTAAAAAAGGTATAAAAGGGGAGCATAAATCAGAGCTCTTGTTTACATGTCCCTCGTTTTGTTGTGCCATGTCCTTGGCCAAGTCCCTGATCCGGCGATTGCAGCAACTGCACTTGGAGATTGCCGCCGCTCTATAATTGGTTGGCACATCCACACAGCCGCAGCTACAGCAATCCGAGCTGTAATCTTATCGCGATGCCCGACGAACTCGTTGCCGCCGTGCACGTGAACCGTCCGTTCGTCGTCCGTTCCGTTCCTTTTAAGTTAAATAAATAAAAAGCAAAACCGAAACAATAACAATAATCGCACAAATTGTTTATTTACCCTTTGATAATAATACATAATGAAATTGAATCGATTTGAAGGAGGTGGAGGAGGAGAGGAGACTTTAATGCTAAATGGTGATTACAGTTTGGCAGGCGCCTGGTGGCAATCCCTTGCCCGATATCAAATATATATAAATATGTATAAATATATTGATTTACCCTTTGGTATCAGAGCAAAGTTTGGACCCTGTTATCTAATGGATCTATCCATCAAAATGCAAATTTAGTTGCTATTTTTAAAGAGATATTAAATAAGCTTAATTTTATATTTAAATGCTTAAAATATAATATACCTTCCGCTGAAATTAGTTGCTTATGTTATGGTTAGGGCCTAGATAATATTTTATTTTAATGAATATATTTATCTATAACTTTTTTGATGATGTTCTGGCCCAGTTGCTATTTTTCAGACTTGTAAAACCCTTGTATAATCTTTCAGGATTCTTTCCTTAATTTTTACTAATTACTTTCGATTTATTAACAGCACGAACTGCAGGTGGAGGCGGTGGCCGTGGGCGCCATCCTATCGGATTACCAGCGCGTCCGCGTGGAGAACGTGTGCAGCCGCCTGAACCTGATATCCCTGGCCTACCTGTGGAGGAGAGATCAGACTGAACTGCTGCAGGAGATGATTGACTGCCAGGTGCATGCCATCATTATAAAGGTAAGTTAACCAGCTTCGATTGATTAGGAGTTATATAATAATCACCTGCTGCTGCTGCCGAGTCTGTTTGTGCTAAATTTAGTCCATGCAAACATGCCTTCGTTTGAATTACTCAGCTGCAAAATAAAAACCAAGAAAGAATCTATCTTCGTTAAGACGAAGATTGTATACCCTTCCAATTTAGAATTACATTTTAATCAAATTTGAAAGTCATATCTAAAAAATTTTAGGGTTTTTGTTTAAGGGGGGATATACATGTAAACCCAAATTTTTTGGCCAATTTTTTTTTTTTTTTGTTTAAAAAATAGTTTATTACTTAAAGAATATACTGTGTAAGTTTCAATATCGAATTGCAACTTGAAGCGCCTCAAATCAAGTATGCACGCAAGGTATACAAGTGTTAACGTGAGCGCATCAAAAACTTTATACGTCTTTTTCTCAGCTTTTAATTTTTGCATTTTTACCTATGCTTTGGACACGATTCACAAAAAACTACGTAACATATCGCAGTGAATCAAAAAGTATTATGATCAGTATGAAATTATCTTCTATTTAAACCTACATGGTTGTTATAAAACGGAGTATTACTATTTTTTAAGAGGGTGGGAAGTGAAAACTGATCACCTGAAAATGTCATTTTTTCCTTCAAATCAAAATTTAATTTTTTTGTCTTGATTTCTTTTTAGTTTTTTAGGTTCAAATAGAAGATACAGGTGTAATAAATACAAAAAAATTTAGTTTACGGATTTTGGACAGGAATTACGAGCTCTATCGTGTCCATAGCACGGCAACTCAAAGCTCGAGGCGCTACGGCATATGTTCCATAAATCCGCCATTTTGTAAAATATTATTTATAACTAATTTTTTGTATCATCTATGATTCTACTTTTAACTATATCCAAAGTTTCACGACGATTGCCTGACTATTTCTTATTAAAAAAATTCACAAAAAATGGCCAAATTTTGACCGCTTACATTTATATTCCCCCTTAAATTAAATACTTATGTTGTTTCCATCTCTAATCTCTCTCTCTCTCTCTTTCTAATCTTCTCCAGGTGGCTGCCCTGGGCCTAGTCCCGGATCGTCACCTGGGCAAGTCGCTGCGCGAGATGCAGCCGCATCTGCTCAAGATGCGCGACAAGTACGGCCTGAATGTTTGCGGCGAGGGCGGCGAGTATGAGACCTTCACCCTGGACTGCCCGCTCTTCCGCCAGCGCATCGCTGTCGAGGACATTCAGACCATTATTAGCAGCGCCGATCCCATTTGCCCAGTGGGCTACATCAACTTTACCAAGCTGACGCTGCAGCCAAAGGAGGCATCAGGATGCGGTGCAGCCAGTGTCGTTGTCGGCGGCGGTGGTAGTGGTGGCGGCGGTGGCGATGTGGTATTCGTTAAACGTTCGCTCGACTACATCAGCGATCTCAACGAGTCGACGTACAGTGACCTCAGTGATCCGGATTTCAGTGAAACGGAACTGGAGCTAATCGAGAAGGAGACGCGGCTGCGTGAATCTCTTAGCCAGAGTGAACTTATATCGCGCAGCAACTCCTTTGGCCGCCATTTGGCTGCCGCTGCCGCCACCACCACCACCGCCTCCTCCTCGCCCATACCCATTGTCACGAAGAGCGCCAGCGTCGACGAGCCCACAGCGGCGGCGGCGCCGCCAGTGCTGGGAGCACCCACAAGTTCCACATCCGCCTGTGCATCAATGCTGCTAACCACCGGCGATGGCGGCTCGCAGAGTCAAGGCGGTGGCCATCATTATGGTCTGGGCAGCAGCACCGCCGCCGTTTGCGGCTCGCTGTCGCTGGCCATCTCCTCGCTTGGGCTAAGCGCCACCAATACCTGCTGTCAACCGGGCACTGGAACGGGAGGAACAGGAGCCACACAGCCGCCCAGTCCGCTGACATACGAGCGCGAATTCCGTCCACTGGCCAACGAGGCCAAAGCGGCCATAAATGCCAAGGGCTGGATGTGGCTAGCAGGCATACAGGGTATCCAATGAGTCTCTAAAGCAGTCCTAATATATATACTCGAATCCCTGGCCAGGATCACACGGTTGTCTTTCGTTTCCCAAGGCCAAAAGTAGTTTTTTTAAATTTCTTGATTTAACTTGCATTTTTTTTAAATAAATTTCTAAAAATTAAGAGAAGTGACAACCGTGGTTATAAAGTACTTTCCTGAACTCCTTTTAATCGCTTATTCTTATCCACCGACAGGTAGCGGCACCGAGGGCATGGAGCAGGGCATGCAGCTGGCCCTGGACACGCTGCGCGATCTCTGCCAGTCGAAGGGCTATGAGCTCCAGGATCTGTGCTACATCACTCTGTATGTCCGCTCCATTGCCGAATATCCTGCACTGAATCGGATTTACTTGCGTTCCTTTGACTTTCACAATCCGCCGACGCGGGTCTGTGTCGAGTGCCCGCTGCCCGATGGCTGTCATGTGGTGATGGAGGCCATTGCCTATCGCCAGCCCGTGGCGGGCACGATATCCAGTGCTGAGGAGCGAGATCGTGAGGGCGAGGAAACGGCTGCGGCATTACTAAATGGTCGACGGAACACGATGCATGTCCAGGGTATATCGCACTGGGCGCCGGCCAATATCGGACCCTACAGCCAGTCCACCAGGGTGAGTTATATATATATATATATAGAAAAAGAGAGAAAGCAAGATGTATAATCCCTTTTTTTGCAGATTGGCGATATAACCTACATCTCCGGCCAGATTGCCTTGGTGCCCGGCAGCATGACCATCATCGAGGGCGGCATTCGGCCGCAGTGCAAGCTTACCCTACGCCACATCAGTCGCATTGCCAAGGCCATGAATGCCCATGGCCAGCTGAGGGATGTGGTCCATGGCATTTGCTTCGTTACCCATCCAGCTTTTATTGGAGAGGCGCGCCGGCAGTGGGAACGCCGTACGACCAATGCCATTATGGACTATATTGTGCTGCCGGCTCTGCCTCGAGAGGCTCTGGTCGAGTGGCAAGTGTGGGCCCACACCCACAACGATCGTTTCGACTGTAAGGAAGAGAGAATGGAATTTTAGGTTTGCTATTGATTTATTTCCTTTCTTCACAGATGAGGAAACTGGCTGCTCGGTGGGCGACTATACAATTGCCATACGACGACGCTGGAACTATGAGAACAATTGCGCTGCCATCGTTTGCTATGTCTCCACTGGCCTGGCCTCGTCCACCACTCAGCTGACGCAGCTGAGCGATGACATTTTGGGCAATCACTGCCGCCTGGCGCAGTCAGTTAGCGCCGAGCATATGGACGAGATACTTACATATGTGGTGAATCGTCTGCTCAAGGATTATCCGCTGGCTAAAAAGCACCAGCAGCAGCAGCAGGTGACAGAGGAGGCGGCTGCAATTGGGGAAGCCTCTGGTGGCGGGGATCAACCACAACAACAGCAGCAGCAGCCACTGCCGGCTATACACCTGAAGCTCTTCTATCAGGTGAATGCCGCTCCGGCCACGGATCTGCTGCTTCAGGCGCTGAACGATTTTCGGGTCAAGTGCCAGGAGACGGCGGCCATTGTCTACACGGTTTTGCCTGCCTGCAGTTTGCACAACTTCAGTACGTTCCTGTCCATATGCGGGGTGAGGCACGAGTAGGAGGAGGAGGAGGAGCATCAGGAGATTACACAAACAATTTGCTGCCAGCGCACCGAGCAGAACACTGATATTATATATGTGTATATATATATATATATATATATGTACCAAACACATACACACCTCTATATATGTATATGCATATATAAATCGCAGGGGAAAAAGAGTAATTTCGGGATAAGTTCCAGTTTATTTTTTTATTTGTAAAATTTAAAATGCACAAAGATTGCTTTAATTAATTAAATTAGCAAAAAGTAATTGTTTTTCTATTTAAAAAATGGAAAACTCAAAATGAAATTTATTATAAATAATGTCCTGGATATTATCCTTAGATTATTTCAACATTCTGCCCAAGATTATTATTATTACAATGTATAAAAGCTATAGCTAAACACATACATATATATATATATATATATTTTGTTAACTAGCAAAGAGATGCTGCAGAGCATCCAGCCTATGCATTAGCACACTTTGTGTCGCAGTTTCGGACCAAAAATGAACTCAACACACACACATACACACAGCAACGGATCTATGTACGCAACTCAAGTGTTTCAGCATAAACTATGAAAACTACAACTAAAACTAAACAAATTCAATTTATATAAATTATCCGTGTATATAAACGATGAAAGCAAAACCAATTTTTTGTGTGCACTCTATTGCGCAAAACTGTAACTATATACTCTTATACAAAACTATTAACTATTAATCGTTTTTCGATGTGATTTTTCTTTATGCTCCAAATTTTTTATAACTATATATATACCATATATATATATGTATATGTAAATCTCAGCGATTATTGTTCATTTTTTCACACAAAAAAAAACATACACACGTTTTGAGCTTTAAAAAATTATTGTAAAACATAAGAAAACCCGAAAAAAGAGGGCGGAAACTGAAAATGCTGTCTGGAAAATCTATTGAAAGGAAACCCCTTAGAGGAATTTCCAAGCCCCGTAAAATTCAACCGAAAGCGATCTTCTTTTAGATATTGAAATAAGAGAGATTATTAAAGTTGTGTGTTGCAACAACACCTGTCCATAGTTTTTTCTGCACAAAAAAACACACACACACATACTTTGGTTGGATACTTTTTTAATGTCAAGTTTAAATAGAGTAAAGCTAACAACAAATATCGAAGGGACGCTGAGCGGAGGAACGATACAAAAACAAAAACAAGATTATTACATGCTATTATGTATTGTTATGAAAAAAAAAGAAATATATATATATATTGATATTGATATTGATTGTCATTATAAAAGTCGAGAAAACCAAAGAAAAACCAGCTACGTGTACGTTTTATTATTTTCGGATGGATGGGAGCCAATAACACGTAGCTTTTGTGCTAGAAGTCTCTATAAATATGCTTTATTTATAGCAGAAATAAATCTTATCGGGCTCGAAGCCTCTGATTTATGGAAATATGCAAGTGTTTGTTATCATTATCATTTTCATGGTGAAGTTCTGGGAAATGTCTGAAAAGTGCCCAATGTGCTGCTAAAAAGAAATTAACTTAATGTATTTAAATTCTTTAAAGTTATTTCACTATAATTATGAAATATTTTCCTGATTTCAAGCTGATAGATAATACTCTTTTATTGAATTTATAGTCCTAAAACATATTATTTATTTGAATGTTTAGTGGAATCTGAATTTCTATATTTCAAAGATTTCAACCTTTATTTTTAAAATTTAAAGAAATATATTTAAAATTGAATATTGAATGGGTTTTTAAACGAAAAAGGGGATTACCTGGAATGCACATAAAATTCTGGAAAAACAATTTAAAAACAATTGTATGTCTTATTTCTTGTAAAATTTCTGAAATCTTCCAGATATTTTAGACAATTTTATATATATTTATTAATATTTTGGTATAATAAAGAAAATACACTTTTAAATTCCAAAGCTCTTATAAGTATTAATATTTTATTAGTTTTCTCAAGGTGTTTCATTTATTTCTTTTAAAAATATATGAACTTTTTTTTAGTAAAATATGAATACAGACATCTTTTGAAATGGAATTACTGCCAATGTTGTTCCTCACAACCGGGAAGAAGTTGTATATTTTAAAAATTATACAAAATTAATTATTCTAGCATTGTCTCGAAATTACGCCCCCCGAAAAAAAAAACGGTAAATTACCAGAGACAGCTGGAAGCATAACGGTGAATCCGGGCAGTACACGTCAGTGCTGCTTGCTTAAGACGTACGCATATTTGCATCAGACAAATACCAATTTCACCTTCTGCAGCCGCCAAACAAAAAAACAACAACAAAACTAATTGTCAATGAAAATGTTTGGGTAAACAAACTCAACGGAAAAGAGCTTTTGCGAGAGGGCGCTCTCACCAACTCTCTCTGTCTCTCTCGTTGGCGGTGGGCGTCTCGTCTCCCAGTGGGCGGCACCACCAATGGGAGCCACTGCATCCACTGACGTGGTCGACACGTCAGTCGTCGACAGCATAAATAGCCGGCGCTGGGAGAGCGAGAATCAGTTTCAAAACAAAATCGAACAAGGAATAGCAAATAACACAGCACAAGAGAAACGCAACGCGGTTTTTAAATTCGTTCCAAAATCCATACATATATATTCCAATAAGAAACGCTGTGACCGGAAAATAAACAAATAGTTTTAATAGTTTTTAATAGTTTAAACCTAATCCAAGCCAAAAAGACAACAAAGACTATATTACTCGACTAGGGATAGCAACCAAGTGACAACTAACTAAATAAGTGCATTTTTTTTAATAGTTTTAGTTAGCAAATGTAAGTATGCAAAAGAAAATAACTAAAACTGTAAAGTGTGTGTGTGGTTACTAACTAAGAATTATTGGTGACTAGTGTTTTTTTCAAGTTTCCATTATCTTTGGGTGTTGTTTGAAAAGCCGTTACTCTTAAGTGCTTTCCAGCCCTGAGCACAACCACTGACGTGGCCACAGAGTTGCATGCGAGTGTGTGTGTGAGCAGCCGACTGTCCCTGTGTGCGTGGGTAGAAAGCGCCGGCAAACGAGTTTGTGACTACAATTGACACTGTTTGAAGGTACAACCTACATTTCACGCAATTGAGCACAATTTTCGCTCACTTCCAAACTTTGGCCAGAACAAGAGCTGGGAATCTATCGATAGGCGCACCATTCGATATTTTGAAAGCGAAGGTTCGATACCTCGACAGCACATCGATAGTTTCCAGCTCGTGTCAGTTCCGTTTGAAGCGTTAATCGAGGAAACTCGGAAAAATCTGTCAGCCGCAAAGTAAGTGTAAGTGTTCAATATAGAACACAAAACAAGAACAGTAATTACTGGAAAGTGCACTCGCCGACTGCACAGGCAGGATATTATATTTGTGAGTAGCCAGAAAAAGAGGTGACACAGACAGAACGTGGGAGCAGGAGGCCAAGGGTCGGCACACATACACAGCAACCTTTCAGTCGCCATGTTGGCAAAAACCTAAAACTAAAAGAAATTAACGTTTTGCACGTGTTTTAAAACAAGTAAAAGCGTGCGAATCGGCAAATTAGAGACAACGGCAGCTGTGGGACGTGGTGGCCGTGCATAATTTCGAATACCGGTGACGCATAAATTAGCGTAGCATAACGTTTATAACAAAGCGAATACGGTGTGAATGAACTCGCGTTTCCGCCGCCTCCTCTCCCCGTATAGTTGCTAGGAGTTCTTGGCTGGCATTTGCATTTCTTTATTATTTGTTATATTTTAAATCTGCAGTTAATTCAGTCGAATTCGGTTTTTATGATTGCACTGCGCCTGCGCGTGCTGCTTCCTCTTCTTCACGAGTGTGCCGGTGTGGGTGTGTATGTGTGCGAGCGTGTGTTCAATCGGCTTGGTCCACGTCATTCATACAGCAGATTTAAGCTCTTGGCTAAAAGTACACGTCAGTGGTAACCGAAAAAGATTACAAGCAGATAAACCTTGATATCGCGGCAGTTGCTGTGTGGGAGAGAGCGTGTGCTGTTCCATAAACAGCTGTGCAAATTCCTTGTTCTGATTCTTTTTATATTGGAACTTTCTCCAAGTGGCTGCGTGTGTGTGTGAAGAAGAAGCAGCGGTACAAGAATTTCTACGAGACAGAACAAAAAAACCCGTTTCTTTGCTCTCTTTCGCCGGCAACTCTCTCCCTCTCTAGCGCTCTCCGTGTCCCAAGAAAGAACCAGAAAAAGGTTACACGTATACAAAACTCGGTGCTCTTTCTCTTTCTCTCGGCTGCGACTAGAACTTGGATGAACGGTTTGCCGGGCAGTTAGCCAGACGTGTTTTTTAGTTGTTAAAAGATCTTGAGCCGAGCAGGTGGGCCCCTTGAATTTAAAGTTGAAGGTGAAGACCAAGTGTGCTTGGCTGCCAAAGTGGCACGGCTAACGGTACCTGTTGATAGTTGACCAACGTCAGCAGTTTCTCTCCGAGAACGTGCCCGTTGCCTGTGTGCGTGTGTGTTTGCGTGCGGACGAGCGGCAAAGAGAGCCGGAAACTGTGTGTTGACGTGTACAAAAGCCAAGCTTACACCTTAATTCGACGCTTAAAATATATTGTATTAACAATTGTGTCTTTAATTGTACTTTCAGTTTTTTTGAGACATCTTCAAGATGAGGTTATGCATATTACTGGCTGTCGTGGCCTTTGTGGGCCTCTCGCTGGGCGAGGAGAAGAAGGAGAAGGACAAGGAGCTGGGCACAGTGATTGGCATCGATCTGGGCACCACATACTCCTGGTACGTATAGATCCTGGCATCGAGGATCATAGTCTTTCAAATTGCGTTAATATGAGTGGAATTTTAAACTGTTACACGTATGCAAATGATGCGTATCAAAGTTTAAATCAAGTTCAAGTTTAACCTTTTTATTCATTATTTTGATTTAAATATTATGCAAGTTTTTTGTTTATTCGTAAAAGCAACAGCAATATCAACTAAAACGTGTAGTTAAGCTCAGTTTTCTATAAATCCGACGCCCAAAATGATCCAAAAGCAATTTCTTCTATAGTTTCCAAAGGTTTAATAGATTTCGCATTACTAATATACTATTCATTTTTTTAATTTCCCCCCTGCAGCGTTGGCGTTTACAAGAACGGACGCGTTGAGATCATTGCCAACGATCAGGGCAACCGCATCACACCTTCCTACGTGGCCTTCACCGCTGACGGTGAGCGTCTGATCGGAGATGCCGCCAAGAACCAGTTGACCACCAATCCGGAGAACACGGTCTTCGATGCCAAGCGTCTGATTGGACGCGAATGGTCCGACACGAATGTGCAGCACGACATCAAGTTCTTCCCCTTCAAGGTTGTCGAGAAGAACTCGAAGCCCCACATTAGCGTGGATACATCGCAGGGCGCCAAGGTCTTTGCCCCCGAGGAAATCTCCGCCATGGTTCTCGGCAAGATGAAGGAGACCGCTGAGGCCTATCTGGGCAAGAAGGTTACCCATGCTGTTGTCACTGTCCCGGCCTACTTCAACGATGCCCAGCGTCAGGCGACCAAGGATGCCGGTGTGATTGCTGGTCTCCATGTGATGCGCATCATCAACGAACCGACTGCTGCGGCTATTGCCTACGGTCTGGACAAGAAGGAGGGCGAGAAGAATGTGCTGGTGTTCGATCTGGGTGGCGGTACCTTCGATGTCTCCCTGCTGACCATTGATAACGGTGTGTTCGAGGTGGTGGCCACCAACGGTGATACCCATTTGGGCGGTGAGGACTTCGATCAGCGTGTGATGGATCACTTCATTAAGCTGTACAAGAAGAAGAAGGGCAAGGATATCCGCAAGGACAACCGTGCTGTCCAGAAGCTGCGTCGCGAAGTTGAGAAGGCTAAGCGTGCTCTGTCCGGCTCCCATCAGGTGCGCATCGAAATTGAGTCCTTCTTTGAGGGCGATGACTTCTCCGAGACCCTGACCCGCGCCAAGTTCGAGGAGCTGAACTTGGATCTCTTCCGTTCGACCCTGAAGCCGGTGCAGAAGGTTCTGGAGGATGCTGACATGAACAAGAAGGATGTGCACGAGATTGTGCTGGTTGGTGGCTCTACCCGTATCCCCAAGGTGCAGCAGCTGGTCAAGGACTTCTTTGGCGGCAAGGAACCATCCCGAGGCATTAATCCCGATGAGGCTGTCGCCTACGGTGCTGCCGTCCAGGCTGGTGTACTCTCCGGCGAACAGGACACGGACGCCATTGTCCTCCTCGACGTTAACCCATTGACCATGGGCATTGAGACCGTCGGCGGTGTGATGACCAAGCTGATTCCCCGCAACACTGTCATTCCCACAAAGAAGTCGCAGGTGTTCTCCACCGCTTCCGACAACCAGCACACGGTGACAATTCAGGTGTACGAGGGCGAGCGTCCCATGACTAAGGACAACCATCTGCTGGGCAAATTCGATCTGACCGGCATCCCACCAGCACCCCGCGGCATTCCCCAGATTGAGGTATCGTTCGAGATCGACGCCAACGGCATCCTGCAGGTCAGTGCCGAGGACAAGGGAACCGGCAACAAGGAGAAGATTGTGATTACTAACGACCAGAACCGTCTGACGCCCGAGGATATTGATCGCATGATCCGCGATGCCGAGAAGTTCGCCGACGAGGACAAGAAGCTGAAGGAGCGCGTCGAGTCGCGCAACGAGCTGGAGTCGTACGCCTACAGCCTGAAGAACCAAATTGGAGACAAGGACAAGCTGGGAGCCAAGCTCAGTGACGACGAGAAGACCAAGCTGGAGTCGGCCATCGATGAGTCGATCAAGTGGCTGGAGCAGAATCCCGATGCCGATCCCGAGGAGTACAAGAAGCAGAAGAAGGATCTTGAGGCGATCGTCCAGCCGGTGATCGCTAAGCTCTACCAGGCCACCGGTGGTGCTCCACCACCAGAGGGCGGTGCCTCTGAGGACGATCTCAAGGACGAGCTGTAAGAAGAAGCCCATCTCTCTGCCCCCACAGAATCCATTGAAGAGATCCAGATAGTGTTGGAAAAATTCAGACTGATTACACAATTATAAACATAATTGCAACAGCAGCCACAATATCAACAACAACAACAACAAAAGCAGCAACAATAAATAGAGCAACAACTAGCAGCAAAAAAGGATTATCCTACTACACACAGAGAAACACATCCTCAAACAAAGAGAAACAAAACAAAATCCTTTTTTAGACATTTTTTTTTTCTACGATTTAATAGAAAATTCTTTTCCTTTTCTCTCTGTGCAAATCACTCGCATTCCGCCCTCCCCCACGTCTACTCCCGTTAGCTGCCTAATTATGTAAAACTGTAAATTTTTTTTATATACATATATATACATACATACACACACACATTTGCGACTGTAATTTGTAAACTGCAATCTGCAATCCCCCCAGAGGAGAGTTAGTGAGAAAAACCGAAGCAGAGGGGAGAAGAGGAGTCACAAATCAATAGGTTTAGCCTACGGATATGTAAACACAAGCACACCCACACAAACAAATGTTATATGTATAAGCGTGTGAAAGCGAGCGAGCGTGTGAGCTGCGGGGCGTGCGGAGTAGATGAAAATTACTGAATATGAGAATGCAAGGACTGCAAGAGTGCGGATAAAGAGGAAAAGAGATAGACCACAAACACACAAGAAACCACTAAAGCAGCTATGGCAACAACATCAGCTGACAGCGGCTTAATAAAAGGATCCTTCGATTTTACGAAGGATTTTCTAATTTATTTAAAAATAAAATAAACAAACAAAAAAAAATTGAAAAAAAAACAATAGTGTTCTTTAATGGCAAAGGGAAATGATAAGTGGATTAATTATAATCTCTCTCGAGTTATGTGGTTAAATAATACTTACCATTTTCCAGGAAAATATGCTAAGATAAAGAGGGTAACCAGGCAATGAAGTGAAAATACTTAACCGAATTTCCTTTTCATTTTAATTAAATAAAGACTTCAAAGTTAGTTTTTCATCGTTTTTTTTTTTTAATGTTTTCACAATTTTCTTTTCGTCTCATAATTCATCATTTCCTTGCGCATCGTCATCATCATCATCAACCTTTTAGCTCTGTTTGCTATATAATTCCTGCGATAACGGTATTATCTTCACACGCCAACTGCTTTCTCAGTTTTTAATCTTAATTATTCTTAAATACATTAAAAAAATACATAAAATATTTTGTTGGTTTTTGTTGTTGTTGTTGGTTTCAGTTTTTTTCTGTTTGTTTTTTTTTCTGTACTAAATATTCCATTAGCCCTGCTCTCGTCTTCTTATTCAAGATCTCGAAAAGCCACAAAATCGACAGGAATTTTCGATTTTGTCACATTTTGAAACAAAGACTCAAATTTCGATTTAGAGAACAGGACTGCCGTGTATGTATGTGTGTACAATATATAAATAAGCTAACGGTATATTGTTTATATGTTATGTATATGTATTTCTATATAAGTTATGCACTCTCAGATTTCGCAAAATTTCGGAACCATTCGAATCTCGAATATTCGGTTCACCCTCAGTTATTCTTTTTCTATTTTTCTTTTTGTAATTTGTTGTGTTTTATTGTTGGTTTTCTGCTTTCAATAATTTCCAAAATTGTTGAATTCGTAACGCTTTAGAAGAAGAAGCAGGGAGACAAGTATAGGTAGTTACAGCATGGGGGATTTGGATTCGAATTCGGTTAGACAAGAAGAAGAAGGTGGGTTTCCGGCCACTTGACTAAATATTTTAAAGACTATAATTCTAGACTCTGGGTTATAGCCGTTTCTCATTTACTAAATAAAATGCAAAGAATTGAGTTTAATGCTCTTGATCTTGAACCTAGCCGAGATAAGCTTTCAAAAAGCCAATGACGGCGTATCCTTTTCAAATTTTCTGCATTCAGTGTTAAAATCATTTAATGAATACTATGTCAACAACAACAAAAATTTAATATCTGCTAGAAATACAAATTTACAATCGATTTACAATCAAGTTGGCAGCACCGATGCACCTTAGCCTTGCGATGGGCAGCTTTCGATTACAAGTCCAATTAAAAAAAAAACACAAAATTTGAAAAAGACCTGGCCTTGAGAGGCTTTTTGGGAAGTACACCCCGTTAATATTCTTATGTTTTGTTTCAAATAAGGAGCTGACTGTACGTGTCAGTTGTGTGTTTTTGTCGTCTGTATCGTCTTATAATTCGGCTTTCGATCCAGCGTTGTTGATTTTGATGTTGGTCCTTTCCTGGCTATCTTGGGGGCTTTCGTTAGCATATTATTTTTTGCTCGGCATCCACAATTCTCCTCAGTGTATGGCCTGAATGTGTGTGTATGTTTGTTTGCATGGGTGTGTGTGTGAGTGTTTCTGTGTATCAGCTGATGGGGCTGCACTGCTTGCGCTTAGAGGCGCTTTGGAATCGTATCGACGGCATTATTCTCAGGCTCTTCGTCCTTTGGGGGCTGACCACGTTGCTGCATGGATCAGCGAATCGGCAAGTCATTATCGGATCATGATTTTACAAGAAGTATATATAATAATACACACATGGCACAAAACGGAAGAGGAGAGAAAGTAGAAGAAAGAAAGCGGAAGAGAAAGAAGAAACACACACATCAATATCAATCAATCAATCAATTGCAGGAATGTAAATGTGTGTTCCTATTATTTCATTTCAATTAATTTTGGCGAAATTTCTAAGTAAATTTAACTTTGTATCAAATTCATTGCAAAAAAACCGCCAAATTTAGTTTGAAATTGAATATGGGAACTGGTGAGTGTGGTTTATTTTTTCTTTTTTTGTTACATGATGTTGGATCTGACCCATGGAGTTGGTAAAACGAAAACAATAAAAGAAAATAAATGCAGGAAACCGAAGTTTGTATACCCTTGCAGTTTGCAATCTAAATTTGATCACAACTAAGCTAAAAAAAGCATTCATTTTCATTCGGAAAGCTGTTCTAAGTTAGTTTTTATAAGATAAATAAATTTGCCTACTGGATAAAATATTTAACATTTTTTAACAATTTTTGAAAAATTTAACGATGTAACCCCTTATCAAATTTTGAAAAAACGGCTACATTTTTTTTTTCTTCAAACATGGCTAAAACGATTCGGCTGTTGATGTTGATTAGGAATATATATGATTTATGGGGTCGGAAATAACTCCTTCACTGCGAAACTATCTTCTAACTGAAATTATAATACCTGGCAAGGGTATAAAAACGCTCGGGGCATAAATAAAATTTATGAAAGAAAGAGAGAGAGAGATGGATGAATCAGGTGAAAGATCCAGTTAAACAGGAAATGATATGATGATATGGATGTCCTTTTTTTCAGTCTCGCATTAAGTTTAAACTCTGAGCAAACATCTCTATGTGTAGTCACTATAGTGTCTCTGCGTTTGCGAATAAATACACTTAATCACTCGTTCCTTTAACAATTATTTTCAAAGAATTTAAATCGCTCATCTCGATACTTAATATAAAATACAAGACAAGGCATTCAATTTAAAAATGTACAGAAATGTTAAGGCGTAATGATTGAATTAAGCAATGTTTAAACAATTCCTCAACTAAAATTGCATGTAAATTTATAAAATTCGATTCTAGTCTTTAGAGTTTCAGCAAGGACTGTGATTGGTGCCAGCGTGGTTATCACATTATTGTGTTGAAAATGCAAGCAGTGCCAGGAGTGTGAGAATTGCTCATTTTCTTGAAGGATCCTCTATAGATATTTTCGTTAAACTTTGAAAACAAAAGTAAATTAAAACAAATAAGAATTTTTTCACATATATTAAATATTTATTTTTATGTCCTTCAAGAAAATGCAGAATGTCTGTACATGAGTTGTGAGCAATGTGCGTGTTTTAGGCCCAGTTATAAGTTAATAATAAAAGTAAACCAATAATGTACAAGATTTAGCATATTTATTTGTAGATTGTTTATTATGGATTTCGTTTTACATTCGCAGCCAAGCGGGGGGTAGAAATACATTTATACATAGATACATAAATGTATATATATATAAATGTGGGGAATATAAAATAAATCAAGGACCAGGCGGGGTACTGCAGCAGGCAGCTTTGGTCGCTGCCAGGTATATGTGGTGCATCGTCGTTGTGAGTTTATTCGGGATGATGGATCACGAGATATATAGTATCGCTTAACAGTGCAACTTCTCTCTACTTTAAAACTCTCCAACAGGAATTCTGTAAGTCTCTAAGCCTGCTTTTTATATTCTGTAAAACCACAATTTATAATTTATATCCGTTTTTCTAAAAACAAAACACTCTAATCTCCATAACAATTCTTACAAAAATATATTTGAACTCTCCTGTGGTAACGCTTAAGAAATATCAGAAAAATTCCAATGTTAAATCTTCGCTTGATGTGAACAAAAATATGTCAAATATTACGAACAACGTTTAGTAATCAAAACTGATTCATTCGGTTCAAGTAGTTTGACGAGATCACTCGGCTTCGGCCTCGGGATCAGGACGACTTAGGATCTCCTGACAGAGTGCAATGTAGTCCTGGATTCGGTGCAAATCATATATGTGTATGGCATATAAGAAAATTGAATCAGAATGTTAAACAAAAAAAGAAATACATGGAACACGGAACACAGCGGAGCTGGCGTGAATGATCGGAATATGCTTATCATGTATAACAAATATGGTCACATTCAAGTCAAAACTGATCTGTGTGAATATCTTGTTATCACAATTGTATCCTATATACCTATATTCTTAACCTGATCCTTCTGTTTCGCTAAGGTTTTCAAATATTTCGATATATTTCAAACCGTTCATTCTCGGCTATACCCTCAACCCAATTCTAGGGCAGAAACTTTTATCCTTTCCATTTTCAGCTGTAAGGGAATAAGGATTGTGTTCTATAATGACATTTAATGTTGGGTCTGGGCTCTAATTGAAAATGATACACTGCGTTTTGTATTAAATATCAGTTTCGTTTTTATTTTAGTTATTGTTATTATTACTCATTGTTCTCCATTATTTTCATTTCTCATTTCGTTTTATTATCTCATTTCTTATTTTTTCTTTTTTTTTATTTCCTTTTTTTCTCATCATTTATGTATTAATTGTAAACAGTTTTCTGCACACTCTCAGATTAACTTATCAACGGTCCTCGGCCTTTTCTATCGATCTCTATATAGATTTTCATATATATATATATATATATTTATACTTTATTTCTAATTTTCTTAAAAAAACTTTACTTCTCGTTTTATTGTTTGTGTTTTTGTTTTTATGTTTTTTTTTTCTTTGCGTTTACCTAATTACGCAAATGTTCGTAGTGAACTTAAAAAACAAGAACATAATTTAAAAACAAATGTAAAAACAAATTAAATGAGTTCGTTTTTTTTTGGCAGAGGAAACGCAAATCTACAATTCTATTACAATTCTCTTACGTTTAAAATTAGTAATTAGCAAAAAAAAAAAAATATATATACCCAAAGACAATTCGGGAATTCATTAGAATTGAGTTGCATTGAAAACAGGATTGGGAATTGGACCCTTAAAAAACTAAGCTACACCGATTAATGCCGCTACAATTTGGAATTGAACTCCGGAACACAACAAAGCCACAGCTATTGTATTTGTAACATCATTTTTATACTGAACACACTCACAAATCTGCAATATATAATTAAATGCTGGCGCTGTTTGCTTCTTTCGTTTATTTAGTTTCGTACAGTGTGGGGGAAAATAGAGCTGGGCACTATCGATTAATTAGATTAACTAAAATTGGAGAAAAATATTAACTAAATTAAAAAAAAAGGGTGTGTCTCCGCCATTTCGTTTGTGCAAAGATTTGCTGTGATAGAATAGTATTTTTGTTAAAAACTTAGTTAAAACATGGCTTAATTTTTAAACCCTTGTAGGGTATCATAATTCTATAGTATATATATAATTTTAATTTGTATAAACAATTGTAAAAAAACGATATCGATAGTTTACCAGCTCTAGGGGAAATGGGATTGCATCCAGCAAAAAGCTTTCCCTTTTCCCTCCCCCGGTTCTAACCCATTGCATTTATGCTCATGAATGTGTTGGTGTGCATGTGTGTAGGTTCGGGGGGTTTTGGTGTGTGTATTTTGGGTGTTTGCTTATTGAACTTCTTTTTGCTTGTTTGCCTCGCTGCTTCGCATTGTTCGTCTTCTTCGCATTGTTCGTCTTCTTGTTCCTCCACCGCTTTCTTCAGCTGCTCCTTCTGTGTGGGAGTCGGCATCGGGAGACCGACTATGTGTGTGTATGGGTGTATGGGATTAGAGTGGATGATTAAGTGGACTGTATGTGGATGTTGTTTTCGGTTTTCTATTGATTGCTATTGATTTCGGTGTCTTCATCAGGATATCTTGGCTATCGGCTTAAACTTTTCCATTTGCTTGCTCTGTTGCGTTCGTGGGATTTTGGTTTGGCTGGTATGGGGGTTTATACAGGATTTGTTTCATTATTAGCACTATCCTTTACATATGTAAATGCTGATGATCGTTATTTGCTTTATATGTTATTATTTGGAAGTACTACGTTGCTTATATCGTTGTTTTGCTCTACGTTTAATTACTTTCTGCTCCTCATCATATGCTACCACTTATTCTCTCTCTCTCTCTATCTATCTTTTTTCTTTCACACACACACAGTCCCTTATTTCCGTTCTCTTTGCCTCTGTCTAATTCGAGTCTCTTTTGTTTGTTTTTAATTTTTGGTCAAGTGTTGCACTACCAGTGTTGTACAATTTCACAAACAAACAAAAAACATAATAGACATCAAAGGCGACAAAACGAGCGAATATATATGGTGTTTAAACACAAGGGTTAATTGACTAAAGCAAATAATATATATATTATATATAATATATACGCGTGTGTGTGTGTCTGTATAAAAGGGTTAGCGGTCGCCACTAATTTTAAAAGCTAACATAATTATCGAATGTTTGCTCACACATATTTATATATATCTTTAAAAAAATTTCAAGTGTACAAAATAATATTAAAAAAAAAGGGAAAGAAATTAAAATCGCATTTTACATGAGCTATATGTATATGTATGAATGTTGTGTTTGTGTGTGTGTAAGTGTTGTGTTGGTGTAACTCAAGAAGGATCTGAACTCGCTTTCTTCTGTAATACGTTTTCTACAATTCGTCACATTCAGCTTCTTTACTGTGGGCTTTCTCTTTTTCATTTGTTTTGCTTTTGTGTATAATATAAACGCAGTTTGGTTTTGTTTTTTGTTTTTTTTTTTTAGTTTTTATATTTGTAAAAATGATTCTTTGCTCCTGGCGCTCAAAAACCTCAATACAGTTGTCTCTCTCTCCGTCTCTTTCTCTGCTCTTCTCTGTCTCTCAGTGTGTGTTGCTCTGTGTTGCTGTTGTTGGTTGTGGTAATTGTTGTGTGTTGTTGCTGTCTATTGGTCTTGCCGTTGTAAACTTTATCCGTATTTTATGTTTTTTTTTTCAATAAATTTTTTTTTTTTTTTAAGTTTTTGTTTGTGCATGAAAGTGTAATGGATTGTTTGTTGTTGTTGTTGTGTTCGTGTGTATGTGTGTTGTAGTTTTGTTGTTGTGTTTGTTTTTTTTTTAATTGAATTAGTTTTTCTACACAAAATGTCATGAAATCGATCATAAAGGATCGAAGGGATATTATAGTTATTCGGTTTTTTTTTTAGACAAACAGAGAGGCACGATTTCGGATTCATATCATTATCGTTTTCAGGTTCAGGAGGTTGTCGGTCGGATTTATATGGATGTTTCGATTTGATATTTTGGTTTGTGGTGGTTGGTGTTTTTTTTTTTTTTTTTGTATGTGTGGGGAGAGAAAACAAATAAAAAAAAGATATAATATATATATTATGCTTGGTTGAATGATATTAAGTGGCGGTTTGATTTTTAAGTCAATATATATAGAGAAAGTAGTACAGAAACAGACAAAAAAAAAAAGGATGAGAGAAAGTGAGTGGTGGTAGTGATGGAATGGGTTATAGGTTTCGGAAAGGGTCAAGATAATAAATAAATTAAAAGAAGGCCAAAAAAACAGACAATAAACTAGTTATTAATGGGTTTTAAATTTACCGCTCGCAGTGGCATTTTGAAATTGGCTGCTGCCTGCAGCTGAATTTGATAAGCTAGGCTGTGTATTTTAAAGCCATACAGCCTTTTGTCGTATCGATGATTGGCGTGCGGTGTCGTTGAATAGATATTCGTCGTACATAAAAAATACACAAGAAGAAGATATAAGTAAAAGTAAATAAGAGGTGGTGAAAATTTCAAGACAAACCTTGGAACAAACTGATTAGTAGGACGCTTGGGACGATACTCGGGATGCACCATAAAGAGCATGTGTGGAAATCCAGTTCCAAAATAGGCGCCATCGGTATGATGATGGCGCGACGATTTTGGTGTGTACACATCAATGCACTTGGGGCAATAGGTTTTCACCATTGCCTCGCCAGGGATGTCAGATAGACCTGCAAGAAAAAATCAATCAGTCAGCAAGACGAAAACACAATATGGAGGATATCACAGGTAAGTCATATTAAAAGTTCTTAGAAATAGGAATATTATATCGGATTTAAGGTTTCAAAAGCAAGGCAATAACAGACACACACAAGTACTATGAGATGTCAGAGTATATCAATATACAGATATATCAGTTATCACTAAACATAAAAGCAAACCCGAGTAAGGAGTCGGATTTAAATTCGATGGAACTTGTAGTTCGGATTTCTGTCTGGGCTTATAGAAATGTAATCATACTTCGTAGCTGGTTTTTCTTTTTATAAATATTTTGATAAGGCGCCCTAATATATCTAATTTCCCTTATGCTCCCATAATATAGGGCAATAGAGCCTGCCTCATCGTTTCTCATAAAAAAAAAAATTATTCAAAGAAATGTATACTTGTTTGCAAAGCTCTGATTGAGTCACACTTATAAACGTATTGACTTTCAAGTTCAGACTTAAATTATAGAGGAAATCGTAGGGAGAATTGGGGTAAAGGATCAATGGATTAATGGTTTTTCATACGCACCCAAGGGCAACATGGGCTGACTTTCGCAGTAGACGCGTGGGCAGTGCCCGAAATCGCCAGTTTGATATTTCTCAATCATTTGAGCGATGCCGCGATTTGTTAGTATATATCTAGCGTGTATGAGGCCATAGAGCATCTCGGCGGCCTGCTCCGTCATATCGGACTGCAATGGATTGTCCTCGAGCTCGTCCTCTGTGCGCAAAAGAAAAAAAGAAATAGAAAATTAATTAAAGACATTTTCAGGAGGAGTCTTCAGAGCTCACCCGGTTCCAGGTCTAAGATCATGTCCAGGGCCTGACGATAGTTGGGCACCTGCTCATTTAAACCAGTTAAATTGAATTTGTCTTGTATATAGTCCTCGTCCACCTGTAAAATGCAAATAATACAAGATTAGCAATAGGTTAAACAAAAAGGAGAAGATAAACTAGGAAGTAATTAATATTTAATGAAGTTGCTTTATAGGGTATTTATGGGTTGCGTATAATTTTTAACGGCTAACCAAAAGAAAAACCCCACAATTGGGCTTAAAAACTGCTTGAATTACCAGAAATTTAATTCACTGATTACAATTTTAATATAATTTCCTTGAATTTGTTATGAAAACCAAAGATTTTCAAAAGTTTCCAAGGTTTTTGCCCAATTGTTTCCCAAACACAAGATCTTAAAAAGCTTTCTGAGATAACCAATGCAAAAATATTCTAAAATTGGTCTGAGATCTGTCAAGGATTGAGTGGAATCCTGGAAGTGACATCCAGTTGGAAAACCTAAGCCGTAAGTTATGGCGAAAAGTGTGGCCATTTTGGCAAAAGGTAAAATTGAATGTTGCCAATTTTTTTTTTATTGAAATTAATTTCCTGTTGTAATAATACTATCTTTTGCTTGGCTAAAGTGTGTGTGTGTGTGTGTGTGTACAGTTGGACACTCAATTGCCCCACCTTGCGGCACACACTCACACACACATACACATTGATGGGCTGCACTTTGCAATTGTTGCACTTTTGCAGCGTGAATGGCGCGCGCTTAGATAACACAAATATAGATATTTGTAAGTCGGCAAAGGGAAGCGGGGACTAACAAGCTAAGCTAAGAAAAACAAAACTCACCTCGCAGAAGAACTCATTGCCACGAAGCCCACAGAACCATGTCACCCACGATACTTCCTCGGAGCTGCTCATTTTGCTGGAAAATCAGAGGAGGAAATCGGAATGAATATTTCAGACGATACAGCAGCTTAAAATTCGGACAAATTGTCCTGCACACACACACATTTTGACATCTATATGCACGCACACAGAGCGGCACGCTCACGCATTCACACACAGACACGCCAGAACACGCACTATTACATACATTAGGGGGATTATTTTGCGTAATTTGGCCTGGCGAGCGGAATTTATTATTGAAATACCATGGAGCGCAAACTTAACGAAATCAAACGAATATCGAAACTTTTGCCTTCACGCGTTTTCGTTCGTTTCTTTTCTTTTTTGTTAGGCTGCTCTTCCTCTGATTCGGTTTTTTCGTTTCTTCTCCGCTTCTTGTTGCTTGCTCGCTATTCCGCCACACCACACTCACTCCACACTATTTCACCGCTTGCAGTTCGCCGTTTGCTGGTTGCGCTTTTTATTTTTCACGTTGGAGTGAATTTATTTTTTAACAAACTTTTCAGTTACTCGTTTCGGAAATGAATGTGGGGAAATTAACTTTTACATTCGTATTTTGACAAGCTCTCATACAAAATGTGCCGAGCAGTAGCAAGAAGAAGCAGCACAGTGTGGAAATTAAGAAAAAAAAAAGAGACACATATACAGGCCCACCATCACACGCACACACTCATGCACGGGGCCACTCAACACAGACGCAAGCACACACACACACACGAGGAGGAACTGCGTTTTTCGGTGGAATTGCCGTCGCGGCAGCGTTCCAAAGGCTTGCACTCACCTAAATTGTTATTAATTACGCGAATTGATTAGCGTTTGCAATGCAGCAGAACCGGTAAAGGCAAATATTGTAGCGAAGACGGGTACCAGGTATGCAATCGCGCCTATCGATGAGCGCTGCCTGCGCTAGTGTGCGGTGTGGCCTATCGCTCGCCGGCCATCCCCATATAAATATCGCTCGATATATCGCATGCGAGTTTTGCAACACTGCTCTTGGCCAAATTTTCTAGTTGGATTTATTTTCTTCCGCCATTTCAAAGGTTTTTCACATTTTATAACACTTGACCCTAAACAGTCAGTTGTTTTAGTGTGGCCCTACTTGCCCAGTCAGCAGCCACATTATTTGGGAGTTATCGAAAGTTGGCTGTTAAATTTAAACATTTGAAACTTTTGAACTTTCAAGATAAGAAAAAAAAATTACCAATGAATTGTGAATACATGGGAGTTCAGAGATTAGATTAAAATAAATTAAATAGTATATTAATTTTTATTGATATAGAAATAAGTACAATTTAGAAATACATCTTGATTCAGCACTATGTTGTCTGATAAGGATAAATACATATATTTATATGGATAAATATACTTTTCTTTTACTTTTCAATATATATTTTATGATTTTTGCCGATACCCTACCGTCCCAGCTTATTGACCAGCTTAAATATTTCCCTACCGTTTCGGCGACCGTTCACTACGTAGGCCAACGGATCGTCCTGGCTCGACTCCATCAGGTTGTCGCACGATCCTTGGCCAATGTCGAACATAAAGGACTTGTCGATGTCTTGCGGCAGCTTGCCGCGCAAAAAGCTAATCTCGTTGTCGGCCAGTGACGTTTTTCGGGCCAAAAGCAAAGCGGAGAGGTAGCGCGGATGCTTCTTTTTTTCGGCGCAGTGCATCACCAGGCCCCAGGTGTCGTAGTCCGTGTCCAGCACATATGTGTTGTAGACGCCCTCATCTGGTGGGATATTTATCAAAAATATATATATATTTTTGTATTTAAATTTGTGCGCCTTAAAGCAGGCAATGAAATATTTCGAGCCTTCTTGCTTAAGAGAATGCCTTTTCAGGAGAATCCTCTCTTAAGGGGGGGGTAAGGTATTTAATTTTTTTTTTCGTAAATTTTTTTTTATTTTTTATTTTTAAAGTTTAACATCTTAAGAATATTGTGTCCAAGTTTTACATTGATCAGAGTGAAATTGACGAAGTTATGCGGAGTTGAACGAAGGTCGGTTGGTGTTCAATGCATGGGAATCACAAAGTTTAAAGCGCTCTCCTGAAAAATTCAATTTTTCAAATCGGTGTACACGATTACAGAAAAACTACTGGACCGATCGATTTGAAATTTGGCACACACATTCTTTAACTAATTCCTCAGGTATTCACGTCGTCCTTTTTTTAATTTTTAATTTTTATATATTTTTAAATTAAGAAATAACGTTTTTTTTTTAGTCAAAAATCGGGTTTTTGACTTTCAAATTTCCTAAAAAATCACAAAAAAACTAAAAAAAAAAACGCTTCGTGAATACCTCGGGACACTTATCCTTTAACGAATGAGGTATAATTTTTTTAGATCGGATGATCCTGTGGACTGTTAGGATGTACACCGCAAAACAACTTTTTTTGGAGGCGACTCTGGAGATTCCCTATAACTTCTCTACCTCTAAATATTTTTCAATACAAAATTTATCAAAAATTATTCAAATGTTGTGTTATTATATGGTATTTAATTCATTAAGCTAACTTTAGCCGTTTCGCCACAATAATTTTGAAATTGAAAAGTGGCCTTTTTTGCACCGAATTAACCTTACCCCCCCCTTAAGAGAATCCTTTCTTAAGAGAATCACTCACATATATCTTCGGTGTGTTGCCAGTGACCCGGCTCCTCGAACTTGGGTATCATCCAGGTGATGTTGCCCACCAGCTTCTCGCGCAGCGGATCCTCCGCAAAGATATAGCTGAAATTCATGGTTATCTGGTAGGAATTTAATTACTATGAACCGTTATTTGTTGGCTGGACAGAGTGATAGACTACCTACATGCTGATCCTCCTTGGAAAAGGAGAAGTGACTGCGCATACAGGCATATTCCGGCAGTTCCTCTGTGGAAGCATAGTACTGGACCACATGCCAGCAACCCATCATGCGTTCCAGATCAAAGTTTTTAATGGCGCCTACCTGTGAAGAATCCAATTCTAAGATTATCGGGGGAGCTACAGATACATATCTCTAGGAAAATAAACATTATACCTTGAGACAAAACTCAAGTAAAAATAATATTAAATAATGTGAATTAAGGAATTTTCAAGTACCTAAGTTGGGAAATTTAGAAGTTTAGAAAGAAATGAAGAGTACTTATTACAAAAACAAGCAACATCTAAAGGTTAAATTATATTTTAAAGGTCAAGGCTGCCGAATATTCCGGCAAATAAACTAAATAAACATTTGGCCCATAAAAGCGTTTTCGGCTTAGTTTCAGTTATTTACATTGTGTTTACCTTGGTGACCGCAAAACAAACTTGGCAGGGAGCAAGAGGAAAGAGGAGACACAGACGAAATGAAAGAAAAAAAAGGAGAGAAAAAAAAGAGAAGCGGCGGCAGACGACGAAAGCCGTTAGCGCTGTCACTGTGATTGACTACTGACAGTTCATTGAGGAGTCGCTGTCGGAGTCGGAGTTGGAGTCGCTATTGCTATCTCTCTCGAAGTCGCTATAGCCATCTCTTTCGCCATGTCCACTGGAAGTTGCAAGACGACTTGCAGACGGAGCAGACGCGAAATGCAGACGCAAGTCAGCCTCTGATTGATGCGCCTCAAAAGCGCAATGCTTGCCCCCCTTTCCACTCCTCTTTTTGCCACCTCCTTGGTGCTCTCTCCACTCTCCCCACTCTGCCTGTCTTTCCTCGTCTCCGGCTATGTGCGTGCCTTTTGTCTATTCTTGTTGATTGTTTTCTGGCTTTTGGTTCGCTTTTCGGTGATATTTGTATTTGTGGGCTAGGTGCACCTGCAACGGAGTGCAATTGTCGCCGCCAAACGGTGAAGAAGGGGTTGAAGAATTGCTATTGAAAAAGAGAGGGGCAGAGCAGGAGTAGAGACGAAGAGTAGAGGGGTAAACTTCATGCAGACAACGTCTGAGCCACTTAGAAAGTGTGATTGATTTTGGCAACGGTGTGAGCCCATTTCTACTGCCTTACTCTTTCTGCGCCTCGCTTTTATGTCCCATTCATTCTTCCAGCTAGAGATGGAACGTGCCCGCCGAGCGTTCGAAGGTGAAGCAGTGCAAGTGAGCACTTAACCCCGACCATGGGATACCCAGTAAGTAGGTTGCGATCAATTTGATAGAAACATTTGGGAATTATAACATAATTGTGGTTAAAGTGGTTTTTTACGAAGATTTCAAGGGTCTATTTGGATTCTTAAAAATAATAGAATAAAATATATTATGTACAAATGGTATCTCTAAAATTCGAAGATCACAAAGTAATGCTTTTCAGGGTATTTAAATATTTAAATTTATTTAAATCACACTCTCTTTTCTGCAAAAAACCATAAAGGGTCTGCTACCCAGTACCTCGTACGGTATGATGGGTTAATGAAGGCAGACTGATTTTAACTGCATGGGGTGATTTTACGAGAGAGACATCGTAAGTCAATCTGAAATATAGCCATGACCATAGACCTGGCATAGACATCGGTCTTATGGTCGGTGTCATCGCTAGTGTCTGTGATATATGTATGCAAGTGACCGTGTGCCCGGCATATTGATGAGGCCCCAGCTCATTGGGTTGGGGATGGGGATGGATTGGATGCTTAAGCTTTACTCCGGCGGCTGTGCTCAGAATGAAATCGAATTGAACTGTGGCCAAGAAGAAAGTGATCCAGTTAGAAGAGGCCAGGCCAGGAACGTGACCAGGGACGGGAGCCTGAGCTGTCTATCTAACCGCACCTGCACCCATATGTTATGTCAATAATATATCTCCATTTGTTCTCGGTGACCCCGATAATGCCTAGAAATTTAGATTTCTTTCAATTTAATTTAAAAGAAATCAGTAACTCAAAGTAAGATCTAATAGATCTAGAAATATATCTATTCTTATAGATGAAACTCACCTGGGGACACCGATTCCTCGGCCTGGAGCGTCTCCTGGTCTCATGGGCATTGCTGTTCTGACTCGTATACAGTGAGGCCTCCAACGTCCAAAGGAGTTCAAGGAGCAGGAGTCCGGAGAGCAGGATCACCAGAAGCGATCCATTGCTGCCCATGATCGAGATCAGTGGTGTTTCTAATAGGTTTTACCGGGTTTGTGCTGGGATATTCTTGAGGTATTACTGGAGAATTGCTGGAAATACTATCGGGGGTTTTTTTTTAAAGCATTATCTGGGGTAATGTATTCCCTATTTAGTTGGACTTCCGGCGGTCTGAGTCGAGCGATCACCGCACTGTTTACGATGGCACTGCGCCATCTCATCTTGGCGACTAATATATATGTTTATATATAAATATGTATATAATAGCAGCACTTCGGATCGTAGCGGAACGAACTCGGCAACTCGGATTCGGATGCCGTTGCGGATAAGAAGGCGCCTGCTTATTGCCACATCACAGAGTTCTTCTATGGAGAATAGCGCGCATTATCGGGGAGCTGGAAATATGAAAAACGAAATACGCATTGCTGAGCACTTGGCTGATTTTAGGCTATATTTAGCAGATCATTTCAAAATCACATGAAAAATATAAATAAAAAATTCAATTTCCAGATAGCAGGTGAACGAAGCCATGGAAATGCTTATTTAGAACTCGGAGAAGTATCTCCCTAATAAAGTGAATTGACTGGTAAGTTAGGAAGTAGATAAAAAAGAAAGTAAATAAGCTAGTAAGTAAGAATAATGACACTTTCCAGGATTCCTTAATTTCTTTCTCATAGATTAATCCCTTTTCCAGGACTCCCTTGATTTCCTAATAATCACCTCCTTTACAGATCTCTTTCTCTGCCTCTCGTTTTAGCTGTTTTAATGGACTCCAGCTAGCTAACAACCACCAGCATTGGAATTATAGATGCTGCTGCCTCATTTCCATATTGGAATTTAATCAGCAGGAGCGCCGCTTTTTGGGATTGCGGGTGAGTAAGCTGGGCGGGCGCTCTCTTATCAATTACAACGTCCGTTCGCTAGCAGCGTCCAGTCAATGCCTTCCACAGACGCAAACACACAATCACACACACACGCACACATACACACACTTGCTGCATAATGTCTGGGATCGGTGGAATTATTTTCGGCTGCACTTGACTCGTTTTCACTTGTCGCGTGGATGTAGGCAGATTTCAGGCAACTTTCTCGCCGCGGAGAGCGAAATTTTTGTCAGGGTGACTGCGGTGCGGAGGGGGCTGGGGCGGGGGGAGGGTCATGAGGAGGTATGTACCAGGGAGTTTGGGGAGTGCGTGGAACAGGAAACATTTTAATAGCCAGCAAAATTTATTCTTTATGATCGCCAGAACGAACAGTGCTCTGCTGAACACTTTCTCTTTATTGCGAAACGAGTTGCGCGGCATTTTCACGACCGGACTGGAATGAAACTGGACATCCTCGGAGAGATACCTCCGCCGTCGTCGCCGTTGCAGCCTCATCTTCTTTTCCTTCTTCTCCAACGTCTTCTTCTTCCGCCTGCGTCTGCTCTTTCCGTAAGTGAAAATACCCATTAGTCTCCAGGTTTCGTCGAGGGTATGCCGGACATTCAGATCATTTTCAAGACTGCAAAAGGGGGGAATTCTGAATTTGTCGTGTGTCTCAAATAATTGTTCCAGTTTAAGGAACTATTTAAATTTAACTAATTTGTTTAAATTAAAAGCTAAGAAAGTTTGTGTCCTTTCAAACTAATAATATCGAAAGTATACAATATTAGCTATCCTTCGCACCGGAAATCTCTTAGTCGGCTCCCTTGGCTTTACCTAATTCTTGTTTTTATTTCTTCCATCTATGTTTTTTTTTTTTTTTTTTTTTTTTCAGCCTTTTCTGTTAGTTGATGCTGCTTTTGGCGTCTGGTTTTTGTTGGCCAGCCCAAAAAAGCGGCGCAACTTTCGTCGCCGCATTGCGTTGCGTTGCGATGCGTTAGTGCCCAGTTCCGGCTTCTACGGTGGCTCCGGTCTCCGCTCTGCACTCTCCTGCCGCCATACTTCGCACCTTTCCCTCTCTCTCGCACTCTTCTCACCTGTTTATCCGCAGACGCAGCACCGCCAAAGCGAAAAGCGGCTTTTAATGCGCAAGCGAAACGAAACGAAATGGAATAAAGGCAAAAGCAATCGGAGAAATGTCGCCTGCTGCTCCTTTGGCGGCGCTCGTTTTCACCCTCTCTCCCAACACACACACACATACACTCATTCTCCTTTTGGGCAGTTCCTGCACTCTTTTGGAAAAGCTTGTAAAGCTTCATACGTAGTGTGTGTGTAAGTGTGTGCGTGCGAATGAATGAAATCGCTAATCACGGGAATGATCTGAGGCCGAAGGCGATGGGAGAGAGAGATGGGAAGTTTCCCATACATATCAGCCCATATCTTATTGACCAAGCATATTTGACCCAATTTTTTAAGAAACTTTCAGGAAGTTTAAAATGTTGTAAAAAAAAAAAGTCTTGAAGTGATGATTTATGAATTGACGTTATAGAACTTCGGTGTATAGAAAATATATATACCTATGTATAGTATTTAGTTACCTGATATCTTCGCTGACTCACCTGGAATGCTACAAGTGTGTCTCAAATGCGAGTGACACACCCAAAAAAAAAAAAAAACACTTCCAGCAGGTGTTACAGGTGAGCTACAGGTGACAGTCAGTCAGTCAGCCAGGCAGGCAGACGGAATGTCTGGCGCGGCATGGCATTTGGATTGGATTGGAGTGGAGTGGAATGTCAAACGTTTATTTGCCGGTAATTAAATTTGAAAATGATTTAAATTTCACCTAGCGAATATTTCAAATTGGTCTTAACACTTTCTTCTTCTCTCATTCAGCTCCAAGCCAGCCAGCTCTTTGGCCAGAGGCCCACCCGCAAGCGCAAGTGGATGACCCACCTGGACTCGTCCCTCCCCTTGCTCCGTTCTCTCCACCTGCATGGAAGCAATCCGGCTGATTGCAGATTTGTTTTCTATTTGCAATTGATCGATGCGATGCTGGTTGGCCAGCAGCAACGGCGACAGCGACAGCGTCTCAGCCACATGAAATTGGAAAAAGACAAAAAAAAAAAAAAAGTTAACATAAAAATTGAGCTGGACGTCCACGTCTACGTCCGGTGGGTTTGTTAATGGCATTCCGAACCTGGGATCACACAGATGGATTATATGGTCAGCCAACTTTCAGCTCAGGGAGCCCAGAAGATCAAAAATATTGGCATTACTAATGGTAAAATAGGTAAGTAAATAATTTAAAATATTTTAAAATGTATTATCACATAATATATGGTATATTCAAATTGTCTAAAAATAAATGTTCTAAAATTGTTTTTAGATTGTTCCAAGAATTGTTGTAATACCAAGAGATAGTATAAAAAGATCTTACTAAGAACTAACATCTGTTAGTTTTTACTTTACTCTTTTATAAATAAATCTCTAGTATTTTTTAGTTTTTCTATTTATATTTATTACTATATTATAATATGTTTAAACACAACTTCCCCTTAATATCTTAAGTAAATTAATGTTTACCCAGGGTAATCCCAGAGTGATTCTGGAGTGGCTGCCGCCACCTTCTTCTCCTACTCTTTGAGTGCGTGTACCTGGTAGAGTGTGTGGGATTAGTTCAAGTGCAGCCAGTACTTCAGTGCTCCTCTCATGACGGTACTTGGTGCATGATACACCATAGATCTTGGGCTACACTGAACAAAAATAATATTAATTTTAGCTGTTCTGTATATTTTTAATAATAATTCTTTAAAAATAATAAAATTTCAAACTAAGAAGTTTAGAAAATATTGTTTAGAAATATTTTGTTTTCTTTTTTTATAAATTTATTTTTTGTATGCTCGATATTGTTATTTATTTTATTTTTATATTTATTTTTATTTTATTTTTATATTTATTTTTATTTTTATTTTATTTTTATTTTTACTGCTTTTTTTATTAATTTCTTTTTGTAACTCTATATATCATCCCTTATTTTATTTTCCAGTGTAGTCTCTTGGCTAGTTTCGCTCGCCGTTCAATTATGCAGCGACACAGACACATACAAACACCTTTGTATACTAGCTCCATAGAGTGGAAAATGGCCAACGAGGTGGAGTTCCGAGGCCTCTGTGCGTGCCCTTCCCATGGCCACCATCCATCATCCAGCGGCGTTATGGTCTCGTCGAGCCCCAGCATAACCCATCAAGTGGGTTCCGTTTTGTTTGCGCATGCGCCGCGCATTCAGCATCGATATTTCACGATCGTCGTCGTCGGGGTTTTATGGCAATGGAGAAATATACAAAAAAAAGCTATAGAAACGGGGGAGATGCTATGGCGATGGCGATGGCCAGATGGAGGCGGAGATGGTGCCCACTTCGTGCTGCTATTTGGTGGTCCGCGATTTTGTTTTCATTTGGAAAGTGGGTGTGTTTGTCTAGCTGTCCGAGTGGCGAGCGGAGCGGCTTCTCCCCATTTTGAAGAAAAGGGGGAGGGGGCTGTGGGCCCTGGGAATGTCCGTTTTTGGCCTCAAGTTCGAGGCTAGGAAATGTCTGAGGAATGTGTGTGTGTGTGTTCTTTGGCCAAAGGAAAGTGATCTACGATTGATGTGATCTTTCTAATACAAGGTCTTTTGTCCACGGGGAAGGTTAAGTGGGTGAGCAGGGAGTCAAGTGGCTGTATTCACTCTCAAGGTGGCCCCTCAAATAGTTGTAACTTTAATTTAATGATAGCTTTAACTAAAGCTAAAGCCAGCTAGCCAAGGAGTAAAATCGTTAAACAAAAATAAATACCTAATGAATTATTTTGGGGTTATATTGCCTATAAATTATATTTCTTTATTTTTAGGAGTTAGTTTTAAAGCTGAATTAAGGTAATTTGGATCCTAATTAATTAAAGTTGAGAAATTAATTCGGTATTTTAGTTGTTTATCTCTAAATTATAATGAAGCCTTTAAAATATATTTTTCCAGATTTTCAAATATTTTGTAAAAATTATTGTAAATAAGAAAAGATAAATATAAATAAATAATAAATATTTGAAATGTTTTACTATTAATAACATAAGATTTTATTGGTAGTAAATCCGTTTTTAAATTTTTAATAAATCATTTTAAATAAAATAAGGTTAAGAAAGTTATTAATATATATATATTTCTATTCTTACTTGGTAAAAGATCTTTAAAAATTATATATATTAATATTTATAATTCTACAAATATTTGTTATATTAATTTTTTAATATATATATATTTTTTAAACTTTCAAATAAATTCCTTTTCAACTTAAAACTTAAAACCAAAGATAAACCTCAAACTAAACCCTTTTTTTTTATCAATATGAAAGTTCTTCGTTTTGTAAGAAACCCCAAACCAAACCCAAAAAACTTTCTTGACGAGAATGTGTAGCTTGAAAAGTATCGAAAAGTGCTTTTTGCGCAACTTTCATAACCAAAGAGCACCGGGCAGCAATCCATCCATCCATCCATCTATCCATCCAAGCGGTGGTCCGCACCTGGGATTCCATTCGATTGCCAGGATGGCCTCGGGGGCCATTGAGATGCTCAGATATTTGCTTCCCCCGAAAACTTGGATGCTGGGATACTTGGCCAGATACTCGCCGATACAGATACAGATACAGATTGAGATACAGATACACGCGTGTGCCGCTGGCTTAGATTCGCCGAAATCGAATGGTATTGAATGGGATCTCCCTCTGGGCGCGGCGAGGTGAGGCGAGAGGGCCTCGGACTGGTTCCGCCGAAGAATCTTTTTCGGACAGCGGCTAATTGACTTTCAATGTTGTTTTATTTTTCGTTTCATTTCGTTTAATTTTACTTTACTTGAGAGCGTTGTCGAGGCGAGAAAGTGAAATTGATAGGCAGACAAGTGGCTTTCGGTTACGAAGGAGCTGTGGCCACAAGGAGGAGGCGGAGTTGGAGGGAGCTTAAGCCGGAAGGGGGATTCTAAGCAGACGCTTTCTAAGTCGCCACTCTCCCTTTGGAGGGTCATGATGTTGCAGGAGAGGAAACACAGGGAAGAAAGTGAGTTTAAATATTTTATATTGTTATTGAAAAATATTATTAATTCTCTGATAAATAATTTAGCTAAAGAAAAAAAAAATGTAAAATATTAAAATCTAATTTAAATACTTATTTCTTCTACTTTCTTCTGAGTATTTTATTCTTTAAATATTTTTCTGTTAAATATTTTTGTTTTATATATTATTGAAGAGAAAACTAAACTTATTGTTTTATTTAAATTTGTTTAATTTTTCTTCACTTTCTGATAAATAATTTATTGAATTCTTCTTTAAATACTAATTTCTTCTACTTTCTTCTGAGTATTTCATTTATTAAATATATTTCTTTTAAATATTTTTGTTTTATATTTTTCTCAGTGCAGCGCCTCTAACCCAATTCTTCTCCCTTGGGTGGTGACTCTTCTCTTGATATTTCCACACCCACAGCGTACAAAAAGTCGGGGCAAAAAGTGCCTTCTCATGGCTTAATGGCAGTTGTTGCTACTGTTTGCTGTTGCTGCTGCCACATGTTGCAGTTGCACTTTGTTTTTGCTGGCGGCGTTTTCACTTTGTTCGAGATCTGGCACTGTGGCCCTCCAAACGGTGGACAAATGGCCGAAAGGTTACTGCCGCACACCACACTCGAAAAATATTTAAATTTCAAGTAAATAAAATAATTAAATAAACAAAAAAATTATAAATAAAATAACTGAATAATTAAATAAATAAATTAAATAATAATTTTAAAAAAATGAACGTAATAAATATTATTATTAAATATTCCTTTTTGGATAATATCTATAATTAAATATAAAATTATATTTTTATTTATTTTTTATTTATTTATTTTTATTGTTTTGAATATATTTTTAATTTGTTTTTTATTTTTATTATTTTATTTAATATAAATTGATTTTATTCATTTAATTATTATGTATTATATTTATTTATTTATTTTATATTATTTTTTATATATTTATTTATTTATGCTTACAGTTTTTCCTCTATGATCTTAAATTTTTGAAGCTTTTTTATGCTACTTATTTTGTTTTTTATATAGTATATTTTATTATTTTATTATATTAATTTTTTTATATAAAAATTTCCTCTAGGTTCAAAAATTCGTAAAACTACTTATACGCTTATTCTAGTTTTTAGATACTTTATATATTACTCAACATTTTTTTCGAGTGCAAGAAGAGACTGCAACTACTGCTATAACGACAGATGACAAACGCAGGCAGTTTGCCGGCGATGATGAAGTGTCAATGCAATGAAAACTAAACCAATAAATTGTGAGAGCGACCCAAATAGTTGGCTAGAAACCGGCGTGGCGAAGAGGATTTTCGTTCAGAGCCGGAGTCGTAGTCAGAGTCGGAATGGGAGTCGGAATTGGAGTCCAGAGTCCAAAGAGAACCGTGATTGTAGAATCCCGATGGACACGGTATATGCATTCATACCTTTGTTTATATAGCCGCCGGATTTGGTCAGAAGATCCTCCCCCTTACCCGTTTTCTTCTGTGAGAAATTGAAGCGCAATTCCAGTCGACGGACGGATGGTGAAAGTAACAAGATACTTTTAATAAGACATTTTGCGTCGCCGCTTAAGATGCGTGCCGAGTGCGACAAAAGACGAGTAGAGTCTTCAGCCCTTCTCCTGGGGGCTCCCTTCGTTCTTCGTTCTGCGTTCTTCATGCTGGATACTCCATTCTCTAGTCTTAATTCTCCGTTCTACAGGTTGTAGTATAGCCAAGTCAGGACGTCTCATGCAAAACCTCCTGTAATTTACCAAGTTAGCAGACGAAACGCCTCCCCTCCGACGACGACGACGATGCTGGCCGGGCAGACTGGCTGGCGCGTGTTACTTAATGTGCTTAATGTGCCCCCCGAAACCAATAGACGACCATCGGATCGAACCGATTGAGCTTGGCCAGCTTTCTGGCGGAACCGGAGCGCAGCCTCCTTGGCCAGCAAAACATATATCCCGAGTCGCAGCTCCAAGTCTAGTCGCGATCGAAATTACTCCAATTTCGAAACGAGTCTTTTGGTCATATTTAGCAAACAGGAATTGGCCAAGAGAGAGAGAGAGAGATACAGAGACGGCCATGGCCAAGACCACGACCATGGTCATGGCTACGGCGGCGGCGCCCCTAAAAACTCAAAACTGCAAAGTGGAATTGAAATGGCGATGAAATGCCCGGCCTCGACTTCCCCACCGTGCACAGTGGGATATTGTTACAAAATTTATTGTCTCAAGATTAATTTCTGCAGTCATAAAAGTATTGTTTTTATATTTAAGAAAAATCGTCTTTAAAGAAAGAATATTTTTTTACAATTAAGAAAAAGTGTTCATGATTTTAAGGCAAGGCATCATAAAATCCAAGGAAAGCCACCATTAATACTATTATTTTCTTTATTTTATATTTTATTATATTTCATAAAATTTTAAGGGGTTTTGTTTTGTTTTTTAATTTAGTTTGCATTTTTCTGATTACCTTAGCTGGTACATTTTTTATGAAAACCATGGCAACCCAAAATTTGACGGCTAAAAATCTTACAGCTAAAAATCTCATACATGTGCACTTACAATTCCCAACTGGTTCTAACATCTTTGGCCTCTCAGGATCTTTAAAAACTGTAAGCAACAGTTGTGACATGTGGGGAACTGGTAATTTCCTATTCAAAATAAACTTTATAATTTCTAAATTAATTTTGTTATTTTTACAGGGTACATCCCAGTGCCCACTGTGCTCAGGCGGCATCAAGTTGTCGTTGCAAGTTGCTCATCCTATTATTTCAACCAGAGCAAGTGCAGCCGTGTTTGTTTTTGTTGCTGCTTTTTTTTTTGCTGGCAATGCCAAATGCGGCACTTGGCAAAAATATTTTATGGAAAAGTGGAACAGTCGATGAAACATTACAGGCTGTGCAGACTGCATAAATAACAACAACAAACAAAAAAAAGGCGCGATATCTCTGCCTTTGTCACCTTTTGAGATGTGCCCTTGCCCCCTTTTGGGTTACGGAGAAGATCCCCTTGTCACGCAATGTGTGGCAATCAAAGGGCGCCCACACCCATTTCTTGATTGCTTGCCGCAGCAGCAAATCAACAGCAATTGGAGCATGGGCAGTGCCCAGTGTCCACTGCCCAGAAGGGGGTACCAGTGACTGTGGCATGACAGCGGGGGGAAAAGAAAGTGCAAACAGTTAGAGGACTTGTCCCCATGCAATTGTCGTCGTCGTCGACGTCGTCGTCTGCTTCTGTAACCCATTGCAACTGAAAGTTGAAGCTGCTGCCCAGTATAAACAAACAGAGGACTGGGGAAACCGACAAGCGAGCAACTAGCAGCCAACGACGACGCATGCCACAGTTGTAATACACTGCAAGAAGGTGTGTGGCATTGTCGAAATAAAAATAAAATGTATATTAGCCAAGTACGTGAGACTTTGTGCTTAGTACTGAAGAGAAAAAACAATACTGATAGAGGAAAGTATCTCCCAATATCGTTTCGCAAATTTTAAAAATTTACCAATAAAAAAAACAAATAAAAATTAATCAATAAATCTAAATCTTATTCTAAGAGATATTGCCCATTTTTATCTTTTTAACTCAAAAGTTAAGCAAAAGTTAAGCAGTTTTCAAAATTAATGTAAAAAGTGTAATCCCAAAAAGTTATAAAAAATAATTAAATAAATAAATGAAATAAAAAAATAAAAGGAAAAACGAAATATATTTTGTAAAAATATGAAAAGGTATACCATATTTTTTGAAAATATTATAACAAATACCACCTAGTTTCTTGCAGTGTAGCAGCAATATCCAGGCGGCAGAAACACCAACAAACATCAGCAATATCGGCTGCAACTGCAACCGGCGAGCCGCACTTGAACAAGTCGTACTTGGCATTGCTTTTTTGGACCTGGCTTTTCAGCCTCGGCTTCGTCTCTGACTTTGGCTTTGGCTTTGGCCGACTGCCTCAGTGAGGAGGAGGCCTTCTTTCAATGAAAAGAAAGAAGAAATTTCGCTGCTGCTGCGACTGCTGCTGCGCATGCGAAGTGTTCCGCTGCGAGAAAGCAGGTGTCTGCAGCATTCGGCGCTAAACCACGGCGCGGACCAGACGCGTTTTTCTCTCTCTCCGATCGATCCTCCGAGGCGAACCTCGTTCTTCGTTTCCAAACACCAACTAAATAAATACAGAAAGAAACAAATACAACAAAACAACAACAAAGCATACATAATACAAAAAGGAAGAAAATACAAACAAAATACAACATATCGAAAATAAACAAATAAAAACGCTAAGCGAATCCCGAGAAAAACAAAACACAAATATAAAAAAACATTTGTTGCGAATAAAGCGGCGCAGAGAAAGGAGAAAAGAAAGAACCGCTCCTCCGCTTGCAGAGCAGCGGCTTTTGGCCAAGTGATCATCATCAACGCTTTTTGTGTCCTTTTTTTTTGCAGTTTGCAGTTTGTTACCTTTTTTTTGTTGGTATTTCTTTTTTTTTCTGCGTGTGTGTGTGCTCCACTTGCGATCGATAATTGTTGACCGCGTGCAACGCCCCACCGCCCCACCCCCCATCATACCCTACTCCAGCAACAAAGTGCAACAAAAAACACTAACGGGCAAGGCGGCCACCGTTATTGCGAGTGCCAAGCAACTGTTTTCGAAAGTTGCCGCAACGAAAACGCAGACGCAGACCCAAAACGCGGCAAAAGCAGAAGCAGACGCAAACGCATCCTGTTGGAATTGGACGCGGAACTGGAAGTGGAACAGCAAGTGGAACGCAGGAATCGGGCCAGGGACGAGCGGTAAGTTGGAAGTGTGGAATGTTATACGGAAGTAAGGGAATGAGTGGGAGTGGAAAAGGGATATTTGCAGGATAAGTCCTATCACTTCCGGCCTTAACTTTAATAGACTGTCTTAAAAGCTGTTCTTAACAGTTTTATTTCTTCTTAACTGTCTTTAAGATCTTAATTCGTCTCTCTATAATATTAAATTATATATTTTTAATTCTTTAAAAGTATAGAATAATTAGATTTCATCTGATAGGACATTTCCAAGGATATTAGTACCAAGAAGCAATAATTGTTTATTTTATTTTCATCTTTTAATCCTTGCATAATGTTTCAGTCTTCACTTCCTTTTCCCATTTTTAACAATTCTTCAACATTAAAAATTTTAAAAAGATTTCGTTTGGAGTCTAGAAAAATTTCTTCTATATTTAACCTATATTAAAACATTCTTAATAAATAAGATCAATTGAAATATTATAAATAGCTAGAAGAAAAGCGTTAAATTGTAGAAGAATTCGTAACTTCCTTTTCAAAAATTTAATAATTATTTTACTTTATAATTTTAAAAGATTTCCTCTTTCTATATCTAAGCTATATTTAAACTTTCTTAACAAAAAATATTTATTGAATATTTAATATAGCTAAGACAGAAGGAAGAGACTAGAAGAAAAGCTTTACATTTTATTTTACTTATTATACTTAACTTGGTTTATTTAAAGGAAGAATTCTCTATGTTAAGTATAAAATTTACACTAAAATCAAATCTTAAAATTGCAAGGTAGCAAGGAAGTGGAATTCTTTTAGTTTACAAGCAGATTCACTGATTCTTCAGACTTTCCTCACTCTCTCTTTCCATGGCAGCCTAGGCTGCTGCTACTGCCTTGGACAATGTCTTAGGCCTTCTAATTGGTCAACTAAGAGCATTCATGTTTGTCTGGGCCCAAGATGACCCACTTCACTTATGGGGAAACCTATTAACACTTTTCACCTCTCACCCCATCCCCAGTCGCCACCCAATTTAAAAGTAAAGTGAGTTGTCATTAAACAGATTCTTTTCTTTCTTGACTTGTCAGAGCTTCCCGTTTCTTTTCATTTTTTTACTTCTATTTTTTTTTACTTTCTTCTGCTTTTTGACAGTGGACAGTGGGTGGGGAAAGAGTTGGAAAGAGCGGTACGGATAAAGTCAATCAATCATCATTGAGCTGACTGAGAAATTGCTAATAAATTGCAATTAGCGGGAAACACTTTCAGAGCTGGTAACCATATAATAGTAGTAATAATAATAGTAATAATAATAGATATGTACCATATAATGGTCACAGAAGAAAATAAAAGCGAAAAGCACTTTCTTCGCTGTTTGCATTATCGTTCTTCTCTTCCGTTTCTTCTGACGCCCACAACAATGACAGCACACTATTATTTATTGTTAATAAAATAGTCAAGATCATTGTAGACATTATCTATTTTACTTATACATTTTCTGTTTAAATTTGATTTGTTTATTAGCTTAAAAAGCTTATTCTCAGGTTTCAGTAACTAATTGCTAATTACTTGGTATTTTTAGATTTTAAAATCTAAAAAAAATAGGTAATACTTTTTAAGTTAAACATTATTTAAATATTTTTATGAACCGCATATACCTTAAATTAAATAATTTAATTTTAATCAATTCATTTATTTTATTCCCCAATAATAATGATAAACCAATTAATTATATACAGTAAACAACTCGACAACTATAAAAAACGACAGCAAGATGCAACATCAGCGGCAACAGCAACAGCAACAGCAGCAGCAGCAACAACAACAACAACTGCGGCCACATCAGCAGCTGCAACAGCAACAACAAATACAACACAAGCTGGTGCGCTGCAGAAATCTACGAAGAAATGTAGAAATCGGTGCTAAGAAGATTTGGCTGCCGCTTATCATTTTCCTTTCACTGCAGGTGAGTTGAGACGATGCAAATAATTAAAATCAATTTAAGCCAAAAGCCGCAGACACAACAGCAGCTTATAAATAGATAATTCCCATTAGCGGCAGCCGGCTTAAGCTTCCTTTCCTCCTCGCTCTCTCCCCCTCTGTCTGCCAGTCTGCAGCAAGTGCACGAGTGTGTGTGTGTGTGTTGTTGTTGCAAGTGAAAGAGCGGAATGAAATGGAATGGCTTGGAGTGGAATGGAATGGGACGGGATGGGACGTGTAATTGGCATGGCCTCATTTCGCGCATCAATTGCCGAGTGTGTGTGTGAGTGTTACATGGGCTCGTTTTAGTTCCTGGAAGCATGGAATATCGTAGGCTAGCAGTGGAGAATTCTGTAAATGCTGTAAATGCTTATTAATGGAAAGGATACACAATGTAAACAAAAACATAAAAAAAATGAACAAATTTATACAGAATTTCATTTACTAAATGTAAATCATCATAAATCTAAAAGGGATTATTAATCAAACAATTAAAAACTAATTAATATAAAATACAGTGTTATTTATTATACAGATCTGTTTTCTATATTTCAAATAAATTTCGATTTTTGTTTAGATTAGGTAACCACAAGTTAGTTTCTTGGCCATATGCCTAGGTGGAGTTGCATTCAAATTCCATGTGCATCTACATTTTCCCCACTTTTTGGCCATCTTCAAAGCCATCTCCGCATCCGCAGCACATTCCTTTCTCTTTTTCGCCTTTTGGCACATATTAAAATTCCATCCATGTGCATCCATTTTTTTGTTTTGTTTTCCTTGGCCAGTTTTTGCCTAGGTAATATGAGATGGGCAGCAGCAGCAGCAGCAGCAGCAGCAGCAGCAGCAGCAGCAGCAGCAGCAGCACAGCGCTCGTGACGTTAGAAAGTTATTTTTCGTCTTCTTCTATGGGCCATTCTGGGGCGATGACACAATTTAAGCCTGGCCAAAATATAACAAAAAAATAAAACAAAAAAAACAGAGGCTGCAAAATGCCAAAAGCAATGTTGCCATTTCTTTAACGAGCGGGAGCATGTGGCAAGCTTCCTTTTCGCTTTCATCTTGGGTCGCATCGCATCGCCTGGCGTTCACCTTTGACCTCTTCAGTCTCCTCCACTCTGGAGTCTCTCTTGGCCTTCCTCCCCGATCCACACGGTCCTCGATTTTCGGCCAAGTGGCTGCCAAATTCCGATTCTCTGCTAATGTTTCACTTTCTCCCGATTTGGTGCGCTTGCCAGTCAGACAGCATCTTCCAAAAACTAAAGAAAAGACCCGAGAAAAGAGCCTAGCACATTGGTCGAGGTCAAGATTGGCAATAACAGCCGGCTTCAACATAAAAATGCACCGGAAAAATGCAAATATACTAAGATAAAATACATTGGTATCTTGTAAATTATAGATTTACAGATACAAGATACAAATGTATCTTTCTTAGTATTTTATTTTAGAACTTAAATTTTTTTTATTATATAGTTAATGCAAATTACCAGATTCTCCAAGACTGATAACGATAGATTTTTTTAAGCTTATGGAAATTAACTCTGCACTCTTCCTTGAAGAGAATTAATTATTTTCCTTTATTTTTACTTTTTATTTAATTTTTTCTTTGTGTGCATTTGTCTTGGCTTTCATCGTCTACAGTCTAGTCTTCCCCATTCCAGTCTTCAGTCTTTAGTTGCAATCATTAGTCTTTTCCATTGGGGATTACAACGGCTCTGCTCCACGAAGGCGGCGGGGAACGGTGGCTAGGAACGGGGAAACGGGAAACATGATTTTCATAGTGGCTAGAAAAAGACGAACGAACAGTGGAAAGAAACGGGAAACGGGGTAGTGGAACCCCCCCCCTGGATGATGATTGGCAAACAGTGAAGCGTACACACTTGGCACACATTTCAATTAACGCTGTTCTCCGGGAATCAGAGATGCTTAATTTGCAGTTAAAAAATTGCACTGAAGAAAGACATAGGTCTGGTATGAAATGGAAGTGATAAAATAGAGAAAGAACTATATAATAAAAAAGAAACAATACAATAAAATTAGAGCCAAGTAGGTGAAAATTATAAAGGTTTATAAAGGAAATTTTTATAAATTGATGTTTAATAGAGTGTTAGATTTTTGATTTTGCGAATTAGAATACAATTTACATTTTTACCCAAAATATTACTGAACTCAAAAATGATTATTATTTTTTTTTTTTTTTTTAATATTGATGTATTGATGTAGATATTTTGTTTTAATATTCATGAGTACTATAAATATATAATATATAAATTAATAAATTCAATAAACCCAATTAAATGGAGAATTAATGCTTATGACACTACTTTATTATTATTTTTTTCGGTTTGTTATGCATCTTGATATTAATCATTTACGAAAAGTATTTAAATATTTAACATAGACATTTTCAAAACTTGAAACCTTTAGTATTATGCTGAGGTATTATAACTCCCTGATTTTAGTATCACATTTTTCGCTCTGTGTGCTTGAGGAAATTGCATGAATTGTAGCAACCAGAAGTGCCTGATGTGAACATATGTACATATATATATATCTATATTTATATATATATAACTTTTTTTGTTAGTGTTTTGGTATTCATGGCTCGCTTCTGCAGTTGCTCCAAATCACGTTTCCGCGTGCAAATTTGATTTTAGAATTTTCTAGTGGCCTTTTTTTTTGTAACAGTGGGTTTGGTTTTTTTTTTTTTTTTTGGTTCGTGGGCAGCTTGTTTGGCAATTGCCATTTTGTTGTTATTTTTGTTTTCTTTAGCATTTTGTCAGTTTGCCATTTTTTAGCATTTACCATTTGCCTTTTTGTCGTCAATTGTCTGCCGCGCTTGCCACATCACTTTCTACCAAACAGGATTGGTTCAGGATGCCGCCGTTGTCGTTGCGACATCCCAAGCTCCATCCAGCTCCCAGCTATGCTCGGTTACTTGGGCCACACTCGGATGCTCAGCTTTTCGCAGGTTTCTCAGTTTTCTCAGCTTCCCAGTTGGCGGAGAAAGTTGTTTTTGGCGGAGCGGCACAGATTTGGAGGCTGCATCTCGCCATCTTCGCTGGGCATCTTCATCATGGGTATGGGTATGGGTATCTTGGCCATGGCCATCATCGTTCACCTGTCCCACCTGCTGCTGCTGCTGCTGCTGCTGCTGCTGCTTACTGCCCCCTTTACCGCCCATTCATGCATTCGTCTAATTGCCTTGATAGCTTGGCAACTTGGCAACTTGGTAACTGAATCAGTGCATCGCCGGCGACAAGTACATGGAAAAAGCCATCGCTTCGGATCAAGATGTTCCTGAATGGCCTGGTAAAATGAAGACCAGCTCAAGTGAAGGACGCGAAAAAGAAAGTAATGTAGAAATTAATTAGGTTTATAAGCTTGCGCACAGTGTCCATATCTCCAAGGATATGTCCACTAGAAAGTGCAGTGAAAAAAAGGCAAATAAGAATAAATAGGAATTTGATGATAAGCTATTTATTGAGAAGAATTGGTCTGGAAAGAATTGCCATCGTTTTAATAAATTTGTTCTTCTTTATTTTTTAAGTAAAAATTAATAGTAAAATATAGATAGAAGAATTTGAGTTAAGTAATTGAAAGCGGAGAATTGCCTGACCTGCGCTTCTTTCCACCAATTCTACAGGGTATTTTCTGGAGAATGCCTGAACCTCGGACTATTATCGGGTCCAAACACAACTACATCGTCAGATAATCGTTCCGGCAATTCCGTCTCGATGTCGATCGCGATCTCAATCTGGGACTGGGACTGGGTCTCCGGTCTCCGGTCTGCAGTCTTCTGTATTCAGTCTTCAGCTTCCACTTACCAGTTTCCAGTCTCAAATCGCCCGTCTCCAAAGCCTCTTCCAGTCTGGGAGTCTGGTCTGGTCTGGTTCTAGCCTTGACATTGCCTTTTAAGGCAGGCGGATCTGCCTGGCAATTGGGTCGCCGCCTCACATGTGCCACATGTGGCATGCGGGGCACTAAAAAAAAGCGAAATTGTTGCAAGTTTTCCGCTCGTTTTATTTTTTTTCTTGCATTTCTTTTTAAAGTTTTCTTTTTTTGCTTGCCTGCTTGGTGCTTTTTATACGCCTTATGCAATTGAGTTGCATGCCGCATCCGCCTTGCAACCTCCATTCCAAACACACACACACACACACTTGACATTCTCCGGGCTATTTTCCATCTTAAATCATGGCATTTTCTTCTCGCTTTTCCTCTTCTGTCCCGGAATTGGGGCCACAGATCGCCCTCGTCTGCGCGGACGATGTGGAGGTGGTGAAGGCCATTGCCGGCGGACCCGATGATGATCTGACCATTGCCCTGGGCGACCATGAGAATGAGCTGGACCAGATGGCTCAGGAGTCGGAGCAGGAGCAGCAGCAGCAACAACAGCAACAGCAGCAGCAGCAACAACAACAGCAGCAACAGGTCCAGCAACAGCAACAGTTGCCGCCGCACCAGATCCAAATGCAGTTGCCTCAATCGGTGCCCAAGGTGCAGGTCCACTACCAGCACAACATGCCCCAGCCACCACCGGGCGTTGGCCTCACCCTGCGCAGTAAGTACAGGGATATACTCCTCGAAGGATATAATCCTCGACGGGATATGCTCCTCGAGAGATATACTCTTCGAAAGGAATATACTCCTCTAAGGGATATACTCCTTCAAGGGATATATACTTCTCCAAGGGATATAATTCTCCAAGGGATATACTCCTCCAAGGGATAAACTCCCTGAAGGAATATACTCCTCCTCCGATTCCTTCCTCCCAAACAATTAATTTAATGTATTGTTCCCGCTTTCTCCCCCTTCGATTTCCTAGGCAACCACCAGAACATACCCCTGAGCTTCGGCCAGCCCTTTGGACCACCGCCGCCACCAGGTGCCCAATTCTACAAGGGACCACCGCCGCCGCCGCTCCAGCAACGTCCACAGCCGCCGCCGCCGCAGGTTCAGATCCAAGTGCAGCCACAGCAGACCCAGGGCCAGGTGCAGGTCCAGAGCCAGGGGATGCAGCAGCAGCAACAGCAGATCCAGGTGCCGCAGTCTGACCTCAGTGTGGGTGGCTCCAGCCAGAATGAGATCTGGGCGGCGCCCGTTCAGGACATGCCCAAGATCGTCTCGCTGGACGTCAAGTGCGAGAAGAACGGCATGAAGGTGTTCGTGCAGTTCGACAAGCCCTTCAATGGGATCGTCTTCTCCAAGGGCCACTACAGCAACATGAACTGCGTCCACCTGCCCTCCGGTTTGGGTCGCAGCTCCGCCAGCTTTGACATTGGCCTGCACGAATGCGGCACCGCCGGCAATACGGATAACTACAACCAGGGCTATGGTCATGATACGGCGGGCAGCACAGGAGCTGGAACCTACTTCGAAAACATCATTGTTATCCAGTATGATCCCCAGGTGCAGGAGGTGTGGGATCAGGCGAGGAAGCTGCGCTGCACGTGGCATGATCAGTACGAGAAGAGTGTGACCTTTAGGCCGTTCCCCGTGGATATGCTGGATGTGGTGAGGGCGGATTTCGCGGGCGACAATGTCGGTTGCTGGATGCAAATCCAGGTGGGCAAGGGACCGTGGGCTTCCGAGGTCTCTGGCCTGGTGAAGATTGGCCAGACGATGACCATGGTGCTGGCCATCAAGGATGATGACTCCAAGTTCGATATGCTGGTGAGGAATTGTGTGGCGCATGATGGCAAGCGGGCGCCCATCCAGCTGGTAGATCAACGCGGCTGTGTGACCCGGCCCAAGCTCATGTCTCGTTTTACCAAGATCAAGAACTTTGGGGCCTCCGCCTCGGTGCTGTCGTACGCCCACTTCCAGGCCTTCAAGTTCCCCGACTCGATGGAGGTGCATTTCCAGTGCACCATTCAGATCTGTCGCTACCACTGCCCGGAGCAGTGCTCGGCGGACTCGAATCTGGTTCAGGATGTCCATCACCTGCAGGTGGGCCCGGAGTCGCAGTATGGACCGCCGCCGCCTCAGCTCCATGTGGATGCATACCATGTGGCCGCCGGTGGTTCGATTGGCAAGCGGCGGGATGAGCGGCGAGTTCAGCGACGGGCCAGATCGGTGGAGCCGCAGGTGGGCCTCAATAGGATCATCAAGGTGGTGTCATCCGGGGATCTGACCTTTGCCATCGACGAGCAGCAGCCGCAGGGCATGACGAATGGCAGTAGCTCCTCATCCACATCGAGTCCTCAGACTTTGGTATTTCCCGTGCGCGAGGAGGGTCTCATTTGCATGACCACGCCGGGCTTTGCCATCACGCTGATTGTGCTGCTGGGCATCCTGGTCACTTCCTGCCTCACCTCCGCCGTCCTATATGTCCGTCTGCGTCCGTTCTCGTCCTTTGCCGCCGCCAGGAGCGCCAAGGAGCGGGCCGTTGCCTTCACGAATCCGCAGCTGTCTCCGCTGCCGGTCATCCAGCATCCGGCGGATGTCCAGGGAACGCTCTCCAAGAAGCGGGCGATGTCGTGAGCATAATGAACTGCCCCCTGACTGGTGACTGGAGCTAAAGCCGGCTAGGGGTTGGTGTGCGTAAAGGTGTGTGTGCGTGTGGGGGTAGCTAAAGCGGGTTAAATGATTTTTTCAATTTAAATTTGGATTTTTTATTTGGATATTAAAATTAAATTAAATTTTCTAAAGATTTTTGCTTATAATTCTTAATATTCTTAATTTCAAAAAATTAATAGAATATGAACAAAAAAAAAAAAAGATAATAATGCATCCTTTTTAATGCCAAAAAAAGCTTGGCTTAAACTTATAAACCTTTTTTTTAACAAAAATGTTTATTTTCCTTGAAAGAGCAAATATTCCGATTTAGTTACTCGCTACTAGTTACTCGCCACTAGTTATTCGCTAACACCGCCTGACCACTTCCGCTTCCGGTTGTACTCTAGGTACAGTTGTGTCTGCGTCTGCGGCTCTTAAATTTGTAGCGTACGCTTCGTTAGTATAATTTTTCATACAAATTATTTAACATTAACTCAAGTCGTTAACTGGGTTCTCCCCACTTACCCTCTCTGTCTTCCGGATTTCCTTCTTTCCTCTCCCCCCTGTCCCTCTTCTGATTTCTCCTCTCTCCGGTGGCAGTCGTTAATCGATTATTTTTGTTTTAGTTTAAGTCTTAGGTTCTATTTATTCTTGCAAACGGTGCTAAGCCATGATCAAAGCCCATGACCATCATCATCCCTCATACCATACCACATATACATATATGTCCCCGTCACTTGTAGCTTTCTTCTTGTAGCAATTTGAGCCGATATATTCCATTACTTAGAGTATTTCTCGTAAGACTCTCTCTTAAGACTTTGTAGACACACAAATACACACACACTGACACTTATTTAACACCCAAAACACACACACACACACACAACATACACTTGAATTAGTCACTAAATATTTTAAGCGCTTTAAGCCGTAGACTAAGCCGAATCCGAATCCGAATCCGACTCAGAATCAGAATCTGTCTCTGTCTCTGTCAGCCATTTTCCCCTAGCACCTTTGGATCTACTTAATAACAGTTAGTACGCCTTGTAGTCCACTTATTTATTTCCATAATGAATTATATATATACGCATACATACCCGCACATACATATACACCGCCTTATATATAATAAAATAAATAATATATCTTCGATTTTTTTTGTGTACTTTTGTAAGCCGAGCCAAGCGAATGAGCGAGAAGAGAAGAGAGTGTTTAATAAATTGTTTACAATCCCTCAAAAAGGTCTTTTGATGACGTTTTTTAGCATTATTTAAAAGTAAAAATCATAAAAGTAAAAAATATTTGTTTTTGTGGGCAAGAACAAGCTCAAATCTAGACATTTTCAGTACAAATCCAGTAATTCTGGGATTTCATATAACAGGCGATCAGAAAACAGCAGAAGGTGCAATTTGATTTCGTGAAAACGATTATTTTCACTTAAATTACGGTTTAACATTTCACTCAGATGAGTGTTTAGCGCATCGTTAAAGTAGTGCCTGAAAGTATGCCAATATCAGACACCGATTATTTAGTTAGTACAGCTGGAAAGTATGCAATTGAGGCGCTTTCAGAAGGCCTATTACCTCTACAACTAGGAAAACCCAGAACATAACCCACTCTTAGTAACATTTCCTTTTAAATAAAGACACTCCTGATATTAATTTTCAACTTAACTAGTTTTATTTGTCAATTTGTCAGTTACAAAATTGGAACTTAAATTTTAACAATCATGCAAAGCGATTGCATTTCGTTTTTTTTTTGTTTGTTTTTTCGATTTAATGATGGAAATGATAATGCGAATTGGCTAAATGATGGTGTAAGCGGTAGAATTTAACTAAATTTTGTCCCCCAAAAATGTAAGTTGCGATGCCAAAGAACACAATAATACACAATAATAATATTAATAATAATAATAGACACACAAAAAAAAAAAAACAAAACAAAACAAGTTACTACAATTATTAAATTTCTTGCAAAATTTCCATACCGCTCCAACTTACAGCTAATATCGTATAGGTATTCCATATATATAATGTGTAAGTGTAGTATATATAAATATAAATAAATAAGTTCCCTTAGACCTAGCGCGGATGCGTTCTACACTTGGCATCCAATCTCTCCTTAACCTTGAGCACCGTGTCAGGAGTTTCTCAATCTCTCTGTCTTTGTGAGTGTGTTGTGTGTCTTGTTCTTGCTTTAATTTATACTTTTAGCTGAATTTTTTTAAGAAATTTCAATGAATTTTTAACGACTAAATGCACCCAATAAAAAAAAAAAATTACGTGGAACGTTCAGCACCAAAAACGAATCTTAAACGAAGCCGAAGCAGTTCGAGTATTGCATTGCTGCCCGATCTCTGAACAAACAACCCGGGGAAAAAAACAATAATCATATTAATTAGATAATAAGCGGGGACAACGCTTTCGATTTCGACTCTGGTCCGACTCTGGTGATTCCCATTCCTCTTTATCCTCCACCTCCTCCTTATCCTCCACCTCCTGATTCACTGTACCGTGTCGAGTCCGGGAGTCGGCTGTTGTCTCACTTGTTGCTGCTGCTGCTGTTGTTGCTGCTGCTGCTGCTGCTGCTGCTGCTGCTGTTGCATGTGCCTCAAGCGAAAGAGACGCAGGGTCATCCAGGAGGCCAGTGTCCCGGGCACCGGCATCGGTGTCTGCTTGTCCAGCGCCTCCTTTTGCAGCTGGTAGCGATAGAGCAGGGACCCAGCCACCAAGGCAGAGACAATTGTCGCTGAAATCACGACGATGAACAGAATGCTAAAGCCGGGCACCGGCATACAGATGCCGTAGACAACCTCCTCGCTAATCTTGCCCTGGAAGACGGTGACTGCCTCCTGTTTGGAGTCCGGCGAGAAAGCCAGGTCCGCCTCGGAGATGACATCGTACAAGCCGCTTACACCGACATCGGCACTGCGCACCTTGCGATCGGATATGACCAGAGAACGGCGGCGGCGACGATGACTACTCTCCTCCTTGGGCTGACCCTCGCCTTGATCCTTATGTTCCTTGTCTTGATCCCGCTCCCGCTCCTTCTCCTCCTCCTCCTCCTCCCTGTCCAGGTCAATGTGATCTTCGCGCGGCTTCTTAAGTGCCTCCGCCTGTGGCCTGTAAACGGGACGCGGCACTTCCTCATCTTCCTGATGGTTACGTGTGGGATCCAGGGAGCGTGGTCCTGCCATGGGCACACCCATGCGCTTCTGGGCCTCCAGCTGCCGGGGTCCGTGCGGGAATTTGCCGCTCTTCTTCAGGCCCAAGTAACGTTCGCCTCCGTCGCCGCCCTCCATGTCCAGATCGGCCAGATCCTCATCACCAAAGAGATCGGACAGATCGGCCTCCTCCTGTTCCTCGTGCACGGGACGCGGCTGTAGATTGCCGCCATTGTTCTTGCTCTCATGGCCTCCATAATCTCCGCCGCCGCCGCCCAAAGTCTGCTTGTGATCGTGGATAATGTCCTCGTAGAAGATGTCGTGGTCCAGACCCATGCCCATGCCCAGGCCATGGCCATGGCCATGGCCCCCCGGTGGTGGCGGCGGCAAGGCCAGATCCCTCAAGAGATCGTTGTTGCTGCTGCTACCCATCGCATCCGACATGTGAACATCCTTGCGCTCGTTGGCATTCGTCAGGCCGAGTCCCAATCCCAGAGCCTCTCCGGAACCAATGCCGCCGCCGCCGGCACCCGTGTTCTGGCAGTGATCAAGGCAGCCATGACGGCAGATCTCCACCTTGCATTTGATGTGCACACTGAGGGCATCGGGGAACTTGAAGGCGTGGAAGAAGGCGTACGTGATGACGGTGGCGCGCTCGTCGGGAGCACGGGCCTTCAGGAAGCGGGAGATCATCTTGGGGCGCAGCACGCAGCCGAACTCATCCGAGAGGTTGATGACATGGCCAGAGCCATCGGAGGCCACGCAAGACTTTACACGCATATCGAATTCTCCTGGAAAAGAGATATATATTATATATATATTAGGTATTATATTTTGATTTAATTATAGTTTATGAATATTTAAAGTGTAGTTCATGAATATTATTTTATGGATATTTATTTGGGATTACATGTCGTATGAGTAATTTTTTACGGAAGCTTAATAGTTTTTAAAACCTTGAAAGAATAAATGATTATTTCCCCTAAAATACTACGAAAATTATTTATAATTAAACAGATTTTCCATTAAAATTCTAATTAATTAAAAAATTAAAATTAAAATATTTAAAATTCAGTAATAAACCCACCTCTATAGTCATTGATGGCCACCACCAAGGTCAGCGTGGAGCCAAGCGGTACAATTCCACTGACGGGCGGCGCCCAGGGACCTTTGCCATGCTGGATCTCCATCCAGCAGTCAACGTTGTCGCCTGCAAATCATTTATAATTAAAAATTATATATATATATCGTTTTTTATTCTTTGTAAATAATATTTACCGCGAAAATCTAGCTGAATGACATCGAGATCGGCAATAACCATCGGTGGTTTGGAGGCAGTCTTCTCATAGTCATTGAACCACTCGCAACGCAATCGTTTCGCCTCATCCCAGACCTCCAGCAGATCCTTGTCATATTGCACCACCACCTAAAGGATAAACAAAGGTATTAATTATTAATTAATCCAAAGATAATGTAGGGAGTGTGTACCCACCGTGTTCTCGTAGAACTGGCCATTTAGATCGGGCTTGGTGCCGCAGCGAGAGTACGAGATCCGGAAGGAGAAGAACGTCTTGCCCGTGGAAGGTGGCACATACACGCAACGCGGATCGCTATGTTGTCCTGTTGAAAGGATTTTAGGTGTTTGAATCCGATTTGATCTTGGTTCGGTTGGATCTTAAATAGACCTACCTTTAGAGCTGACAATGCCCTCGAACGGATGCGAGAAGGTGAGATGCACATCCATGTGATCCTTGCCGCACATCACCTCCAGGGACACAATGTTTGGCATGCCATCCGGCCGGTCCATGGGCCACAGTTCATTACCAGCTATGACTAAACTAAACTGTAATGAAAACGCGACATTTTAAATGAATAAAAAAATAGTCATGGGGTTATATATTTAAATTTTATAAATACAAATTAAAGAAAACTGCTTAAGGAACCAGTTTACCTTTACCAAAAACGGATAATTTCAAGACACTTATAATTTAGTTATAGTTACAATATAGTTTTATATATTCTTATATTTATCCAGATTTAAGACCTACAAGAATATACTTCCATCTTTATATCTTTCTAAAATTATAATTAAGAAGTGTATTTTAAATTATAAATACTTTCATCTTTCTGTGTAAATTGTTTTTCAAGGAAAATCTAGCCTTGTGGGTGGGCTTTGTCTTCTAACGGTTCAACCTGCCAGCCTGGTGGCCACCTGGCGCACCTGACAAACGTGTTGCCAATAAAAACGAAATCCAGTCCTGGCAGAGTCCCCAGTCGTCGTCCCCCCAAAAGCCAGCTCCTCCGAAATGGGAAAGCGAATTCCATTTGGCCTTCATCCGTTTCGGGGGAACTGGTCTGGTCTGGACTTGGACTTGGTCATGGACTTGGACTTGAAGCTGAACCAGAGCTGGCATTTGCATACCGATACCTGCCCCAACACTGCCTTGCCTTGCCTTGCCCCATGCCGCATGGATCAGCTTGGTGTTCGGAGCCAATCGAGTGGCAAGTGGCGATGGAATTTGCATTTTCCCCGCCAGTAAAAGTTGCAGCACTGGAATCAGTGTATATATAATATAATATAATATATATGCAGATCCGGAGCAAGGCTGGTGCCACATTGTCTGGCCTGAGAGTGGAAATTAAGTTGGTACTGAGGGGTAATGGGAGTAGGAAATCCATTTGGACCATATATTGTATCTTTAGTTTTAATAATTATTAAACAGAAAAAGTAAAGTTTAAGAGATTTTATTTTAGGTAAAACTTTAGATAACAAAATAATTGGGCAATATTTAAGGAATATCAATTGTGTAAACAATTCTCGAATTTTAATTTATTTAATTAATAGTAATTAGCATCAATAGGAATGGCAGAACATATTTATATATTGCTGCCATAACGATATTTAATTGAATCGATAATTAATGTTGCGATAAAAGGTTATTTTATTTTATTTAATATAAAAGTAAGGTAGATGTAGCCCAACAGGGCTTAACAGTTATTTTAAAGTTAATAATGCGTTTCTTTTAATCGATTATATCATTATTTTAAAAATAAATTCGACTTGACGATATTTTCGATATTTCGATATTTTATGATATTTTCTATTTCAAATTTAGATAAATCAAACCTGATATTTTCTGTACTTCAATTTTACAACAATTACCATTAACGTTACCCCTTTTCTTGGTTAAAACTATATAAATAAATTTATTTTAGTAAACTAAAATTTTTGTAGACCCCATAAAAACCATAACACCTGGCTTTCTAGTGTTAAGCAGTCTATAATTAACCCAGTGCCAGTTGAGAATACCAGTGATTTCGAGTGATTTCAACTGCCCGAGTGTGCTGCTGACTAGTCCCCCCACCGAAATGGCAACAACAATAGTGCTTAGCCACAATGAATCCCACTCATGTTCGCCGGCTATCGCAGAGTGAATTTGTTTTTCGCCGCCGCCGTCGCGTTCTAGAATGAATTCTGCAGAGTCACGGTTACGGCGACGGAACGAATCAATACCAGACCAAACGCCGGCTGCTTCAGCTGCTCGTGCTGCCTCGGCTGGCCGCCGCTCCACCTCCAGTGGTGAAATAGTGGCCGAATGGCCACTCGGAGCTGCTCGGCCTTAGACAGGGTATAAAAGCAAGTGGGCCAGGCGAATGAGTGAGCAGTTAACGAGCAGATCGCGAGCGCCACAAACCCGGAAATTCCAATTCCAATTCCAATTCCAAACACAAACCTCAATCAAAACCCAAATATAAACAAAAAACAAAAAACAATTATGGATCGTTGGCTAAATCGCGTTGCTGTTGTCACTGGCGCCAGCTCTGGCATTGGAGCCGCCTGTTGCCGTGATCTGGTGGCCAAGGGTCTGGTGGTCGTGGGACTGGCTCGTCGCGAGGATCGTCTGCAGGAGCTCAAGGACTCGTTGCCAGCGGATCAGGCCAAGCGTTTTCATGTCCGCAAGTGCGATGTTAGCAAGGAGCAGGAGGTAATCGCTACCTTTGCCTGGATCGATTCGCAGCTGGGTGGTGCCGATGTTCTGGTCAACAATGCCGGCATCGCTCGTCCCGGTGTCGGTATCACCACCGATGGCAATACAGATGCTCTGCGTGCCATTTTGGATACCAATGTTTTGGCCGTGTCCTGGTGCACCCGCGAGGCATTCCGTTCGCTGCAGAAACGTAACATCAACGATGGCCATGTCGTGATCGTCAACAGTGTGGCCGGTCACCGTGTGCCCAATGTTCCTGGTATGACCTTGGGCATGTACGCGCCCTCGAAGCATGCCATTACCGCTCTGACGGAGGTCCTGCGCCAGGAGTTTATCAACAGCAAGTCGCAGACCAAGGTCACGGTGAGTTGGTGTACTCCTCTAAGGGGAAGCAGCTTGTAGTAATAGTTTTCTTTCTCTTTTTTAGAGCATTAGTCCCGGCGCAGTGGACACTGAAATCGTGGACAAGGATGTCATGCTTAATTTCCCCGACCTGCCCATGCTGCGCTCTGAGGATGTGGCCGATGCCGTCAGCTACTGCATCCAGACCCCGCCGAATGTCCAGATCCATGAGCTGATGATCAAGCCCGTGGGCGAGACCATCTAGGTGTTGTTTTCCCTATTTTAGTTTTTAAGGCTCTACTTTTGATATTATAAATGAAAATTATGTTGGAAAAGTAAAAAGAAAAGGTGTTTTATGTAATGGTTAATTTAAGATTTGGGATGCTCAAGGGTTTAATGTATGATATATATGTATATATTCTATGAGTTTTGATCTTATTTTTTAAATTATATTGATACTTGAAGACCTATTTTTAGGCTTGATAGTTCCAGAGATCTCAAAGCTATTTATAAATCTAAAATCTATATATGTATATCTCTGAACGAATCTAATTAGTTTCCAGGCCTTAATATTATAACATTTTCTTTAACATTTACTACAAACTACAAACTTGACCTTGCCTTTAGAGCTTTAGTTTATCAATCAATAGTCATGGGAATGAGATATGATTTTACCACATACATAATATAATAAGACTACAAATAATATATAAAAATTATTACTCACCATTAAGTGTAAGATAAATATACAGCTACTAAGTCTAAGGTCCCACAGGCGTGTAGGGCCTTTCTGTGGGCTCCACATGACGCTGGCGGCGTGGCGTTTGGATTTGAATCTGAAAAGCAACAAAATAAAAACATGGGAAATGAAAGTACAAGGTTAGAGATCTGGTTTAATCACAGTACTATATAGTATATGTGGGACTACCTCAATGTTGAAAGAAACTAAAAAAAAAATACGGAGTCTTATTTGGGTTTTCTCTCTCTCTATCTCTTGCTTTTTTTTGAGTGGCTTGTTAAACACAATGTTTTCTTTACTTATTTTCATACAATTTAAATTACAATTAGTGGTGGAAAGTGGAAATGATAAATGGAACAAACAAGCGATTTGATCGCTTTCACTCCCCACCATCTGCTCTTCTGTTATTCTATCCAATCAACGATATAGTATTATATTTTGCACACCATTTTAATTGATTTCATTCTCACCATGTTGGCTCGCATTGTGGGAATTAACTCAATTAAAATGGTGTGCAAAATGGGTGAAATTAAGCTATTTAAATATTTAACTAAACAGTTTCCACAGTTTCCGTGTATATTTATGTAGAAATCGCAATGGGTTGCAGCACGAATTTGTCTGAAACTAACTGGCACAGGTTGAGGGAGCGAAAGTCGTGATCCGTGGTTAACGGAGCCGCGAAAATTGCTGCAATTGCCATGAACGATTGCCGCCTGATCTCTTGATCTCTCCTGTTGCAGCCAAAAAAAATGTAATCGATCGATTGCCTTGATGAGTTATCGTTAATCGATGTTAATCGATGTTCACTAGGGATGTATAACGATAATATATCGACAAATATATAGTTAAGTTAAAGATATCGTACAAAAATATATATAAAAAATAATAATATAAAAATTTGAATCTAAAAAAAAATATATATATAGTTTATAGTTATGTTATTTAATTGTATTTTTTTTTTCTTTGAAATTAAATTTTAAAGAAGGGTTTCCCTATGGTAATTGTTGTGATCAATGAGAATATTGATTAACGCACTGATATTGTAATGTTACCAAAATAGTATCATAATATTGCTCTTCTATGTCAATAATTCTCACCAATAACTTAATTATTTTAATAGTTAAACGCCGCATTTGATCGATAATATAATATAATAATAATAATAATAAAATTCACAAATTACAGAACTAATCAGAGTTCAACGTATTTTTTCAAATATATTTATATTTCTATATATAAATATATTTACAAAATACAGATTACTAAATAGTTTAGTTATATATTTATCGATTGCCGAAAAGAGTTCTTCTGTCTTCAACAGAATTTCGTTCCTTATTCCCCTTTCTTCGGTTCTTTCTTCTGGCCAATTTTTGGGAGCTCTTCTTAATTGCTTTCCTGATCACCAGCATGATCATCATCATCATCATCATCATCATCATGTCGTTGTCGTCCTCCAATCAATTCGTATGTTAAATATCAATTGTTAAAGACTCTGCTCTTTGCTTCTCTTCTTTTTTTTTATTTTTATTTTTATATTTATATATTTTTTTTTAGGGGGCCCGTTTTGGGTAATAAAGATGTCGATGCTCGTCATTAGCGCGATGCTCGTATCCTGGGCCAGATCGCACTTAACCCAACGCGCCCGGGGGCCAGCCAAGCAACCCTAACCAATGGACCCAAAATTGCCCGGGCCACGTGAAATGGCGGCCACGAAAAGAAGCCATAAACAAATTGAAATTTAATAAATGGCCAGTCGAGCAATTTCCCTGGACCTGAGCCTGAGCCTGAGCCTGAACCTGAACCCAAACCCGAACTTGGACCCACTGCCACTCACTCTGATCCATTCGATCACTGGACGGACCCCCCGGGGGCGCCATTTCGCAAATTGAGGTGCCTGGAAACGATGTCGGGGGCTTGATGACCGCTACACACACTGGAGATTGCAAAACTGGAGACTGGGGAGTGTAGACTGCAGACAGGAGACTGCAGGCTGTAGACTGGAGACTGCAGTCATGAGACACCCTAGTGCCACAGTCACCCAAATTCTTTATTCTTTTAATTATTTGAGACATCATTAGCCTTGAGTTCAAGTGGACAATAAACATGGAAAATATAATGCAAAGGTGACCCTTATCAAAGAGAGATTGGAAGATAGAATGCACAAAGAAGAATTAGGTTGAAGATTTTCATAAAAATCTAAGGTATTTGGAGAAACTTTAAAACAAATAAATAGAAGTTTAAGTATATATTTTATATATTGTAGAAGAACTTGAATGAGTAATTCTACAAATTAAGAAAAAAAAGAGAATTAAATATTCTTACTTTCGGAAGATGTTAAGTTGATCAAGAGAAAATCTATTTATGAAAGGAGATTTTTTTTGAGAGAAAGAGGAAAGTCTTGGGTGTAAATATTGGAATTGTAAAGAAGTCTTGACCTGCAAAAGTATAAATTTATATATATTTATAGTCTATTTATTATATTAATAACTCATTTGATCATATTACTCATGCTTTATAAAATCCATAGAATTCTAATCTTAGATAAGCGAAAAAAAACCCCAAAATTTCCCTGTGCAACTTTCCAATTTGCTTAATTCTTTCGCATTAAGTCCGATAAATATTTACACGCCCGATGCTGTGGCACTTTCCCTGGCGGCAATTAAAGAGACGCCGGCAATCAATCAATCAATCAATCAGGCAGTCAGTCAGTGGAGCAGTGAAGCCCACAAGCAAGGCCCACCATAGAGCAACAACAATAGTAATAACAATAATAATAATGAGTAAAATCTCATTTGTTGTCTCCTTTCCAGTGCCCGATTTGTATGCCACTTTTACCTGGCAAGTTGCAGGTGCGCAGCGCACAGGTGAAAATGAAATCGAAACTGCCGATTGTCCCCCGCCAAACAAAGTGAGTTCGAATTCGAATTCGAATTGGGAGATTCGAAATACGTGAAAAGATGATGGACAGGGCCCGGTAGAGGCTTCTTTTCTTCCATTCCCTCAATTCTTCTTGAGGCGCAAAAATGCGGTCAGTGGAGATTCTCTCTCGCAGAACTGTAAATAAAAGAGAGTTGCGACTCGACGTATAAAAAAGAAAAATAATAAAAAATTAAGAAAAAAACAAGAAAGAAAGCTAACTTCGGCACGCCGAAGTTTGTATACCCTTGCAGATTGGTTTTCATATTTATGTCATAAATTATAATGCCGAAAACAGACACTAAACTGAGTTACATACCATTTTACCTATACTTATTATGTTTGCAGTTTGACAGTTACAGTTATACATTCCCAGCTTTACATTTTCTCTACATCTGATCGCTTCTATGGCTGCTATATGATATAGTTGTCCGACTTTCATAAAATGTATACCAAAATTCTATAATAATAAGTAAAGCTCATATCTCAGAGTAGATGAAAATACATTGAAAAACAACGAAGTTATAATTTTTTCTATTACTTTCCCTATCGTTCCTATGGCAGCTATAAGATATAGTCGTCCGATTGTCATAAAATTTTTACCAAAATTTTGAAATAATACCAGAAGCTCATGTGTCAAAGTAGATTAAAATACGTTGAAAACCAACGAAGTTATAATTTTTTTGATTAATTTCCCGATCGTTCCTATGGCAGCTATAAGATATAGTGGTCCGATTTTCATAAAATTTTTACCAAAATTCTGGAATAATATAAAAAGGCTATATCTCAAAAATGATGGAATAATATTGAAAAACAGCCAAGTTAAAATTATTTTTCTAAAAATTTATTGAACATTTGTATGGCAGCTATATGATATAGTCGTTCGATCCGGCCCGTTCCGACATATATAGCAGTGAGAGTATATAGAAGACTATATGAAAAGTTTCATTCAGATAGCTTTAAAACTGAGGGACTAGTTTGCGTAGAAACGGACAGACGGACGGACAGACGGACAGACGGACAGACGGACAGACGGACAGACGGACGGACAGACGGACATGGCTAGATCGACTCGGCTGTTGATGCTGATCAAGAATATATATACTTTATAGGGTCGGAAACGTCTCCTTCACTGCGTTGCAAACTTCTGACTGAAATTATAATACCCTGCAAGGGTATAAAAACTGTAAACGGTAAACGGGCCCGATATGCTTATTTGTCTTTAATTCGAAGCCAATTAATTTCTCCCCTCCGGTTTATTGTTTTTCCTTTTTATTTGGTGTCTAGAGCAAAAGAGTGAAAACTGGTTGGTTAAAAAAAAAAAAAAAACTAAAACAAAGCCTCGTCTTTGGCAGACTGCTGCCAGACTAACTGTAACTTTGCATGTGCGCCGTCAACCAATTAAGAGATCCGAGAGATCCCAGAGATCTTGGCTGGGTGGGAAGCCCACCACGGCTTAGCTGTAGATCTATGGCAACACTTAAATATATATCTTTTTATCTTGAGATCAGTGGTGGGAAGTACGCTATATATATAGTGGCCTTGCATATAAATATATACATATATATCTTTACGTTTACTTTATATGTATTTTTAGGCTATATCTAGGTTATTCAGTTAGTTTCCAAGATTTTTGTGGGAGTCAGTTATTCAATTTTTATAACTAGATATTTTCTGGCTTCATGTCTTTAATGTCTTTTGTTTTTATTGAAATTATATGATAAATTTATTAAATATATATCATAAAAGTAATGGATATTATAATAAAAGAACTATAAATTTGGGTATCTATATTAGCATATCTCTTGTTGGCATGTTAATATATTTATATACAATAGTACCTAAATAAATCGTATAGATTGAGCACCTTAAATAAAATAATTTAATATATATAAACAATAGAACCTCATATAGTTTTTAAAGATATTTATGAATGATTTATTGATAAAAAAAAATGCTATGATATATATTATGATAGGCCCAAACTGTAGTCTTATTAGTCAGAAGTTCTGACTCAGAACCTGCTATGAATCGAATTAATTATGATAAATTCAGACTATAGTTAAAAAAAAGTATATAAATAAAGATAAATATTATGAACCCACTATTCTTCCAAGCTATTTTTGGGTCATACCCTTACTGGGTTAATAATCAGCACCGCTTCGCAGACCCCCCCCCCCACTAACTAACTATCTATAACTAAGCCAAAGAAAGTGCGACGCAGCCAGGCCGGCGACGGAGCTGGAGCTGGAGCTGGGAGTTTGGGGGCTTGCAGCCTGGAGATAGAGGTAGAGCTACAGCAAGAGCTACAGCTGGCCGCGTGTTGCACGCTCTGGTGGCGCTTAATTAATGACGCCGCTGCAATTAACAGTACCGCACACTTGCAGCGAAAGAGCGGAAAAGTAGAAGTTGCCCCGCCGACACGCTCCGCGGACTGCTATCCCTCAGATCGTATCAGATTGGATGGGATTGGCTTTGGATTCGACCACTCATTAACTGGGCAGCAGCAGAAGCCATCGCCATCATCATCATCATCATCGAAGGCGATCGAGAGCAAACGAAATGGAAAAGAAAAGAAATTGTTGTCGCATCAAAAGGCGATCAGTGACGAACTTTGCTTACGGTTTCAGTTTTCACTTTTCTTCTTGTGTGCAAATGGAAATGGAAATGGAAGTGGAAATGGAAGTGGAAATGGAAATGGAGATTGAGATCCCAAAGCAGTGGCTGCTGCCGCTGATCACTTTCGAACCGAAACGAATTCGAGTTCGAAACAAATCGAATCGAATCGCTATAACGGTCTACGATAAACAGCCAACGGTAAATCACCTGCCCATGCCTCATTTTTTTGTTTCTTCTTTTTTTTTTTTTATTTTTTTGTTTATCTACTGTTTTTTTCTTCATTTTTATGTGTTACTGATTTCTTGTATTTCTTGATGTATATTTTTAGCTTCTGTTGGATGGCTCAGTGAAAAGCGCAATAATCACGATAATAATGATAATGTGGGAAAAGCAAAGCCGAAATCAAAATACATTTTTAAATGGTTCACTTTCTTTTAATTAAACTGGTTCCGCCAAAACCAACCAGCCGCTAGCCAAAGCCACCTCCTCGGGTCCGAGGAGCAAGTTTGTCCACTTTTCGTGTGAGTTTTTTCTGTTTTCTGTTTTTTTTTTTGGCAGACAATCGCCAAATGCAATTTCATTTGGTGTAATTAGCCGGGTACGAGCTGGCGCAGCATTATTTACCCAGGATCCCAGATGGAAGGAGATCCATTACCAAATTAATTGGACCGAAGCAAGCTGCGAACAAGCCCAGAGTCAAGACTTCTCCTCGAGTGGGTTATATTAAATTTCAGGCAGTGAAGGAGCAGGGAGCAGTAGGTCTGACATCATTTTCCCCAGTTTTCCATCATCCCCAGCATACCAGTTTCCCCAGTTGTTGCAGCAGCCGCTGTCAACTGTTATTCTGGCAAAGCTGCCAAAGAAAAACATTCAAATGAACGGGCTGGTAAAGACCGAGAACGTGTCAAATGGCCCCGGACACAGACTATGGCAGCCATTCAAATTTCAGCAAGGCTGGGAAAAGCCCAGCCTCCACCAGTCATTCCCATTCCAATTCCCATTCCCATTCACAGAACTGCAATCCTGTGCGCCGCAGCGAAACTTTTGTTTGCCAGTTTGTCTGCGACAACATGACAACTGCCACGACACTTCTTCATCCTCATTCTCATCCGCCATCTCCGCCCAGAGTCAAGAGCAGAAACAATGCTTGGGGAGGTGGCCCAAAGCCATTGCCAGGACGGCGGCAGCTGCTTATCATCGGATGCACAGAGTCCAAGGAAGCTTAACAACTTTATTGGGCATGTTGTTTATGCCACAGCGTGTTTCCAGAGACACTTGATGTGCCCCCTTGGGTCATTCGGCCGGCACTACAGGCACCCCGGCACACCGAGTTGGACTTGAAGAAAGCTTTATGGCCTCTAAAAACTTTAAAACACCAAAACTGTTAAGGTCAGCGTTGGCTGAACTTGTGCGTTAGCCTAGTTAAGAGCAATTAAGGTGTATTTAAGAGGATGAGGTGTGTGTGTGTAGGTAATAAATGAATAAATAACCAAAACAACTTTATCTTGAAAAAACTCTCAAAGAAAGCAAGCCTGTTCAATGGAATTCCACAATCCAATGATATGTGCTTGAGATCAACGCCTAATGAGTGCTTTTTCGGTCAATACTTTGATTGCCGATGGCCAAGTGGCTAGATGGATGGTTGAATGGTTCGATGGATGGATGCACCAAAGGCCGAAAAATGTGCCATGGAAAAATTTCCATTTCATTATTGGAATGTTTGTAGAAAGGCGAAGAACAGTTAGACGACAAGACGATCCGGCGTCTACAGATCTTCAGTGTCCGTCGTTCGACTCTCTTTGATGATGGCTCTGAATACAAATTAACATTCTGTGAAAAGAAAAGGCTTGTCGTCGTCGTTGTCGTTGTCGGCTTTATCTGTATTCGTATCTGCATATTGTACATCTGTGTATCTGTATCTATGGCCAGCAGCCAGCTCGCATCTTGTGTATCCGTGATGGGCATGTGAAAGAGCGCCAGCACTGGGAATAGTAGAATTTACTGGGTCGATCATAAATTATGCGTCATCAGCATCGATGAGGCGGAGAAACGGGGAAAAAAGGCTAGCTTCGAGCTTGGCGAGATGCGAACCAAACAATGAATGAATTCCAAATGGACGGATGCGAGAGGAGGGTCTGCCGGGGAAGACCTTGAAGATCTGGCAAAGCCGCTTATAGGGTCCAAGCCAATAATGGCTAAAGCAAATCATTTAAGGCCAAACAAAGAGATAGTCTCTCTTGTCGAGGAGATAGTTGCCGTTGCAGTTGCCGTTGCTGTTGCACAGATGCACAGATGCGACAACGAGGCAACGAGACACTGGCAAACCTGGCAACCTGGCAACCTGGCAACTTGGCAAAACCTGGCTAACCTGGCATTGCATTTATGGCCAAGTCGCGTGTTTGTGTTTGCTTTGCCCGCTGGCTGCTTCGTCTTGGAGTTCTTTGGCCGCTGCGAGATTGAGAATTGAGTTTATTGTGCCACAGAGCGGCGTGCTTTGGATTGTCGCATCAGCTTAATTAGAATTCGAAGTAGTTAACGGTGCATTTAATGCGCTCCAAAACGGATCAAATGCATTAGCACCGCTGCTACCACTCACTTCTTCTCGCCAAGATCTGTTCCATTTATCTGTATCTGTATTTGATCGCAGTCACAGGCTCGGCGGAGACTAATGAACCAAGCGCTGCACTTGGTTCGACAGTGACGAAAGTTGTCATAACACTTAATCCACGCGACGGATGATGATGATGATGAGGATGATGGTGGCCCCGTCTTAATGGTGGGAAAGGTGGTTGCCAAAAGGTGTCAAAACAGTATGTTAATAAACTTGTTTTGGCTGTTATCCCCGTGTTATCTGTCTGTCTGTCTGCATATCGACCATCATCATCGTTCTTGTTTAATTAATAAGTCAATAAGTCGGGCTGAAACCTGAGTTCCACTCTTTTTTTTGCAACTTATCTTTTTTTTATTTTTATTGTTGGTTTTACATCATACTCGTTGATAGTCGTACACTGGGAAAAGGTGTATCTGTTTTATATTTAATATATCATTTAAAAGTTTCTTCTTTCAATTTTCAAATAATATTATTCAAATATTTATTTAATAATAAACCAATAAAATCTATTTTAGTATATAGACACCTTAAGGTATAATTAGTTAATCTTTGGCCAACATTTAACCAAAGAATTTTTAAGAAATTTAAAGAAAGAACATTTTTAAAATTAAAAAAAAGGAAATATATATAAAATGTTCTTCTTATAAAGTTTTATGAAATTAATAAGAACTGGGGCTTAGTTATGATATTTTTTAAATATAAAAATATTTACTATTAAAACCAAGGAAGGAAATTAGCTTCGGGTAGCCAAAATTTGTATACCCTTGCCATAGGATCAAGTGTTTGAATCAATAATCTATCACAACTAACCCAAAAATGCATTAATTTTAGATTGGAAAGCATTTCTGTGTAAAATAATCTGCATACTTAATTTAACAATTTTTTAGAAATCTTAGTTAGTTAGAATTATGACATTTCACGTCTTTTTCGGCTGCCCAAACTTATTTTTCTGTAAATTATACTTTGGTGCAAATAAGACTTAATGGTAAGAAAATAGGCTCTAACTTACCGGTAAGACGTAATCTTTCCAAAGGTCACAACACAGCCGTGGGTGTACCTTTGTCGCTTATCTGGTTTTCCCTATGATTCCGTGTAGTTTATTGCGAAGTTCCGTCTGCGTTTGTGCAAATGCATTAAAATTTAGGCTATTAAAAATCGGGGTTATACGGTATATATATACGTAGAATTAATGAGACAGAAGTGAAATCGGACTGCCCAATACGTAACGCAAATAGATGAGAATCAATCACTGTTATGAAGAAGAAAGAAGTCCGTGCTCATGGCCCCTGATTGGTGATTAGTTGCCATTTGACAGGTGTGTGCGAGTCGGTCAATAAATAGTGCACCTGTTGGGGCGTGTGGGAATCATTCAACGGATGACGTTGCCACTTTTGGTAGCATCTCCGGCCGCCTCAGTCTCCGTCTTCCGTAAGTGCGACTGTTATGATTATTATTATGTATGTATGATTGTGTTTCTTTTTCCACGGGAAAAACTTTGGAAAGTGCCAGGCGGCAACACACGAGCACGGATCTGTGCGGCTTTGATTTTGATTTCGATTCCGCCGCAATCTAAGCCGAGAAGACGGCTGAAGAAGACTGCTTAGACTGCAGACTGCAGACGAGAGATGGAGAAGAATCAGAAGAAATCAGTAGAAGGCAGAAGCGGAGGCAACAAGCAAGCAACAGGCAGCCGCATTTGTGCTAATTGGGAAAATTAGAAAGCATGAAATGCTCGGCTGCATTTGCCGTCTAGCTGGTTAATCGGCTCTACTAGAAGTAGAAGTAGCAAAAGAAGAAGAAGAAGAAGCTAAAGCTGGAAGTCGACGGCCTGCCCCCCCCCCATTCTTCTCCCCTCCCTCGTTTTGTATCTAGTCTCGCCTGTACGTATATCCTGGTTTAAAGACTAACAAAATATATTTCCCATTAGAAAAAAAAGTATATAAAAAAACAAGTGAATATGTTATAATACAAATTATAAAAAAATGATCATTTGTTGTTGTTTGTTGTTTTTGGGTAAAGAATCAATAATAAACAACAACAAAATAAGCACTCACTTCACTGTAGATTATTCTACTCTCTTCGCTCTTTTGGCGAGTAACGGTATTTGTGAAGAACAGCAACAAGAACAGCAAAAAAAATATTCACTAACACTTGCGGCGCAACACTTGGTTTTTCTCTGTTGGTTTCCTTTTATGCTTCGATTCTTTTTTTTTCTTGTTTCGTTTCTTTTTTTTACTTCAATTTTGGGTTTTTGGTGGAGCACTTCGGTGTGGAGCCTCCTCCTCTCGGGAACCACGGATCACGATCCGAGCCAACGGACTCGAGGACAGAGCAGCGGGAGCAGCACGTGTGGACTCGGCGAGCGACGAACGCGAAATACGCGAGTTAGCCAGGCGATACTTTCTTTGGCCTCGTAATGTAACTGTCCGGGAACAACAAGTTGAAGAAGAAGCACAAGAAGCAGAGGCCGAGAAGCCGAGCTTCGGAGAGAGAAAGAGGCGCGAGGTGGCAGCAGAGAGGCAGTGAAGCAAGATCTGCCTGCGTCGACTGCACCAGCGCGCCGAGCTTTTTTTTACACCTGCGTTGGCAGCTGCGCAAATGAGCACAGTCCAAAACTTGTTGTTGCTATTGCCGCCGCTGCTGCTGTTTGCTGCTGCGGCGCCGCTAATCAAGCGGCCTAATGACATAGAATCGCCTGCCAATTAGGGGACCAATAAAAAATTATAGCAAACCAATAAAATCAGTTCATCGGGGCCATCATTGGCCGCCCCCTCAAGGCGAAAGGAGAGCGAGAGCGCGAGAGATTCTGCATCGTCTAAAAAGCTCGGCGGCGGCACTGCCATAGCTGGCGTCGACGTCGGCGTTTTGAATTTGGCGCACTTGAACTTGAACTTTCGGCTTAAACACCGCCAACAGGTGTAAATTCACTCGACCGAAAGATACCCTGTAAAAAGGCAGAGAGCACTTAAAACAAATGTAAACCAGACATATGAAAAGTTTTCAAAAACTATATGCATATGCACAAATATATTTTTAAAACAAAATAATGCAAAATATTTAGTTCAGGCATAAATGCAAAAAAGTACCTTTTATTTTATTCAAACATCAATATACCCAACTCACTCTGCGGCCCATCATCAGAAAGCACTCAACTCAATGCTTGCAGGGCATCAAATTTGTAGCCAGCTTTTCTGGTTGGCGCAAGGTGCATACATATGTATGTATAAAACCCTGATTTTGTCTGGGAAGCGATCGTGCGGCGGCGTCTCATAACGGTTATACAGTTTTCGCCTGTCGTTGACAACTAATCAAGATGGGAACAGAACGTTGATCTAAAACTGATTTTGAGCAATAAACAAATATTTCCGTTTCCTCTTTCTCCCAAACTCGCAAGAAAAAAAGCTCCAATCGGAATTGGCAAGATCGCCATCTCACGCGCACACACACACGAACACAGAGAAGACTGATGTGCAACAGTCTCCATGCTGGCTCCTCTTCTTTTTCTTCGTCTTGTGCTTGCCCGCTGCTTTTCTCCGCATTTGTTTTTGTTGTTAGAGAGGCGGCTGCTGCTGCCACAAAAACAACAACAACAGTAACTGGGCGCATTTAAACGGTAAACACCATGAATGCATTTGGAAAGTGGTTGTGTTCGTGGTGTTTGCATTTTGCATTTCTTCGCATTCTTTTCTGTTTATGTGGCCTCTGTGTGTTGTTGTTGCATCGCACAATTGTGCCAACAACAAGGCGAAGAAATGAGAAGAAGTAAAGAGTCAGGCAGCAGAAGAATCGCAAGATGGAGAAGAAGCAGAACAACAGCAACGGTAATACCCACCGAAGACGGCGTTTTCATTTCTGAGAATTGATTGGTCGTCGCGCCTGCATACTCTACACGCCACTACCTCTTCCACATCGGGTTTATTATACTTTTTTTGTACATAATACTCTGTAGATTTGTTAGAGCGACCGGGCATGCTGATTCTTCAGGTAAAAGAAAGCTGAGGAACTGAACTCAACCTCAACTTTCTGTCTCATTCATTCATTTAATTAAAATATAATATAAAGGATGCATGCTATAAACAAAAATCATCAATGTTTTTCCATCTCTAATGGGCATCAAATAGTTTGGAATACTCCAAACTCAAAGCCAGCCATTTTTGTGCTTTCCTGCATTCCTTTGGATTCCGTGCTGCTGCAGCAGCAGCACCTGTCGCTTCTTCTCCTGCAGACCAGACTGGGACCGGGATCGGGATTGAGACTGGAGTCGGAGTTGGTGTTGGAGCTGGGGCCACAACGATTGTGATTAAATAACGTTTGACTTGGCGGGCGTCGTCCTCTCTGCCGCAGTTTGCTTCATTAACTCAACAACAACAACAGCGAAGCGACTCTGATTTCCCAGGTTCTCGGATTGGACCGATTTCCTTGGATTCTGCAAATCTTTGGGTCTGTGAGGTACTTTCGGTATTCTGATTATTTCATTTTTTAGAAGTCTCTTTCAATCCTTTCATTATTTCAAGAATCTGCCAGTCCGTGAGTAGTCGACGATTCTTTAAAGATTAATAATTCCTTAGTGATAGATTCTTTTAAGCTTAATTCTTTGTTTTCTTGCAGACCTTCGAGTATATACCAGTTCTTCAGTTTCTGATTCATCGATTATGTGATTCTTTAAATATTCCCTTTTTTTTAATCTTTTAATTCTTAGGACTTCTAAGACTTGAATACGAGTCTATGATTCTTCCGATTTATTGGATTCTTCGAGTGTCTGCGAGTCTGTGATTCTCCGTTCTCATTCCCATTCCACGCATGCGCAGTCCACTTTTGAATTTGGCATCCATAGTTGGCGTGCAAACTATCGGCTATCCCCGGTTCTTCTATGACAGTCATCGGCACACTTTGCCCGCCCCCCGTACTCCACCTGGCTCCATTTGTGCTTCTCCTCGTTCGCCTTGCTGCTGTCATCATTGTAATTCCTCAACGCATTTTTAACGCTGCCTGTTTATCCACGTACCTTTGCGGCTGCTTTGGCTACACGGCAAGAAAAAGGAAGTAAGCTAATTATATGTTATACAGAAATATATACATTAAATTCAATATTTTTATAGAATGTTATAGCCAGAATTTTATTTTAAGTCAAGAAAATCTGAAAGTTTTTGGTAAATAGAATATCACAAAGTATTGTTCTTCATCTACGATTATTTGGTAAATTAGTTTTTTATTTGTAATATTTATTTTCAGTGTATATTTTCAATATCTGCCTCTGGTTTCAGCTCCTGGCCCACCTCGAGCCAATTTGGCTAAGTTGCCTACTTAACTATTTTCGACGATGCTGCTCCATTTTGGGCGTGACATGGTCTTGGCTCGACTTGTGCCGGCACCTGACTCTCCATAGGACTTTATGGGGGCCCCCGGAAACCGGCCACAGCCGTTGTGACCCAGAAGCTGGAAGAGATGTCGACGACTCCGACAGACACATCCATTGTCATCATTGCCTCGTACTCGCACTTGAATTATTGCCGCTGATTCTGCAATTGTTGTGTTGACGCCGAGTTAATGTTGATGCTAATTTGCCAGCATTATGGGTTAGTGTGCCAATGGTCCAAGTCACCAGGGAACTGGAAGACTACTGGCGACCCGGAAACGTGATGGGAATATATTGAAATTTTAAGTATCTGTTTTGACAAATTCTAAATTTATTTTATAAAAATTTCTAGGATCCCCTACAGTGTAGTCTGCATCCTAGTCTAATTTGTCACCAGGAATTCCAGGTGACCCCGAACTGTGCAGGTTGAAAAATCCCCAGAGTTGGCGAGCCGATGTGGGTTGGGTTGCGTTTTGCGAACTGGATTCCCGGCCCCCACAGATGGCCCATCTGTGATGGCGATGGCGATGCCGTTGGCTAATGGAACTGGCATTGGGACCAGAACGGAGACGAGACTGACACTCTGACTGGGGGACTTGGCAGTTGTTAGAGGTGGTTATCTGGCCAATGCCTTATAAGCCGAGAAATGCGCAGTTAGGCAATCAATGGCCGGCAACGCGACGCTTCGTTTGCCCAGAGATTGTGGCAGAGGGAAGAATCGCAATCGGAGTTGGACTGGGGGGAGACTTGGAATCGGTGTTAAGAATCCGCAATGACACTGCTACAGTGTGTGTCTCGGTCTAGGCCTTTGGTTTGTGGCAACGTGTGTGTTATGATTGGCAACGGTTTGTTGCTTGGCTGCCAGTTTGCTAGCTTGCCTGCTCGGCGGTTTGGAGGTGCCCCCGAAGAAGCACAAGCAGACGCAGACTGCGACCAGCCGGCGGAGCAAATACCGTTTTGCTGAATAATTTCGAAAAAAAAAACAGACGCACAAAAACACTGGCTAACTCAACTAGGATCGAAAAACTAAAAGAACTCGACACTTGAAATACCTTTAAAAATATTTATATAAATAAATTTCTTTATACATTTCAATATTATAGTTTTTAATATTTCTAATATTAAATATTTTCGAAATATGATAAATGAACTCGACACTTGAAATACCTTTGAAAATATTTAAAGTAAATTTATGAATTTATTTGTATGTACAAAAATTTATAAAATAGATATTGACACTATTTTTATAAAAATATTAATAGATCCAAGTTTTTGAATTAATTAATTCATTTACAAATATAAATCTAAATGTATATTCCCCTGGGCGGACAGCTTAACGGACAAGAGAGTTTCACGGGAATAATTTGTTTAAATAATTCCATGGACTGGCCAGTCTAGCACATCCGAAAGCTCTGCAAATACCCTCGAGCCTGAGAAGCAGTTGGAACTGAAGTCAACGATGGCGATGGCACTCGGAATGCGTTTAGTCTCTCCACCCCCCCGCCCCGCCTCAACGAAGGAATGTTAATGCAGCTACTTGTACATCTACCTCTACTTGCAAGTTGTCTTGGACTTGGGCTTGTGCCTGCTGCACCCGATGACAACATCTATCGCCGCTGGCGTAGGAATGGGCACAAACATTTACCTAATCCGTTTCCCATTTCCAAAGCGATTGCTCTCATTCCAAACCAGCTACAGATCATGCAAGGCACGAAGAGATGATGTGATGTTTTAATGTAAATTTTCAAAAAAAAAACTATATATATGTAAGAAATATATATATATGTACAAAAATATATATATATCCCCTAAGACTCATTCGGGTTGTACAAATCCTGGTTGTGGGAGAACAGCACTTCGTTGGTCAGTAGCGGCACCATGGCCACCTTGTGAAGAACAGCCATCGAGTATAGGTTTCGCACAGCTCCGAATGTGATCCAATCGCCGCGATGCAGTACGTCATTTAGGACAACCACCAGCCTGGCAAACTCTGCCAGCTGGTAGCCCGAATAGTAGACCAGCGATTCGTTCCAGGTGTCCCCGTCCAACTGGTCAGGATTGCCGTGCATGCGCAGGGCCATAAAAAGGGCAGCGGCGGCCAGCTGCGAGTCGCTATGCCCCACGGTGGTGTAGTCGAATATGCCCAGCTCGAGGATGTAGCTACCCAAGGTCCAGGTGGGTTCCGGCACCCCGGAACTGCGAGCATAGCGCCGCAAGAACCTATATCCGATAGGGATTCCCAAATCAAAGCCAATGCCGCTCAGTGTGAGCCACTCCATCTGGTTTAGATCGGCACCGCTATAATTTGTTTGGCACATTTGCAATAACACCTGGGCCGGCAGGGCATCGTTCTCCTCAAACTTGGCGGCAATATTGATGGCGGCTGCCCCCAGGAGTTGCAGCATGTTTTCGGCAACCAGACAGCTGCTCAAATAAAGATCGACTATCTTCACCGACAGGAAGTGTGTCTCCCTGAATGTTCCGTATTCCTGATGCACGGTCACCATCCAGTTGATAAGAAGCATCCGCTTCCAGGCGGTCAGCTCCGTTTGACGGGGCATGTAGTCCCTGACGATGAACCTCTTCTCGCGTTCTTTCAGATAGATGAACACCTCCATGGCGTACTCCCATTTTTGCATAGGATCTTCGTTGTTCAACTCCTCGTTAACTGTCATTAGTGTCACACGGCGAGGTTTTGGCGGCACTACCTGCCGCTGCTGCTGCTCCTGCTCAATATTTACCACGTCGATGAAGGGTGAGTTTGACTCACCCTCGACGGCACTCGCCCGGACAGTGTACGGCTCTGCCTCGGGCATCAAATCTATCTCCCCGGCAGGCACGGCGTTTGCTTCTGGAGCAATGTTGGCTATGGCCACGCCTAGGGCGTAGGGCCATGACTGCATGGAATCTTCGTTGTTTAAGGGGTCATTGATCAAACACGCATGGGGGAGAGTAGGCGGCAGTGGGGAGATCGGGATGATCAGCTCCAGGCCGGGCAGGAATGGGATGTCCCCGGGAGCGCCTTGGTACGGCTGAAGAGTCACTAGCTCCAGGCTAACAGCCTGCTCCTCGGCATTGATAGGGTTCTCCTCCTGCTTCTGTCCGGGATTCAGCCCGTTTGTGATGTTGTCCAGCGCCAGGCGCTTGTTGTTGCCCTTCGCCTGGGTTTCAGGATTGGCTTTGCGCTTGGATCCCGTGGGGTTCTCGTTCTCGTTAGTAGAGCACGTGTTCTTATTGGAAGCCATTTTGAAAGTTATTCTAATTTAATTATGTTATATTATTGAGTTATTTAATTGTTGAATTATTGAAAGAAGTCCCTGGTGAAGATGTTGGCCTTGATCTTTAGCCTGGTTTTCTGGCTCTGGCTAACTTGACACTGTTTATTTTCAAAAAACAGCTTCCGACCCTAATTCTATCCGTTTTTTCAGGTTCACGTTGCAGGCCAGAAAGGGACAACTATATCTACAGTGTTGGATAGTTGCGTAATAGGCCAAGGCAAGGTCACACTGGTTTTAAAAAGCCTAACTAACCTACAAATTGAGCAATGAAAAATATGAAAGCTTTAAAAAGAAATACTAAAAGTAATACAAATAAATGAAGTAAAACAATATTGTTAAATTATATTTAATATAAAATATGTTAAGCAACAAATAACAGATTCCATATATTTCCCACTATAATTTACCTTAAATGATACGAACTAATGGTCAAGTTACATCAGAAAAATCAAATTGTGAATAATTTAAATATTATTGGAATTTTGCTGATGCAACTTCACAATCAGAATTATCATTTATAGTAAAAAAAAATTAAGTTGTAGAATTTAAATAATAAATACAAGTATTTATACATCATGGCTTATATAAGTAGTATTTGGTTTTTAAATGATATTCAGAGTGTTCATACATTGAGCAAGTGAAAAATGAGCCAAATTAAATTAAATTAAGTAAATTGAAATAATTTTTTAATTTAATTGTTGTTTTATGTTTAAATAAAGCTCTGTTTCATTTGCTCGAAATCAGAACACTTCCAGAGGTATTTTCGTTATATTCCTATCTATTCTTCATTTTGATCCTGTATCAAAATCGTATTATACTGATCACTTTAATTTGTTAAAATATATATATTTTATATATACATTTCTATGTTAATTAAGGAAGTAAAAATTAAGCTAGATCAAAATATTATTCAAGGATCAAATAGATACGTTAAAGATGGAAAAAAAAAAAAAAAAAAAACATACGCTTGATCTAGACTAAACCTATAATCTACTGCCTACGCAGCCTCCTTGTTCTTCTCCTCTTTCGCCCTCGCCTTGGCCTTGGCCGCGGTCTCCTTTTCCGGCAGGAAATAGCCAAGGACACAGAGGAGCGCCACCAGGCCAAGCAATGCCCAGAAGATGGCCTCGCAGCTGGCAAAGAGCAGGCGACCGAGCAGATTGCTGCCCACCACAGCGCCCAGGCGACCCACCATCATAATGAAGCACATGCCCATGGCATTAATGTGCGTCGGATAGAACTCCATGGCAATGGTGCTGACCAGGCCGCCGCAGTTGCCGATGGCCATGACCACGGTCAAGGCAATTACCACCAAAGCAAACTGTTCTACATAGTGAAGGCCCACCAGGCAGATCAGGGTGAGACTCATCCAGGATACTAAGTAAAAGGAAGAGGAGTCAGAGTCACAACGGGTTAAACATATCCAAATCCTTGAGATACTCACTCAGCAGGTTCTTCTTGCCGGTATAATCAATGACATAGGCAAAGAACAGATAGATGGCCACAAAGGAGGCACCAATGATGATCATCACCTGGTATGTGGACGTGTCCACCTCAACCGAGCAGCCCAAATCCGCATCCGCTGACTTGACATCAACATCAAAGCCCTGAAGCACACCGCAGAGCAAGGTATCCTCACCGTTCCGTGTGCCCAGCTCGTCCAGGATGGTGGGGAACCACATAAAGATGCCCTGGGCCAGGAAATAGATCAGGAACTGAATGGTGCAAATGTTCAGCGTGTGGGGCAGGCGGGAGCGATAGAAGAGGGGCACTGTCTGGTGCCACACCAGACGCACTGCATCGAGTACTCCATGAACATCGCCCAGGCTGGCGCCACCACTTTCTAGTGCCACCTCTCGCACTGGATACTCGGCTCGATCCCGGCCAGAGTTTGTGGCAAAGATGGTACGCAATGTTTCCATTGACTCATCGCTGCGTCCTTGGACGAGTAGATATTTTGGGGTCTCTGGGAGCGTTGTGAGGCCGACCAGGGCCAGCAGTGAAATGGACACGTTGGCCAGGAGGAGGACGCGCCAGGAGGAGAAGCGCATGCCCAGGATTACGGTTTCGATGCGAAGGGGGAGGATGCCAATGGCCATGGCTGGGATGAAGAAAGAGTTGCAATTTATTAAATTATTTCAATATATTTCCATTTTTTTTATTGAAAACCAAAGCCCGGCAACATGGCGTATGAGTGATAATAAGCATACGCCATGTGAGCCACATACTCACCTGGGGCAAAGACCATGGCCAGGCAGAGGAATCCCGAAAGGAGCGTCACATGTCGAACCCGGGAACCATTTCCATGAAACTCCCCGCATAAACTAAAGACACAGGCCTGGCCGCCGGATATAAAAAATCCAGTGAGAAAACGAAACACTATCAGCATCCAGATGTTCACCGAGAACCCAGACACTATTGAGCAGATGGAGGCCAGGGACAAAGCATAGCGCAGCGTCGTGACACGTCCCCATGTGTCCGCCAGAAAGCCCATGGCATGCGAGCTTAGGACAACGCCCAGGAACCCAGCGGAGGCCAGTATGCCCTGCTGATCCAGCGTCGGTTGCAGGTCACACTTCATCTGGTTCATGATCAGGCTGACGCCCATGATCTCCACCATCACGCCCATGAAGACCAGGCCGCAGATGAGCAGCAGCTTGTAGTGGAAACGGCCCACGCCGGTCAGAGTGATGGCCTCCTCGAAGCTGTGCGGGCGGGGCTTCTCAGCAGTCTTTACCACCGGTCCGCCACCGACAATGGCTACACAGAGAGAGAAAATGTAAGTTAGTTTTATTTTACAAAAAAAAAGTCTCCTAAAATGTTCATTCTAGCAAATATATAACCAAACTCAACTTTATACTTAGTTTAAAAAATATTGTTAAAATATATTCTACTGAGGTCCTAAATTTTCCCCCAGTTTACCCATCAATCTGGATCAGTCAATCATTGGGAAACCCTTCGAATGACGGTCATAATTCGAGTTCTCCATAAAAGCAGAGGGATCACCTTATCCCTGGTCAGTAGCTTTTTGGTCATGGCTTTATTATCATCACCAACCGCCGAGGAGGAGAACACCGATAAGGATGACGTCTGCCTGCCCAAGGAGCAACCGCCGCCTGCCTTCTTTGAGACCAAAACCTTTCGCCTCATCTCGATCTTCTTGTATCTTGGCGGGATCAGTGGCCTGGGCATGGTGCTGGCCCTCTACTTCCTGTTCTTCTTTGACTCCACCATGCCGGACATACACCTCAAGTTCCCCGTCTCCATCGGAGGCCATCCGGTGCAGAAGGTACACGAGTACCAGTGACCAGCAATTGCCACCACTTGGAGGAGGTGATGGGGCCAGGAGGGAGGGGGTAGACACGGCTAATTGGATTTGGAAATGCCAGCAAAAGGTAGGGGTGGGTGTAAAAGTACAGTTACGGGAAAGTCGACTTGGAAATGGTCTTTATTTCGAGGGAAATCTTTGGGGTTTATAGTGATTAAGGTTCATTAGTTTTTAGTTTCATTTTTTTTTAATATTTTAATTTGTCTTATACAATTTTGTATGCTTCTACGAATTATATATATTTATATATATATATTATATATTTCTCTCTCTTTTTTGACAATATAAAATCACTTCTTTTTTATGCAAAAATTATACTATTTTTTTTTATATTACATATTAAATAATTTCTCGCTCTTTTTTGACAATATAAAAATGACTTTTTTATGCCCCAAAAAGTATGCAACGTTTTTATTCAAACCTTATTCCTTTGAACAATTTAAAAATATATCTATTTCTAATCTCTTCTAGATTTTTCAAAATTTTCGACCACATCAGAATCCTGCTAGATTCACCCATACCCTGTAAATCACCATCGTCACTTTTCATTTCCTTGACCAAACATGAATATAGAATCTACAACAACAAAAAACTAAGGAAAAGGCACAAAGTGAAGTGAAGCGGATGGGTATCGGCATCGGGATGGAAAAGGGAAAATGTAAAGCCAAAAGGGAAAATGTGCATAAGCAAATGGAAAAATGGATACTCGTCGGAGCGAGTGGAAAAGTGAAAACAAACTGGGCCAAGTGGCCGCCCAAGAACGCGGCACGTGATGTGGATTCGGTTTGTTCTGGAACTGGCTTTGAATCTTATTAGCGTGTTTTGGCCCCCAAGATGATGCGGAGAATCGAGCAACGCCAAAGAAACCACAAAAAAAAAAGAACAGAAAAATACAGAGAAAGAGAAGGAAGCCCGGAGAATCACCAGAGTGGCGGTGGACTCGCCACGCAGTTGTGTTCAGTGCGCCCATTGAGACGGAGACCCCCTGGAGAGACGCGTTACGGTTAATGATATTTTGGTCTTTTTTTGTTGTTGTTGTTGTGATCTTCACTAGGAAAGCGGAATGGCAGGCGCTCAATCGGTCCTAATGGCCAACCTGGCCGCCGTTGTCAAAGAGGCCAAGGACGAGGAGATCCAAATGCCCAAATCGGATGACTTTTTCGAGTCAAAGACCTTCCGCCTGCTCACCCTGATGCTCTACATGGGCGGTGTGAGTGGCATGGGCCTCACCCTGGCCGTGTACTACCTGTTCATCTGGGACTCGCGCATGCCGCCACTGCCGGTGTTCAAGCACACGCACCCCATTGGCTAAGAAGGAGAAGGAGGAGGAGGAGGAGGAGGAGAAGGAGGAAGAGGAAGAGGTTCAGGCCATCGTCCCCTAGCCCATTGGTGAACAGATTTGGGTGAGTATTACTGATCCCGGGAGATTCCTTATTACTCTTAGACTGATAAATATTTTTGAATACAACAATTTTTTTAAAATGGTTCAAATGTTGTGTTATTATATGGTATTTCATTGAATAAGCTAACTTTACGCGTTTTGCCACAACAAATTTTTGACAAGTGACCCGTTTTGCACTGAATTAAATATTTATAAAATAAATAATAATAACGTATAGTTCACTGAAAAGATCTATATCTTGGGCTAAGATCACCCATAAAGGCAGCCTTACTTGCCGCCAAAAAAGCACTCAACACTGTCGCCACTGGCACCTGGCATTTGAGCTTAATTAGCCTCCCTTGGCCGATATCAAAAGTTGACAGCCAGGCACTAAACTAATCCGCTTTGCTGCGACGCAGAGTTTTAAACCGCCGCCTCCTCCCCATTCTCATTCCTATTACTATTACTATGCGTCACTTTGGGGCGATTTTGATTTAATCAAATCAGTTGCTATAACGCCGCCGTGCCGCGATGTCTACTCTGGAAGTTAACTCCAGAGCGGGCTTGGGGAGTGCCGCCAGTGTGGCGAATCTGGCCAAGATCGTCAACATCATTGAGTCGAATGTGCGGGCGGAGACGGTGTCAGAGGAGGTGGTGCCGAAGGCAGAGGAGCAAGTGGCCGCGGAGTCAACGACAGCCCAAGTCCCGAGAGGCACGGCTAGCCGTAGTGTGCGCCTAGCCAGCAGCAGTGCGCCCCGGAGGAGTGCCTGTGCCACCTCGTACGTGCCCAAGGCACCGCAGGTGGAGGAGATTGTGTTCGCCGAGCCCACCTGCACCGAGCGCTTCGCCCGCTACCTGGTCATCGTGATCTATCTGTGCGGGCTCTGTTGTCTGGGCTTCTTCCTCTCCATCTATCACATCTTCTTCTGGGACTCGCGAATGCCGCCGGTCTTCAAGGGCCAAAAGAAGGCACCGGCCTTTGGTTAAGGATTGGATTATCTGTAATTTTATAGTTAAACAGATCTGGAATACCCCCTCGGAAACATTATACAAGCATCACCAGAACAAGAGTTTATAGTTGGTATGTGAGGAGATGGGGTTGTATATTTCATATAATATATGTATATTAGATATTATATATAAGGTTAATTTTCTGTTAAAGACATTACGCATACGCACAATACACGGGTCGTATGAGTAATGTGCATGGAGCTATTTCATAACTTTAACAGTAAAAGAGAGTTATAAAATAGTAACTAAAATATCCATTTCGATTTCTTATTCATTCAGAAAGATTAATTAAATTTTATAGATATCACGCATACGCACCGTTCACGGGTCGTATGAGTGATGTGCCAGCGATTTTATAACTCTCAGTAACTGTCTGGAATGGCAATCTCATAACTTTCACAAAGTTCAATTTAATAATGAGTGCTTGAGTCGGGACACACACACATTCATACCCATCCAACCGAAGCAATTACTCCTTATTAGCCTGATACCGAACGAACTCTGCCCGGGCTCTGGCTCAAAAGTTTTTGCCCAACTAAAGTTTAAGTTTAATTATGTGTATCCTCCTCCATATATCCCTCATATATGCTATATAGAGCTGATGTGGCCACTTTCCTCCTCCTCCTTCTCCTCCTTCCCCGCTCGGATGAGATGGGGCAACCGAAGCCGAACCAAAACCACCAGTTATCCCTTCGTTCCGGCTGCCCGAGCTGCTTAATCAGCTTTGTCTGCACATAAGTAAGCAGATGGATAAAACCATCCTTAAACTTGGGTGGGGGGGGAAATTGTGGGAAATGGGAAAATGGGAAATGCAATAGGCTGCTTGCAAAACATTTTCGAGGCCAGGTGAGACAGAGAGCGCCCATCCACCTGGCCACGTTGGCGAAGGAAACTCCTTGAGGGAAACTTTGCAACAATGCTGCCAGGAAAATGAAATGTCAGTGTGTTGGTACGAGAGTGAGTGTGAGTGTGGCCCACATCCTGGCCCACATGATGAATATGTATTTGAGTGCAAGTACAGTCGAGCATCGACTATGTGCTATTTTAAATATTAAATTGATCTTAAAACCTATACCAAAAAGTATGCTACATATGCAGAAACATCGTTTTAAGCAGTTTTGCGATTTGTGAATTTTTTATGGTTTAAAATTTATTAAAAAATAGTCTAAAAGGGTGGTATAAATATTTATCGCTATTAATTTAACATTCTCGTTGTTTTACATCACTGTTACATCAAAGAGAACTTACTCTTCGTCACTCTATATTGTGCCTTTTCCAACTTCCTTTGTTGGAAGTCGACCTGTACCCTGCCTGTGTCTGTGTGTGTGACTGGCTATCTCTTTTTGCTGTGGCGCTTATACAACAAAATCAATGGCCAGCATTGCAATACCGTTCGTTGTTCGGCATGCAATAGCCGCCTCTCGCTCCCACACGCCTGCACTTTGCCTTGCATCCGAATAGCTGTGCTCGCTCACACCTCTCTTTCTGTGGCTCTCACTCTATTGCTTTCTCGCTCGGTGTGTCCTAGTGACCCAGTTACAGTTTGTTAACCCTCCGATTGCCGAGAGCCAAGGCAACGAAAGGAAAACGAAGGTGTGCATGTGCGTGCGTGTGTGTGTGTTTGCAGTGGATTAAAGGCAGGTAGGCGTGGCAGCGAAAGTTTGGCGAGGTGAGCTCCAACAACGTCCTTCGCGACACCTGCGAAGGTTGCTGTCAAAGCCAGCAGACCGCCCTCCCCCCCGCCAGCCGACCGAAAATTGCACAACATTTTGTTTGCAAAAATGTTTGCTTCAATCTTCGAACATTGATTGATTGGCGGCGGCATTGGGGGAAATAATTGAAATAATGCAAATTAATTCAGGCGCGCATTTTAATTTCCGCATTTGAGTCAGCAGACCGCAAGGGGGTTAAGGCAGGCCCGCTGGCTTGGGGAGGGGGTGAGAGTGGGGCACTGCACTTGACACACAAAGAGCGGCAACGTGCCGACGTGCGGTTTGTTTTTGTTTTTGTTTTTGGCTCTCCGCTTTTTTGGTTTTTATTTGTGGCTTCCAAGGAATGCTACCCCAACAACAACAAGGAGAAGAGCGCCCACGCGGCAGGCAGCCGAAAATGAAAATGAGCCAAGAGGAGAGCGGTGGCAGAGAGGAGGAGTGGGAGAGCAGGGCGGGCGTCAAAAATATGCATTTTATGAATGAAATTAAAAGCGAAGATCGCTAAGGCAACAACAACAACTGGCCCCCAAAGCAAAGCCGAAGTTGAAGCGGAAGCCGAAAGGGCGAGCGAAACCGATGTGGTGCACGAAGGAGAAAACGAAAACGTAACGGGAACGTAACGAAACTCCTGGCGCGCACTCTCGCTCTGCCGCCGCCTTTCTATCTCTCATTTCGCTTGCAAACGTTCGACGCGTCGGTTGGCAGACGAGCTTTTTGTACTTTTAATCGGCGGGCGTCTTTACACGAAATTATCAAAATAATAATATTAACGATAATAATAATAATAGGAGCTAAAGGAAGACAGACGCCTGGGCAAGCTGAAAACCAAAAGAACTTTGCATTTACCACAAAAAAACAAAATTAAAAACCAAACATTAGACTAAAACTAAACGGTCACTGCCAAGAAGAGAGAACTGGAAGCCGAAGAAGCTGGATACCTGGAACATATCGCGCAAATCTAAAGAAATCTCTCAAGAAATCTCAAGAAGGCACAACAACAATCAAAATCGAATCAATCAAAAACTAAACTCGAAATTGTCGTTGAATTTAAAATATAAAAATTCGAAATTTATCGGTATCAATATCGAAAGAATCGTGGACGAAGAATCAAAAATGAGCTCGAAACACAGTTCTCTGGAGGAGAAAGTGAAACTGCCGCCCACGGAGACAATAAGCCGCTGCTATCAGCCGCAGCAGAGCAACCGCAAGGTCATCCGTATCCTGACCGTCGCCGTCTACGTCCTTTGCGTTTCGCTGGCGGCCATTATGCTCTCGTTGTACTACATCTTCATCTGGGACCCCACCATCCGTCCCTTTGTCACCAAGGCCACGCACTGCGGTAAGACGCTAATGTACTTCCCGGGTTAGCCACCCATCCACCGGACTAGCTACTCCATCAGTGACCAGTGACTGGTGACCAGAAACCAATCACTGACGGACTGACTGACTGGGCCGGGCCGTGCCGTGCCGGGGCAATTTGTTGACTGCGGTCAATCTGGGACAAAGCCCAGCAGCGAATCTAGGCTACCAGAGTTAAGAGCGGTTGGGGTTTCCGTTTCTGGTTGGGCTTTGGTTTTGGTTTTGGGGCTGCAGTTACGGTCGGGCCATTACCCATTACCCATTATGTATCGGGTTGATTTACACAGTGGGTTCATTACGATTTCATTGCAATTTTTAATTCCTGCAAATTAATGTCAATTAAACAAGAATTTCTGGCTATTTTAAATCATTTCAAAATATGTCCAAAAAATAGTGCAATAAAATATGTATGTATGCACTAAAGTTTATTGTAAATTTATAGCAGCTTTTTAGCAAGATTTGCCATAAGGTTTATTTTTCACAAGAGTTTAGTCTAAAATCCAGAAATTAAAAAATGTGTTTAAAAATTGTGCAATAAAATATTTATGAACTAAAATTCATTGTAAATTTCTAGCACTTTTTTAAAAGAGTTTTAAATAGTATTTCTGAGGTTTCCTGTTTATAATAAATTTTCTTTTAGAAGGTATTTTTATATTTAAATTTACAAAAAATAAAAGGAAACCCAATAAAGTCCAGTTTTTTTTTTTTTTTTTTTTTTTTTTTTTGTGAGGGTTGGGTTAAATTGCCGAATCGGCAAAACTTTCTCAGGAAAGGACGTGAAAATGCCGCCCACATTGTTCCACTGGCTTCGTCTACAGCTCGTTCCGCCTTCATCCTTTTTTCTTCGCCGCTTTTTGTTCAGTTTTTGTAAATCAACTCGAAATTAGGTCAATGGGGTGTCATGCACACGACCTGCCTATACTACGCCCAACCATCCCACCTACACACACACACACACGTCAGGGTGCAGCTCTCCTTGGTGTACTTTCCATTTGCAGTTTGCAGTTTTCAGTTTGCAGTTCAATAAATCTAATTTAATGCAATTAAATGCAGAATCTCGTAGCCTAATGAAAGTTATACGGCAGAAGGGCAAACGCAAAATGCAATTTATGGCAGGGGGAATGCAATTTGCCGGAGCAGAAGTTACGGCGAATAAAAGGCGAATGTTTTTGCTAAAGGTGAGGCCTTTATGGCCACAGGTTTTTGTTTAAAATTCAATTGAGCAAAACAGAAAGACTGATAAATTTGTCACAAAAACGGTTATATTTAGGCAGATAATTGGGTTTCGATTAGAAAAGAAAAAGAAAACTATGACTCGAGGTCTAGTCCTTGTACTGTCCTAGCCAAGGATCTACTTTTCTTGCTCGCAGAATTTGTTATTGTTAATTATAGGCACACTTTCTTTAATAACTTTAACTAACAAGGATTATTTAATCTGAATATCTCTACATGGTTTACTTTAATCTTCTTTATGGTGAAAGTACTTTATATCGACGTTATAGACGTTGATTCTTGATTATAGCATCTATAATTCTCAACAAGTTCTAGCCCCAAAATCCTTGTTTATTTCAAAATTTAGTTAAAATTTTGGAATATTAATTAAACTCCTCCAAAAACTGAATTTTTGCAGATAAAATTGTGATACCCGAGAAAATAGCCATTCGCCTCCTGAACTCATCGGAAGTGACCGCGGAGCAGTTCTACAAGCACATCCTCGAGCAGTACCGCATCCTTAGCCACATGCAGCAGCAGCGCCAACAGATCCTTCAGCGCCAGCACCTGCAGCTGCAGCAGCTGGAGGCGAACAACCGCTTCCAGGAGGTCTTTGCCACGGCGACCATCATCCAGGCCCATCCGCATCCACATCCCCATCCTCGGGAGCCGCCTCCGCCAAAGCAAAAGTCTCTACTGTTGCCCTCCAATAGCAGCATTGTGGGTGGCGGCGATCAACAGCAGCCGCAGCTGTCGCCACCCAATAATATGGAGGCGGATGCCGAGGGACATCTGCCGCTACTGCTGGACACCTCGCCGCCCGCCGAACTAACCGGAATGGGTCACTCGAAGCGAAAGACCCATCGGGGTCACTATAAACATCATAGAGCTCGCGCCGGCGGCCCCAAAAAGCTCTCCTCCATCATCAACACGGTGGCCAGCTCAAGTTCCGGTGCCAGTTCCATGGCCAGTTCCACGCCCAGCACCACCAGTGGTGGTGACACATCCCTGTCTGCAACGGCGGCCACCTTGCCGCATGGTTATATGGACACACCGCTAAACCCGGCAGCGGGCACCATTGTGCAGCCACCGCAGTTGCAGCTATACACCTCGATGCCCATTCCCCTGATCCTGAGTCCCAGCGAGGAGAAGCGACCCCCTCACCATGCCCATGGACACGTGCACGGCGAGAGACGCGGCGGCGGCGGCGGCGGAACCCAGTCCGGCGGACGACGACGGACCACAACGGCCTCAGTTTCCGGCTACGAGGCTCAGACATACCTCAATCCCTTCCTCACCGGCGAGCTGATCTTCGAGAAGTAAGAGAGTGGGAGAGTGAGAGAGTAGGAGGAGGATCCCCGGCTCGGTAATTTTTTTTTCGGGTTTTTTACAAAGGCAAAAGTGTAGAGAGAAACGCCACATAGCCAAGATCGGCCTGATGGGGAATGGATTGGTATTCCCACACCACACACACTATATCAATGGAGAACTGTTTAGAGGGGCGCCAGAGCAGCATTACTCACAATAATTCAGTTAGGCTCCAGTACTGGCCATAAGCTATATATATTCTCCCCCAAGTCGAAAACGAATCATGTCATATCAAAAAAAAAAAAAACATGGAGAAACCCTAGTTTCTAGTTTGAATATAAATTCCCAGACAATGATATTCGAAAAGACAATAAATGCATAAATGTCAAGGATAATTTTCATATCAAAAAACGGAATTAATCCTATCAAATTCCAGGCTATAACTTAGAGTCCTTGTAGCTTATGTCCAGTGCTGGGCTTCAATTGGAACTATATATATACATATATATACAGAGCCTGGCCCGGCCACATATAGAGGTTAATAAGCGTTAAATGTACTGCAAAAAAGGATAGTTGAAACCATAGCTAAAAGATAGTTGATGTACTGACCACCACACACACACACACACACACACATACACACACTCACACGCATAATACGGGACCCACTTCTTCAGTAGAATGTCACTTGATCACGGATCAAATCGGATCATCACCAAGCTCAGCTCAGCAAACTCACCCCACCTAGGACACTGCTTCCAGGCAGCTAGCGAACGCTACACCAACTACAATAATTAGCCAACCCTAGAGAGTAACCAGTTACCAGTTACCAGTTAGCAATTACCAGTTACCAGTAACCACCATCCAAGGATTATGAAAGTCACAGACCACTACTACTCACTACACCCCTCACGCAGAGCGGCTTCTGCTAGGATTGTCCCGGCCAGAGATCGGTTATAACCCTCATATATACGTAATACCAAAGAACAGGAATCTATAGTTTCAGCTTCTTATCTTTTCTTAACTTTTATTTATTATATTTCTACTATTTATGTGTTTTCTTACAATGTCTAACTTTTATATCTAAGAAAAATCCCTCAATATTTTGCAAAATCAAAAGATAACCCCAAGATTCCAATGACTAGAGACCCTAAAATATTCTTAATTCTAAATAACAAGAATCTATAGCTTCTTATGAGTTACCTTTTCTAACCTTTTATTTATTTTATTCCCTCTACTTATGTATTGTCTTACAAGATCCAATAATACCTAAAAAAAAAAAAACCCTAAATCTGTTGCAAAATCAAAAGATAAACCAGAGATTCGCATGACTATTTCTAAGTTGGTTCTACAAATATTTACCCCGGCCCAAAGAGACTTCCTATAGATAACACGAGGCGTGCTTAACTCAAAAACGAACTATAGTTATACATAATGCATATAAACCATATATGAGAGGCGTATAGCCGATGTCTGACGTGACATTTGCTCCGTCTATACTCACATAGTACTCGAAAACCAAGCAAAAACACTAAAGGCAAAAACCTATCAACAAACCAAATACACTAAGAGAAAAAAGGGGGGCAAGTAAGAGAGAAGATAGAGGATAGAGAGGAAGGGGAAACTGCATCGCATCCAAGGACACGAGAATTGAATTCATCAATAATAATAAATAAATAAATAAATAACGAAAAGTATAAACGATATACATACATACGATAAAGAATTGAATCTGTAACTTGTGGATATATACCGCATATACATATATCTTATATACCGCATATATATATATATATCTTATATATGTATACCAAGAAAAACAAACGTCATTTTGGCAATAATAAAGCATAGCAAACAAAAACAAGCGATGCCAAGGTCTTTTATTGGTAGCACTTTCACCGCACAACCCCACAAAATCCGAGATAAGAACGTTTCTTTTGCGATAAAAATTATTAAGTAATAATGGGTAAGAATTATTAAGGATAATATGTGCGCGTTTAAGGTATTAAGCAGCTTAGGAAACAGGTAATTAAATTTATTATTTTAATTATATTATTTAGGATAATAAATGCACTTTTAAGGTTTAAAATAGCTTAAGAAACAGGTTATTATATTAATTATATAGCTCTTAATTACAGCTACTTTTCACAGTTTTTATTTGATTTTCTTTTTTTTTTCACCATTTGTATATATTTGTAATATTTGTTACATGTTAAATTTGTTATATTTGTCATATTTGTTATATTTGTTATTTTTGTCATATTTGTTATGTTTTTTATATTTGTCATATTTGTTATATTTGTTATTTTTGTTATATTTGTTATATTTTGTATATTATATATATATTATATTATTTATTATATTATATATTTTTAATTATATATTTTTAATTTTTATATTCTTATATTTCTTATATTTGTATAGTTTATTATTTATATATTTTTCCTTTAAAACTCACCGAACTCGCGATCGCAATCGATCACATAAGCGGGATTGTCCATGGTGTGTCCTGGCTTAAGCTTTCCTTCCTGTACTTTTTTGGTTAATAAAATATATAGAAGATGAAAGATGAGATTGAGGAGGACTCTCAACCCTGTTGCGACTGCCGGCACTGTCCACGGCCAACTGACGAGCCCCGCAATGTTGTGGCTATAATAGTACGTCCGGATATCTGGCTGCGCGGCACATAGGCGGTACGTGCTTCAAAGTCCGATCCCAATTACGTTCTGTAAGAGAGACACACACACACAGCGGCCGAGGAGATATCCGCGCCAAATAAAACAAGCAAAACGAAAGCTGTAAATCTTAAATAACCGCACAGCACCATCTTCATTTTCCGCAATCTGCAAGTCAGTAACGTGGTGTAAAGATTCTTTCCCCGGCGGAGAGGATGCAGGCTCTGCGGCGATAAGCAGGTAGATAGATGGCCGTGCCCACCTGTGACCTTGACGATCGTTAATAGAACCCGAAATGCCCCTACCATGGGGGTCTGAGAGTAGTGTCCAAAGCCAAAACAAAGCTTTCTCGGTGCCCCGGCAACACCGCCGCACGTTTTGTGGGATTGGTAAGCAAGAAAGGCCAGGAAAAGCCTTTAAGATCCACGCATAAGTACTAAACGCTTTATGGTTATTTATTGCAGCAGCTACAGTCCGTCCCGAAACTGTCAGGCGGAGAAGGAAAAACAAACAAACAAACAAACACACATTGCTTCGTTTCAGACACCTTTATTAGAGGCTTCCAGTTCAGAGAGATGTTATTTTACAAAATGACTGATCCAAGTTCAGGACGTAATTATGCGTTAAGTTAAAACTCAAGTCAGTAAACAATTATAATAATAATAATAATAATAGATAATAGATAATAATGTTGCTTTGTTTTTATTCCCCCAGTAATTCTACTCTTAGTTCAGTCTAATGAAAACGCAAACCTCTCCACTGCACTCCTTCATCAATAATAGACCGTAAATAGCATTCATTGTTGAAGGGACATTTAGTTAGTTAACGACTACACATATACATATTAACGTCAAGAATAGGTCCTGGACCAACTCTACGCCTTAGTGCTTGGTGAAGCACTGTTCCCAATTATGGCCAAGTCACTCCCACCAGCCGAGAAGCCCCCATAAAGATAGGCCCCGAGACGGTTTCATCCCGGGCCCTAAACGCACTCGTAAACGGATCAACATCCAACCATTATTCCAGCGGAGCATACATATCTACACATATATATATAAATATTCTGTATCTGTATCTGTATCTGTATCGACTGTAAAACATTAAAACTGATACGAGAGCTGCTCGCGCATCCCAACAGACAAGAACTTTGTTTATGATATTCAAATTCGCGATTCTCGTCCGCTTTTCGTCCGTTTGCGCGTCCGTTTTTGAACATTTAGAGAAACTAATGCGGAAAGTCCGATTATTTTGTCCGTATTTACTATTTTTCTTTGTCTGCTGGGATCGCTTCTCGCTCTAAGCCAAGTTAAGAAGAGGAGCGGAAGGGGGCAAGGGGCTTCCTGTTTTTGTTTTTTTTTTCTTACTTTTTTTGTACACTTAATATATTCAACATTTATTAGAAAATCACCTTTCCATAGGTTTTCCATGTGTGTATTTGGCGGCGTCCCTTTCGCGGGAAAAGTGATTATATATGGTTTCGGGACCATACGCTATGGCCTAAGAACTCAATCGGAGATCTTTTAAAGCGCTTACTTAGCGAAAACAAAATTATAAAATTAAAAAATAAAAAAAAAATTAAAGAAAATATTTACTAAAAAAAAAAACAAAAACTTTTAAAGTTTATGTAGGATCTGATAATGACTCGGGACAGTCGTGGATCGCAGTCGTAGATACAAAGTTAAAGTTACAATGGCTGCCGAGTGTGTGTGGTGTGGTGTGCTGCCGGAATGTGTACGGAGGTGTACGGCTAGTGTCAAGGATGTGCTCTTCCCAGGTTGTCACCTAAAACTGAAACGGCGGCGTGTCCCGGCAGGTGTGGGCATCCATCGGTGTGATGATCACATGCAGGGTGAGTGTATTCCGTTTACTGCCCGTTAGGTGAGGGCTCAGGGACGTCGATGATTGCTCCAGCTCCTTGTACGGCAGCAGGTTGTCCAGGTTAATCACACGCGAGGCATCCGAGAAGTATTCGGTGCGCTCCACCACCGTGCGGATGTGCGTGATCTCGTTTTGCACGCCCACAATCAGGACGGCGATCTAATAGAGAGTGAGAGACAGCGGGGGATGTACATATATCGAGCGTAAGGGTTCGATATGAATTATAAGACAGAGTTATCGTCTCGTAAATATATCAAACTTTAATGTGAAATGTATATCGAAAGGATATTTACTATGGATATTTATGGAAATCAAAAATAAACAAACTGCAAAGGGTATAACAACTATGCCCTCCCGAAGTTAGCTGCCTTTAATGTTTCATTTATTTCTCCAGATTGCTAAAAACTCAGCCTAAATACAAATGTTTACCTTTTGTCAATGAAAATAACTTCTGATTTTGGATAACTGAAGGATTAGCTTACTGCAAGCTTAAGAAATAAACAAACCCGAAGCTGAAATCTGCTGATAAACCAAAAGCGGAGTCTCCTAATTGTCACCACAATTGTTTAGTCTATAAATTGGTATAAACATGAAACAAGTCTCTGGTTTCGCTAGAAGAAAAAGCCAAATTTTCAGCAATTCAAAGCCAGAGAGACTTGGACTTTGGCATTTTGACTACCCAAATAAATAGAGCTGATGGAATTCCAGATGAAATCACTCACCTTAAACCGCTCCTCGCCAATATTCTGATGCTTACAGGTAACCCGTAGACGCACAGTGTCCAAGGAGCAGCCGGGCACATAGCCACCGCATACCATTTTGGCCTTGTTATACTCGACGCCGCGCGGAAAAAACTCAATGTCCCAGGTCATGGAGGGGTCTAAAAGAGTTAAGAACAAGTTAAAGCTCAATTATATGAATGGAGAATCTGGTCTTGCTACTCACCATCCTCGGTTTCGGCGATATGGCGCTGCGAAAAGAAGCAGGTCACGTAGTTCTTGTAGTTATCAATCTTGTCAAAGTCATGCACATCGATGTCCACGCTCCAGGTGTCGTTCCAGTAGAGCCGCGGCGTAAACTGCAGCTCCCCAGACTCGGTGGCCCGCACCTCGCGCACCCTGTCCTCTTGCCCAGACTGATAGCTCATACCAATGGCAATGCGCTCGACGAGGAACTCCTTGTGGTATTCGATAAGCGGGCCCTTCATCAGGTACGACAGCTGCTTCGTCGTCATCATGCCGAAGCGAATGTGGCTAACCGTCTGCTCGATCAGTTCCATGAAACTGGAGGCGCCGCCGCTGCCCGCTGTGTTGGCCTCCATCTGCTCGCGACGATGCAGCAGCCAGGTCTGCAGGACCACAAACAGTTTGTACTCGCTCTTAACCACAATGTCGTTCTGCTGCAGCAGCAGCTGCAATATGGCCGGGTCCATGTCCACAAAGTCCCTCGACTCGGCCACCATCTCGAGATTCCATTTGAGGAATCGCTTTAGCGTCTCGGTGAGATCGTTGTGGGTGGGCGTAAAGGAGAGCGTGTACTGCAGCCAGGAGACCAAGTAGCCACTGGTGGCCGCCTTGGCCACATGCTTGTTCATATAATCCACACAGAGATCGATCAGGTCGCGGACATTGTACTTGTCGCTCAGCGCCAGCATCGGCATCACCGTCTGCAAAGTGGCCTCGATCTGGCCCACATACAGGTACTTGATGAACTGCGGAAAGACCGCCGAACAGCAGGGCTCCTCGTGCAGCTCGATCACATGTTTGCTGCACTCGTTCCACTCGGGGTTCATCAGCATCACCTGGAAGACATCGCTGCTGGCGCAGAGGATGACCCGGTGGGCGGGATACTCCTTTCCATCCACCAGTAGGACAATGTCCGACATTAGCTGCTCGGCGTACAGGTTGGCTATCTTATTGCGGACGCTGTTTTCGTCAATCATCTGGAAAATGAAAGGTGATTAGAAGTGAGGATGAAGGGTCTCCCTCTGGTTGGGGTTTTTAAGATCAATTTTGAACATTTTTAAAAAAAATTTTAAGAAACGGGTTCCGATTTTTAAAAACATCCTAGGATGGCCTAAGCATATCCTGGAGGAGATTCTCCAAATTTACCCACCGTGCTGGCTCCTTCGTCCGACTCCAGACACTTGCGGCGTTTGGCGTCCTGATCCTCGTTGAGGCTGGTGGTGCCATTTACCGTGTTTTTCGAGCCATTTGGATTGGTGGGCGAAGGTGGAGCAGCAGCGGGAGCAGCACCTCCTCCTCCTCCTCCTCCTCCTCCAGGCACACCGCTCACAGCTCCGCCGGCTGCCTCGCCCGGTGGCTCTGCCGCACCAGCTGCTGCGCCTGCTGCTGCACCCGCACCAGCACCAGCACCTGCACCTGCACCACCAGCTAATCCGCCACAGACGGGCGCGCCTCCGTTACCGTTCGCGTTTGCATTCATCGGAAAAACGAGAATCCGGATGCTTGGGATTCGAGACCGGTTCGAGAGATGTGATTTTCTGGCAATGTGCTACTACTTGTCAGCTTGGTTGGCACTGTCAAGGAACATGGTCAACTGTGAGCCCAATTTGAAGATTTGGTTTATTTTCATTTATTCTCGAGCTAAGACAGTGTGACCAGACGTGTCAGAGCGGAAAATACCCCAAAAAGAGCCACTATCGATGCAGCACTATCGATGCAGCACTATCGATGCAGCACTATCGATATATCGATTTGACATAAACAAACGGTCACGCTGAGGAGCCACAACGCCGGGTGGCGGCCCAAGAATTCCTGTGATTATGAACAACCTGCGCCTGCTGCGACACCTGCAACATGTGCGATATAGCAAGTGCCTGCGCTGGATGGCCAGCCAGCACAAGAGACGACCCCAGCTGGGCCAGCTGCCGCCCGATCGGCTGGAGCAGTTGCGCAGCGATCTCTTCGAGCGGCGCCAGGAGCTCGCCGGCGATGAGTGGCTAGAGGTGCGCCGGTCCCTTGTGGATGGCCACAAGCACATCAACACGCACAACGTGGACGCCGTGATCCTTGGCGTGTGCAACAAACCAAGTCAACTGGCGCTGGCCAAGAACTATGTGGAGTTTCTGCGCAGCCAGGGCTCGGAGCCCAATGCGGCTACCCTGGGCCGCCTGCTGCGGGTCTACAATGCCGCCTACCACGAACGGCCACTCAGTGCAACGGAGCAGGCGGAGATTCTGCAAATTTGCGATACACTGCAGGCGGATCACGAGACTCTGGACGCCAGCAGCTGTGAGCATCTGATCCACGGCCTGGTGGCCACCAACAATGACTGGCAGCGTGCCCTGCCGCTGCTGCAGATGGTGAAGATAACCAGCACGCCCAGCGTGGCTGCCTACAGTGCCCTGGCCGGAAAGGCCTTCAGTGCGGAGGAGCAGCCGGAGAACCTGGATTTGGCCTGGCGTCTGCTCGAAGAGATGGCCTCTGCCCGCAAGCTGCCCAGGTGCGAGGTCTATCTGACGCTACTCGATCGCCTAGCCAAGCAACCCAGCCAAGTTCCTGCCCAGCTGCGGCAATTGCTACAGTTCCTCGAGCGCCACGAGATTCTAGTCAGCCAGCGAGTTGCAGAGCGACTAAGTAAGCTGGCCCAGCAGCTGCCAGCGCATGTCCTACAAGCCAAAGTCACCCAACTGGGGGCCCTGGGCAAGTGTCAGGCCTGCCAGCAGCACCTCCAGCCGGTGGCCATCAGCGACGAGCAATTCCGGCAGCTTAGCGAGTGCTTCTTGGAGCGAGTGCTCATACGAAGCGACGTCTTTCAGCGCTCTTCGCCCAAGGAGGTCACCCGTTTCAAGAAATATGTGGAACGGACGGCACCCTACGACTGTGTGATCGATGGCTTAAATGTGGCCTACTCCACGGGCACCAAGAAGTCACCCCAGCAGCTGGCCAAGCTGGTGGCCACCGTGGTGCGTCACTTTCGGGAGCAGGACAAGCGTGTCCTGGTACTAGGACGCGAGCACATGCGCAACTGGTCCAAGCAGGCGATGCACTACGTCCAGAACAATGCCAGCCTCTTCCTCACCAGCAATCTGTAAGGAACGCCGCCAAAAAGAGCAAGATGGCTATATTTTTAATGTACTTTCTTTGCAGATCTCAAGACGATCCCTTCCTGCTGTATGCCACGCTGCGCAGTGGCCAGGATACGGACTTCTTCTCCCGCGACCTAATGCGCAGCCATGCGTTTCACCTGGGACCCGAACTAAAGCCCATTTTCCGGCGCTGGCAGCAGGAGCACCAGTTCTCGTTGATTACCCAAACCCAGACAGGTCAGATTATAGTCAAGGAGCCCATACGTCACAGGCTGTGCGCCCATGAAGCCGCTGACGGCACCTGGCATGTGCCCTACTGCGAGGCGTACACCCTGAATCCTACGGAAAGCTTTGAGGTGCCCGCCAAGTGGCTGTGCCTCAAGCTGAGACCGTGAAGCCCAAGGAAAGTGGAAGAAAACTTGGAGAGGAGCGTGTATTGTGATAATTTGCTCGTGAAGAAGTCTCCTAATAAACTGGAGGACCCATCTCCTAGTCGCAGTCGTTCCTGGCGCACTTCTCAAACGCTCCCGGACTCTTTGCCTGCTGCTGCTTCTTGCGCCGCCGCTCGTACATCAGCTTCTTCTCGGCGGCGCACATAAGGCGATGCCTTATGTGATTGTCCATCTCAAAGTCCATGTCCGCCGCCTTGGCCATTTCATTGGGATCACGGGTGGCGGCAGAATCGAGGGCCTTGATAATCAAACTGAGCAGGGCATGGGCCAGGCGATGGCACACATCGTATTCGATGGCATCCTGGCTGGTGTAGTAAATGGCCGACTGGGAGGTGGGCTGGACGCCGATGGCCAGCAAAATGTTGCAAAAGATGCCGCGCTGCATGCGGGCATAGGGATCGACCAGCTGCGGCGGTATACGCATCGTGGTGGCCAAGTGGGAGATGAACTTGGCAAACTTCTTGATGAGCACATTCAGATACTGGGTGCGGCACTGGCGCTCTAGCTTGGTCAGCATGTTGTAGTACAGCTCCTGCTTGCGCTTCAGGAAGTCCTCCTTGCGCCGCTCCTTCGACTTGTTGCCCTTGAGTACCTCCTCCAGCTGCTCGGTAGTGATGGCATTGTACTTGCCCAGCATTCTCTTCATCCGCTTGGCCCGCATCTTGGGATCGTACACGTCCTTGAACTGCTCGTAGTTGTCGATGAGCGTGTGCAGCTTGGGCTTGGACAGGGACACGTCGTAGGCCTTGGCCTTGGGCGGCATGGCCGGGCGGTAGGCCATGCGTCGGACATACGACTGCAGCTTGGACAGGGTCTCCTCCTGGCGCTTCTTGACATTCTCCTCGGCGCACACATCCGGGTCCTCTTCCTCGGGCAGCGAGCTGGTCGACGTGGGCAGCGGCTCGTCCCAGTCGGAGACATTTGAGCTGGCCATTATGGTGGCTAGGATGGATTAATGGAAGTTCGGCCCTATAAATATCGAATAGCGAATTTAGCAAGGACTCTGGTTCCAGATTCTGACTAACAAATGACCGGAAAAAGGATTCACTTGTGTATTTGTTTGATTTACCCGAAAAAAGCGAGAGAACTGATAATTTTACGTAGCTTTGGGTTCGATCGACGGGGAGCAACTGTGGCAATCCAGGTTTCCAGCTGAGAAGTGTGTGTCAAGGCAAGGGCCAAGGACTACTAGATGGTCGAAGATTCGGGTAACTGTTCCAAAAGGGTAACTGTTAAGATTCAAAAGATTGTCTACTTAACTTTTCCTTTCTTCTTCTTTTCCAACTTCTTGTTAAACGCGTTTATTATAAAAATAATTTATTCTTATGCTGGCAACATTAACAAATTATATGTATTTATATTTTAAAATTAAAAATATAATTTTTTCTGGAACTTTTCTTTTATTGTTCCGACAAAAAGTTGTTTAATAATTGTAGTTTGTTTTTAAAAAATAAAAAAATGTAAAAGAATGTCTAAGAAATTATTGTTTTTAAGAATAGCAAAGATGTCTTATAAATATATGCCTTTAATATTATTCAAAGTCGCGGGTATTCCCCTTTATAAAGAAGGGTTAAAAGTACTAGACGTATGATTCATCCTCCTCTCGACATGGAAACCAACGCAACGGATAACGCCTCGCGATCATTTACAATTAAATAATCAACTTTTATTGATTTACGTTAATAATAACCATAATAACAAGCGGATTTCGGCGCCTAGTAGCACTCGCTCTGCACGGACCGCTCCAGGACGAAGGTATACTCCTCGGCCAGCTCGTCCACCGACATCTGGCGCGTGAGCAGCGCCAGGATGCTGTCTACCTGCATCTGAGTGTTGGTGTAGCTGTCCTTAGCCAATCCGGGCGCCAGCTCGAAGGGAATGTCCTGCAGATAGTTGACGGGTCCGGATTGGCGACCCGCACCCGGTGCCTGTCCTGGTGCTCTGGGTCCCGGCATGGGCGGATAGGGCAGATAGCCCGAAGGCGGCATGGGCGGATACATTGAGCCACCACCAGCTGCAGGCGGGTCCGCCGGTCCAGGCTTGCGCTCGATGAAGACGAAATCGTCGCCAGGCCGAGGGGCATCCGCCGGACCCTGAATGGGCTCCTCCGTGGGCGTTTCCGCTGGCTTGCGTTTCCCGAAAATTGAGAACATGGCACGGCTAGGGTCCTTGATTGTTTTTAATTTAGTTTTTTAGTCCTTTTTTTTGTGTAAAAACAAATATATTGCGTCTTTTGTCAGCTGGAGATGGGCGATAGGCGATAACCAGCCAATGATGCCGCTGCCCTGTTTGGCGACTTTCTAGCTAGTTCAGAATATTTAGCTTTATATATTTCATAATTTTGCATTTGTTTTCATATAATGAGACATTTAAAACCTATGATTGAATATTTTAAAATTTAAATGAAAAGCAAGCAAAGAAACTATATAAAATAAATGAAGCTTGGCCGTTTGTTAGCACATCGATAGGCGTTAACCGATAGCCGATAGGTAGGTGCTAGGCCGGGCGGCGGATGCGCAGGGCTGCTGCAGGCCTAATACCTTTGAAATCCGCCAGATCTAGCCGAAAAATCGCTAAACTGACAACGCTGTGTCCGATTCGACTCTCGAGCAATCACTTTTTTTCCCAGCGAAGACAACAAATTGTGTACACCGTCTAACTGGAGGAGCGAAAAATATGTCGAAGGTGGACCAGGAACCCAACGCCTCGCTGAGCATCATGGAGGTCAGTGTGCCCGCTGGGACGCCATCCCGTGGGAAAGGCGCCGTTCCGTCAGCCCTTTTCCAATTGGCGCTTCGCTCGCCAAGAAAAGATGCCACATTAAAGCACGCTTAGATGCTGTTTGTGCACTGTCTGCTTCCTGCCTCCTGCTCCTTGCTGCGTGCTCCCTGCTCCTTGCTCCTTTTTAAGTGTTTTCTTTAAATGGTCCACAGCAAATTAAGCAGCTCATACGGCCGCCGCCCAACGAGGACGAGAAGCTGGTGCAGCGGACGACAAACACGAAGCATCCGTACTACAGGCGCCCGGGCAGGGGCCACAACCACGACTACTGCGACTCCTGCGAGGAGGGCGGCAATCTTTTGTGCTGCGACCGATGCCCCTCCAGCTTCCATCTGCAGTGCCAGTAAGTAGTACAGCCTCGCTCTCTCTCTCTCTCTCTCCCCCTCCTAATCCCTTTGCTTGCAGTGATCCGCCGCTTAGCGAGGAGGACATACCCAGCGGCCAATGGCTATGCCACAGCTGTCTCATGGCCAAGGTATCGCAACCGCCGGCCTCCTCCTCCTCAAAGGCCAGCTCCATGGAGCGTGTGCCCTCGGCGAGCAGCAATTCTAGGGCCAATACGCCATCGTCTGGGGATCTGGAGTCCATACCGCTGAAGATACGCAATTTGCGCAAGCGCAGCAGCAGCGAGCGTAACAGCACCGAGAAGCTGCTGGCCAAGATGCCGCTGGCCATACAGCGGGCCCTAGATCCCAACAAGAAGCCGACACCGCTGGACGACGTTATACGGGCGGCCAGCATGCTCAATCCGCAGCAATTCTCGCTGCCGCCGGAACTGGAGCTGCACACTCAGTTTCCGGGCAACGGCAAGGTGCAGCCTGTCCAGCAGCCGGTTCCATCGACGGGCAATGGCGGGCACCGCAAATGTGCGGGTAATCAGCGCCGGAACTCAAAGCCATTCGAACTGGACGCCCAGGGACTGGTGCCGCTGCCCGCCAAGACCTGCTTCTATTGCTCGCGATCGTGCAAGCGGGCGCCGCTCATCTCCTGCGACTACTGTCCGCTGTACTATCACCAGGACTGTTTGGATCCGCCGCTCACGGCCCTGCCGGCGGGCCTGTGGATGTGCCCCAATCATGCCGAGAACTTTATCGTAAGTGCGTGAGCAGGAGGAAGGTCTGTATTCTGTCATCTGACTCGTGATTCTCGTTTGCAGGACTCCAACATGACCAACAGCATTTCGGCGACGGAACGTGTGCGCCTGTGGAATCGCTTTCACCAACCGCTCGACCATGAGAACGTCAAGCTGGAGTTCTTCCGGCGCGTCAACACTCGCCATCCGCCCTTCCGCACCAAGACCAGCTTGCGGGCCCGGGCCCACATCGAGGTGCCGGCCATTGTCCGTTACCACTACGAGCATCCGCCGGCCCTGCTGCCCTCGATGCGGCAGACACTGCGCTACGATCGGGTCAAGCGGCGAAAGAACCTGCCCACGGCCGTTGAGGAGATATCCCGGGAGACGGTCACCGAATCGCTGCTGAAGGATCTCGAAGCGTTGCGCTCGGCGCGGGCCAAGTTCCGTGAGATTCAGCGGGAGTATGGCACCGTGGAGACGGCCGTGGAGGGGGACAGTGACAGCGAAGACACCAGCCCAGAGGAGGGTGGTGGCGAGGGCGCTGAGCCCAACAATATGAATGGTGGAGGACCTGGACTGGAAACGGAGCCGGAGGTCGGGGATCTGCCCTCGGCCATCAAGATGGAGTCGAAGGCCAGTCTGGAGCTGGACATTACCTTTGAGGATGAGGAGGAGGACAGCAAGGTGGGCATCATTGATGCGGACCTGTGTCACCTGGACGTGGATATTATCAAGAAGCTGGCCCATCAGCGGCTGCAGCAGCTGGTCCAAGAGCACCCAGAGATTGTGACGCAGTACAAGAATCGCACGGCCGCCCGCCGTCTGCGTCAACTGGCGGGAGGCTCATCGGATGCCCTGCAGAGCCAGTTGGCGCCGGAGGATATGAACCGTTTCTCGCTGCTCTTCACCAGCGAAACGTCCTCGATTTTGGCCCAGAAAAATGGCAATGCCGCCGACGAGGATCCAGCCATGGCTCTGCATCCGGCGCTGGCCACAGCGGCCGCCATAGCCGCAGCAGATGCGGCTGCCGAGAGTTATGTGCCGCGGATACGAAGCGATACGGACAAGGCCTATGAGCTGGCCTCCCGGCTCGAGCTAAAGCTGCTGCAGTGCAAGGTCCAGGCACGGGCAGTGATCACACCGCTGGGCGACATGCTCGAGGATAGCCGCTGGTTCAGTTCTCTGGGCTTGGAGCAGTCGATTTTCATGCGCTACCGCAGCCTGTACATTGGCTACGGGGGCCACTACTCGCCCTCGACGACTTTGGGCCAGACGGAGACGGTGGATCTATCGGCCATTGGCTACTGCTGCCGCATCTCGCCCCAGCATGCCATCATCTTCTACGACGAGTTCTCCAAGTCGTACGAGCTGATTAACTACTCGGAGTTCGGAACGGAGGTCAATGGTCAGGTGTATGCCTGCGATCTTACCGATCGCACGCCCACCCATGCCGGTAAGCGGATGCGTCCCGATGATGCCGAGCTGAAGCGACGAGTGGACGATCTGCTGGACAAGCGGCGTCACATCCACCGCCAGTTTGAGCCCAAGCGGAGCGGCCACAACAAGTGAGAGACAGATATGCCTCCTCTATATAACTTCCACTTGAAATTCCATTTGTTTTCTCTGTCCCATTTCAGACTCGCTCCCATTGTAAAGCCCGCCTGCCGCTGCACGAACGCTGGACCCGTGCCCATGGTGGCCGGCGCCTGGGAGGGCTCAGCGGTGCTGGCCCACGGCAGCCTCCTGCGCTTTGGCTGCCTGTCGTTTGTGTTTTCGGTGCCGTCAGTGGATCTGTTGCATGCGCAGGCGCGCAGTAAGCGGCTAGCGTAGGATCACCAGCATCACCTTCACCAGTTAGACCACCCAGTGGGGCAGCTAATAGCCAGTAGGAGCCACACTCATTTTATTGCCACGCAAATTATGTTCACATTTTATGGATCACACACATCCCAGCCCATCCTAGCGTTAAGGCCAACTTCGAGGGGTCGGCGCCAGCAGATATCAAGACCCGCAAGCCCTCCCTCCTTTCACATTAAGTGTATCATTGTAGTTTTAAGGTCAAAACTTGAAATAAAAATGTAAAAAAATATATTCAGTTTGATTTAACTTTTTAATAAAATATCTGCTGGGAAAATGAACAAAATGTAATTTATGATTTTTCTTATAGTTTTTTTTTATACTAAATTTAGAAGAAAAAAAGCTACAGAGCCTTATAATTTAAAAAATTAATAATATATATAATGGCTTTAATTAAAAAAAAAAAAAAGAGTTTTTATTATTTATTTGCACAGCTACAAAAAAAAAAAGGGAAAAATTAAGTACGAAAACTTCCCATCTTAAGAAGTTTAGTCACGCTTAATTGCTAACCAAATCCTAAGGTTTATTTATTTATTAATTTTGTTGATTAATTTTTAAACTTTATTAAGCAATCTCTAATAATAACAAAAAAAATCTAAGAAATGTAAGTGAAAGTTTTCTTTTTTTTTGTTGAATTTTAATGTTGTTTTTAATAACAAGACAGAATAAATGCTTGAAAGCATTTGATTTTCAGAAAGTAATAACATTTCTTAAAGTTTGACTTATTTTATCAAAGAAAAAATAAATTACCCTGTGAAATTATTAGTTTTATTTATTTCTTAATATTTTTTCCATTTAATGTAATTAATTTAAGCTTTTAAATATAATTATTAATAAATCAAAATTAATAATAATTTAATTTTGAGGACAGCTCGAAGGGAAATAACAGCTAGTATTTTTCAGGCTTTTTTATAGCTATAAAACTGCACTTTGACATCTGTTAAAAGCAGTTAACAGCATTTGGTGACAACTCTGACGACAGTGCGCGCGCACTGTTACCGATTTTAAAATGTAAATATTGCGAAGCCAAGATATTTCATTGAGCGACTTGGCATGCAGTCGAACATTAATTTGCGGCGCATAATTAACTCCGCTTAAGATTGCTCGCCGCCAAGGAGCCGTGAAGAGCGGAGACGGAGATGGAGAGTCGGCAACATTTCAGTGATTAACAACTGTAAAATCCAAAATCTGTATAAATATTCATGTGCTGTGTGTGTTGATTTAAAGGATTTTGGTGAAATCCACTATCTCGGCACCCACTGCACACCGAAGACCGACCGTCGAGCAGCAGAGGTCCGAAACTAACGTGCAACATCCAATAAAGATGCAAGTGCATTTAAAGTGCATCCCAAGTTATTAGAGCGTGCGGCACAGTCTCAATCTGAATCCGAATCTCGGCAAGCCAAGCAAAACGGCTGGGATGCGTCGTTTGGGTGGCCAGCAGCTTCTGCTGCTTCGCTTGCAGCTGCAATTAAGTATGCAATGCACTTAAGTTATGCACATTTCCTTTGCCCAAACACCGTTACGTTACGATTTTAATTTTAAGCCGCGCGCGAAAGTTAACAGTCAGAGCAGCTGCTACAGCTGTTAGCTAACATGGGCCCGATGCTGTCATCTAGCAGATAAAGCCAGATCAAAAAAAAAAAAAAAAAGCTAAAAGAGCCAAACTGTGGGGGAAAATATTAAATAAATTAATATAGTTTTTAGGTTTTTATATAATTAAGCGGTTTTTTTTTTCATTATAAAAAATATAGAAAAATATTTCCATTACAAGTATCTATTATGCAAACATAACGATTAACATTATTTTAAAAGCAATTGTCAGAAAACATTTTTTTTTGTGAAATCAAACCTAAAAATTTTCAGAAACATCACATATATTTGTAAAATTAAACATTTTTCTTTATTTTCCGTAAAATGTATATATTTTCGAAATAACTTATTTTTTCGAGGGACAAATTTCGTAGAGATGCGAGAATATTCCCTGGCCAAGTCTGATAGAAATAAGCCGAAAAGACACCTCTGCTCGCTCGGCGCCTATAAATACGAGTGCAAGTGGCCATTCCAAAAAAAATTTTCAGATTTACAGCAACGGTGAATTTTGTTAAAAGGAAAAACCGCAAAGTGCGAGCCACATACAAGAAATTGTTTGCAAATTTTAATTTTGAATTTGGCTCGAACAGTGCCTGTATAGTTTGGGAATCGTTTTTTTCCATTTCTGCAATAAAAAAGAAACGAAAAGAAACATAAAAGAACAGTTGTGCGCGCATGTGCAATCAGAAAATCATCTCAAAGCGAATCGTGAAAATCCTTTTCTGCCATACGAAAAATCAAACAAACGCAAAAGCCGGACACAGCCTTCTGTTCGACAACTGACAACAAGAATAAAATACTTATTAATTAGCCGCTAACCGTGATTTGTTTACGTTTTTTCTTCATTTTTTTGTATTGTGTGAGAAGGGAGTGAAGAGGAACAACCAAAAGGCCGAAAAACCAAAATTCGAATTGGAAGTGAAGGGTGTGACAGACGCACGCACACATAAAACGGCATACGCACACGCACAGAAACACCGGCTAAAAGGTAGACGAGACAAGGGAGCGAGTGCAAAATAGAAAACGCGAAAACAGGATAACCTAACTACTAATACTATAAAACAAGCGGCGAAGTGACATCTTAAAAAACAACAACAACAACTAAGGCAGCGCAGCGAAGAGCGAAAAGCGAGAAAAGGCAGCAGCCGAAGAGAGCAGCGAAGGAGCAGCGCAAAGAAAGTAAGTGAAATTCCATCTTCTCGTGCAAATTAGACAGGGGGGAGCAGCGCCGCGACTGCGAAGCCGGCTGCGGCTGCTGCTGCTCCATTTCCAGGTGTAAAGCCAATGGCCACGGGTTTTACTCTATGCCACTGCCACTCCACTCGACTCAACTCCGGTCTGCAAGTCATAAAATCTATGGCAGTTGTCAGTTCGCTTCGCTGGCTGTTTTTCTCCCATCTTTTTTACTTTAGCATTTCGTTTTGAGCTCTCCTTCGGCGGCTTTGGCTACCTTACCCCACCATTCCACCTTGCGGCATTGTTTTTCAGCCGCTGATTTTTCCAACCGGCTTTCGGCTGGCTAATTGCCTTGACATTGGCATTCTCTGCCTCCTCCGCTCTTCGCCAACTTGTTTCAATCATTCAAGTTCAACTATAAACAGACATAAACACGCAGTCAAGGTGCAAATCCCTCCTCCCCCTCTCTCCAATATAACTGTTTTTCTTTTTTATATTTTTCTTGCTGCTGCTGCTGCTGTCATTTCTTTTTCTTTCTTTCTCCCCGGCTAGTTTTTGTTGTCATCGGTGGCTGCTCTTGTTTACGTTTTCTCCTGCTCCTTTCAGCATTTGCCTTTCTTTATTTCCATGCTCCCAAACGCATCCCAATACGCCGCTGTGCGTGAGTGTGTGTGTATGTATCCGAGCCGGTGTCTGTGTACGCCCTTCCTTCCGTGTCTTCCGCTCCTGGCTGTCGGTCCGTTCGTTTGTTCGGTCGTTCGTTGGTTCGTCCTTGTGTCCGTTATTCTGTCCGTCCGTTTGTTTCTCTGTCTCCCTGCAGGGCGTGTGCTGTATTGGCGGTGGACGTCGACTGTAGCAGAGGCAGCAGGCTACGGTGGTCAAAAATAATGAAAAACATGACTTATATTTTAATTGTAAATTATTTAAGGGGGTTTGGTATGTTTGAAATAATGGTACAAGTCGTTGTTGAATCTTTAAAAAATATATCTTGTTTTATTTTTCGAATATATTCTTTGAAAAAAATATATTTATCTTCAATATTATGTAGGAAATTATCTTTAATTCTACTAAATCCATAAGGACTTAAAAATAAATAATTGTATTGAAAAACAACGTAATTTCAAAGTTTCTGTTGAAGAACCTAACTTCCTACCATGCAAATGTCTAAAAATATAAATTATACTATGTATTTAAAGACATATTTTAGGTATAAAATGTCTCGAAACTTTTTGAATTATGTTGTTGTTTTTGTTTACACCTCCTAAAAATTATACCTGTCGGAAACTTCCCATTCACTTATCACAAACTAACGTCATTCACATCTCACGTTCTGAAGATGGTATGATAATTCCAGTTCCGATGGCTGAGTCACCACTGTAGCCGGAGGAGAGTGTTCTTTTTTTTATATTTTTGGAGAAATCTCATTCAATTGGAAAATTGCAATTTGGCGTTGACAAACATTTTTGGGTTTTTGGACTTGGACCCATGGTGGGCGACACGTCATGGATATACATTCCTTTTGTTCTCCGGTTTCTCCTGCAGTTTCTGCCTCATTTCGCGCACACTCACACACCCACCACCGGCATTATCATCACCCCCTATGCGTATATCCTGCCCTACCCCAGTAAAAATTGCAAATCAATAATTTTCAATGAGGATTTTGCATTTAAGCCCCTTCGTCGCTGGTGTGAGTTTCGGGATCAATTAGTATTCCAGGAGCGCTCGAGAAGTTATAGCCAAGAGGAGAGACCCCTTCGAAACTGAGTCACGTTTTATTTTGTTTTGTGATTGCGCGCTGTCCCGTGTGCTAATGGCAACGTCTCCCATATCTTTCCTTCGAGTATATATATAGTATTATATATGCTTATGTCGCATGGCAATCGAATGCTTCCGCTGCGCACCGCCGGAAATCAGGTACACCCGACAATGAAAAACCCTGCCCCTGTCACCGCCACCGCCACCGCCGCCGCTTCATACAACACCGCCTTTCTGGGACTCCCCGGTCCCCAGAATCGTTTACCACCCATTGCGGGGCTGGCACTTCTTCGCCCATTCGCCTTCTTGGTGCTTTCGCAGAAGCCATTGTTGCAACAGTCTGGGAGCTCCAGACTAAGCACATAGCGACAGTTGGGAACGAAAAAATAGTAACCTTTTGTGGTAGGAAAAAGATAAAGAAAGATCTACTGCAATGACTATGAAAAAAAGTAAATTATATTAGAAGTATTATTGTATTTTTAAAGCTACTTTAAACAATTATAATTATCATTTAAATTTGGAAGGAAAAGGCAAAAGAAATTATAACCTTTCTAATAGTTTATGGTGAAACAATTCATAAGCTTTATAAAGTGGATAAGTTGATTTTTAATACAGTTGTTCCATATTTGTTAAACATTTTATAATATAATTTAGCAGATTTTTCTATTTAAAAAAATTGAATTTAATATCTCCAAAATAAATATTTCTGGTATCATATTTATGCCTTTAAAAAAAAATAAATTTTAATTTTCTTAACACTAAAATATTTTTCTTTTTAGATCTATTTTTTTAAGAAGAATCAAATTTAATTTCTCAAAAAATTTTATTTAGTTTTAAAACACTACCATTTTCTTGACTTTAACTGTTTATATCCGCTTATTTATTGGTGTGTGTACCTATGTACTTCTCTGCGGATTTCGGCTGCATATGCTCGCATTACACCCCCGTCTTGTGTAGCCTCCAGAGCTCGCTCCTCACTACTCCGAGTCCAACCCCAACCCCCATTCTATCTGTCATCAATTGCAGCTGTCGCTTGTCCTTGAACGCACTTTACGCACTTTACTGGCTGGGATATACGATGTTGAGGGTGGGGGATATGTCTAGGGTTGAACGGAATGTACAGCCTGTGGATAAGCTATTTATATATCCATCCAACCATCCAACCATTCCATATATCGCCTGTGGAAATATTCACTCTGCAAATACTACTCCGAGTTATATATATACATATATAACTCAATTTTCTTTGTTCGATTGGTTCAAAGAGGGGCTTATGTATAGGATATTTTCTTTAATTTATTAAGAAATAAATACATTTATAAAGAAGAAACTTTTATAACCTCGATAAGAACAGTTCTCTTGTAAGCCATTTCCTTAAGAGATATAATTCTTAAAATACAAATTAAGAACTAGTGTATTTCTTTGGTAATCTGCAAGTACAGCTTCCTTTTCATTATCGCTGTTCATGTACGTATTTTTAGTTATAATTATAAACATTTAATTTCCACTTTCTTTTGTCCGATTTGAAGCTAAAAAAGTAATCCCTTTGGGGCATGGGTTTGTGGAGCTCTGCTTGGATTCTTTGTTGGTTCTTCCAAGTTTTCTGGGTTTCTTTATATATATATATATATATTTTTTTTTTTTTATCTGTTGCTGTGGCTGCTGAGTCATGTCCCCGTATTGTGTTGTTCCTCCTCGTTACTCCTTTTTTGTTGTTTGCTGCTTTTCTTGTTGACTGGTTTCGCTTTCAACGGCACGCCCTTACTTAACCCTCTCTCTGGCCATAGAACCACTGCCAGTCCCAGTCCAAGTCCCAGTCCAACTCCCTGTTCCTGTTCCCGTACCCGTCCCTATCCCACTTCCTCTTCCTTTACCCCTTCCCATATATATTCCCAACTACTTGTGATTCACACTGCCGCCTTTCTGCCTTTTCGAACTCACTTATGGGCCATATATCAATGGCCCGCGTTGACTCCCTCCGACTTGTGGCATTATCAATGCAAATGGGCATGGCATTTCGAGATCTCGTTGCGGTTCGGGGGTATCACTGGGTATCTGGACTCTGAGGAAATTTACGGAGGCGCCCGTCTGTCGTCGTGACTGCACTTGCTTCCTTGCTTGCCTGCCTGCCAGCCTTTGCCTCACAATACAAATAATTGATATGCTCTTGTGGTCCCGCCTTGCCTTTCTGATTTTCTGCCGATGATATTCCCCATTTGGGTTCACTCACCCCTTTGTCTTTCTCTCATTCTCTCACTCACTTCAGCATCATCAAACATATCAGGGCGCTTCCGTTCGATAAACCAAAAATAATGCATAATAATAAAAAAAAAGAGCGGCTGAGGGAATTATTAACAAAAGGCTACAATGTTGCATCTGAAATCCCGGATGGGGGAAAAGAAATCAAGTGACAATAAATGGCGACAATTAAATGTCATGGTTTATCTTTAATTGAGCGGAGTTTTTGAACTCTTTTGGGTTTTAATTGATATTTAAATGTTAAATTAAGGGAATATATTTAAAAAATAGGACATTTTAAATACTAGAAAGTGTTTTTTAAAACACTTTAAAACATATATAGCTCTCTATAAAGATTTAAGCTTAACCCTCTATTTACATAGGAAAAGAAAGCTGATCAAAGGAAAGAGTATACTTCTCAGTTACATTCCCCATAGAAAATTCTCTCTTTTACCCAAAATATGAATGAAGTTAAGCTGCTTTTTAATCTGTTCAAATATCAAACACTAACCGCATTTATGTCTTACTTGACAACCAGCTGGACCAGTTGGAGTCGTCTTTGTATCGGTACTGGGAATTTGATTCGGATTCAATGTTGCAATGTGGTCTCCAGGTTTACTGCTGCTGGCTGCTGGTGCTGCTCTTCACCCAAAAACATCTTTCGCATCTGGTTGCTTGTTGTTTTTGTTGTATTTCTTTATGGTTCAGTTTTTGCAGCAAGCAACTGCAACAAGTTTATCAGCAGCAGAGCAATATTGCTGCAGCTTGCACTTGTGTGGCATGCGCCATTGGACACGCCTTCAAGAGACAAAAAAAAAGTAACGAAAAAAATTGCAGCAAAATGAATTTGTGGCGACACCTCTAAGTAAAAAAACCAGTGCCATTTACCAGCAATTTAAGACAGAGAGCAAAAAAATTACACTAAATAAACATAAAAATTTACAAAGAAAACTTTAAACTTAGAAAAAAATAAATTATTTTGTTAGGTTTGGTTTTGAAAGCATAAATAA